CTCCTTCCAGAGTTTCAGCTCTCAGCACTTTGGGTTTCCCGCCGCCCACTCCTTAACGTTTTATTTCGGCCAGGTTCGTTCGGCTCGGTTCGTTTCGTTTGGCCCATTCCGTTGCGCCCGCTCTTTCGTTCATTCGTTCGTTTGTCTTGACATTTGCGTTTTGCCTCTGCCCTCAGCCCTGGCCTCTCCAACGGCTCCACCTCCTTATCCTGCTACGTTTCCCAAAGAGGGGACAGTGGGTAGAAAATACAGGCGTGTGGTTTTCGAACGAAGAATGTCGGCAAATTGGGGCTAAAGTGTGGTCAATAAAGCTCAACTTTGGATTTCTATATTTAACAGATTCTTCAAATATTTATTTTATTTTAGGGAACTAAATATAATATAATAGTTGGAGTTTCCCTACAAACTGGGAGGTCAAAGAAATTAAGTATCGAGTTAAAAACAAGAAACTAGAAAACAATAAATGAAATCTAGCTTATTTTTAACTTTAAAGAATTCCTTCAATTTTAATATCTAGCCGTTGGGCTTTTATTAATTAACACACTTGGTCCAACAATGCATTCCACTGTGCCTGGCTTAAGCGAATTTTCGTTTATTCTGATTACAAAAGGCGGGTTGGGGAGGAAGGATGTAAGGCAGGGAACGCGCATGGGGGGTACGTGGGGAGAACCGAGTGCCGGTTGAGGCACAAATTCCAACTTTACTTTAACTTTAATGTTGGCTCGGCTCGGTCGCTGCCGTGGTCGTTGTTCGTTGTTGGCTGTTGGTTGTTCATCGCCGGCTTGGATGGCTGGCAGCTCTGGGTTCTCGGTCCCGGCCTTATTCTCGTTTCTGGTCCGGTCTCAGAGCAGTCGGTGCGGCGATGGCGACGAACACGTCTCTGACTCGAGCACCGACTCCAGCTCCGGCGGTGACTGTCTCTACGACTCTGGCTCTGATGATGTTATGTTCTCTAGCAAGGAATACTCCAAATATCAATGAGCCTTGAAGAGTTAACAATGTTATTATGAGATTTTGTTAGAGTTTGGTTTATTATTGTATCTATTTTTAATATAGTAATAAACTATAGGATACATTTTATCATATCTTTAAATTTTACTTTTTGAAATTTTAAATAAAGCGAACGGATAAAGTACCTATGGATTATACAATATTTACCATTTTTTAAAACGTACATTATAATATATTATTTTTAATAAATTGCATTTTATAAGATAAAGACCCATTTGAACATATGATTTTATTTATTTAGATTTCCAAAAAAACACGCTAACATCTCTTGTTTTTAATAGGTAGTACTAAGTAGTATTTTTTATTAAGTCCCCCAGAGTATTTCCATTTCGGTGCTATCTTCCCCCATTTAATTTTCTTTTTCTTGGCCTAGTCTGGGGCTAAGCCTGCTGATGTTGCCGCTGCCTGACTGCCCGCCTGCCAGCCTGGTTGCAGTTGCAAGAGTCGCCATCGCCAGCGACGTCCTCGTTGCTTCTTGCCTCAGCGCTTTTATTCAGCATTTTTGTTGTTGCGACTGACGCTGGTTCGTTCATTTGCTGGTTATACGTATTTTTGATATTTTTTTTTATTTTCCGTCAGCGCCGCCAACTTGCCTGTGTTTCGGAGCCCAGAGCCAAGTCAAGCCAACCCAAGTCAGGCAAGCTGGCCCAAACTGAACCGAGCCGAGAAGAGCAGCACCGAGCCAAACCAAGCCAAGCCAACCATCGCCATCGCATGCTTCACCTTCGCCCCACCGCACACAGATACTCACGCACACACATACAGCACTTTGTGTGGCGGCTCCCCCAACCTCCCCGACACCGGCACCAGCACCAGGCCCTCCCTCCTTGCCCGCCTCTCCCCACGGAGTTTCTTGTTTTCTTTCAGAGTCTCCCCCAGCCCCAGCCCCAGACCCATGCACCCCAACGCAAGCCCCGACCACTCGCCCAGTCCCAACCCACTGCTGGCTCTTTGCCTTGTCGTAATTTTACTTGGATTTTTTCTGTTCGTTTTCTTTTTCTTGCCACCGTGCCTGTGCCAGTGCCAGTGTCTGTGACTGTGTGCGAGTGTATCTGTGTTTTCCTTTCTGTGCGCTGCTTTCTGCGCTGCCTGCGACTCGGTTTCGAAATAAACTTTAATGCGAGCCATTCGTTCGGTCGGGGCTCTGGCTCTGGCTCTGTTTTCTGCTTTTCTGCTTCTGCTGCTCTGTTAAATTTTCTGGTTAAATTTTGTGCGCAGTCAGCTCGCAATGCAGTCGAAGCTTCGAGGTGGGTGACTCTCGATTGGGGTTGCTCGTGGGGTTGGTTTAATGTCCGTTGAAATTGGCCATCTGGAAGGGCTTCAATGGATCTCCTCTCATCTTTCTTTGGGTGGGAAATGCGCACGGTTACCTGAGGATTGGAATGTGCCAATGGGATGTCAATTAACCTGCTAGATTCCGGGTTATTGTTTTCCGAGATTCTTTCGAATTCTGTGGATTATTATTATATTTGAAAGGGATATCGAATAGCTTTGATGCCAAAAATTTCACATTGGATACTACAAACACTTCAGTCATTTCAATACCCAAATTCGACTATTTGTTAAAGGACTTTCATGCCTTGCTTAAAGTCTTTAATCCTTAAGCTCCACTCCTTTGCGCAGTCTCCGCCGACAGCGGCAACATTGCAAGTTGCTGGCCGGAATGCTGCCGCCGTTTATAGTTTCACTATAAGGCGCACATATGAATTTTGCCATCGCCTGCTTTTTGGCACGCAAACGCGCACCACACAGTACCACAGCAACTCGGCACCACCGCCAGCCATCCAACCCAGTCAGCCATCAAGCGAACGTCCTCGACAAGCCCAGTCGGCCGGCCAGGCCAACGGCAACATCATCAGCACCAGCACCAGCAACAGCAACCACTTCAGTTCCTCCACCTCGCCAACCGTCGCGCCATTCGACATACGCCATACAATCTGAAAATATAGAAAAAGCAGCAGCAGCAACAACAGAAACCACAGCAACAACGTCGACATTTGGGACGTTCGTTCGCTGGCTCGTTTGTTAGTATCGCTCAGAGCCGGAGCCTCGCACAGCAGATACAGATACGACGAACGAACATATACACACACTCTCAGATACAGTGCCATGCCAGCAGCAAAAACAAAAACAGAAACCTATATGAGTGGGGCCGTACATATAGAAACGTATATTTATATAGAGTCGCCGCAACACGCGCACTGGAATGAACGACGGAAAAAATGCTCTACTACGGCAGAGATATAGATACGGATGGGCCGATTACGGACTGGTTGCAGGGAGATACATGGGCAGGCAGGGAAGGTGAAACTGAAGATCTATTCGGGAACGACTCAAAGTAGGATTTTCTCAAGGAATTATCCTCAATTTGTAAATCTTGAAGTCAAGCACTTAAACATTGAGGTATTCATTGAAAGTTTTTAAAGGTATGAGTGGGAATACTACAGAAATAGGTCATAAAAAATGGCAGATTTTAGATAAGGTGAGAAACGAAACATGAAGAATTTTGAGATGAAGATGGTGTATGAAAATAGTGGTTTCTTAAAAAAAAACTACTGTCTATAGTCAATTTCTCGCCTCTTTTTAGATTACTTTACAAGTCTATAAGGTTCTTTGCATCTCAAATCTGAACCGATCAACAGACTTGTAGAAAATCTGCCCAAGAATATTATAGATTAAAAAAGCGTTTCCAATAATTTTACAAATTGCTTACGAACCTATTTAAATATAGCTGAATAAGTTGGAACTGGCTGAGCTGGCTGCAATCTCTGAGGGGCATTGAGGCGTTCGATCAGCTTCGCAGAAACGCGAGTGTGACGCAGATTGCAAACAGTTCCGAGACTCTGGCCGGCTGGCCATATAATGTTCTTGGGGCACCGACATTGCGGCAATGCCTGGCCGCCGACTGTCGTCATCGCCTGAATTTGAATGGAAGCCTGAGAGTTGCAGAGAGGCTCTGGGTGCTGCAGATGCAGTTGCTGTTGCAGTTGCAGTGGCTATTGCCGCTGCGGCTCTTGCGGAATATAAAAATGGTGATTCTGGGCTTCCGCTCCGTTTCCAGAAGGCCTCTTGTCCCGGGTTTTCAGCTTTTTATTAGCACCCGGCTAACGGGCACTTGTCCGCTCGCTCTTCCTCGTTTGCAGCTCAAACAAAGCCGGCTGGCGATAACTAATTTTCAAAAAAAGCAAGACCATCTCGAGAGGTGGCAGGCAGGGCATGCCACAAGGCCTGCCGTCGAAGACACATCCTGTTTGTGGTTGCAAAATTTGAATCTTGGCACATAAGGTTTTCCAAGTTACCTTTCTTCATCCTGGAGGATGGTATCAAAATAATCTATGTTGATTTTTAAGAAATCCATTTGGGCCTGTTTTAGTTTTTCTCTTATTATTTCTTCCTAAGTTGATAAGAAGTACAAATATTCCAATTTTAATGTTTTGTATTATGTTTCACTATAAGTTAAATATAAGTTAAATGTTTCGCTATATGTTAAAATAAAAAACATTTATATTTTTCATACATTTTAATCCAAAGCCTTTTTATAAAGGTATATTTATTATTTTATTTAATTTTAGGTAATTTATTTATTCCTGAGGGTGGTTAGATTTAAGGCTTATTCCCTTATATTATTTCAAAATTTAAATAGTTAATTAACTAAATAAAATTAGTTATTTCCTCAAAAATATGTCTTTATATAAGTTTCTATATAAAATAAATAGTAGGTTAATCTTAAGATACACTAATTAAGATAATATCTTAATAATCTTAAGATAAAAATACACTAATTAAAATTACACAACTAAAAAATGTTAGTCTCAACATTTAATATATTTGAAATGGACAGAATTAATTTTTAAAATATAATATTTTTTGTGGCGCCATTTTGTAGTGACTAATACACGCCACCTGTCGGCTAATCTAAGAAACATGTGAGTCTTGTGGCGTAGGTCATCTAAATGACTACAGAGGTCGCTGCTTTAGAAATCAGCTGACTTTCTGTACTATCCAACACTAATTCTCCTACCAACACTCACTCCGGAATCTTTGTACGGCTGCCGGCCAAAATAACATTGTTAAATAATGATGCAACAAACAAAACACATGGTGGGTACGACAAACTTTAATAACTTGGATTCAATTCATCTCTTTTGTCATTCATAGTTTCAGCCCATGCTGATTGGCTTGCGGACATTGGCGACACGCGGGGTGACCACAACCACAGCGGCGGCGCCCGCCAAAATTGAAAAAAGTGCGTAGTTGCCGGTGCGTTGTCGTAAAATAATCCTAACAATTTACTCAATGCTCACAGCTGTAAACACCGTAACCATTTTGGGGCGCGTCGGGGCCGATCCTCAACTGCGGGGATCCCAGGAGCATCCGGTGGTCACGTTCTCCGTCGCCACCCACACCAACTACAAGTAAGTACGAGCCACTGTGCGTGTGTGCGTGCTCCGGAGCATGTGTTCGCAATTGAACTTGAATCTTCGAAATCCCCAAGGAGGACCACAGCTGCAGCCACAAAAGTAGCTTCAACTAAAAAAATATAAAGGTTTTGTTTCCATGACTAGCTTACAAAATATTCAACAGTATATAAACTAGAAAACAAACATACATATTTTCTAAACGTATGATTTTGTCGCCCTTAGATACGAGAACGGGGACTGGGCTCAGCGCACAGACTGGCATCGCGTGGTGGTTTTCAAGCCAAACCTGCGCGACACCGTACTTGAATACCTGAAGAAGGGACAGCGAACCATGGTGCAGGGCAAGATCACCTACGGAGAAATAACTGACCTGCAAGGAAACCAGAAGACCAGCACCAGCATCATAGCCGACGATGTGCTCTTCTTCCGCGACGCCAACAACTAGTACATAAGCAAAAAAGACCATACCTAATCTTAAGAGAAACGTTTAACTTGAAGCATTGTTTGCATTTAGGTGTTCAAAGAAATATTTTGTCGGATTAAAGGCGTAGATACTTTGAACATGGTTTCCTGGTCTTTGGCTTTGGAAGTAAAGCGGCGAGTAAAAGCTTTTCTTCGCGCTTTGAGATGTCTGCAAATTCGGTTTTCAGTCCCACGATTTGGACGTGCAAGAGATTTATCTGCTTCTCCATTGTATCCAAAGTGCGATTGTGGAAGTCCATGATCTTGCCAATCTGCCAGATTTTTCATCAATAATAAGTCTGAAGAATTTATTTACAACATACCACATTAATGGGCACGAGTTTCTCCGACATTTCGTTGTTGTACACCTCGATTTCCTCCCTGAGCGTGTTGCACTGGTCAGCAGACTTTTCGGTGGACATCAGTAGTCTCAGCAGATCAGTGTAGGTGGCTCGGACCATAGGGTCTACTCTGGACTGCTTCTGTTCTGGCACATTTACGCAGGAGCGCTCCAATATGGCTACCTTATCTTCTGCCTGGATCAACAGATCATCGTTCTCATTAAGATCCGTTTCCAACTTGAAAAGGGTACCATTTATAGTTTTCAGGAACTGGTCCACGGTGACAAGCTGCCAGTTATATCAGATAACTCCCTGTTTCTCCCAATGTTAAATTCCATTAATCACTCACATTATTGGCGTTCGAGAAGCAGAGCTTTTCTTGGTCCCTGATGAACTCCATCTTGATCCTGAACTCGTTTTCGAGTTCCTCGGTTTCCCTAATTAAAATATCAGCCAGTAGGTTCATGTTATGGAATGACGCCGGGTCCTTGCTAGTTGATTCACCCATAATTTCGGAATTTATTAATATGTATTGAATGCTTTGTGTTTTGTACTCTATTTGAAGTCTGTTCGAATGATAAGCTATTTAAAAATTTATTTCGTTTGCATACTAGATTCAACTTTATGTTTTTGAAACTTTCTTATCTAAAGTAGAGTCAAATAGCCAAATAGCCAGCCAGTAATGAAATCAACGCATTTTTTAAAGATTTAACGGGCTGAGGGGTCCGTCATAACCGATTGATGTCATTCATGTACCAAGACTGGAGCCCAACCGAGAGCTGACAGAGCCACCAGTTCTCTCCACACATATGAGCTTGGAACGACCTTATCGCTGTCTGCGGGTGTGTGAGTGGTACTACGGGTGTATGTGGCTCCGCGGACGGTTCGATTTCTCGGTGAGCGGCCCAGTTCGCAGTTAGCTTTTTGCCAGTTCAAATGCTAGCGCCGGTTGGAAGAGTTGAGTGCTGATCGAGCGCAAATCCGCGACTTGTTTTGTCATTTCTCCACTTTCGCGAGTGAACTATCTGTGCCTGCTCCGCTCCCAGGAAGATGAAACTTGCCTAAAGCCAGGATCATAAGAAACTTACAGCTTCATTGAATTCAAGTGGAATATATTGGAAAATAGACCAGTATGGCAGTGGATTATGTTTTGGAGGACCTCATGGGCAAACTGGGTAAGTCAGGGCTCGGAGTGGGGGTTGGGCCTGGGGCAGGGACCTGGCAAGGTCAGCTGCTACGTTACCAGGCGTCTCACTCCCGGCTGATAAGACTTATCACTTTGAGCAGTCTTATCAGCTGTGCTAACTTGCCCCAGGCCAGCTGCCATCGGGGGATAATGGATAATGTGCGTGAATATTTGATTTAGCCGCGGCAGCCATCTGCCCTGCACTCGGTTCTCTAATTATTTGCTGTGTTCTAAACCTCCGTCTAATCTGAGAGTCAAGTGCTCAAAGAAGCCGCCTCCAATAATGTTTTAATTACAACGATTTTGCTTTCGCACCATTTCGAATTTAATAATTTCCCAAGGCCGCGCCGAGTGATAGACATGTATGACAGCTTGATAGAGTCTGCGACCTGTTGCTCTCGCGTGGATTAAGTACACTGCGACAAGTGGAGACGGAGATCGGCTACGATTCAGGTGAATGTTTGCGAGAGTCGTGCTTCAGCTGCTTTTGTGGAGCCTTCTTGGCCAAGTTTCGCAGAGAGCGGCTAATAAGCAAGCAAACACGTATAAAACGTGGGCCCTGTCACAAGACCCCGAAGTGGGCCTGTCATAAAGATATAGGGATCGACCTGATTTATGGTGCAGTCTGATTCTGCGGCTTAGCTTGAGGGGGGTACACAATAAACCCTGGTTATAGCTCTATGCAAAACAATTAGTAACGAGTCCGGGAATCCGGCGGAAGCTCACTTGCTTAAAACGTAAACTATTTATTTACGACCTTCGCTTAGAGCTTTAATGACAAATGTTTGCTTTTATTGTACAGTTATTATCTTTGGGCTACTGTATACGCCTAGCTCTGTTGACAGAATATCAAGATTTTAATAACTAATTATTATCTTATTTTAATAATCTTGGGGACTGGAAACGGGTTATTCAGTTAGCAGAGGCGAGTGAAAAGACCGCGGAGAAGTGAAAGACCCAAGGGAGAAGGGTGTAATGAACGCATTAGCGGCTTTATTTAATCATAATACGTATTATTTATATATTCACTCCCTCACGTGTCTGTGTGTTCGATGCAAAAAACTGAAACTGGTTTGTGGAGCTCCACACTCGACAGCCCCGAGCACATAACGCTCTTCTGGTCCGCATTTGTATTTATTTGGCTGAAGGCCTTTTTTGGGTGGGCAGGCTGCTCTAATTACTCGGGCTCGGAGGCGTGTTATAGTGCTGAAATCGTGACTTTCTGGCCACAGAAAGGTTGCTGGTTACAAAGTTACAATGACTTTGGAAGCACTTCCCTCCACATGGCGTGTGCGAAGCTTAGAACCGATTTCAAACGACCTTTAATTGTCTGCAAATGAGGGAAGCGAAAACATTGGAACCACAAAATACAAAACACATAACACAAAACACGTATATGTGCTGAACAAAGAAGCGCTGATGGAGGGAAACTATAAGCCAGCGGATGGAAACCATGATCTGCCTCAACTCTGAGCCCCACTGAACTCATGGAAAGCCACTCTAATCAGTATGCGAAAACCTACTTAGTTCCCTTTTCTTGAGCGTAATAATTCATAATCTCCTGGGGCTATAAACCCACTTGTTTGGTTTTAATTAAATGTTCGATCGGAAATTATCAGGTACTGCTGGTAACGATCGATAGTATCTGTCGCATCACCTTATCAGGTCTGTTTATCAGCGCCAGTGCTTGTCCAGCAAACAAACCTCTAAGCGGACTGTATATTTTTAGTATGCAAGCAAATAAGCCATGTAAAAATACATCGGACTAGTAAACTACTAAACAGAACCGCAAACTGCGAAGTCCCAACAACAAATGTCCCGTTCGAGGGCCACTTGGTAACAACAACGGGCCTACTTTTTTCGGTTGCAATAAATCCGGCACTACAACCGGGCCTGATATACGATTCAGTTGTTAGTGGCCTTCTATAATCCGTTATGATTTCCCGCCCAGAATTTACTGTTAGTATTCCCGGGTGGGTTATCACGGTACCCGCTTATCGACCTGCCGCCCAGCCTTTTGGCCATTAAACGCTGATTATGCCCCGAATTGGGGTAGCTCGCATTCGCTAATTGAATTTAATTAGAGATTGAGACAAATTTTGAAAAGTTTATAATTTTTAATTGAGATTGCGACATGAAGTTACACCCTCCATGACATAATACTCGTTACACCCGGCCCAGTCGAAATTCTCAGACAAGTTACTCACGAGTGGACGCCTCTGGGGGAATGTAACTTTCTAGTGGATGGCTGGAGCTTCGTTTAAACGATCAATAAACGTAACCCACAAATCAATTGAAGCGGCTGATTGAACATTGGACCGCTCATGTGTCGAATTCTGGTATCTAGGCTACGAACTGTCCGGCCCGATAGAAACTTACACAGCCCCCGGACCGATCGCGGGGTCTGGCAAAGTCATAATCGATTCAATGCACTCGATTCCCGCTCAAAACTCAAACTAAAACAAACCACACCACACCAAACCGCGATGTGGGCAAATATTTGATGGGCCATTCGTATGCGATTCAATTGAAATCGAATTGAATAAATTCCACTTGATTTAATTGCAAGCCTCGCGCAGTGACGACAATGCCAGCGACACCCGTAAAGGTCCCATCTACATAAAGTCGGGTGTTTCTTCGATTAGATCTATCACTGGAGCTTTTATGGGCGCTGCCTCTGATTCGGATAATTGCCCCACGAGTGCTTCGAGTATCCGATGGCGGTTGGCAAAGGGAGTTCATTTTATAGAGACATTTTCAGGGAATTAAACAGCTCTCATATTTTGCTAATTACAACATGAATTTTGAAGCCGAGTTCCTACTAATTTAAACCTCTTTTTTATTTCACACCTTAAGGGGAGTTCGGAAAGTACCAGTTCCTGCAGTTCTTCCTACAGGTGCTGTCCGCCCTGACCGCCGGCTTGCACATGCTCTCCCTGGTGACGGTGGCGGCCGTTCCGGACCACCGCTGCTTCATCGAGGGCCTGGACAACAGCAGCTTCTCTAGGGGTCCCTGGAACTCCAGCGACATTTTGGCAGCCATTCCGTTGAAGCCCAACGGTGACCTGGACTCGTGCCACATGTTCGACCCCGCAGCACCGGGCGCCAACTCCACCATTCCCTGCACCAGCTACGTATACGACACGACGTACTACAAGACCTCCCGCACCATCGACTGGAACTTCGTGTGCGACCGCCGCTGGATGGGGGCCATTGTCCAGACCGTGTTCATGCTGGGCGTCTTCACGGGAGCAGTGACGCTGGGTGGCCTCGCCGACAAGGTGGGCCGCAAGACCGTCTTTTGCTGGTCGGCTCTTTTCCAGTTGATCATTGGCGTGGGTCTGGCCTTCATTCCCGAGTACTTCTCCTTCATGGCGGCGCGCTACTTGCTCGGCATTGTGGGGTCCGCAGGAGCTTACATCTGTGGCTTTGTGCTCACCATGGAGCTGGTTGGTCCCAGCAAGCGTACGGTGTGCGGCATTACCTTTCAGGTACGTTTGGAAATAATCATTAGTCCACAACGTATACCAATAACGTAACTCATTTCTAGGCCGTCTTTGCTGGAGGCATCATGCTGGTAGCCGGTTGGGGAGCTCTCATCCACGACCGCCAGTGGCTGCAGGTGGTCTACGGCCTGCACGGCTGCCTGTTCTTGGGCCACTGGTGGTGGCTGGACGAATCTCCGCGCTGGCTGTGGATGCAGGGCCGAGCTGCCGAGGCCGTGGACATTGTGGCGAAGGGCCTCAGGATCAACGGATCGGGCATTCCCGTGGACAAGGAGTACTACGTGCAGAAGGCCAAGCAGCAGGCTGCCGTTGAAGAGAAGTCCAGTGCCGGACTGAGCGATCTCTTTCGGACGCCCAATCTCCGGATGAAGACCCTGAACGTGTGCCTCTGCTGGTTTGCCAACTCCCTGGTGTACTACGGCCTGTCGTTGAGCGCCGGAAAGCTGTACGGTAATCCGTACCTTATTCTGTTCATCCTGGGCCTGGTCGAGTTCCCTAGCTACATCACCATTGTGTTCGTCCTGGATCGCCTGGGTCGCCGGTCGATCACCTCAACCCTGATGCTGGGCGGCGGGCTGTGCTGCATCGTGGCCGCCTACATCGCCCAGGGCAGCAACACCTCCACGGCCGTGGTGATGGCTGGAAAGCTGCTCATCGCCGGGTCCTTCGCCGTCATTTACAACTACTCGGCGGAACTATTTCCCACCGTGGTCCGCAACTCGGCCATGGGCTTGGGATCGATGTGCGCCCGTCTGTCGGGAGCTCTGACTCCTCTCATCACACTCCTCGATTCCTTCGACCCGAAGATCCCGGCTGTTCTGTTCGGAGTGGTGGCATTGGCTTCCGGTTTCTGGGTCATGTTCCTGCCGGAGACAATGAACCAGCCTATGCCGGAGTCCATTGAGGACGGCGAGAACTTCGGCAAGGGCGACACCTGGTTCAGTCAGTGCGCCGGTCGAAAACAGCGCCAGGACAGCGTCTATCCGGAGGACCCCGAGCAGATGGTGCCGCTCAAGACGATCGAGAGCAAGTGAGCCCAAGGCCAAAGCAGTTCACATTCCTTGTTACCCTGTTGTTTGTTTTTAAGCGATCTACTCCCCTGTCTAGTAGTAAGTTTCAGAATTTCAGAATTCTAAGCACTTTCCGAGTAAATAAAGTAAGTTTAAAATTTAACTACAACTGCATACTTTTAGGCAGTTGGGAAAATTTCCACTCAGATTTCATTAAGATTTTATTTCAATATATATCTTGAAATAACGCTCTTAGAAACATTTTAAAAATTGCAACTACTAACATTCGTATTCGATACCTTTCACCACTAACTAAGGTCAGTTGTATGACGAAGATTTAGCCCACAGGGTGTGGAATATTCGGAGTAGGATTCTGTTATGGATTATGTATTTGTTCCTCAAACTTTTGACAAACGGTTCCACACACTTCCATCAATTTTTGGAGAGCTCTGGTTTAATATAAAAGATTTAAGTAGTATTTCAAAAGGATTTTTGCAATCCTTATGCCTTTTTGTTCGCCTTTACCAAATTAAAAATCCTTTAATAGTTGCCTCTACCTTGTAAAAGGATCTAAACACCAGAGCCGAGCACCATGTGCCAGCTAACGAAACTTTCCCCAATTAAAGTTGAGTCCTTAAAGTGCAGTCCAGCCAGCTGAGGCAACGAATTGCGCCGGCCTTGGAAAGTTTTCAGTAATTTCCACTCGATTGCGCTATCGAATTGCCAATTGTCGGCAGGGATTTCCAATGTCAAATCCATAACCCTGTGGCTCCCACCAGACCAGAGGGAACCGCCCACCAGACTTCCCACCCACACGTCAATTAAAGTTGTTTGTAAAGAGTTTGTTGTGGTTTTTCTGTTTTTGTTTCGTTTTTAGTTTTTAGTTTTGGATTTGATTTGTGTTTTTGGTACATTTGAGAACATTCACTTTGAATTTGAATATATTTTTAATTAAAGTTTAACTACATTTAGCATATACATTTATATACGAGTGTACTTCGACATCTGATGCGATACCGCCGCACCGTTCGCTGGCTTAGAATTACATTAACATTTACATAGATATAGCTTTGGGGTTTATATCTGGGAGTTCGTATCGCGGTTCGCTGGAGGCGCCCTGGCAGCGGTCGTCCATCGAAGGTACACAGAGATATAGCGATATCGTTAGCAGGTAGTCCCGTCTGGGTTAACATCGATATTCTTACACAAAACACACTCAAATCGAGAGATAAAACACATCTAGATCCGGTTGCTAGCTCAAGAACTTATTGAATGTCGATGAAGCCGAATGGGGTAAATGCTACGCTCGAAAGGAGGGTGGGTTCGGGTTCCAGGTCGGGGTTTGGAGTTCAACTGCCTAGCATTACAAACATATTCGTTGGAACGTCGCTAAATGATAGTGTAAAATTGAATCACAATTGAATCGGAAAATATTTACAAAAAATACTCAATCACCGCCCACTCCTGCCACGGAGCTACAAGTAGAGTCCCCACCAACCCCTTTCGTTTGAATAACAACTCAAGTTTCATGTTTCCAGCTTCAGCAATAGCTCAGCAATTGGGTCGTGATGATTATGCCCGCTCCGGGCACTTGGTCTGGACAATCGGTGTCTTGGCCGGGACCCCGGGACCCGAGGCGGGACCGCCCTCCGGCAGCATGGCCGTGTGAACGATGATCGCCGGCTGGTCCTCGCTCTGCGGGTGCAGTTCGTGCGACTCGCCGGGCGTCAGGCTGGCCAGGGCCGCCAGCAGGTCGTGGTTGACAAGAGGTTCGCCCTCCTCCCGCGGCTCCCAGCCGGCCGGCGGGGAGGCGGGCGGCGAGATGAGGAACTGTTTAACCGGTGCCGGCGGCTGCAGGTTCTTGTTGCTGACCGGAGTCACCGGCTGGGCGAAGTAGCAGGTGATCACCGTCCTCTTGTTGAACTCGTACTGGTGCAGCTTGATCCGCGCATTGGCCGCAGCAATGGCATTGTCGTAGTTCACGCGCATCCGGCGGAAGCTGCGGAGCCAGTGGAACGTCGCCGAGTCGCTGAACGTGCGGAAGAGCTCCTCCATCGCACTCTTCAGTTCCGGGTTGGTGAACACCTCCGAGTGGATGTTGGTGACGATGATCGAGGTGGGCAGGTCGTCGAACGAGTCCGCGTCGACCTCGGGCTCCGTCTCGCTGTCCACATCGCCCTCCGGCGGCAGCGTCGGGTGCTGGCTGGGCAGGCCGTCGGCGGCGTTGATGTAGATGTCCTGGTCCGGGGACAGCTTGTCTATGCTCCCGCCCCCGCTGCTGTTCTGCGTGGACTTTAGTTTGTTGCTGCTCTTGCCGCTGTTATTGTTGTTGTGGTTGCTGCGCGGCGTGGCTGGATCTCCAGCGGCGGAAGCGTTGTTGTTGGACTTTGCCGCGTCGGACATGGCTGTCTGGAAAAAAAACACAAAACTGTTAGTTCTCCTTAGGCACAATTCGAAAAGAAACCAGTGAGTCTTCAAAGGCTTGAAAAGCGTGGGAAGCGAGCCTCCTGGCTGACCTATTTGCGAGAATGCGAGGAGCTATTATTACCGCCGGCACACGGTTTATAATTATAGCGTTGTAGGCCAACAGTTTACAGTAATTGGAATCAACAAGTCGGTGACATGTTCTATAAATAAAACTGCCAGCTAGCCGACCTTCACGACCAAATAGTCCCCAAAAAGCGCCGAAAACCGGGTCCCTGGAAGTTAATTCCCTTTCACATTTTTCGTCAATGCCCCTGGGTGTTGGGTAAACATCGGCGACCCGAAGGTTGGCAAAAGTCCCCGTTTACATAACACATTTGTAACGAATTTGAAGCGCCACGCCAGGACAATAAAAACTGCAAGCTTCCTCGGCAAACAACAAACCCAGAAACTACAGACGGGTCTGGCTGCGGAAAGGAGTCAGGCCGGGAGGACGAAGGACCTAACTATCGACACGTGAAGCTAATCAATAGGGCTGCCGGGTGGAGGCGCGGAAGGGGCTCCTTCGCTGGTGACGCACTGTTGATTCACAACAGAGTGCTTGATTTTATTGTTATGCCTGGCGGGATCCGCGGCGGGCAGGAGGCCCAGACCGGTGATTAATAGTGGCGAATTTTTTGTGAATGAACGGATGAATGGAGGACTGGCGCCGCGCTGCTGGCGTCAGAACAGGAGTAGTGACGTGTGTCTGCCTTGGCACCTGCGACCGCCACGAAACCCATTCCCAGGCTCAGTGTGTTTTATTACAATAATTGCCATGTGGAAGGGAAGACGAAGCATAGTTCTGCCCGGGCGCCCATTTGTATGCCATAAAAATAGCATTCTCCCGGCGTTTTATTGTGGCCCATGAATCAGCAATATGCACTGAGTTAATTACACGCTGCCGCCCCCGGGGAGTGAGCTCTATTAGCCAAATGCAGATTGTTTATGGGGTGGATGGGGCTAGCAGTTTCTAAAGTTTTCATGGCTCCCGTTGTTTGGCAATTAACTAATATGGTACTGTTTGTTTTCATAGACTGGCATACTCTTATTTGGTAAAGCTTTCAAAGGTTCAATTTGAGTAAAACCCGCCAGCAATGTACCTAGCTTGATGTTTATCCAATTTAATCGCCCACTTTCCAGGAGCGACCTCTGCTGGAGTGAATCGCTTTTTAATTTAATTAAATGGCGAGTCTCACTCGTGATAACCCGTCGCAGATAAACGGCTTATGCATTCGGAAGTCCTGTGAGAAGGACCCTGCGAGAGGACGACGGGTCCTACGCGTGCCAGACGCGGCTTCCCGCCAATTGCGGGGCTGGCTGCTATTTTCACTTTCCCTTTTACGGCCGCGCTTACTTTCTGTTGACTTTCTTTCACCTAGCAGCGCCAAGTCAAGCGTACCAACAATAAAAAACAAAGGCTACAACGTACAACGCTACAATCCACGACCACGACGAGTTGATCTATTTCCGGATGATTGATTTCCTCGAAAGGAGCCTCCCACACTGCCTTGACGGCGGCGGAGCAGTCAAGATTGGGTGCCAAACGAGGGGAGACACCTCCATGACGTGAGTGCTTTGTTTTCCGAGGGGCGCCTGATCCCTGTCTCCCATCCGGCAACTGCAAGTCAGCATAAACGAGCTGCTGGCATGCAAATCGCTGGCCCCGTCGTGACGTCACCGTTCCTCCTGCACGCAATCCCCAGGAAGGTCCTGAGAAAGCGGCCAGAAGGGGCGCACTTTAAACTAGACAAAGTAGCTCTTAGCCCCGCCCCGTTTTATGGGCGGCAGGGGCGCTGTGGTTTCGACATGATGATGAATTGCCTGCCGGTCGTTAGCCAGCGACCTTCACTCATTCATAATTGCTGTCATCATTATATCAAGTGGTCGCCGCCAGGACGAGCGGACGGATCCTCCTGCCTTCTCCCCGAGCATCCATTCATCCATCCATTCAGATTTGGGCGAGGGGCTGGGCCTGCTGGCTGTAAGTAGTCTGCGTGCAGGCATCTCAAAGGAGGGCAGAAGCTCTTAAAGTTCCTTCTGGAAATTGGTCAATTGTTTGTTTCCTAGACCTCGTGGGGAGAAGGGCGCACCGTAGCTTATCCATTAAAGCCTTAAATGCACAGTTTCAGACTAAACTGCAAATAAATCAGTGCGGTGTTTATGAAGGTTATAGAACTGGGTATAAAATTTTGGATAGCGATAGCTTTTACTCTCCTATCTGAAGATCAAAAGCAATCTTACCCCATTTAAGGCTGTTAAAGATATTGCTTATTGCGATAAAAGATAGATACAAAACCTATGGCCATAAGTGGCTTTATCTTTTCCATGATTTACTGATTCCTATTGAAATTACCCTAAACTATTTTTAGATCTTTCATCAAGAATTCATCTTCAAGAATAACTCCATCTGGGTACTACCATGATACCATAACTTTCAGATAGACTTTCAGACATTTCGTTCTGTTTTTAGTCCGTTAACATCCAGTGTTGTAAAGCGTAAAGGGATTTGATAGACAAATTTTAAAATATATTTAACCTTTACTGTGTGTAATTTTTAGTGGAGCCTGGCTTTGGTATACCATAGATTAAAATGAAAATATTGGATAAGCTATTTACCAACTCCAAAATTATATAAAAAGTATAATTTATTTTAGCATTTCGAATTCAAATAAAGCCACAGTAAGCACTAGTGATTTGGTGAAATGTCAAACTTCAAATCCCTGAAAAGGTTCACTCTGTTGTTTTTATATAATCTGTAATAATTAACAATGCAAATACTTGGATTAAACTGGTATCCAACAAAAAAATTATATGCCTAACAAAGGGGTACAAATAAACTAGAACTTCATTGAAAATATTTTATTATTAAACAAATTTAATCACCGTCAAATTTCATCAAAGTTTCATCAATTAAAATCAGCTTTGAAATCTAAAGTGATTTAGCTGCAGTACCAAAGGAAAGTTATTTCCCCGACGGATTGTGATATTTATTAACGCAGTTTAATCCCAAATTCAACACTCCTTGGGAATCAATCCAATAAAAGTGATTTTTCATTACAGATTTGAGCAAAAACACTGCAAGATTGTCGGCTCAAAGCAGTTTTTGAAAATCCCCAAAACAAGAGTGCCCCGAAGTGAAATTGAAGCGAATTTTGATTGGAAGGGTTTTATGTAGCTCCCCTGTATGTGATTTTTCATACAAGGAGAAACAAAACCCTAGTCACTGCTCAAGGGTTAAAAACACACTGGTTAGCCAACAATGTTTCGCTCACATCCTGTCCTATGTTAAAATTTGTCGGCGGACCACCCACCAGCCTTACCTTACCTTACTACTTTACCACCCTAGCATACCTTTCAGCTACTTTTCTCTTTAAAAAGCCTAGTGCAGCTTAGCCTAGTACTAAAATACTACGTATCTTATTGGGTGTTTAATTTAGTTTAAAACTGTTGCATAAGTTGCATAACAAGTACGCCCCTCATGTGAGGGCGAATGAGAACGTGCCACTGGCTGGGCCACCACCAGCAGCTGTACTACATAGGAGGAGTTAATCAGTTTTTGTGGCCTTATTTGCTCTGTCGCCCCGTTTTCGTGACAAAAGGCAAATCCCACGAGAGTGTTTTGCTCTCCTCGGAGTGTAATGCAGCTGATGCAGTTGCAATTGCATTTTATCCATTTCGATGCAAATGCAAATACGCTGGGGGAGATTAATTTGATTTTCCGCTGAAAGTTCAAACACGCCCAGGGACAGGGTTCTTCCCCGAGCCGGGATGTGTGTGCGATTGATGTGTCCAATATGTAAAGTGTGTGTATCGTTTGGAATTTAATTAAGCTGCTCGCTTCGAGGCTGCTGGCTCGGCTCAAAGCATTTTTCAGGCATTCGTTGCCGTAGCGCCTTGCGGTTGCCCTGGAACCCGCTCATATTTGATCCTGCGCCTGCAACTGTCGTTTCAGGTTGCCACATGTCACATGTTGCTGCAATCCGAGGTCCTGGGACACCGCGCTCCTCCCCCACCTACCCGATAATGGCAGCCAAAGGTCAGGGGGCGGTCAGGCCTTTCAGCCAGTGGCTATATATGTAGGTATAAGGCTGCATTACGAACTTCTTTGGAAGTTCCCGTGAAACGTGGCTGAAACTTAAGCCGTTGCCCTGGCTCTCGTGGAGGAAATTAATTGAATCCAAATTAGTTGGGAACTTTCTTTTGTTCGACGCTCCCGGTTCCTGGCGCTGTGTTGTCGGCGAATTGTAAGCCGAGCACAGCATCCTCGATAGAAATTTAAATACACACACGCGGCCTGCTCCGCCACTTGTCGGCGGCCAAAGTATGCTATGCTTCCCCCACACGAGTGGGCCTCTGCGACGCACATGCCTCCGTAATTGAGCTCCTGATAAAGCCAACTCTGCCTACGCACTGCCTGCTGTGGTCTGATAATTACTGCCAAAGGTGAAACGTTCACCAAAAGCCATCTCCGCAAGGGCGGAGGTTTGGGGGCTTGTGGGAGGCGGGTGGGCGGCTGCAAATGCCACTGAGTGGCAACTCATTGATTGGTCATGCAGCATGTGCACTGCGGCTGGGAGTCCGGCTGCAAATCATGCACTGAGTACAAATAGTCGAAACTGAAAGGACAGCCATGCCCGGAGAGAAACAATAGCTTTCTAACCCACTCGAGGGGGCGTATGCCCTTTAGGCCTACACTAGTTTTAACTTTAAACTTTAAACTTTGAAGTCCTGCAACCATGTTGCAAAACAAGCAACCCTTTTGTTTTGCAACGCACTGTACCTTTGCAATTCAGATTCCGCTCAGTAATTGAATAGAAAACTGTGGGTTGGCTTTGCAGACTCATTGAACGTAATCCCCCCATTCAGGGGCCAGTCGAAAGCTAATGATACAGTCACCGGGGACGTCGCTGGTAATATCGGATTAGGCAGAGTCCGAGTTGATACTGTGGCCTCTGTGGGCTGTGGGCTGTCGGCGGAGCAATCAGAGCGGGGCTGGCCGAATTCACCTTTGGCATTGCATGGCGATGTCGGGCTCTCGTAATTACACGACACTTCCAGGCATGAACTGCTAATTAAATCATTCGCACACCGATGGGCACAGCAGCCGGGCCACAACAGGCTTGCAAACAAAATGTTTTCGCAAAATATGAGAGATGGCTGGGCATACAATTCGGCAGTTCGGGCCAGAGAATTCCTGGCATTTCCACTGACCTTCAATCGAAATTGTAAATTCTTCCCACAACCACCACCCACACACACACTCCCACAAATGTGTCAAAGTTCGCACTCGCCCGGCCCACCCACTCGGCCCCGACTACTCTTACAAATTGGATTGTTATCACTCAAAGTCCTTCGGCGATTCGGAGGAGGCTCCCTCCGAACCAGCCCCTTTGTGGTAGCCTGTCACTTGCAACTGTGCGGAAGGCCCTCCATGTGCGAAGACGTATCTGTGTCTGTATCTGTGTCTGTGAGAGTGTCTTGTCAAAGCTGTGACACGAAATAGTTTGGCCAACTTTGCTATGCAAAAGCGATTTATATTAAGAGCCGGCCATCGCCGACACATGCTGCCACAAGTCAGTCGCTCGGAAGAAAAAGTACTTTGAATAATGATGGGATTTCGGGCGAACAGATCGAAGAACATTGTGTCCTCAGGTGGGACTGTCCGCAGAGAGGGACTTGGCCATAGTTCGAACCGGTTCGAGCCCGCTAGCTATCGTAAATCATGGCTATGGCTACGGTAGTCACTCCTTATCGCCGATATCCCCACTGACGCACCAGCGGCCGCCTCGACACAACCCCTTGGGCCCCGAAGAGATAACATTTAGCCACCGCCATTATCGCTAATTGAGGCGTTTACAGCCCGCGTATTCCTCAAGTCGCAGCGAGCGGCGTGGAATCGGAGCCCATCGACGCCGTTGCCAATCAGTCGGATGTGTTAAGTGAGTTTGGGCAGTGACGTCAGTGGAAGTGCAGCCACAGGGCCAGAGCCGCTGGAGGCAATTGACGAAAGACCTGGGGCTGGCCCGGGCCGGCCGCGGCCTGCACTCAATTCGTCAATTGGCCAGCCCAGGGAAGCACTCAGCGGCAGAGGCAACCAACATTATGGCCAGAAAACAAAACAATCGCAAACGCAAACAGAAATAGCATGAAATGGACAACAGAAGCGACAACGGCCGTGCCTTTCAGTTCGACTGGCGGCGGAAAGATGAGTTGCCTTTATTTTAAAGTCGTTTCTGCGTCAGCACGGTGCCCAATGAGGAAACGCTGCGTATACATAATTCTCCGGCCGAACACACACACGCACTGCCGCATCTGTCCGGCCCGCCGCCCGCAATCAGAACCACCAGACGAGTGATCTTTCCTTGAGTTTATACAGAAGCGGTTCGATTGGCTTGCTTACATGCCCCTCCAAGGGGCTATTACGGACGAGGGCTCCTCCGACGTGAGGTGAGCTCTGGTTCGTTCTTTGAAGACCTCTCTCATCAGAAAATCACTCTTTGGTTATCTGTATTCCCCTCTGAATATCTGTTATCTTTGCATTTATTAGTATTTTTAGACTCATTCAGCTCGCTTCTCCTTTAAGTAATCCCCAACCGATTTCCTCATATTCTGGCCAAAAGTGGGGAATCTAGGGAGAGTACATCTCTATATCCCATCTCGATATTGGCGTGTCCCTCTGTCTGGTTCTACCAAACCAGTCTTAAGCTCCTATTCTTTGCAGGCGGTATATATATAGGTCGGGACGGACGGTATTAACGTAGTTAACGTATCCTGTAATTAACGAACTTTTGGAAATGAATGGATTCTATCATTAGTCAACCGACGCTGTCCCCCAAATTTCATCAGAATCGACCTAAACCGACCATATTAGTGAGTAATCGGAGATCCCACAGCACTCACTATTGTTCAGATAGAAGCTAAAGACTTCTTATGCCCTTTCAGAGGGAATCTTGATTCTATAGAACCAAGGATCTTGATTAATTTTGAAGTTGTTGTTTACAAACTCTGAACACATCCTTGAACGTATACTAGTACTATGTACACAACCTACACACTACACAACCTACTATATACTAGTACTATGTCCTGTAGCAGTCATGATAAAGAGGCTTTTTTTAATATTCGTTTGTGAGATATTGAGTTTTATCCAAAATTCCCCATTAGAATATGCCAACTAAATTTGATATTTCCAATATATACCATTCAACTGCCAAGGTCTAAAGCCCCCGACCAAGTTGGCATCCCTCTCCTTGTTCAGAACGTGATTTATCAACAAAGCTAGATCTTTGCAATCAGCCGGACCCTTGAGGTGTTGTATTTTGGGAATTTTCTGTTTTTAACAACTCAGATTACCTATGAATGCGAAATGACAGTGATAGGGTTATCTTTCGAACTTGAAAGTTGCTCATAATTTAAAACAATTCAGAGTGTAATACACACTCTTTAAATCGCACACACTTACATATTTAATTGATATAATTTCAATGCTGGCGCTTGGGATCGGCCTCCAACTTTTAATGGATCGCCAAGTTAACAAACGCTTTTCCGCGAAACTCGCGACAGCTGCTGTTTGGGCCCCAAAGCTCTATCTTAGCAATTGGTACTGTCCGCCGATTCTTTCCTGGCCTTTCGAGGCGGCTTTAAAAGATTTGCAGGGGGATTGGACGTGGGACTGCGCGGCAACCTGGGAACGAAATCTGTCGTCGCCACAGACGCGGGGGCGGCGCCTAGGGTCCTTAGCTCCGCTCGGGTATTTCTGGCCAGGGGGAGGGACGGCGCTGCGTAAAGGTCGCTATGCAAAGCCAAGGTCGAGCTTTACAGCCAGGTCATTGTGTTGCTGGCACTAGGGAAACGCCCACACCCTCGCCATCGCCCGCGCCCCTTGTCAACTAGCCGGGTAAAAAATAGAATCAAATATATATAACCGACAGAGAGGAGAAAAACAACAATGCACGAATTTATTTGCATTTCTGAATTTATTGCTTTCGGGTTCTTTTTCTGCTCGGGGCCTGCTTGGGGAATTCGGGAGCCGGGCATGGGACTGGGATGGGGATCTGCCAGGGGCTTCTACTGTTGCTCAAAGCAATTAAAATTAGAAAAAGGACAACAAAGTAACCGCAGCAGTGGCAACAAAGCGGCGCACTGGCCCTCTCCAATACATACGTACGGGTACGTCTTCATCTTCCTGCCGAAGGACTCGGCACGTTTAAAATTCAGGCAGCAACCGCAGGGCGAAGGCGGCTTTCGGAGAACAGAAGCGTTCGGCAATTACATTCTGCGCAAATATTTTTCAAAGAACCACTTTTTCCGCAAGAAAGTGGAGAAAATAAATTACTTTGCAAGGAACTTTTTGTTTCCGGAACACCCCTTCCTCATAGGGAATACACAATGGAAGACGAAACACACTTGTTTATCAAAAACTGGTCTTACATAAATGCACACTTTCGTCGGTCCACGTCGCTGGCTGGAAAGGCATGCGATAACAATAACCTTGTCCACTGCGTGGTAGGTGTTGGGGCCACAAACTGTCAGTCACGGTCACGGCCGCCCACCCCTTCAGAGTCCGGTCGCAGCTGATGGCCCTGGGAGGGAAAATTCAATAACAGCAACACGAAGAAAACAACTATTCCGCATCCCCGCTGACACCCACGCGCGCAGGAGTCACAGGAGCGGTGGCAAGAACAGCTGCCACAGGACCAAAGGGGTGGCGGGGCAGTAACTGTACGGCGGATCTTAAAACACAAGCCTTCGAGAGGCAGTCAGACTCGCCGACACCAGATTACGCTTTCGTGGGGAATCACATGAATCATTGGGGATTTTAATATTGCCCTGAGGGTTTCCCCTAAACAGAAGGGGATTCTGTAGATTTTTATAAGATTGTGGATTTATCGCCATTTTAAATAGAGAGAGTTGTTCCTTGTATTTGAAAACAGAAAGATCTCGAAAGGGCAGCTTCGGTAGCCACTTCTGGAAGAGCATCTCCATAATGAACAGATTGCCATTACTGTCGGGAAAACAAACGAGCAGTGGGCGGCACAATGGGTGTGTTGACGGTAACCTTGTGCTCCTCGTAATGAGGATGTGATAAAAACAATCCTCGCAGCGGCTTCCCCCGTAATGTTTATAAACAAAGCAGAGTAGCTGGGAAGCGCCAGCGAAGCATCCAAGGGGTGGCTTTTTCACAGACGCCGCGGCACCACCACCCCCCAATCGGCACTAAAAACAAACAGCCCTCGAACAGCAACAACTTGCACGTAAAAGTCAGCTGCTGCGGCGGCCATATTACATAAGCTGCTCTTGCCAGACTGCAAACTGCATAGAGGTGGTATGCGAGTGGACCAGAGTCTCCCAACGGACTTACCGTCTAGAAAAAACTATTCAGTGACGTAATTTCCGAATTCTGCTCTAATTGTTGTTGCTGCGGCTGATCCTATGGTGTGGGACGTTACTGTTGGCCTGCTATGATTGCTCCTCAATGCACAACTGGAACTTTCGAGAGCCGCACTCTTTTGATTTGTTATTCGGCTGTCATCCAGAATTCTGCGTCAGTTTTGATTCTGCGTCATTCGCGGGGGCGCGTAATCTTGCCGACACAACCGCTCGCGACGAATTTTTATTTTTAAAGGGAGCAGTTTTGTTTTGTGGAGGTGATACAGATCAGTGTTGCCAGATGCCAATTGGTATAATCCGTACAACTATCGGCTGTCCGGAAAATCAACTAAAAAATCCCGATTCTAGAAATTTATCGACACATCGTGTTGAAAAAGAACAGTGGAACTGAAACACATTTTACAACAATATTCAAGAAAACCCGGAAATAGAAACGCAACTCAAAAATAAAATTTAATTTTGGTATTAAAATCGGACAAATACAATCGAAGAAACTTTTTCAAACTGGGACGAGAATTTGTGGCAACGTGAAAAAAACCGCAGTTCAAAAATGTGGCGGCTCAAATTTTCAAGGATGCAGTGGTGTTAGAAAACGACTGAAGCACGACAAATGTACAGGGGGACTAGAGCAAGCAAATAACACAGGGCGACTAGGGCCACAATTGTTTCCAAACATTCTCAAAAGCGGTCACACTGTAAAGTAAATCCGTCTCGCTCGTTGCTGCTCGCCTTTATTTCCGTAAAAAAGGCCAAAAATGTGGAAAATAATTGAAAAACTGTCGTGAAAAGTGTGTCCGAATATAGAGTGCAGTGTCTGGCAATGAAATCACATCGAATTTGCAGCTCAAAACTGCCAAAAAGTGTAAAAATCGGTTGCAAACCTGATTTGTGAAGAAGAAGAGGGCATTTTTTCATCGTCGTAAAACACGTACATACAGACACTCACACACATACACGCACATGTGCGCAACTATATATGTATATACGAAACGCGCGGGCGCGAGAGCGGGACAAAGCGAGGGAGAGCGGCGAATGTGAAAGCCAAAGCAAAAACCAAGAAACAAGTGAACGAAAATAAAAACGAAAATCGCAATTCTCTCTTGCACCCCTGTGTTTATTGTGGAAAACACTAGTGTTTTCGTGTTTTTGTGCCGTTTTTCGTGTTGTTATAGTGCAAAATGTGCCCCCAGTGCGGATTATCGGTATCGGTAGTGTTTGTGGGCTGAGTGACAAATGCAACCCCCGAATCTGAGGCTGAATCTGGATATTTGCTCGACAAAAGGTAATTAAAAGATCGTGCGATAAAAGGCGTCGCCGGCTGCGCCGATGAGTCAATCTGCCGTGAATATATATGTGTGTACATGGCAGATATTGATTCGGAATGCACCCGGAGCCGGAGCCGGAGATACTTTACCTAATCATGTACACAGTATATTTACACGTTCGCACACATCATCACATACACTTCTTCATACCTCATTTCCATATCCCCACATTCGTAGTTGAACTAACCCTTGTAGACTAGACCTCTAGACAGTAGTTTTAGATTGTTGTTTTAGCCAGAAATCGACGCCAGCAGCAAGTGTCGTTAATTATTCACTCGATAATGCAAATTAGGCTGCACAACCAATACTGTTAGTTTATGGCCCACGCTGAGATTGCCATCTACAGTGCGGCCTCACTGGTATTGGTATTTGAAAAAAAAAAACACCAATAAGAAAGCTGGTAGCACGATTTGAACAGCAGCCCAAAAGACGCTCCACTGTAGTTTATTGCCAGCGGAGATTTCCATTATTTACCACCCGTAAATCGAACGGTAAATGACGGGCCAGCCACTCCCACACCGACACAATAATAAGACAGCATCGATAAATAAAATCTAATGTGTAGCCAGTTAATTGCTTTTGTTGTCGCCTCGTTCTAAATCAGATTCAGCCGCTCTCCCGCTCTCGCTCTCGCTGGCGCTCACATGGCCAAGAGTGTTTGTGTGACTAGAGTTGTTGTTGTTTGCTTAGTTTCTGGCGCTGCGGCTGCTGCTGCTGTGTTGAAACTTTTAATAAATTATACAATAAAATGAAAAACGATCACAGCAGCAGCCAAATCGATTGCCGTCCCTGATGCTGCCCTCTTCGAAACCGATGCTGCGATGATGAATAATTACAAAACAAATATTTTTATACATAGGCTGCTACAACTTTTTGGCTGCTTTTGTTTTTATTGTTATTTTTGTTGCCATCGAAAGGCGAATTGAGAGTCTTGCAGTGTGCGTGTGTTGGTGGGAAACTACGCGCCAAATAACATTGAGGCGCAAAATGAGTAATTGCGCATATTAAAATTCGCCTTTCAAAACTCGGCCCATTTGACGGGAAACCACTGAGCCGTAAGCTAATGTGCGAGATCTTGAATGGGAAGTGGGAATGGCAATGCGAATGGGATGCGAATGCGAATCCGAATGCAATGGAATAAAAGGCAAATGCATTTTCACGCTCGAACAGGCTTCGCAACTCATCAAACGACCGAAATAATCCGTACAATAACATATGTATCTTTTATCTCAACCTATGACATACCATAAGAAAATGACCTTATTTGCATCTAAGGTCTTCCAGCCCAGTCCTCGCTCCGGGGCGCTTTCGATAAATATTGAAATGTTTTCGAAAACTATTGTTGTTTACACTCGAAAAACACCCCCAAAAACTACTTAAATAGCGTTCCCTGTTCCCTGTGTTAGTCTTACATATTTGCTCTGCCCAACCAAAATATTAGTTTGTATTGTTAGCAGTCAACGGTACTTACAGTATTTACTCTGCGATGCGTATGAATACAGAGTGAAGTCGGGCAGGGGGAGGGGGAGGGGGAGGCTGAGGCTGTGCAGCAGCTGCCAACTGGGTTGCCTTATTTTACTTTACAAACCACCACCACTGCACCACCGCCACCACCACCACCACCACCACCACCAACACCACGAAACAGATGTCCACGCTCGCACACACGCAAATTGGCGAGTGTTGCCGCTGCTGGTTCGTGTTTCGTGGCAAATTGGACATCGAAATTGCGAGCTGCGAACTGCGAACTGAGCTCTCAATGCTCATTCATGGTACGAAGATATCCGAACTACTTTGCACCCACACACACGCACCTTGGGCGAATTATTGGCGCGCACATTTTTCATTTTTCACCTTTAGCTGCTGCGTGTTTTGATTTACGAAGACCCATACAAACAAACGCCCCCGCGTGGGCTCTCTGGCGCTTGGGGCTCTCTCGCGTTCTTCTCCCAGCTGCTCTTATTTGTTGCTTCACTTGCTTTCTCTCCGCTCTCTTGTCGCCTTGTCGTTTCGAGGCATTTTTGCATAATTTCATACGAATTTACATATTTTATGGGCGACTTTGATTTTTCTCAACTTGTCAATCGTGTTTGTAAGTAAATACAGCCCAGGGGACACAAATGTGGAGCTATAGCGTTACAGTTCTTATTTGAGTTAGTATTTCATACCAGTTGGATAATTAACCAAAACTGGTTATCGAATAATTGTAATAATTTAATATAAAGTGTTGTGTTACTACTGTCTTGGACGCGAGTGTTCATCTGTCAATCTTTCTGTCGGTATGCAGATAGTTGTCTATTCGGTGGCTGTGAGGTTACCTGCCTTCGCATCTCTCTCTCCTCATTCGCACCCTCCGCCCACTGCCTCCCTCTGACAATCTCTGGCCGCTCTCGCGTGCTTGACTTTAATCTTCTCAATTACTCGCAATTTGCAAGTTTTGTGCGCGGTTCGGCTCTTTGGCGGTTATTGGCATGCTGTGCGAACGAGATGGCTGTACCATGGGACGGGAGAGCAGTGGGTGGAGAGAGAGAGGCAGCGGACTAGCACCCATAATTGTGCGGCTCGAGCCCAAGAAAGAGCGAGTAATTAGGTGTCACTTTTAATCAATTAACCAATTAAAACCCAAATTTCCCAATTATCTGTTCTTGTATGTTAATATAAGGACTACAATGGTTAAAGGAGGGATTTAATCGATTTATGAGTAGGGCTTTACAGACCCCTCACTATATTTCAGTGACTATAAGCACGTCATTTATTACCAGTTACGTAATTAGTCTAATGCAGAGCCCGAACTTTTGTTCAGTGGCATATCCCGGTCCATTTTGGCCCATTCTTCGCGTACGTTTCTGTTTTGGGTTTGCGCTTGTTTTGATTTCTTAATCTTTTCACCATAATTGATGGCAATTAAGTAAAAGGTTTGTGAGTGCCCGCGTTTCTCGTTCTCTCGCCTCTCACCTCTCATCTCTCTCCCCATACCCCACACCCCACACCCCACACCGCGCTCTACACACCCGTCGTTTTGTTCGTCGTGTTTACTCGGCTGTCTGTCGATTTCGAGATGATGACGATGCATTCGAGTTTTGAATTGGCCAGGCCAGTTTTATCCGTATCTGGCGGATTGTTTGGTTTTACTGGAATCAGGTCTGACCCTTTTGAGGCCCTCTTGTAGCGCCGTACCTTCTTGGGTGTTATTTTCAAAAGGCTTTCGGATGATTTGTTTTCGAAAGTCATTTCAAAAAGGCTATTCATCATTTATTATCTTGAAGGGTTCCCACAATTTTTACGAATAATAAACCCTCCAATATCTGAAATTTATCGTGTGTTTCTGATTCAAATTAAAATATTTATTCCTGCAGTGCCATTCATTGGGCGGCACATAATTAAAGCGATTTAGTTAATTGATGTCAACACACAGCGTAGTCGGCATTCTGCGGCTGTCTGCGCTTTTCCGAGAGTGGGTATGGTACGTTTTGTATCTCCCAGATACACAGATACGTTTGGTGTGCAATTTGTTGGCGAGTGTTTTGTGATTGTTTCTTGCCTGTCGGTCGGCTCCCCCCCTGCGCCCCACCCGCCCTTGTCGTCGCACCGCTGGGGTATTAAATTGTTGACAATTGTTTTGAGCTTGAGAGAATTAACCTTTAGTTTGTTATGTCATGTTATTTGCCCAGCGCTTTGTGTTAGCTACCACACAGCCACTAATATTGTTTTGCTTTAAAACGGCTAAAATGTAAGTCAGATTCGTGAAATAGATCGATAGTCATAAATCGATCTTTTTTTAAAAATAGGAATTTTAAAAAAAGATTACCATTAAAAGCATTTACATACATGTTTATGTAAACATTTGTGTTTGGAAGATACGACCTCCCAGGCAGCACGTTATGAAGCCACAAATCACTTGTATCTTTCGTAGATTAAATCGCCATAATCGCACTCAAGTGGCTTTAGCACCCCATCAACCATCAGGTCTCCATCGATTCCGAATGCAAATCACCCATATTCATGTGCATATTCAGTGTTTAATTCGCGGCAAAGCGACTCCGCGGCAATTAGTGTAATCGCTGTGCAAATACGGAGGAGTGTTGTCCAATTAAGCCCGGCTCATTCCCAGTATTAGTCCCAGCCTCAGTCCCGTGCTTACATCATGCCATTAACATCAGAAACAGAAACAGAAACAAAAACCAAAGCAAAGACGATATAAAATAAAAACGAAAACGAGGAAAATCGACAAATAAAATCACAAATCGCAAACAACTGGAGACTGGGACAGGCTGAGTTACAGTGGGTGACAGTCGCAAAATGCGGGATACATTTTGTATCTCGAAGACTTTCTGGTTATCAAACGCCATAAATAAAAGATTAGATATCTATAGATAGATTGGAATAGAATAGAATATCTATAGATTATTAAAGACTCCAATATCTGATGAAATATATTTAGGTATAGACCTTAGGTATAGGGATATACCAGAAACATATTTTTTTTTTTTATCAAAAAGTGCCTTAATAAGTTCCACTGTGAGGCAGGCTGGCTTGCATATGTGTGCAACTAAATTAACTTGCTGGGAGCATTGCAGTTGCAGTACAGTTGACAAGATTGACTAACTAACGAGGCAGGCAGCCGAGTAAACCGGGTAAACTAACTGCTGCCAAACACCTTCGAGTGGAAACAAGAGGCGCAACGGAAAACAATTACGCCGCACTACTGACTCATGCCGATGTCGGCTTGGGGGGGTGGCTGTTGGGAGGGCGGGGGTAAATGGAAAGCGCCAAAAACTCGAAAGTATTTTCACCTCATTCCTGCCATTTAAGCACATGCTATGCACACACACTATCTGCGAGCAGAGGCGTCGGAAAGGGGTGTACTAAGCTAAAGACTAACTAAGGCTCGCAAAGGGTGCTCTAATGTCCACACCAAACAAATCGTTATGTTCAAGTAGCCTTTATTAGATATGTAAATAAGCAAACCCCTCACAAAGTCCTGCGACGTCCCTGCACTCACCACTCACTGCACACTCATTCACAAACACATGCATAATCACCGCACCGTCACCCACACAAACATTGGCACACACGCTCAAACACTCGAAAAGTCAACTTTCAACTTGTTTGCCCAACTGCGACGAAGCGAACTAATAAATTTCTACTTTGTTTTTTCCCACCCGTCCGCCCCCTCCCTTGGATACACCACCACCTCAACCCCATCTCCAACCACCCCCCAATTATTTTTGCAGATTCAAGACGCAGACTTTGGTGCAGCTGTGTGCGTGAAGGAGTGTGGTGGAATGGCAATGATGTAGACCACCACAAGACGAACCTGATGATGAGCCGGTGATGGGGATAATGATGATATAATGATAATGATCCTGATGTGGGATAGCAACAGCAACAGCAAAAGCAAAAGCAACAGCAACAACAAGAACAAAATCAAAATCAACTGCAGATGAGAGAAAAGTTAGCGCGAAAGTACAGCTATGTGGAAAACTGTGAATTCGTCGAGCAGAAACTCCCAACGCAGAAAAACTAAACGCGCAAAAAGAAGAATTTTCATCAGGCCATAAACGCGAGCAGAGAACAAAGGAAAACTGTCGTAAAAAGAGGCAGCGGCAGGAAAACCCACCACTTAATAGTGGCCCACAGCACAGCAGCAACAACAACTGTAAGAATTTCCATTTCCAGCAAACAAAAAACTCAAAACTGAAACTGCGAGAAAAAAACAAAGGCAATACCAACAAGAGCAACAACAACAACAGGGCAAAACGAGAAAATCCTGCAAAGAAAAGAAAAAGAAAAAGTTCAAGTCTGAAGTAGAAAAACCACTTAAAACGTCGATGACAAGCGACCCGCGCGGCAGTGGGTGCGAGTAGGATAGAAGGTGGCCAAGAGAGACGGCACAATCGGGGCATGAGAGCCTGGCTCGAAAGGAGTCTGTGAGAGCGAGCTCGTGCTACGAGCGCGAGTTTAAGGAGCAGTTGTTTTGCTTCATTTTTTTTGTTTTCTTCGCTAACTGCACACATTTAGTGGTAGGAACGTGGTGGTGTGACGGTCAGAGCAGACTTTTTAGCTTGTTTTTAATTCGGAGTTTTGTTTTTGAATTTTAGAGCTAACAATTACAAAATTACCAGACGAAAGTTACCAGAAACGGATAGGTTATGCAAAGCTGCAAAACTCAAAAAATACTCTCCTTAAGTTAATAAAATTAATGAGTATTGTCTCTTAATTTAACTTGTTTTCACTCAAAAAATTATAGGTATTTTGAAAAAAAACTTTAATTAAAAGATACAATCAAAGGATTTAAATAATACAACTTCATCTCCGATTAGGTAGATTGATATTCTAGCCTTTTCTTGAGTTACTTTCGGTACCTTTTTTAGCCAATTAACCGCCACATATGTCACCACTATATGCGTCTCTGTTTACGGTCACGCAAGACGTGGCAGAGGAAGGAGCGGAACAAAGGCAGCTGCAATTGCACCTTTAATATGGCTCGGTCCTTGCTCAGGAGGGAAAGAGAGCCAAGACAGGTAAACAGAGAGTGGGGGACGGAGAACAGAAGGAGAAAGAGCGCGTTCAGCCGGGAGAGAGCAACAAAGCCTTGCTTGTCGCATTGGCCTTTGTAGTTGTAATTCGCTGTTCAAGGAGCGCGCAACGAGAAGCGCGCAAAAAATAACACACGAGACCAAAGAGAGTGCCAGAAGTGAGTGGGGACACAGATGGGGTCAGGGGCGTAGTGGGCAGTGAGTGAAGAAGGAGCGAAAATAAACGAGTTGCCCCAGCAACAACAACGAGATCCCACAAAAAAGGGGGAAAAATTGACGCATTCCAAAAAGCATTGCTTGCGCCGTGAGTGTTGCTGTGTTGGTGTTGGTGTTGTTGTGTTTTTGTCGTTACTTTGGCTAATACCGGTCTTTACGTTAGCCTCTTACTTACCCTCTCTCTTATATTGATACATTATAGTGGCAAAGAGTCGAGAAAAGCAACTGCTAACCGAAATCCAAACGTAAATCGAACAAAAAAAGGAAACTACAAATCAAAAGCGAGCAAATGCAAACGCAAAGGCAAACGCAAAGTCAAACAAACAATGGGTCGCTCCAAGTTTCCCGGCAAACCCTCGAAGTCGATCAACCGCAAGCGGATCAGTGTCCTTCAGCTGGAGGATGATCAGCCGCAGCAACAGCCGGAAACGCAGCCGGAACCCCAACCGGACACCCAGCAGCAGCAGCAGCAAACAAACTCTGGATCCGGTTCCGGGTCCTTGACTGCGCGGGAAAAGGGGAACAATTGTGATAAAGATGAGGACGACAATGCCCCGGGCGGGGCCTCCTCCACAGGCGGAAACAACGCCTCATCCTCCTCTGGATCCAGTTCGGCAGGAACTGGAAACGGGAGCAGCTCTGCCTCAGGATCTGGCTCGGGATCCACCAACGGAGGTAGTGTGAACGGCGCCAGTAGCCACAGGAATGCGGCTAATTCGGACAAAGAGCAGCCGGGGGAGTCCAAGGACGGGGACAAGGACAGAACAAAATCTGCCCCATCAGGAGCAGCGGCCTTGGGCGCATCCACTGCAAAATCTTTTAGAACATCTTCGGGATCGTCGGCTTCGGGAGCTACTTCCGAGAGCTCCGCCGGAGGAAAAGGCCCTAAACTACCAACTGGAACAGCCTCTGGAAGGTCGAGTGGAGCTGGCAGTTTAATTTCCATTGAAATATCTTCTGGAAAACAGTCGGAAGCCTCCTCCGCCGCATCCCCACGAGCCCTGGCAGGCCTGTCCCCCGGAGCATCGTCTGCCTCGTCGTCGGGACTGGCCTCTCCCGGAGGCTCCTCGTCAGGATCTTTTGCGTTGAATGCGGCACTACTGCGACACCGCAAAGGCAGCAACAAGAAGTTCAAGAACTTAAACCTGGCGAGGGGCGAGGTCATGCTGCCCTCCACTTCCAAGCTGAAGATGCAACAGCAGGAGCTGAACGGCCCGGCGGCGGCGGGAAGTGCCTCCAACTCGGCTCCTTCGCCCTCGTCAGCGGAGACAGCTAGTATGGGGACGGCGAATCCCTTTGCTGGAGAAGCGGGCGAAGATGCGGCCCTGGTAAGTTGATTTCCACCTTTCAGGTTGTCGGTGTTGTGGCCGGTTTGTTCCCAGGTGTTTCCCCTTTATTTTTCGCCTTATTTATGAATAACTTTAAGCTGCTTTCCCCCTCCCAGTGGTGCTGCAACTGATTTAAGTTGCGTGCACTGCACCCTTCGTACCCACCACACACCATCCACCATCCACCATCCTCCAATGCCACAGTCCGATTCCCGCAAATGTAAATAAAGAACCCCCTCAAGTTGGTTGCCTATAGTTCTGGTCTGAATGCCCTCTCGAGCTCCGCCCCACCCCACTGGACCCATTGTTACCTGGTCGCTTACCTGCTTAATTGGCTTTTATGACGTTTTAGCGCTTGCAACTCTGCCACATGTGTCTGCCGCTGTGGCGGAGCCGCTGGTGTCTGGGCCCCTGCTTATACCGATACTTATACTTATGCTTAGTAACTTGTTTTGCGCCACCAGTCCCTTCCCTCCCCGAGCTCCCCAACCCCGTGGCTCTCCCTTCGGACCAGAGGGCCCTTTCCAAAAGCTGCACTGGCTCCTGTTCCTTTGCATGCTTCTGCATTTTGCTTCTACACTTGAAGAAGAGACTGCTCCTATGGAATGTATTATATTTAACCACTTTACATTTTAATTTATTTTTTTAAGTTTATTAGTCATAAGGCTTAACTAACTAGCTACTTTCGTTCACTAACATTTGTAACTTAAGTCGGTTGTGGTTTACCTGCGGCTCCAATGCTGGTTTTCTTGGCGTTTTGTGAGCTTGTAGTTAGCGGCATGAATTATTGATTAGGTCGGAATCCCCCTCCCATGAAACCCACTGAACCCCTTTTTTGTGAACTCTTCCAGAAGCGCAGATTAGCCGACATGCCCAATGAAGCCGCCACCGAGACCGCTTCCACCAGCTCCGGCTCGGCGGGAAACGAAGCGGCGGCGGGAGCGACTACTTCAGCGGGGGCTGGGTCGTTGGGATCAGCCGCCGGGAGTAGTCCCAAGCCGGGACAGGCAGCAGCGGCGACAGCGTCGGGGTCAGGACCTGCCAAGCAGAAGAAGACGGTGACCTTCAGGAACGTTCTGGAAACGAGCGACGACAAGTCGGTGATAAAGCGGTTCTACAACCCCGACAACCGTATTCCCCTCGTCTCGATCATGAAGAAGGACTCCCTCAACCGGCCGCTGAACTACTCCCGCGGTGGCGAGTGCATCGTGCGACCGTCCATCCTGTCCAAGATACTCAACAAGAACTCCAACATCGACAAGCTCAACTCGCTCAAATTTCGTTCGGTGCCGTCAAGTGCTGCCAAGAGCTCCGAGTCCCCAAATGTCTTTGGCCTGTCCAGAGCTTTCGGGGCTCCCATGGACGAGGATGAGGAGAAGTCTGGTGGAGTAACCTTTCGACGGAACGACTCGCCGTCTGGTCAGATCAACGACGACGACGATGAAATGGATGAGGACGAGGACGAAGAGGAGAACAACCAGGATGAAGAGGAAAACGAGCTGGAGGACATGGATGAAGGCGTCTCCGAAAAGAGCGCTGAAACAGACAAGAACGGAGGGGAGTCTGAGGAACGAGACTCCGAGGAGAAGCAACTGGTCATGGACTCGCACTTTGTGCTGCCCAAGCGGAGCACCCGATCCTCGAGGATCATCAAGCCGAACAAAAGGTTGATCGAAGACGGGGCCATTAGCAAGAAGCCAGCGCCCAGTCCCAGCGACTCCAAACCCAAAAGCCTCTTTGGAGGTCCTGCTCCTCCCGCGTCCTCCACGTCAGCTGGCTTTAGCTCGTTCGGAAGCCTTAAACTAAATAGCAATACAAGTGGCAGTGGCAGTGGAAGTGCAAGCGGGAGCTTCGTGCTGCGCCAGCCAAGACTGCAGTTTCAGACGGACAGCAAACTGGGACCTTTTGGCGGAGTGGCTGCTTCTAAGAGCTCTTGTCCCACGTCGCCCAGTGCCATTCAAACGCCAGCTAGTTCGTTGGCGATGACTTCGTTTGGTACCCTGGCTACCTCCAGTTCCAGCCCAAGCCCCAGCCCTGCGGCAGGTGAGTAACTCCGTGAATATATCAAGAATGGTAGTAAATCTGATTGTGCATTTCAGGACCAGCTACGAGCAGCACTTGCTCTGTGTGCTCCACGTCGGTCAGCAGCAAGGAAGTAGCCCAGCCCCGTAAGTACGGGGTGGTGACCTGTGACGTCTGCCGAAAATTCATGTCGAAGATGACCAAGAAGTCCATATCGGCTAACTCGAGCAGTCCCAATGCAGCCGCCTCATCTGGTGGGCAGCAGCTCCTGCAGTGCAAGGGAGCCGAAGGTAGGGTCAAGTTTGTTTAAAGTGTGTTGCATCCAACTCATCATTGTTCCGTTTCGGTTTCAGGATCATCTTGCAGCATACAGTCGGCCAAAAGTCAGCTGAAGAACTTCAAGAAGCTCTACAAGGAACGCTGCACTGCATGCTGGCTAAAGAAGTGCATGCACTCGTTTCAGCTGCCAGCGGCTCATCGGAGTCGGTTGAGTGCCATTCTACCTGCGGGAATGCGGGTGGATGTCTCTTCCCGGGAGGGTAAGCCCTCAGAACTGTTGTCCCCCACCGGAAGCATACGGTTCACAGCCTCATCTGCTCCCAGTACATCTTCGGCGAGTGCGTCGGCGTCTGTGAAGTGGAAGTCGAGTGGCGACTCCTCGAGTGCCTTGGCCTCGATCAAGTCCAATCCTTTGGCGGAGAACAACGTGACCTTTGGCAGCACTCCACTGCTGCGTCCGGCTATCCTCGAGAAGCCCCTCTTTCTGAAGATCAGCAACGCAGCCGATCAGAAGCTGACAGCTAATGAAGCTGGCTGCCCCAGTCCTTCCAGAAAAGGCAAACAGGACAAGGAAAAGGAAAAGGAGAAAGAGAAAGAAAAGGTTAAGGACCAGGATGTGAACGACAAGCTACTCAGCCCCACGTCGTCGGCCTCTAAGAAAGGCGCCTCCGCAGAAAACGCAGTTCCAGAAGCTCAAAAAGAAGAACCAGCGCAGTCTTCTACAACAACCGTTAAAAGTGGTACCCCGAATGGGACTTCTCAGACCGCAAACCAAACAGAAGCCAGTGGAGATAGCAATCCCAACTCCAATGCTAATGGCACTTCAACTGGGGAGACCCTTAAACGCCAGAGGATTGACCTTAAGGGACCTCGGGTGAAGCACGTGTGCAGGAGTGCCTCCATAGTTCTGGGCCAACCGTTGGCTACCTTTGGCGAAGACCAGGAGGCGGAGGAAGAGGTTGAAGTGCAGAAGGAGGAAGTTGTACCTGTGCCATCAGAGAGTTCTGCTCAGAAACCAGATCCAATGGTTACTGATGAGAACGATAACTGCGCAAGTTGCCAGACCCATCCTGCGGATGGAGCCAGCGTCAAACAAGCTTCCACAAGTAACCAGGCAGAGGCAAAGAAGCTTACTCCAGCTGGCAAAGAGAATACCAGTGTGGCCAAAACAGAACCAGCGGCATCAAGCGCTCCTGCCAAAGTAGGAACCAGAAATACGGCAGTTGCTTCCAACATCAACGTGGTGGCCACCAAGAAGCAACGTAATGGGGACATCATAACCAGCAGCTCTGTGACGCAGACCTCCAGTCTATCGCAAGGAAGAAGAACCAAGGAACAGCGCCAGCAGCGCACGCTGATATCAATCGATTTCTGGGAGAACTACGATCCCGCAGAGGTGTGCCAAACAGGCTTCGGTCTGATTGTTACCGAAACAGTAGCCCAGAGGGCTTTGTGCTTCCTCTGTGGCTCGACGGGATTGGACCCTCTCATTTTTTGCGCCTGCTGCTGTGAACCGTACCACCAGTATTGTGTTCAGGACGAGTACAACCTGAAGCACAGCTCATTCGAGGAGACCACTCTGATGGGAAGTCTGCTGGAGACGTCAGTGACTGCCGCCAGTACCGGCGGGTCTGCTTCTTCCCTGAATCAGCTGACGCAGCGCCTGAACTGGCTGTGTCCGCGCTGCACCGTCTGCTACACCTGCAACATGTCCTCCGGTTCGAAGGTGAAGTGCCAAAAGTGCCAGAAGAACTACCACAGCACGTGTCTGGGCACCAGCAAGCGTCTGCTGGGAGCCGACCGTCCCCTGATCTGTGTGAACTGCCTCAAGTGCAAGTCCTGCTCGACGACAAAGGTCTCCAAGTTTGTGGGCAACCTTCCGATGTGTACGAACTGCTTCAAGTTGCGCAAGAAGGGAAACTTCTGCCCCATTTGCCAGAAGTGCTACGACGACAACGACTTCGATCTGAAGATGATGGAGTGCGGCGATTGCCGGCAGTGGGTGCATTCCAAGTGCGAGGGCCTCAGCGACGAGCAGTACAATCTGCTCAGCACGCTGCCGGAGTCCATTGAGTTCATATGCAAGAAGTGCGCCCGGAGGAACGAGAGTTCCAAAATAAAGGCGGAGGAATGGCGCCAGGCTGTGATGGAGGAGTTTAAGGTCAGCCTGTACAGTGTTCTGAAGCTGCTGAGCAAGTCGCGTCAGGCGTGTGCTCTTCTGAAGCTGAGTCCTCGCAAGAAAATGAGGTGCACCTGCGGAGCTGCCGGTAAACTGCAACCCAAGGCCCTGCAATTCAGCAGTGGATCGGATAACGGGCTGGGCAGCGATGGCGAATCTCAGAACAGCGACGATGTCTACGAGTTCAAGGAGCAGCAGCAGCGGAATGTGAACCAAAACAAATCTCGGGTGGTAAAATCCCTCCCCTGCTCCTGCCAACAACCGATCAGCCAGCCCCAATCCTTCAGCTTGGTGGACATTAAGCAGAAGATTGCCAACAACTCGTACGTGTCCTTGGCGGAGTTCAACTACGACATGAGCCGAGTGATACAGCAGAGCAATTGCGACGAGCTGGACATCGCCTACAAGGAGTTACTGAGCGAGCAGTTCCCGTGGTTCCAAAACGAGACGAAAGCCTGTACAGATGCCTTGGAGGAGGACATGTTCGAGTCCTGTGCAGGAGGCAACTACGAAGACCTGCAAGAGGGGGCTGGAGGATCTTCTGTTTACAACGATCACTCTACCTCGCAGGGAGAGTCCCGCTCCGGAGTGCTAGACATTCCAATCGAAGAGGTGGACGACCTGGGCAGCTGTGGAATCAAGATGCGGTTGGACTCGCGGGTCTGTCTGTTCTGCCGGAAGAGTGGCGAGGGCCTCTCCGGAGAGGAGGCGCGACTGCTGTACTGTGGCCACGATTGCTGGGTGCACACGAACTGCGCCATGTGGTCGGCAGAGGTGTTCGAGGAGATCGACGGCTCGCTGCAAAACGTCCACAGTGCGGTGGCAAGGGGAAGGATGATCAAGTGCACGGTGTGCGGCAATAGGGGTGCAACGGTGGGCTGCAATGTGAGGTCCTGCGGGGAGCACTATCATTATCCCTGCGCACGGAGCATCGAGTGCGCCTTTCTCACGGACAAGTCCATGTACTGTCCAGCGCATGCGAAAAACGGCAACGCCCTGAAGGCCAACGGTTCCGCCAGTGTCACCTACGAATCCAACTTCGAAGTGTCCCGTCCAGTTTACGTGGAGTTGGATAGGAAACGAAAGAAGCTGATAGAGCCGGTGCGCGTCCAATTCCATATTGGCTCCTTGGAGGTCCGACAGCTGGGCACTATAGTGCCCCGGTTCTCCGACTCTTACGAGGCGGTGGTGCCCATCAACTTCCTCTGCAGCCGCTTATACTGGTCCTCGAAAGAGCCCTGGAAAATAGTGGAGTACACAGTGCGCACGACTATCCAGAACAGCTTTTCCTCCACTTTGACTTCGTTGGACGTAGGCAGGAACTACACCGTGGACCACAGCAACCCGAATGGCAAGGAGGTGCAACTGGGACTCGCGCAAATCGCCCGATGGCACAGCACTTTGGCTAGGAGCGATCTCCTCGAAGGAAATGGAACCGATTGGACTGGCGAGTTCGCCAACCAGAACTCGTGTGTTCCTCCGGACGAGAACACGGAGGAGGAACCCCAACAGCAGGCCGACCTGCTGCCTCCCGAAATCAAAGACGCCATATTCGAAGATCTCCCCCACGAAATACTAGATGGCATTTCTATGCTGGACATATTCATGTACGATGACCTGGCCGACAAGAGCGATCTGTTTGCCATCAGCGAGCAGTCCAAGGATGGCACGCAGGCCATGACCTCCCATCAGGGCCAGAGCCAGCAGAACCAGCACGCGGGCGGAGGAAGCGTCAGCATCTGCGATGAGGACACACGGAACTCGAATACGAGCCTGGGTAACGGATGGCCGGCGAGCAATCCTGTGGAGGACGCCATGCTGTCTGCGGCTCGGAACTCTAGTCAGGTTCAGATGCTCAAAACCTTGGCCTGGCCGAAGTTGGACGGAAATTGTGCCATGGCCACGGCGATCAAGCGCAGGAAGCTCTCCAAAAACCTGGCAGAGGGTGTCATCCTCACTCTGAGCAGTCAACAGCGCAACAAGAAGGAGATGGCCACGGTAGCAGGCGTCTCCCGGAGGCAGTCCATCAGCGAGACATCCACGGAGGCCTCGAGCTCGAGCTCCGGAAGAAGCAAGAGCTTCACTTGGAGCGCTGCAAAGCGTTACTTCGAGAAGAGCGAAGGTCGCGAGGAGGCGGCAAAGATGCGGATCATGCAGATGGACGGCGTGGACGACTCGATCACCGAATTCCGCATCATCTCAGATGGTAACCTGTCCACAGCTCAGTTTACGGGCCAGTTGAAGTGCGAGAGATGCCAGTGCACGTACAGGAACTACGACGCCTTCCAGAGGCACTTGCCTGCCTGTGAGACCGCGATATCCACCAATGATTCCGAGTCGGAGGTCAACGCGACTGGCACAACCACAAATGCCGCTCAGTTGAGTGCGGAGAGCTTGAACGAGCTCCAGAAGCAACTCTTGGCCAATGCCGGAGGCTTGAACTACCTCCAAACTGCAGCTGCCACGACCTTCCCTCAGGTCCAAAGCCTGGGGTCACTGGGTCAGTTCGGCTTGCAGGGCCTGCAGCCCCTTCAACTGCAGCCGCAGTCTCTTGGCAACGGCTTCTTTCTCTCCCAGCCCAACCCGGCTCCCAGCCAATCAAACGGCACGGAGGAGCTGCAGATCTACGCTAACTCCCTGCAGAGCTTGGCCGCCAATCTCGGAGGAGGTTTCACTTTGGCTCAACCCACGGTGACGGCTGCGCCGCAGCCCCAATTGATAGCCGTGTCCACAAACCCCGATGGCACCCAGCAGTTCATCCAGATCCCCCAGACCACGGCGCCCACGGCCACTTATCAAACGCTACAGGCCACCAATACAGACAAGAAGATAGTGCTTCCCTTGTCGACGGCCGGGAAACCCCTGAAAACCGTGGCCACCAAGGCTGCGCAACAGGCAGCCGCCAAGCAGAAGCAGCTCAAGTCCGGACACCAAGTGAAGCCCATCCAAGCGAAGCTGCAGCCGCACCCCCAGCAGCAGGCGACGCAAGTGCAGCAGGCGACGCAAGTGCAGCAGGCGCAGCCCATCACAGTGATGGGCCAAAATCTCCTGCAGCCGCAGTTGCTCTTCCAGAGCAGCGCTCAGGCGCAGGCTCCTCAACTAATACTTCCTCAGACACAACCGCAGAACATCATCTCCTTTGTCACCGGAGACGGAAGCCAAGGACAGCCGCTGCAGTACATATCCATACCAACTGGAGGAGACTACAAGCCGCAGCCGCAACCCACGGCCACCCCTACTTTCCTGACTACGGCGGCTCCCGGAGCTGGAGCCACATTCCTACAAACGGACGCCAGTGGCAACCTTATGCTGACAACAGCTCCGACGAACTCTGGGCTTCAAATGCTGACAGCTGCCCCTCTGCAGTCACAACCCCAGGTGATCGGGACTCTCATTCAGCCCCAGACACTTCAGTTGAGCGGAGCGGCCGATGGCAGCCAGCCAGGAGCCAGCCAGCAGTCCCTCATTCTGGGAGGAACGTCTGGCGGTGGAACTACTGGCCTGGAGTTCGCCACTACGACGCCCCAGGTGATCCTGGCCACGCAACCGATGTACTACGGATTGGAGACCATTGTACAGAACACGGTGATGTCCTCGCAGCAGTTTGTGTCCACGGCCATGCCTGGAGTCTTAAGCCAGAACGCTAGTTTCTCGGCAACCACTACCCAGGTATTCCAGGCGAGCAAAATCGAACCTATTGTGGATCTGCCCGCCGGGTATGTGGTGCTCAACAATCCTACAGACGCGACAGGTGCTGGCACGTTCCTGAATGCAGCGAGTGTGCTTCAGCATCAGGCGCAGGATGATCTTCTGCAGAATGCCAACTTCCAGTTTCAGGCTGTGCCCTCCTCGTCCGGAGCCTCAACAGCTACGCTGGACTACTCGGCTCCGCTCGTCGTCACGGCTAAGATACCGCCTGTGACTCAGATGAAGCGAGCGAATAGCAATGCGGGTAAGGCGGGCGTGTCGGGGCTGAGCAAGGTGCCGCCGCAGGTGGTCAACAAGGTGCTGCCCACGAGCATTGCCACACAGCAGTCTCAGGTGCAGCTGAAGAACAATACTTCTGGGAACCTGAAGCATTCGGTGAAGGGCAAGGCGGTGTCTCAAACGGGGACCAACTGCGGAGCTCCCCCCAGCATTGCGTCGAAGCCACTGCAGAAGAAAACCAACATGATTCGGCCCATCCACAAGCTGGAGGTAAAGCCGAAGGTAATGAAGCCGGCGCCCAAGGTGCAGATCCAGAGCCAAACCACGTTGCACCAACAGCAGCAGCAGACCGTGTCACTCCCGCAGCCACCGGCCCCAAAGATCACAATAACCCAGCAAAGGACTCCTGTGCAGAGTCAGCCACAGCAGCCTCAGCCGACGCAGCTGCTGCAGATCTCCCAACCCCTCCAACAGCAGCCTCAGCCAGCGCCAGTGCCGCAGCCGCAGCCGCAGTTGCAAGTGCAGGTGCAGCCTTCGATGCCCATAATAACCATCGCTGAAGCTCCGGCTCTGCAGACGCAGTTCGTGATAGACCAGCAAGAGCTGGTGAATCAGCAGGAGTTGGTAAACCGAGTGCAGCACTTCGCCGGCAGCAGCACCAGCAACTCCCTGCCCACCAATGTGGTGAACCCTCTCCAGCAACAGGCTCCTCCCACGACGAACATCTCCACGACAAGGCCAACCAACAGGGTTTTGCCCATGCAGCAGCGCCAGGAGCCGAATCCGCCCACAATCGAGTGTCAGGTGATGCCGTCGCCCACGCCTCCAAAGCCCCTCGAGCAGCAGGTGATTCAGCAGATCACCAGCGCCATCGCCCCCAAGTGCTATATGCCGAAGACTGTGTCGCCCATTTACGAAGCGGAACTAAAAACCGTCACCGGGCTGGACAGCATTGTACCCTCCAACGCGGATTGCGAGATCATGGAGCAACCTGTCACCGAGTCCATCTACACAGAAGGGTTGTATGAGAAGCACTCGCCGTCGGACGCCAAAACAGAGCAGCTCATCATCCAACAACAGCAAAGGGAGCAGCTTACCCAGCTGGCCAACAACAGCTTCCTGCTCGAAAAGCACACATTTGAAGTGGATGCCATGGACACGGATTCTTACAGGGACGACGATCTGGAGGATGACGACGACGAGGAGGACGACTTCAGCCTGAAGATGGCAGCTTCGGTTGGAAACGACCACGAAATGTCGGACACTGAGGAGCCGGCCGTGAAGGACAAGATCAGCAAGATCCTGGATAATCTGACCAACGATGACTGCGCCGATTCGATAGCCACGGCAACCACTGCAGAGGTGGAGGCCAGCGCGGCAGGCTATCAGCAGATGGTGGAGGATGTTCTGGCGACCACGGTAGCTGCTTCGTCAGCTCCCACCGAGGAGTTTGAAGGCACTTTGGAAACCGCAGCGGTGGAAGCAGCCGCTAGTTACATTAACGAAATGGCGGAAGCCCATGTCCTTGAGATGAAACAACTGCAAAACGGTGTGGAGCTGGAACTGACCAGGAGAAAGGGTGACGCCCAGAAGCAGGAATCGGTCCCCAAGCAGGCAGTAGAAGCTCCAACGGCAGCTGCTCCGGAGCCACCACCGCCTGTTCGAGAACCCAAAAAGATCAGTGGACCCCACCTGCTGTACGAGATTCAAAGCGAAGACGGTTTCACCTACAAGTCGAGTTCGATTTCCGAGATATGGGAAAAGGTTTTCGAAGCCGTGCAGGTGGCCAGGCGGGCGCACGGTCTCACTCCCCTGCCGGAGGGACCTCTGGCGGACATGGGTGGCATCCAGATGATCGGACTGAAGACCAATGCCCTCAAATACCTAATCGAACAGCTGCCGGGAGTGGAAAAGTGCTCGAAGTACACGCCGAAGTACCACAAACGAAACGGTAATGTGTCCACGGCGGCAAACGCCGGACACGGAGGGAGCACGGGCGGCGGCAACGCATCCTTGGCCGCTGGCGGAGACCCCCAAGCGCTGCTCGACTATGGATCAGACCAGGATGAGCTGCAGGAGAACGCCTTCGAGTGTGCCCGCTGTGAGCCGTACTCCAGTCGCAGCGACTACGACATGTTCAGTTGGCTGGCCTCCAGACATCGAAAGCAGCCCATCCAGGTGTTTGTCCAGCCTTCGGATAGCGAACTGGTGCCCAGGTAGATTCTTTTTGGAATTATTCTAATTCTGGAATGTATACTTATTGAAAAACTATTTTGCAGACGAGGAACTGGCAGCAATCTTCCCATGGCCATGAAGTACCGCACCCTGAAGGAGACCTACAAGGATTACGTTGGGGTCTTCCGGTCGCACATCCACGGACGCGGACTCTACTGCACCAAGGACATTGAAGCAGGTAACATAAATCATCCTATAGAATTGGGAAAATTACTAAATCTTGAATATTTGAAGGGGAAATGGTCATTGAATATGCCGGAGAGTTGATTCGCTCCACGCTGACGGACAAGAGGGAGCGCTACTATGACAGTCGCGGTATTGGCTGCTACATGTTCAAGATTGACGACAACCTGGTTGTGGATGCAACCATGCGCGGCAATGCGGCCCGCTTTATCAATCACTCCTGTGAGGTGAGTGTTGAATAATAATAGAAATCTGTTGGAAAGTGTCTTTAAATATGTGTGTTTTCAGCCGAATTGCTACTCGAAAGTCGTGGATATCTTGGGCCACAAACACATCATAATCTTCGCACTGCGCCGGATCGTACAGGGCGAGGAGCTTACCTACGACTACAAATTCCCCTTCGAAGAGGAGAAGATACCCTGCTCATGTGGCTCCAAGCGTTGTCGGAAGTACTTAAATTAGTAAAGGAAGGCAGGAGAGGGATGGGCGCTGGGAGCTTCATCCATAAAGCATTGGGATGGCCTGGCTTTATCCATTGGGGTAGAAAGTGATATTGGGGTTATGCTGTGCAACTTTTCTTTGTATGTTTGCTGGTGCTCAAGTTATAGGTGTTTATAATAAGAGCTCATTTTAAAGCTGTATAGATATTTGTAGGCTTTTTATATTTGTCTTAAAATGTGATCCGTCTACCCTAAACAACTCTATTTGTCTAACTTGTATTTTAAAAACTTTTCTTTAAAGCCCATTTATAAAAACCTTTGTATAAAATTAAATCTTTTAGAGTAGAACGCAAAGTTGCTTTGTAACCCCAGATATAACTTTCCACTTTAGTGGCTTATTGCCCAATTTAGAAGAATATCCGAAGAATTAAGAATCACACACGGATTGTGAAATGAAACACTTGTAGTTAACGGTTATTTCGATCTGTTTTTGGTCAATCGTGATACTTTCGTTTTATACCCCAATACGTCTTAAGTAGTTGATATATAAGAGTTAAACAGTTGATATTATTCTATCTTATATCTTATATCTAAAGAGAAAGAAACAAAACAGCACATATTAGGCAACGAAAGCAAGCAGACTCCGAGAGATCGGACGGAAACAAACAGAAACTCGACGACGTCAGTATTCAGGGGGAGTAAAGTAATTGTATATTGAATATGTTACGTATTAGCTACTTACCACATACGGATAACGCAAATCAGTTAGCAACCTAGGCTAAGGCTCCACAGATTCTATACATAGCGGATAGCACCACACCTAAGCTGGAAGAGATAGCGACATTTGGGCTTAGGCGAGTGACAGATGTGAAACGATGGGAGACATTAAAAACGATTACTTACAGGGGCTTGTGTTAGAGTGTAAATATAATGCTTATGGATTACAATATCTATATTAAAATATTCTAAAGTAACGAGAAATTAACTAACCATAAGGTACTTGAGTTGTATAAGAGAAACTATTTTATGTAGAGGTCTGCGTATTTATGTTTGTTAACAATTAACCTACTGATTAATTGATTGAACTAAGAATAATACCCGCAAACCATTGCTAATACATATGAATATAAAATGAGAAAGCTTAACTGAGGAGAAGGAACGAAGCATCACCCTTGAAATTATTAAACCAACATAACTTATAATGTACGAACTAATTCGACCCTATGATTGTATATTTATTTTTTAAATCCTTGTTTTAAGCATGTACATGTAATTCCCTTGATTGGAGTGCAAGCATAACGATAACTTCTAACGCCTAACTTTTAGGTCAGCTCCCTTGTATTCTACTAGTTTACCGATATGTATCTTTATGTTACGCTTAAGTATTTGTCCAGAATTGTAAACCCACACCCATGTAGCAGGCAGGCAGTCAGGCGGTAGATGTATTCCTATCGGACTTGTACAGGCAAAGTTCCATAGCATTTTTGGCAGCCATTCAAGACGCGCGCACTTTTTGCACGCTGTCGAGGAATTTTATATTTTTATTCCCTAAAGAAAAAAGTTTAATAAACTACAAATTAAATTATAATGCAAGCCTTTTATTTAGTTGGTTCTGGCATGCAACAAGTATAAGGAAACTAATCAAAATATATAATCTAATCGGGTCTGTCGTGTTGCTGCCAGGCACGCCTGGGTCTCGCGCGCTCGCACTCCTGTCGCGGTTCATTACTTGCCTCAATCCGCTGCTTGGCATCCTGGGCAGCTCGGGCCGCATTAGTGGCAGCTTTCCTGGTCCTCTCGAAGTCCGTCCGTGCTTCGGCCAGTTGACGCATCAAGACACTCACTCGCCGCTGGGCCGCCTCCAGGAGAGCCGTTTTGTCGGCCAGGGATTGGGCCCAAACGCTGGATACCTGCTCACTGGTGTCCAGATACTCCTTTGCCAGCCTCAGACCCACAGATAGCATTTTTAGCTCCTGCTGAGCTTGGTGACTGGCCTTAGTGGCTAGCTGGGCATTGGTCTCGGCGGTAGCCAGTTCTTGGTTCTCCTCCTGCACCACCACCTCCGCCTCATGGACTTCGGCGTCCAGTTGGTCTAGAACTTGACCCTTCCCGGCCAAGACAGCTTCGGCGGCTTTGGCCGCAGCCGTGGCCTTGTCAGCATACTCGTTCTTGATTTTATCGGCCGCTATTTTCACGGCATTGGCCATGTCCTCGTTGGCCTTTTTGGCCTCATTTGCGGCCTGGATGGCTATCCCGGAGGCCCTTGCCTTGGCACCGGTTCCCGGCTTTGGCCTTTGCTGCTGCGTCTGGCAGTCCTTACCGTCTTGGGAGTGCTCCCCGTCCGCATCGCGCCTGGCCCCGGACCCTGCACCCACAAAGTTTGCCATCGGGCCTGGCTCGTATGGCTGCAAACGCTTTCGCCGGATTTCTAAACTTCGACCCGACGCGTTGGCCGCCAGAGCGACAAGCACAACGACAACGAGCCAGAACATGATCATAGGAGAGTCTATCCGCATTTTTTGTCGTAGTCTCGGACATTTTTCCGGCTGTCAGACATGTTGTGCCATGTGTCAATTCCGAAAACGTTCCAGAATATGATCTGTTGCCAGGCCATGTGCGTGTTCCTGTTGCTCAACATGGGCTGCCTGTCCAGGAGCTACTTCATTCACAAGGTTGGCGGTTGGTCGCGACCAGAATTGCTCTAATATTTTGATTCTTCTTGCAGGTGCAACTTAATCCGGATTTGGATGTGGCCGGTTTGTACGAAGCGTATAGAGAAAAGAAGGAGAGCGGTAGCTCGGCGGGAAGTGGAGGAGGAGGGGGCAGTGGTTGCGAAAAGCAGTGCGGCGCTGCTTTCTCCGAGAGTGATGCCAGGTCGAAGGCTTCTAGCATAGCCCAGAAGGCCGCCCAGGAGGCAAAGGCCGCAAACGATGCCCAAGTGGCCGCCGGCGAAGCTGCTTCCATGCAGGTGAAACTAGAGCTGGCCGACAGAGCCCTGCAAGCGGCTCGGGCGGCAGAGGCGGCTCTGGCCGGGAAGCAGCAGATTGTCGAGGCCCTGGAGCAGGAGCAGGGCGAGGCAGAGGCGGTAGTGAACGAAGTTAACAGGTCCTTGCACAGCACAGCGGCAAATGCCGAGGCCGCCGGAACGGCAGCCACCGATGCCAAGAATCAGTTGAACCAGTTACGACTCCTTTTCAATTCCGCATCGGATCAGCTCCGAAACATTGAGGCGATGGCGTCTGGGGCTCAGTCGGAGCTAGCCGAGAAGTCTCAGTTGTTGGAAGCTGCCAAAAAGCGTCTTGAGACCATATCGAGGCATCTGATCTCCGCTCGGACGGATTTCGACAAGACCAAGCAGGCGGCGTATAAAGCAGCCTGTGCTGCGGTGGAGGCCAAGCAGAAGGCATCGCGGACACGCCGTGGGAATAAGCCCTCGTCCTCATCTTCTAAAAACTAGGACCCTTGTATTATTGATGGATTAAATTATATATTTTATAAGTGGTCTTTGTTTTAATCTGTTTATTTGAAGAGTTTGCAAAATCTTTTTGCGAAAAAAAATAAACATCATAAATAATGATTATTTATAATTGAATAATCATAAATCAGAGATTAACTCTGAGAATAATAATTATTTTGTGTTTTTGTTAAAATAAAACTTATAATGATAACGGTCCCTGTTTTTTATTAAAAAACAAGAAAGGAAAGCTAACTTCGGACGAAGCCAAAGTTTATATACCCTTTGCAGTTGAAACCGGATATATATCGCAAACATCGGATATAGTTGGCCGATCTTTATGGGAATATGAATATATAATCCAATTTATTACAATACAAAATCTAAAAAAAATCCCAAACTACTATCTTAAAAAATACCAAAGTTGGTATTTCTACCAAAAACCATTTCCGATCGTTCAGTTTAATGGCAGCTATAAGATATAGTCGACCGATCGTTATGAAATTTGGTAGGTAGAAAATAGAATCTGTACCAAGTTCCAGCTTTCTATCTTTAAAAACACAAAAGTTGGGTCACTTTCGATCGTTCAGTTATATGGCAGCTATAGGATATAGTCGGCTTATGAAATTTGGAATGTCGTATTATTTTGCAAAATTAGCGCTTTGCTAAAAATAGTGTAAAGTTTGAATTCTCTAACTCTAAAAACACCATAGTTATACCATTTCCGATCAATCAGTTATATGACAGCTATAGGATATAGTCGGCCGATCCGGGCCGATCCGACTTAGAAGGGTGTGTGCAAAGTTTCAAGACGATAGCTTTAAAACTGAGAGGCTAGTTTGCGTAGAAACAGACAGACGGACAGACGGACATGCTTATATCAACTCAGGAGGTGATCCTGATCAAGAATATACATACATATATACTTTATATGGTCGGAGATGTCTCCTTCACTGCGTTGCACACTTTTGACCAAAATTATAATACACTCTGCAAGGGTATAAAAACAAAATTCAGAAAAACGGATTTCACACCAAAAAGTTAAAGCTTACGACTTTAAAGAAATAAAAACATATGAATATTAACAAATTTATTAAAGGAAACAAAATATTAAAGGAGTTTATTATTATTAAAGGAGACATCTCTGACTCAATAGAGTACTCAGTACTACTTATATATTCTTAATCAGCATCACATGAGTCGATAAACCCTTATTCTTCTGTCCGTCTGCGTGTTTTTACGCTAACTAACGCAGTCTTTCAGTTTTAAAGTTTTCTTTGCTTTTATAATACTGGCAGGGCCGTAGCTAGCATGGGGCAGGTGGGGCGGTGCCCCTAGGGCCCCCGAAGGAAAGGGGCCCCACCGGGGCAAAAGACTTCCGTATAGGAGGCCCCAAATTTACTTGTTGCACCAGGGCCCCCGAGGCTCTAGCTACGGCCCTGAATACTGCGTTTATTAGATCAGTCGGGATCGGTCGACCATATCCTATAGATGACATATAAATCGTTAAAATGACATATAACCTTGTTAATGACATTAGTTTTCTGTTTTTCAAGACAGAAGTTTGGATCTTTTTTTTTTTAAACTAAGACGGCTATAGTCATGTATTATACTCGGTACTCATCTCTTCCACCACACTTTAACAAACCTTTAAAATTTAAAGGTACGGATTCTCAGCAAAAAATTTTTGTTTAGTCTTTATACTATAAAGACTATATACTATATATATATACTATAAAGTTTATAGTATCTTATTGTCTTCGAGATCCACACGTTCAAAATTTTTATAAATATGGGTATATCTTTTCTAAAAATCGTCCGATTTTTAAAATTTGTTTTTCAGATATACATTAACTTTCAAAAAATATACATTAAGTTTTTCAAAAAACCTTCTTGTACTTGCTCTAAAAATGTCGCAATTTGTGGAGGCGGGAGGGGGCGTGGCAAAAATTTTGAAACAAACTTGAACTGCGTGGGCATATTAGGAGTCTCCAAATCCTATAGCTCTATCTCTTATAGTCCCATAGACATGGCTATTTACCTATGTATATCGAGTCGGCTGTTGATGCTGATCAAGAATATATTTATATACTTTATGGGGTCGGATATGATTCCTTCTCTATGTTGCATACATATGTTGCGACTACAATATACCCCTATACTCTACGAGTACCGCTTATAATAATTAAGTAAAAAATTAAATTACAAAAATTGTTTAAAAAGTTTTTAATAAAAACACTGAATTGAAAAACTCCAGACTTGTACCTAAACTCATCGAAAATTTAGAAAAGGTTGTTTCGACATTGCATAATGAGCAGGCTATTCGAATGGAGTTGGACCTGGATACTTTAAAATATTCCATCGGAATATGCCTGGCAAGAAAGCCCTGCTAATCGTTTTGCTGCTGTGGGTTGCACTGCCAAGATTGGAAAGCTACCATTACCGATCCGCCGAGCCGGTTGCCAAGCACTGTCTCTCAAGCTTGTACTCAGATCCTGGACCAGGAGCTGGAGGCGGAAGCGGTGGTGGCGGTGGCGGTAACGGATGTGGGGACAACAAGGACGCTGAAAAAATGGCAGGCAAAGTAAATTGCCAAGGTGCACTCAGCAGGGGCGACCCAAAGTCGAAGGCTTCAAACATTGCCCAGAAAGCGGCGCAGGAGGCGAAAGCGGCCAGCGATGCCCAAATGGCTGCAGCCGAGGCAGCAGCATCACAGGTCAAATCTGAGCTGGCCGCCAAGGCTGCTCAATCGGCGAGAGCAGCGGAGGCAGCATTGGCAGGAAAGCAACAGATTGTGGAGCAGCTTGGTCAGGAGATGACCGAGGCAGAGGTAATGTACCAAACATGACACATATGTATATGTTATTGATAGGTCCATTCCCAAGGCTGTGGTCACCGAAGTCACATCCTCGCTGCAAAACACCCAGACGAATGCCAACGCTGCCTCCGCCGCCGCACAGGAGGCCATGACCCAGCTAAATCAGCTGAAAAGCCTTGTGGTGGCTGCCAGCTCCAACCTGGCTAATATCGAGAATGTGGCTAGCGGAGCTCAGCAGGAATTGGCCGAGAAGACGCAACTGTTGGAGGCCGCAAAGCATCGAGTAGAGAACCTCCAGAAGCAAATGGCCGAAGCCCAACAGGACTTTGAAAAAACCAAGCAGGCGGCTTACAAGGCAGCCTGTGCGGCCGTGGAGGCCAAGCAAAAGGCTCAAAGATCGAGGAGGATGTCCGGCCGCCAGCGGTGGTCCCCCCGGAGCATCTGAAGCCAGTACTCTGGCGGAGTACAGTCTAAAATGTACATGTAGCAGTAGTCATGTCTCTTGTTTCTATATTTTGTTATATTTATTTTTAATCTAATTGATACACTTTTAATTAAAGGATTTTTACGTGAAAAAAACTGGTTTTATTTTAAAACTTATTAAAATTTATTTATCTATTTTCCACAATTTTTATTTCTATATTTTCAAAAATATACTTTCATACATTTACATCAGCGTAAAAGTAACCAAAGTGCATTCTTACCACTTAAAAAAATAACGTCTAAAAACTGAAAAAGATTTTACCCAATAATTTGTTTATGCATTATTTTGATTTTATTCATTAAAAATTATGAGTTTAGTCCTCATAAATAAAATTTCCCTCAACGTCAGGGTAGACAAACGCCTAAAAGTGCGCTATAAAATTTACCATAGGGAAATATATCGGCGGGCTGTCGCCCGATATATCGTTTAATATCTCATCACTATAAGAGTAGAAATGGAGCCACCATTATGATTTTCGCTCACCTCTAGAAAATTTTTGTGGCATTTTTAGAGTGGTGGCGTCGAATTGTTCACAATTAGTAGTAAATTAACAATAAAGAGAGGAAAACTAAAATGCTTAGCCGAAAGCGCCGGGCGAGCAGCATCTCCAGCCGGCAGGATGAGGATCCGCTGCAGTTGGACGACTCCACGCCGGAGCAGTCGCCGGTGCAGCAGACGACGACACAATCGGCGCGAAAAAAACGCCGCCTTGACCCCGCAGAGCTCTGTCAACAACTCTACGACTCCATACGAAACATTAAAAAGGAGGACGGGTCTATGCTGTGCGACACGTTTATCCGGGCTCCAAAGCGACGTCAAGAGCCCTCCTACTATGAAGTAGTAGAGAATCCTATTGATTTGCTGAAGGTGCAGCAAAAGCTGAAGACAGATTCCTACGACGATCTGGACGATTTGATGGCCGACTTGGCGTTGCTAATTGGTAACGCCAAGGCTTTTTACAAGCAAGAAAGTATGGAGCATCAAGATGCAGTGTCTCTGTGGCAGCACATACAGTCCCAGCGACAGCGCATCCTAGAAGCTAACGGACTGGCAGAGGAGGAACCGCGTTCCAAACGCATCTCGCGGCAGGTGCGCAGGTTAACCAGCAGCGTGGAGCCAGGAGGAGATGGAGACGACGAGTGTAACCAGTATGAGGAGCTCTTTGCTTCTGTGATGACAGCCACAGATCCGATGGGAGACCGCGCTATGCATCGTATGTTTCAGCTGTTGCCCTCTAAAAAGATCTATCCGGATTACTACGATGTGATCGAGCATCCCATTGACTTGCGTCTTATTGCAACGAAGATTCAAATGAACGCCTACTCCTCACTCGTGGAGATGGAGCGGGATCTGCTGCAAATGACCAAAAACGCGTGCCTCTTCAACGAGCCTGGTTCGCAGATCTACAAGGACGCGAAGGCACTGAAGCGCATATTTACGCAAAGGCGTATAGAACTAGAGTCGGGAAAAGGAAAAATGTCAAGAAGAATCAAAAGCCTGACTAGTGCTGCCATTGCAGGTAGGAGCAAATATAGAAGTTCCATCAACAGAGATACTTTAATAAAACTTTTATTGTGTTACAGCTCTTAAAGAAGAAGTAGACAGTTCGGATGACGAGGAGACGAGTAAAAAGGGCGAGGGTCCTATGTGGGCGCTCTTCGATCATCTGTACAACGCTCCGGGTACTTCGGAGCATCCTGGAGTTACCGGCCCACCTCTGGGAAACTCCCTTTGGAAGTTGCCAGTGCGCCGCTTCCATCCCGAATACTTCGAGCTGATCAAGCGACCAATCTCTATGAGTCAAATCCATACCAAACTGAAAAAGGGCGACTACGCGAATATTAGTGATCTCACTGCCGATCTGTATCTCATGCTGGATAACGCCAAAAAGGCATTTCCTTCATCCCATAGAACCCACAAGGACGCTATAAAGATGCTGAAGCTAATGAATGCCAAGCTGGTGGAGGAGTCGCTGGAAGAAACCAGCGACATGGACGAAGACGAGGTAGATGAGCTAGAAGCGGAAATCTTCACCACCGTGCAGCCGGAGAAACGGAAACCGGGTAGACCCCGCATAAACTCTAACTCTAACTCGAATGCGTCCCATACGACAAACAACTCGAACTCACCAAAGTCCAATCGCATCGCCATCAACGCGGCTATCAAAAAGAAAATCCTAAGCATACAGAAATACCTGGTGGATTATTCGGTGGGCAATCGTCGGCCCATTGAAATGTTCATGGAAAAGCCACCTAGAAAGATCTACCCCGATTACTACGATATTATTCAGAGTCCCATCGATATGAACACCATCGAGCACAACATACGCACAGATCGCTATGCCACCGTGGAGGATGTGGTGTCTGACTATCGTCTAATGTTCTCCAACTGCCGGCAGTACAACGAAGAGGGTTCCAATATATACGAAGATGCCAACACTCTGGAAAGGGCTCTGAACGATAAGCTCAAGGAGTTCCCTGGATTGGTGGAGGTGAAAAAACCCCTGCAGAAGTACAGCAAAGTCGGGAGGAAGCCGAAAGCTGCCTTGATCACAGATCGACTGTGGCAGTTTTACGAAACTGTCAGAGAATACCAGGAGCCAAAGGGAAAGAGGCAGCTGTCACTGATCTTTACCAAGTTGCCATCCAAAATAGAATACCCAGACTACTATGACATCATAAAGGACCCTATAGACATGGAGCGCATAGCTCAGAAACTGAAACAGGGAGCCTACGAAAGTTTGGATGACCTGGCTGCGGATTTTCTTCTGATGCTGGAGAACGCATGCAAATACAACGAACCCGATTCGCAAATATACAAGGACGCACTGGTACTGCAGCAGTTAACTTTGCAGCTGAAGCAACAGCTGCGCCCGGAAAGAGACTCGCTTCCAGATGTCCCGTTGGCTGTTCAGGAATTGTTTCTCACTCTTTTCACTACTCTGTACAATCATCAAGATGAGGAGGGTCGCTGCTACTCCGATTCTCTGGCGGAGTTGCCGGAATATGATGAACAGGGTGATGCGCCGAAGGTTCGGGGGATTTCTCTTGATTTAGTAAAGCGCCGATTGGACAAAGGTGCGTACAAACGGTTGGACACCTACCAGGAGGATATTTTCGCATGCCTAGAGCGGGCACGAAAATTATCGCGTACGGATTCTGATATATTCCAGGTAAGAGAGTTGCGAACTACATCTTCAAATATTCTATTACTAAATGGGCAACATTTTCTAGGACTCCATTGAGCTGCAGACTTACTTCATTCGCAAAAGGGACGAGCTTTGCAAAGACACCTTAAGTTCGCCTGCGCTTAGTTTTTCTTTGGAGCGCCTGCTGGCCGATGTTGAGGTGATGCGTCAACAAAAAGCCCAACAGGAGGAACAGGATCAGGAGCAGGACAAGGAGAAAGACGAGTTTAACGCTGCTAAGGGCGAGAGCATGACAATCAATCAGCAAGTCTTCTCCCCCGGTGACTATGTGTATGTACAAATGCCGGAACATAAAATCCCCTCCATAGCCTGCATCGAGCGACTCTGGACATCGCCCACAAACGAAAAACTGATGCAAGGCTCCATATTTGTCCGACCGCACGAGACCTACCACGTAACGACCCGAAAGTTCCTGGAAAAGGAGGTGTTCAAAACCAGTATCTCGCAGACCATATCGATGGACAAGGTTTTGGGCATGTGCTGTGTGATGCATATCAAAGAATACATTAAGATGCGACCGGACAGACTTCCCGAGAAGGACGTATTTGTTTGCGAGTCGCGTTACAACATCCAGGGTCGTTGCTTTAAGAAGCTCAAAAACTGGCCACCGGCTCGGGAGGGAAGCTCAGTAAAATTTGTGCCGCGGGAGCAACCACTGGAGCTTAAGCGGGTCATGTCCGTGTTCAAGGAGCGCATCGAGAAGCACAAGGGTGAGCTTGAGGAGCTAAAGCTTCAGGAGACTTTAGTCGAAAAGGAGAAACCAAATGTTTCCTGCGACCCCCCACCTAACGCGGAAGCAAACAGCACCTACTACCAGCAATATAACACCGTCTGCAGCGGGGCGATAAAAACAGGTGACTTTGTTTACGTCGCCACCCAGACCGGCAAACAGTCGGTGGCTCAGGTCCAGCAGATATGGGAACAGAATGGCAAGTCCTACTTCAAAGGTCCTTGGCTGCTGCCGCCCAGCGAAGTCACGTTTGGACTGGCAAAGCAATTCTTCCGCCAGGAACTACTACTAGGCACCGTGGAGGAAGTTAGTCCAGTTGTTGGCATCGTAGGACGATGTGCCGTGCTAGAGTATGGCGAGTTTATTACCTCAAGGCCCACAGAGATTCCCGAAAGCGACGTATACATTTGCGAATCGGTCTACGATGAAGTGAAGAAGGCTATTCGTAAATTGGTAGTCGGCAATATGCGGAAATTCCAGCACAGTCCGGCAGTTACCGAGGATGAGGTGTTCTTCTTTAAAACCCCCATTAAACCGGGCAAGGACGTGAAGAACGAGTTAAATGAGCTGAGCATGCTTGAGGACTCGATGGACGGCGATACACCATCGCTGAGTTCGGACATTGCAGCCATGTCGTCACCCGCTCCGTCGGTCAACTCCACGCCCCTTACATCTAAGATAAAAGCAGCCAAGGCAGCCAAGAAGTGTCTCACTGGCTATATTTTGTACTCCAGCGAAGTACGAAAAAGTGAGTACCTTTAAAAAAATACCGCACATAAAAATTGGCTATTACCGTTTTTTTCTCTTTATTTTAGGCATATGCCAGAGCAATCCTGACGCCTCTTTTGGGGACATTTCTCGGATGGTGGGCACCGAGTGGAAGAATCTCCCCTCCAGCGTCAAGCAGACCTGGGAGGATCGAGCCAGCAAGCAGAATGAAGAGACGGCGGCCATGCGTCGCGAAATGGATGGTGAAATCCAAAACAGCGCCAGTCCTTCGCCGCAGGTATTGCACGACACCTCCGGACACGGACTAACCTTCGAATGCCAGTGGGACAAGTGCGACTTCCAGTTCGAGGAGATGGCCGATTGTGTGGAGCACTGCCTGTCCGACACCACGGGTCACATACAGAGGCATCCACAGGCAGGCATGGATTTTGAGTACGTTTGTTTGTGGCGCAACTGTCCGCGTATAAAGAAATCCACGCAGGCTTTTCCTAATGTCCTGCGGCTAATCAAGCACGTGCGCGAAGTTCATCTGAGCAAGTGTGGCAAGACTTTGGGACCGGGTGAGAGGAGCAAAAACTACATACCGCGCCGCCAAACACGCGGCCCATTGGCCACCGCTATGCCCCTCGCGTCCAGTAACTCGCCCCGTAATCTCGACGCAGTGCACCTCCAACAGCATCAGCATGTACTTCATCAACCGGTGCATCAACACCAGCTGCAGCAACAGACCATTGTTCTGGGCCCGCCGCCTGAGCCGCTGTTTGTCACCGTGCCACCACGAACCACTCGAGTCATCCACTCCGAGGCGTACATTAAGTACATCGAAAGCTTGCAGACCGGTAGCCACCTTAATGTGGCCACCTGCAATAACAGTTGGCGGCGGGCGCTGACCCACGTCACTCCGGCGCAAGTGGTGGCCAAAAACCCTCTGCCCGAGCACTGGCTGGGACCCAACCTTCGAGACCAAGGAAACGTGGTGCAGGCTCTGTGCCATCTGCGAAACTTCATGCTAGACGACGTACTGCAAATCCGACGCAGTTGCAATTAGGCAATACACCCAATAATTAACCCCAAAGCGTTTCAAGTTAATGTAATAAAATAACAGAAACATAAATAACGTGTGAGAATTGTAATTCATATTTGTTAAGATCCTTAGTTCCAGTATGATGTGTACTTTTATTCAAAATGTATCAAGTTTTAAAGTAAAACCTCCAATCCCTTTTTTAAAAAATTGTCCTGTTTCATTTTCATAAACGGTTGGCCCGAATATGTAATTTACGGCAGCTTTCAATTCAAAATTGTTTAGTTTCATATTCCCTTTGAGGGTTATCAGTTTTTGGACCCATGACGACATGGCAGCGCTGGGTCTCATTTATTTTTCATGTGTTTTGTTTTGCTACGGAACTACGACAACAAACCGGTTTGCACGCATAGAGTCACCTAGTTATTTTGCGGTGCTTATCTAATTGGCTCGCTCAGAAGTGCTCCGAGCCTCTCCGCGGCGCTCTTTAGGAATTCCTCGCGTGGCCTCCCCATATGCTACGGCTGGCCGTCGCAAACAGTCCAAGTCTAGCGGTCGCACAGTGCAGACGCTCTCAGTTACGCCGCATACCCAAGTATTAGCCACCAAAGGAGCAAAATGTCGGAGGGCGAGTCCAAGTTTGGTTTCAAGGATATGGAGAAGGCACTGGAGACGCTGAAGTTGTTGGAGAGCCACGACATGCAGTACCGAAAGTTGACGGTGCGCGGCTTACTAGGCAGGGCCAAACGCGTTCTAACAAGTAAGTATATATTTGAGGAATTCATTAGGATCCCCATCCCATGATTACAAATATTTCCCTTCAGTGACCAAGGCGGAAGAGAAGCTGAAGAATATCAATGATGCTATCGGTGTGTTTGAGAAGTGGCTGGATGAGAATGGGGGCGGCGCCTCCAACAAAAATACCAAAACTGATAGCGATGACAAGGTAGAAACCGTGCCCGGGCTAGGATTCAAGGATAAGGCGGCCGCGGAAGCAACGCTGAGGTAAGCCCCAGGCTATCATTTTTGTCTCCATGGTAATTAGCCGGAGACCTTCAGCCCTGGCAGCCAGCGACGACGTCAAATGATGTCATGGCACAGTTTTAGAGTCGAATTCGGAAGTCTCATTAGCTTCATAGCCACTGCTGCGCTCTTCTCTTAAAATCGAGAGTGTGTTTCCTAAACGCTTATATAGGGCTGCTCACAAAATGTGATCAGGCCAAATCTTCTGGAACTAAATGAGAATAATCTCTATGGCACAATAGATTAAATATTTGATGCACAATAAGTATTCGCAAAGAGGTTGAATCCATTTATGTGTGTAGATTATTAAGCTTTTTTCCATTTTTAACGTCCGTTTGTTATGTACCGCCGAACTTTTCGTCGAATCACCCTGAGAACCGAATATATTGCCGCATTCCACAGTTTGTATTAAAAATATTTATATATGCAAATCACATTGCAGTATTCTGGCCGAGCGTGATCCGGACTACCAGAGATTGGCCGTCAAGGGCTTGATTGGTAGCTCCAAGCGTGTGTTGTCCGGCACCAAAAATGAAGACAAAATCAACGCCATCAAGGAAGGAGTGCAAGTGTTGGAGGACTTCCTGGAGAAATTCGAGGCGGACAACCGCATCAAGGACAACCGTGCTTATTTACCGTTGGCCGTGGTGAGCAAGCTACCGGAGACAACTGACGAGCTGGCTGGCGAGTTCCTGGGGGCCTATGGTGGGCCCAAGGCTAAGGGAAACTACAAACACCTGCGCACCATGTTCCCCAAAGCGGATGAGGCAACCAGCTGGGACATTGTTCGCAATCGCCAACTGGCAAAGTTGCTAGAAAAGGTCAAAAGCGAGGACGCGAAGCTTTTCGATCCCGAATCCGGAGCACCCACTGATCTCCACCTCCAGCTCATCCACTGGGCCTATAGCCCGCAGCCGGACAAGCTGAGGCAGTACGTGGAGAAACTGGCCAAGAAGAGCCCCGAGAAGCGAAAGCAGGAAAGCAGCAGCAGTGCCAATGAGTCCTCGGGCAGCAGCAGGGGCTCCGATGAGGAGGATGTGCCCAAGAAGAAAAAGAAGACTGAAGAGTAAACTCTGGCCCTCAAAAAAGGAGCAGCAACCATTTTTTTTAACGAACAAAAGCAGTTTATAAAGTTCTGTCTCGGTGTCCAACCAAGGGAGTTTGGCGGTAATGGAATGGAAATGGTAATGGTAATGGAAGTGTATTGTAATCCTTATGCTTCATTTGGAGAATTGAATATTTATTAGAAAAAAAGAAATTCATCCATTTAGTTTTGGAATCATGAATGTTCTGACTTCCATATCCGCCAAATTTCGTTGGTACTGCCAGTCGAAACAGGTTTTATTATTTTATTTAAGTAACTCAACTTCAACGCAAACTACTGTTAGATGTGGACACATTGTACCTCCTATATCCTCCTGTTTCTATCAGGGACCGTTAATAATAATTATTTGTATGACTTTTATTTTAAATGATTATTCTCTGAGCAAAGAAATTAAAATAAAATATAATGATTATTTATTGATTAAAATAATAGAATAATGATTATTCATGATTTTTATTTTTTCGCTCAGAGAATAGTGATTATTTTGTGCCTTTTTAAATAAAACTCATAACGATTACGGTCCCTAATTTCAATACCTCCGCTATATACACATATGAACATATATGTGGGCGTGTAAGTATGCTATATTTGACGTCGTATAAAGTACCATACGCATATGTGGTTATGATGAGATCGCTGTCTTTCGCTCTATCCGCTCACCATGCTCCAAACTCCATTTCATACACACGCAACTAGATTACACAATGTACACGAGTCTTTGGGCACGCCCCCTTGGCCGCATTCCCACGCTCCGCCCACATCAGAGCTAATACTTGTGGAGAGTGGCGGTGTCGTAGTAATCCGACTTGGCGACTCGAGAAGATTGCGTCTGGGAGTCGCCCGTACTTGGCGGCGTCTTGGCCAGCGCGAGGGTCAACTGATGTTGGTCGCCCTTGCTGGATCCGTTGGACAGATGGCCGTACGCCATGTTGAAAAGGGCATCTGGATCGCAAACAAACCTGTAGACGTACCGCTCACCGTTCACCTTCTGCATGATGCCCTTCTCGTAGTAGTAGCGCAGGCTGCGGGACAGCTTGTCATAGTTCATAGCCGGGCGGTTCTTCTGCAGGCCCCACCGCCGAGCCACCTCCTCCGGTTCAATAAGCTTGAACTCCATACCGCGTCCTGTCCAGGCGATGCAGCTGGCACTGGATTAAAAATTAGAAAGTTTAAGTATTTTTAAAAGCTTAAATGAAAGGTAAGCACGAGTTTAAAATTTGTAAAGATAGCAGACCCTCTTAAAAGCAGTAGAAAACTAAGATTCAGTTTCAAAAATTAATTTAAAAAGAAAAATTTATATTTTTTTAAGGTATTCTGCTTAAGAATCGGAATTATTGATTATTGATTATTGATTATTAATTATTGAACTATTATACAATTTAAATTGTAGGGAAACCCTCAGAAAATGTTAAAAAAAAATTAACAATGAAAAGTTTTGTAGTTTCTAAGAAGGTAATTGATTTAAAATCGATAAAAGAAAAGTCTGATAATTTTGATGCAGGTTGATAAGTATCTAAAACTTTGTAAGGTATTTCCGATTGTTCAGTTATATTGCAGCTATAGGATAGATCGGCCGACTGATCCTTATGAAATTTGGCATGTTGTATTATTTTGCTATATTTTGCTATATTTGCTACATATTATTTTGCTAGCATTCATACAAAATTTGAAAATTTGTAAAATTAGTTTACTAGTTGTAGATATCGATGCAAATCAACAAAAACAAGAGAGGACGGCTATAGTCGAGTTTCCCGACTACATTATGCCCGCTACTCATCTCTTCCTCCCCGTAGAAATTTCACCCATTCAGAAATATTAGAGTTGATAGTGTTCGTCCCAGTAATTTTTTTAATTTTAAAATTCATTTATGAGAATTTTTTTTTAATTTAGAAGTTTTTTAGTTTCACGACTTACCTTGTGGTTGGCTCATCCAGAAGAGCTACCAGGAACTGCCAGAGCTGCAGCGACCCGCGCCGCTGGCTGATGGTTTGGCCATTGCTGCTGGTGGTGATTCCGTTGCTGGCGTAAAAGTGGTCCAAGCGCAGCTCCGCATCGCTGGACGTGGTTGAGTCCACTACGCTGGGCCTCAAGGATGCCGGATAGGTGGAGGATATGGTGGCGTTGTAGGGACCGTTTTCGTACTTCAGATCCGCGTCACTAACCACCGCCACTGCCGCCGCCGCTGCCGCCGAGGTGGGGGAGAGGTCACGATAGACGGCAGCGTGGGACTGCGATTGGGCCTGCTGTTGGTGGGCGTAATGAGGGGGCGTGGCATACACAGCCGAACTAGATATGACCGCTGTGTGGCTAAACTTGAAGGCGGATGCGGCATGCAAAGGGGTAAGGTGGGTCAGGCCCTGCTCCGCATGCTGGTGGTGTCCCTGTCCGTGGTGATGATGGTGCGGGTGAAGTGCGGCAGCATGTTGCAATTGCTGCTGTTGCAGTTGTTGTTGCTGGTGGTGCTGCTGCTGTTGCTGTTGTTGTTGTTGCTGCTGGTGCTGGTGTTGCTGTTGCTGCTGCGCCGCCGTCGTGGTGGAGTCCGCGTGCTCGATCTTCGTGTGGTGCTGGAAGTGCTGCCCCGAGGTGACGTCACTGCAATACGCAGCAGCAGCTGCAGCGGCAGCGGCGGCGGCAGCAGCAGCGGCTGCGGTGGCTGTTTCTGGAAAACGGATTCAAACCAGAGCTGAATGAAATCCTCTTTCATGCATGCTCGAGCAATGTCTCGGCAGGACAGAGATGGGTGCTAATTACACGGCTATTTTGAAATACCTTACACTAGGATCTTACTACATAGATAGATTCCAATATATATATTTTTAAAATCATCAAAAAGTGGTATGTACGTTTTAAATTTTTAATTAACTATCTATTAGTTTTTTTTTAAGTTTAAAAGTCAAATGAAAAAAATTTGTTTTGTTAAAAACATTTTTTTTTTAAATTTGGGATTTATATATATATTGATTTAAACATAGGGCATTTGAAACTTTGTTTAAAACCATTCTCATTGTTTTACCTCGTTTATGCGGCGCTTGCTTTACTAAATGGCCAAGGTATTTAGCAGCAATTAATAATTTAAGCAACCCTCTCGCCCACCCCAGGCCGAAGCTGCAAAATGCTCAATATGCTGCAATTTAGCGGGGGTAAACAAACCCCTGTATACAACGCCACTCTGGAGTGGCCCTTTTCATTAGGTAGTTAGGTTGCTCCCAGGCCAGCCCCACCCCCACGTTTTTGCACCCCTCTTTCACTCTCGGCGCGACTCGACGCTGGGCGCATTAAAAATTCAGGAGATACCTCTGCATAATCCATGAGCAAGTGTCGACAAGTAAAAACATCATTGTCGATAACAACAAACGAGCCGCTCATGGAAATGAAGACCTTTTGGCCCGGCCCAGCTCTACAGAGAGAGAAAAATCCCAGAAAATTGTAAGAAATCAATCCTTCTCTACCTATGTTCCTGTTCCATAGCTCTCGAATCAAGAGCAATATTATCCAATGTGTAGAAGTGCACTAGCTGGTGGGCGGGTTCAGCTCTTTGTTTGGTGGGGTGGCTGGATGCTTCGACACAAACCACTCAACGGCGGTCCCGTGATTGAGCTGCTTGTTCGACTGGTGGCCCGGTTGCAGCCACCCCTCGGATGCCGCCCACCGGAGGCTAACTAACAGCATCTGATACATGCCCCTCGAAATTGAATTCCACGCTCAGGCCGCCGCCGAGTCGCCAATTGGATTAGCGGTTACTAACACCGGCGATATTGTTATTGTAAATTATGCGCACAATTTCTTGCATTTTACTTGAAAAAATATTGGAAAGAAATGAGGTTCGTGCTCGCACTAAGAAATTCAAACAAATTGATTCACTGGCTGATACTGACTGACTGATATGTATATCGCAGCGGCATCTTAATTTGAATAAATGATGAACGGGGGAGGGGCGCACGGCTTTAATAATTTCTTTTCATTTTTCAGTCTTAGGGACTTACCTTCGTCGCTCTTTTTCAGAATGCCCGCGGGTGGCGATGATGGGAATCTGGTGGGAGCATAAATCAAGAATATTGAAAGCGCATGAATCGAGGAGCAGTAGCAGCGCAGCACGGCCTGATTGACTTAAATTTGACTTGTCTTGTCAGGACGAAGTTCAATCTGGTTTGGCCAGCTTACCTGTAGCAGTACGGGTGAGGATGCGGATGTGGGTGCGAGTGCGGATGCGGATGCGGGTGTGGGTGGGTCACAGCGGGTATGTCGAAGAAAGTGGATGTTCTTTCATGGCGCACGCCTTTGACATTCACTGCAGATACCAAAGAAATGGGAAAGAAAAACAAGTTCCTGTTACTTTCGAGTTACAACAACTGAGGCTAAATGGAGCTGCCTCCTCACAGGCAGACATCACATCGCAGTAGTCGTCGACTACGAGGTGGCCTCGACTTTTGTTAGGTAATATTTTATATTAACGCACACGCCGGGACGTCTTTGAGAGCCCAAATCGAGCTTGTCACATGCACTTGACTTGGCCATAATCGAATGCCAGGATGAGTTCTAGACTAGATAACCAAAAATGGATTTTTTCAAGCAGCAAAATAAAATTAGGCTTCAAAAAACAAAATGCAAAAAATGTATAAACTTGAAATTAATAAAGATACAAGTTTCCAATCCTGACAGCTCACACATTTGGGAGGATGTTGATCATCCTAGGGCCTCGGCACGCGCCAACCTCACTTTTGTTTTATTAATAAAAAACTTATAAAAACAAACTAAGCTAATACAAAGCCTCCAGGCTGCAGGCGGGAGCCCAGCTTCCCCCTAAAATCCGCAGCCCAACGTTGCGATAGCGAGCACCCCATCTACAAATTTGGCTTATAATGGAAAATTAATAAACAAGCAAACGTGTAAATAGCAAAGGCAAACACAAAGTGGATTCAGCAGAGGGTCAGGGAAAGCGAAAGGGACAGGGTCAGGACAGTGGAAAAGCAAAGGCCAAAAGGGGAAACTGGGGCGGGAGGCTGCATCCGGCCATGGCAGTGGACGTGGAAGAGGACGCTTACCATTGTACCTTGCGTTCAAGTAACCCTCCGTGGATGTGTCCAGTCCGAATTTTCCAATAGTCGGCGCGGGAGTGGGCGTGGCATACATGACCAGCTCATCGGCCAGCTGGTGATGGTGGTGGTGGTGATGATGGTGATGGGCATACCAGGATGACTCCCGACTGAGATCTGCGCAAATAATTGTACAATGTTTTAGCTTAAAACTAAGCCATCTTAGTCATTTACTTAGATTTTATGAGCATAAGCTCAAACCCCTTGGGAAACCATACACGACCAATACAAACCATTACAAAGAGAGGCACTTGCTCCGCTCGAACTGGAGGATCCGGAAGAGGAATGCATCAAGGCCGCCGTTGCGATGATGGGAGGTGGGGAGGAGCTTCCGCTCAAGGCCAAACAACATGGCGGCGGCAGCGGAGGAACCGGAGGCGACTTCTGGCCAATGCAGATGGCCTCCATGAGCGTGTGCCCCGCATCCAGGTCACTGCTGTGGCACCTCTTGCGCTCCGCATCCAGGTTGCTGCAGCTGGGGGATGCGGAAATGGCCTTGGCCACCGACGGCAGAGTGGAACTGACACAGGAAACCACCGAGTCTGTGGTTATCGTCGATGTATTGGGCGCCCCATGGTACAGTCCCAAGTGGGAATGATGGTGGTGGTGATGGGGATGCGGGTGGGAGTGGTCCAGGTGCGTGAGCGTCTGCTGGAGCTGCTCCAAGTGCGTCTTGGCCTCGCTGTAGTCGCTCTGGAAAATAAGGAAATGAGACAAGACGCAGCAGGAAATTGTCATGAGTCTGGATTTTGCATGGGGGTTCAGGTCTTTGCCAAATTAGTTGTCGATTTGGGAAAATCCTTGACAGGGCTAGGCCACAGAAGCTAAGGGCCTCTTTAAGTGACTTTAAAGCACCCTGCTGGGCGCACTGAAGCCACCCGCGGCTAACAGGTTGCAGAGACAATGGACACACAGCCAGCTCGTCACATTGACACAGTCAAGTGAGTGGAAGTCGTGGCAATTAGCTTAACAGCTTCTGCTGCGGCTTCTTTTCCCGGGTGTCAATTGGCCGCTTTCTGTTGTTCTTGGCCATTAAGTAATGAGCCATTGTCACCGGCCAGCTACAACTGGACCCTCACATGACACCAGTTGGCTGATATGAGGAACTGGTGTACTAATGCATGTATGTTTCTGCCATCTCCAACTGTGGTTTATTGACATTGGTGTACATTTAATGAGCGGCGCTCCGAGGTTAACCTTTGTTTATGGTCGTCACTCGCTCTCTCCGACTCCGGCTCTGGGCCGCGACTCCCCGGCTCGTGGCACTCATTAATGTGGCAGGGATTTCACTTTTTTTCATGGGGGAAATTCGGTGACAGTCGTCTTAATCACATCTTGCAGTTGTGATAGGTTGACATCTTTACTTCTTATTTATTGGCTGCCATAAAGCTATTGGTTTTAATAAAACACATTTAGAAACGTAGAACTGTTTAACTTGTTTGGTTCGTTTGGGTGTAAATAATTCAACACAACAAGTCGAGCCGATTTGGGACGAAGACGTGCTCCCATTGTTTGTTTTTGGACCCTATTTTTGGCCAGCTTGGTCCGACATCTCAAAGTGCACCGAAAGAGCTGTTCCCATTTCACATCCCTTCCCTGACATTTGAAATTTGGAGCAGCAAACGAGGCGCTGCATCCAGTGCGATCTGCACCGTCGCATTCGAGAACCATTTTGTGCGATAGTTACCCTTAATTATAGGCAGTAATCGTTGCCGGTTTGTTTCGGCTCTATCGGCTCAGCGGCGGAGGCAACTACTCCAACACGGTCTCCATCAGATAGAAACGCAGAAAGCGGCACCGTCCCTTCCCCTTCAGCCATTCTCCCTCGGCCAGAAGAAGAAATGCAGAAACTTATTTTTGGTCTTTCTGCTTTCTCCCCCAGCACATGGAAGTTATGTAAATCTCGAATGTGGCATTAGCAGACAAAATACGTGTATTTGGCAACATACTCACAACTAATGCCGCTTCCGCAATTTGATCGGACAAATTTTTGATAAATTGCAAAATATGTCACCGCATTGCGTTTGCTAAGTGCTAGCAAACAATTTGTCAAATCAAATTACCGCAATTACTAAGTGTAACTGCCATGTGCAACAATCTGAAGAGGCAGACACACGGCCAGAAGCACCCAGCCAAGCGATGTCACCTGCCACACGTGGGCATGTGCAACAGGGGAAATACCTACTACATACATTAGTTGTACACGACATAAACCGACTGAGCGATCACTCTCCAATAACTTGAGGACTTCCGTATTAATATAGGTGTAATTACAATTTTTATAGAATTAAAGTATAGGACAATCGGTATACGACTTAAAAATTCGGATTAAATTAGATTCTGATTAGCTTGATCTGATTTCATTAAACCCACTCGTATGATGATTTTTAAAAGGCAAATACCCTTAAAAAATGACGGTACTTCGTAGTCCCCCATTAGGCCCTAATTTATATGCACAATTGATGCCAATTACAAGGGCAATTCCAAAAACAAACTGTGGCGGCGGTGAGTGATTTATCCGACGGATTGATCAACTTTGAACCCACTCTGAACAATAGAGAGAGACACAGAGATTACGACGCATGCGCAGCCGCAACTGACATTACGAAACTTTTTCTCGTGTTTACCTTTAAGGTATAGTATATACTATATAGTATACATGTCGGCTGATCTACTTTGCAGCACCCAACGCGCGAGGCGGTGGGAGGCCCGACAGAAGACAATGCTTTTCTTTTTTCAAATTGTTTTAGTTGCCTTTTCGTTTCCACGCAGAGGTGCGTTGTGTTGCTTGGATGGGCTGATTTGGACTTCGTCTCCAAATGTGACTCCGTCTCTTTCCTAGCTGCGATCCAGCTCGTGCTTGAGTACATCGTGGAAAACACTTTCACTGCCACATGAAGAGGCAGTGACACGGTCTTCTTGTGGGTGCTGTGGCAATGGAAGCGCGACCAAGCCAGTTTCTCGCTCTGCTTGGGCCCTCGCATTTTCGATTCAGCTGCCCGCGAGTTCGGAGGTGTTTTCAAAGAGCCTTAGGATTTATTTTCGAACCAAAACCCAAAGCCTATATTACATATACATACATAAGAAGTCTTACATTGTCCTTTAAGCGACTACGTCTCAAGAAAGCTTATAAAATTCTATTCAACGGAATAAGTTACATTAAATAGTTTTAGTCCAAATCCGCGCAAATATTTTTGGATATAAACCCGATCTATGTTGACTAAACCGCAATGCCGGAAATCGTAAGCTGGCACTTTCTGCTGCCCCTATGGGCTCTGTTGCAAGGTAAGATCTTACAACCGAAGGATAATCTTGTAATTCTAAAAAGCTTGTATCCTTAGTGGCCATGTGCCAACCGTATCAGATACCGCATCGTTGCTCGAATCGTTTGGAAAATGCTTTGGAGCACATGCGACGCCGCAGCATCCAGTCCAAGACCTCCTCCGATCACACTCGATCGCGAGCCATGTGGGAGCCCCCACCACAAAGTCCCTACCAGCTCTATCACAGCTTCTACGGCCAGCATAGTGAGCCGGAGGACGATTTTTACAACGTAGGTGGATCGTACAACACCGGACGTGGCTATCATGCAAAGCTTCTGCATCGAACCGGACGTCCATATCCCTTTTCCGATTCTAGTAGCGCTCTGGAGCTGGAGGACTTGCTCTCGATCAACCAACAGTACCAGCATAAACCACAGCAACAGCATTTTAACCACCGGCAGCCCCACAAGCTGGATATTTCCCGGGTGGATGTGGAGGATTTGAAGGTGCGAGTGCCACCGGCAAAGTCCTCTAACCGTTGGGTAGAGATCGACAAGTGCAAGTTCAGCACAGAGAACTCCACTCTGGATACCCGCCTGATTTTTCCGGACCTCACGCTCAGTGGAAAAGTGGTGATGCAACCGATGGGGGGCAAGTGTCACATGATTTTGAGGCTACGGCATGCCGGTATTGAATTTCGCACAGTGCCGTTGGGCTTCGATCCTGGATCGGGACAATCCACCTACGAGCAGTCGCGGAGGTTAGGAGCAGCTTCCGTTAGGACGGACTCGCACTTTGCAGAGCCGGGATTCATATCTGTGTTTGCCCATGGCTGCCAGGGGCCCAGTGGCATTCGCTTGCGCCAGAACTCCAAGCGGAGATTTAGTGGGGCTCCGGAAGTGGAGCTAGGTGAACCACATGTGATTATGGGAACTGACCGAAAGGAGAGTCAGCGCTGGGGCAAGTTCCACAACCAGCAGCAGCACCCGGCCTATGACATCAGGCAGGGACAGAATCCCCAGAGGGACCACAGTCTGGAGCTGGGCAGTGACAGCCATGCCCAGGACTCTGGTGAATTTGTAGATGTCAATGGCGACAACTTCTACCGGCGGCAATTCAGCAAAAAAAGGAGACGCCGCCGGCGGTACGCCCGTGAACTACTCGAGGACCAAATGAACTTCAGCGAGGATGTGCTCCACTTCCAGGACGAACAGCTGCAGCAGCTGGTGGAGCCGGATGCTCGGGCTTTTGCTGATATATTTAGCGGCAGTGGAGCAGCTGGTGGCCCAGCCAGCGGAGATCGCGAAGAGCTAGTGGGGGAGGCCATGTCGCACGAGCTGGAGAAGCTGTTCTCAATGGGTGTGCGAGGCCTTCTGACCACCTACATGCAGCGAGCCCTGCAGCCGGCCATCAAGGAAACCCTGATGGAGAACATGGGCTACACCCTGAGCTATGGCTGAGCCTGGCTGGGGTATCCTTAGGTTTATTTTTAAGCCCTCTATTTATGTCTGATGCAGCAAATATAAAGCTTTAAGCGCACCGGGTTGTGTAATCTTACCAATTTAGCCGTATCCATTGATAATATCGATCAGGCGTCCGGATACACTCTTGAACTTGGTGCGGTTCCGCTGGCTGCAATTTTCACTAATAGGATTTCACCTTGTTTCTGCACATCAATACATCTAAATTATTAAACGCTCGGTAGCTTTCACTTCTGGTAGATCAGCGCGCATTCCGTTGCAAGTGCCTTCGTGCAGTTGGTTGCGAGTATCCGTGGTGACTGGTGAAGTTCACCTGGCCAGGACCTGTCTGGAGTACAATCTGTGGGGGTGGCTGGGCGAGGATGCTGGGTGGAATGGCTTTGCGCAGACGCGTTCCGCCCTTCGAGTGGGTGATTGGTTGGCTAAAATTGTGAGAGGTCGGCCAATGGCATACCGGCAAGGGCGTTATTATGAGCCTTCAATAAAATTTATAATTGTTTGGCAAACATTTAAAAATATTCTTGTCAATAAACGCAGCTCATTTCGTGAAAAACAGCAATGGTAGGGAAACATGACCACACACATTGCTTAGATGGTATTTTAATTTAATGATATTTTTTATTAAGCTTATAAAGTTTCTATAATTAATTTTAATAACAAAATTGGGAACTATTTATTTTCTTAAAGCTTATATTTGAATTTGAATTTGTATCGATACATTTTAAGGTAAAGGTGTGATCTGGTGATGTGGTGAATAATTTTTGGTCCATCTGGCATCTTCTTCATGGGTTGGAGCTATTTTTTCAACGTATCTATTTCTTGTATCTGTGTAAAACAAATTTATTAGTTGATTAATCATATAATCATTGGTTGTGACAGTTCTTTTATTTCAAATCCGACTATTTGTTGTAACCGACTTCAAATTTGACTAACTAATATTATTTACGTTACTCCATATAGATAAATCATTCGAAACTTAGGGAAACGTGGAAACGGCTTTAATTCAAAATATTATTAAAATACTATTATCAAAATATTATTAAATATTATAGTATTATTTATATTAGGCAATACTTCAAGTAATAGAAATGGGTACTTCAATATGTTTTGTTTAAGTATAATGACAGTTTTTTTTTATTTTGAATTGGTAAGCGAAATGAGAAGGGTTCTCATAAATCCCGACAGTTGGTGGTTGTGTTAAAAACTAAGGATGGAAAAAGTTAAGTCGATAAACAGAGCAAAACAAAAACATGCCACCATGAAGCGAAGGCACAAACCAAACATTCGATAGGCAAAATCCAAGTCACGAGACAAAAGTATCATTATAAGACAAAAAATATCGATATATTGATATTTTATTTATTTCAACAACCCTAAAGTTTTTATTATGTGATTGTGCGAGCTAAAAATCCAAATATTCGACAGGTCTAGGTAAGTGATAAGTGACAGCAGCGGCAAGGCGCCACTAACAGCTGATCCAGAGCGGCTCACAAAAAGAAGAGGGATTGCCCCACGAGGAACTCCGTTAACTGAGTTTGTTTACGTTCGCGTTTGCATTCTTGAAAGGGAGGAGTGGGTGCTTGGAGAGGCCACTCAGTCAGGTGTCTGCGCATTATATAATGGTAATCTCAAGCCTATGCTGCCGGAAGATAAGATAGCCTCTTGGAGTCTACTAGTGCCTTCTTGGCCAAAGGTTACGGGCAAGCCCTTGAATGTTCCGATTCTGACGATCTGAGTCTGTACGTATCCGCTACCGTATTAGTCACGACCTTGAGACCTTCGCAATGATTTTCGTGCGTACGCCTTTGAATTGCGTCAATGCGCTGATGTTGTTTTGTTTCCCCACAGATATATACCCACACACGTACATATAGGAGTCAAGGGGCGAACAACTGCAAACCGGAACGAATCGGGAGGGATACGATCGGAGCAGACAAAGAACGGGATCAGCGATCTTGGCGCGAGTCATGCAGGTCGAATGCTCCAAAATTCAGCGCCACACGAGGCTGTGAATAGACTCGCTTCGGAACCGGGATCTCCCAGAAGCTCATTGCCACGCATGAGAAGCAGTCGCAACAGGTAGCGCCCACCGCAGGATGACGGAAACCAGAGCTGCGGTGGCCTCTGGCGGTGCCGCCGGCACCAGCAGCGGCATGGATGGACCCTCCTACATACGCACCATCGAGTGGAACATGATGAACAAGACCAAATTTTTTCCTCTCTCGATGCTCAGCTCATTTTCGGTGCGCTGTTGCCTATTTCCGCTGACTGTGATCAAGACCCAACTGCAGGTCCAACACAAGAGCGATGTCTACAAGGGCATGGTGGACTGTGCCATGAAAATCTACCGCTCGGAGGGAGTACCTGGCCTGTATAGAGGATTTTGGATATCCTCCGTGCAAATCGTATCTGGGGTATTTTACATCAGCACCTACGAGGGCGTACGTCATGTACTCAATGATTTGGGCGCCGGCCACCGCGTCAAGGCACTCGTCGGTGGTGGATGCGCCTCTCTGGTGGGTCAGACCATCATAGTTCCTTTCGACGTGATATCGCAGCATGCCATGGTGCTTGGAATGTCGGCTCATGCCGGCTCTAAGGGTGATATTAATCCGCTTGGCATAAAGTCGTGGCCGGGACGAAGTCGTTTGCACATTTCAATGGACATCGGGCGTGAGATAATGCGACGGGATGGTCTGCGCGGATTTTACCGCGGTTATACCGCCAGCCTTATGGCTTACGTTCCTAACTCGGCTATGTGGTGGGCCTTCTATCATCTATATCAGGGTAAGTTCTCTGGCCACCGCTTCCGCTAATAGCTTTGATTAGATTAATTAAATTTGATATCCATCCGCAGACGAGCTCTGCCGCATCTGCCCGATTTGGGTGTCCCATCTCTTCATTCAATGTGTGGCTGGTAGCCTGGGTGGCTTTACAACGACAATATTAACCAATCCATTAGATATAGTACGCGCCCGACTACAGGTGAGTTTTTGTGAAGTCATAAGACTAGCGGAATCATTTTTTTGAGCATAGTCTTCAACGCCGTAATCTTAATGGTTAATGGGCCATGAGTAAAGGCTTATGACTATATGACTTCGTCTAGCTGCTAACTAATGACACTGTCATCCCACAGGTCCACCGTTTGGATTCGATGAGCGTCGCTTTCCGAGAGTTGTGGCGGGAAGAGAAACTGAATTGCTTCTTCAAGGGCCTGTCCGCCCGCCTGGTGCAGTCGGCGGCCTTCTCATTCAGCATTATCTTAGGTTACGAGACCATTAAGCGCATTGCCGTTGATGAGCAGTACAAGCACCAGATCCGTTGGTGAAGAACGCACAAACACCAGACAAATAAAACCAACACAAAACTGCATTTACGCGACGTACTGAGAAACCACCAGAGGAGATTCGCCCACTATTGTAAATAAAAAAAATGAAGGCTTAGAGGAGCAAGAAGCACAGTTTGAATAGTTAAATTACCAACGATAGCGAATTATGGAATCATGGATTGCGGAAGCATCGAGGATGTACTTTTAGTAGTGTTTCAATTATATTGCAGTTAGGATGTTCGAGCAACGCGATTCAATATGCAAATACCCAAAGTGTTGTACATTATTTTGTTATAATTAGTCATTTTATACATAACACGCGTAGAGGCCCGTCAGTTAAAAGCATAACTTATTATACACATAACTATACCTGTACGTAATTGATGATGATGATGATGATGATAATGTTGATGATACTGTTGTTTATATTGGTAACCCGAACTACTTATACGTTTACTAGCAGAGCAATGTTTGCGCCAAACATAAAACCATAACCTGGACATGCCGAATTAGAAATTAAAATCGAAGCAGGGCCCCCTCCCTCGGGGCGGGAGGAACTAGTTTAGTTAAGCATCCGTGTGTGTGTTCTTTGAATGGATAACTAGTTTTAGTTCGCATTGTAATAAAGTACAAACCAAGAATTTTTACATTTTTGGCCCTTTGAAATATGAGTTGAATTTAGATTGCTCAGATGAAGCTTCTTGAACTTTGTGTCCTCGTTAACGGAAATTGAATTACTTATAACTAAAAGAATGGCATTGATTTTTGATATTCTCTGGCATCTTTAATAAGAAACAATTGGTCTATATCAGATAGTTGAATTTTATTCCATGCTTTTGTAGGATAAGTAAATAAATAAGTAATCTAGGGCTAATTTGGCATTTCTAGTTACTTTCCGCTGCTGCCTCAGTGGTTGACGCGCTCCGTGCTTTGGACTCCTCAGTGGGTTGCGTAGCTACTTCTGAGATTGTGCTGGAAACTGATTCATCCTGCTTTGCTTCTGGGCTAGATTTTAGATCCTGCTTCCGCCAGGCATTGTTAAAGTTTTTAATTGGCATGGGCACTTCGCCAGTGGGTGCCGCGTCCATGTTGACAACCGGAGGTTGTGGCAGTGGTGGCTCCTCGCTGGCCTTGTTGAATATCACCCAGTTGTCAGGCCGGTCTGGCTTCGTCAGTACGGTAATTGGCGCGAAGGCCACACTAGCCAGCTGCTTCAGCTTCTGGGCCTTTTGCCGTGCATCCTGTGATCGGTCGTCGTAGTCGTCCGTCTCGTCGGCTAATATGTCGTTGCCCAACTGCTTCCCAAGGCTGTCCGGAAACACCGTGACCTTGCTGTTCGTCACGGTTCGACTGGAGGTGGACAGCATGGGCTTGGGCACTTCTGTCACGTAACTGGTCCGAGTCTGGTTCTCCAGCATAGCCAGTACGTAGTTGTCGTCCAGTGAGGTAACGTTCGTTCCGTTCGATTTCGCGGTCGTGTCTCGCATCAGCTGGGGTCGCATGTAGCCGTCCTTGTCGAAGTTCTTGGTGGTTATGTCGGTCTGGTCTTTACGTGTCGCCGACATGTCCAGATCATTGTTAGGTACTTCCTCGTCGTATACGTAGTCCTCTTCGTCCTGTGTGGGGTTGTTTTCGTCGGAGGTCAAGTTTGATAGCGTCCGGCTCACGTAGTCGTAGTCTTGTAAGTACAGTTTGTGTTCCGTCTGGGTCAAATCGTTGCTGTTGTTGCCCACCTCCTTCACTTCGGGCGTCCGTCCGTAAAATGTCTGGTGTTGCGTCTGAGGTCTGAAGGATCCGGAGAACGGACTGGGGTTTCTGTCGGTGCTAAGTTCTCTGTCGTAATACAACTCGCTCTGGGCTGGCGGATAGTCCGGTCTATAGGCCGACTGAGATGATAGGCCGTAGGAGCCTCCGCCCACGAACCCGTGACTGGGGGTCTGTGGGGGACGAGGATGCGAGCTCACAACCGATCCGAATTCCTGACTAGGACGTGGACGTATATTGAAGCTAAAAGTGCTATCCGCTCCGTTGGCACTGGCCACTCCGGAGATGCTTCCAAAGTGCCCTGCGCTCACGGCACTGCTGGAGGCGTGCAAAAAGCCGGATTCGGGATTACCCCCGATGTGCGAAGAGGTGGAAACCGGATAGGAGTGCACCGAAGAAGGCCGAGGCGAGTAGGAGGAAGATCCCGTTAGTATGTGGGAGTTGCTATTGCTTATGGGACTGTGGACCACGTTGTTCTCGAAAAGGGGACGCTCTGTATGAGATTGGCTGATGGCCGAAGGAGTGGTAGGCGCTGGCCGGCGATTCCCTAGAGGATTGAAGCCATTCGTGGCAAAGGTCAAAAAGTTCTGGAAAATGTTTGGAGCCCTGGTGGTAGTCCGTCTGTCGTCGTTGTCGTTCAAGTAGATGATTGTCGGCGGTTTGGTCCTCTGCCCTTGGGTGGTAATCTCTAAAGGTTGGTGGTAGCCGTAGCTTGGCAGGGGAATTGGAGTCGTGCTGGCATAGTCCACGTAGTGCGGAGCGTAGTTAGAGGTATAGTACGGTTTGTGGGCTGTTGTGTAGTCCGAGTAGTCCGTCGTCGAAGGTCGTGCTCCGGGGCTCTTGTTCGTCTGTCGAATGTTGATCTCGATCTCGTACTGGTCGGAGTTCGGTCCGTTGACCACCACCTTCTGGGGTCTGTCGTGCGGTCTCTCGTAAATCGGTCTGCTCTGGTACTGTCTCAGTTCCACGCCCCTTTTAGTGGGCTTGGTCGTCTTGGGGGCTTTAGTAAGTCGAGTGGATCTTCCCAAGCTTGCTGTAGATCTTGTCTGGGTATCCGAAAGTGTCGTTGAACGATTTGTTTGTAAATGCAATAGTCGGGAGTCGAGTGTCGTTTGAAGCTTTCTCGCGTCACGTCTCTCCGATTGCGGAGGTTTCGAAGGTCTCGTAGGGGGTTCAGTGTTTGTAGCCTGTTCCAATGGTCCGTCCTTTTCAGTCTTTGTGTTATGGCCCAAGTCACCCTTTATGGCCCTAAGTTCTGTCACTTCTTCAAAGTCAACCATTTCGTCAGACTCCATTTCGATTATGTCTCCGTCCGCTGTCGAAGTTCCAGCACCTGCGTCAGTATCATTATGAGTACCATTTCCCCCCGCGGAACTTCTCAGCTCGATGGGCACATTGTTGATGATGACCCTTCGCTTAGGACCCTCTGGTCGTCTAACGTTAACGCTCTTTATGTTAATGGTAATCTTGGGGGACTTGTCCAGTTTGTTGTTGACCCCAGTGACGGGTTTTCGGGTGCCCGTAGTCGGTCTGTTCTTGCTGTTGCTGTTCGTGGTCACTGTCTTTCGTTTTAGGTCGAGTTTGTCGCTTACTTTGCTCGCGTTTCCACTTGTAGGTCGATTGAAACCGGAGACAGAATTAGGAATGAGCTCAACGTGTGGCTTTGAGGGCTTCACCCGGTTCGAGAAACCCGCCTTGTCCTCCTTGACTATCTGCAGTTCGGACTGGGCTATGCTGAAGACATGCTCTGGCACTTGTTGACTGTGGAAGGGATCTTGCTCAAGCCAGGGACTCAGATCGATTGGAGCTAGGCTTTCCACCCCGCAGTTTTGACGCTCGTTGTTCTCAAACTCAGCTGGGATGAAAATGTGAGGCTGAAGGGTGCCTCCTCCTACTGTTCGGCAAAGAACTTGGGCCAGGGACACGCGGCGCAGGGAGTGCAGCTGGGCCGGAGTAAAGGAGCTCTCGAAGCCCCCGTTCTCATACCAGAAGCGGTCTCCGCGCCGGGCGTTGCTGAACTGCTGGGCGATGATGCAGGCGAAGGTCGGACCCACCAAGCCACCCACTACAGGTCGCTCGGCAATGCCGCCCACAAAGAGATCAATGTCGTGCACACTACGGTAGGCGTGGCCAATACGTTTGGCAGACTCCGGGCCAACTACGTTAGCTGTGAAAGAAAGACAAAAACGCATCATCATTTAGCCAAAAGCTAATGTTATATAAATTTTAAAATTAGCAGGTAATTAAGCAAAGAAAGTTGGAGAAAACATACGTAATAAACTTACCAAAATCATCCCAACTTTGGATGGCGCTCAGGCCACATGGCACTCGCCAGGCGGTGTACGGAGCGATTCCGTGGTCCCTTCCCCGCTGAATATTGATGGCAGCCAGATCTAGGCCGAAGGGAAAGCCGGGAGTCTGGAAAAGGTGATTGGTCAGCTCTGGAGTTATGAACTCGTCCCTCTTCAGGGCGCGTTGGGTGGCCAATCCGCGCAAAAGGCGATGCAGCGAGCCCGCCGAGCCAATATCACCACGTTGGAACTCCTCATGCAGGCTGACATCTAAATATAAGAGGTTAAGGAACATTTAAACAACGCAAAAGGCTAAAACGTTTAGTTCTTACTGTTATTGATCACATTGTGGTGGCGGTCGCATCTTGTGTAGGAATTTTGAACCAGGGAGTGGCCAAACCGAAAGGCAGCAGCGGCAAAGGCATTGGCCACTGTGGGATTCACCTTGGAACTATACCGTTCATAGTAACCGGAGGACAGGAGCTCCAGGTCGAAGAGCTTGCACACTTCCCTGCCCAGGATGAGGGGCAGAAACTCCCGGAAGGTAATGTGCTGGAACATGGCGCCCACAATGCGTCGCGTCTCCTGATACACCTTCTCGTCACTCCAATGCGGATTCAATTCGCTCAGCTCCAGGGCAATCCTATTGTGCTCTCCCACCCAAACGTGATGCATGGCTAACAGGCCTGGCTGCTCGCCACTACGCCCATCGCCGGAGCGTATGCACTTGGTGGCTATGGCTCCACGTTGGCACACATCCTCGGCGGGATCTCCTCGCCCGTAGATGAGTAAGCCATGCCGAAACACTCGAGCGTTGTCCGACGTCTTGGCGCTGTTCGAGTAAATTGGGGAGGCGTCGATGTAGGAGGTTACTTGGTTGGTCTGCTCCCTCCAGGATAATACGCAATCGCGCCTTTGGGCAGGCGCTGATCGCAGGAACTCCAAGCAGCGAACCTTGAGAGGTGCCAGCCAGGGATCGTCCAGCGGCACCTTAATGGGAAAACAGGCTGGATGAAAGTCTTTGCCACCACAACAACTGGGAATGGATCCGTTGATGGAGCTAAAAAAAAGTTAATTCAAAAGTTAATAAGTAATTTTTTGAGCTAACCTTTAGGTCACACTTCAGGTGTACTTACCGGGGCTGGGCAGTGGAGGTCAAATCGTGATCAAGCAACTGGCCCCACTGGGCGATCATCAGGGTGAGTGGGGCCTCGCCCTCCCGGGCTCCGTGCACCAGGAGACTCACGAATCGCGATGAGGACAGGGTGCTGCCGTCCGCAGAACTCCTTACGGTGTCGACACCATCACCGTACTCCGGCGGCAGGAAGCGGTTAAAGGGCATCTGGGCAGCGCCCCATCGAGGCCGCCGCTTGTTGTTGCAGGTGCCGTCGTGAGTGCGGTACCGCTCCGAGGCGGGCATACAGGGCGGTGGATCCCGGGGGGGACACAGACCCTCCAGGGCGGTCCGCCTCAGCGAGATTCGCTGCGTATGAGACTGCCGGGCAAGCTCATCGATTTGCTGGAAGCTGCCGAAATGAAAAACGATAGAAGGAGGAGTAGTAACAGGAGAGATCCAGGAGCCTGGGAGCACTCCGTGGACCGTTATCCTGGCGCCTCCGCAGGCTCCAGCGGTTTGGATGTTGGCGACATGGCTGCGCTCAAATTTCGAGTTCGAGTGCCGGCTGTTTGGGCCGCCACCTTCTATTTATAAAACGACTGCTCGAGCTGCAAAACTCAGCGGCTCCCCGGAGTTGGTGGAAACGAGTTCGCCACTCGGTGGCTTCGAATTGGGATCCACCGTCAAATTAAAGCACGTTGCGTTGCTTGCTACTGACACTGTCAGAGTGTGCTTCTGGGTAAGCATGTGTATGTGGCGGGAAAACGCATAAGAAATTGGTAAGCCTGACTTTGCCGCCGGCTTTAATTTACTCGCTTTTTCTTTCCATTTGCTGCGTTTATTAGCGACTCTTTTTCGTCAGTTTACATTTAGTTTTTATCTCTAGGGGTATAATAACTTAGTCATGAAACATGCAGAGCTTGCTGAATGTAATGTCATTTTCTTAGAAAGTACTGCGACATAGGGTCTCTTTTTTGTTACCATATGATAGTTTCGTAAGGTACAAAATGGAACAATATTATAGTAATTAATTCTGTCTTAAATATAGACTTAATACTGATGGAAAAATAGTCTAAATTCCTGTTCTGCCAGTATTCTTTCAGTTCTGCCCATCTGCGCTAACTTTCTCTTGACTTCAATCGTAACCATCTGCGCTTTATGTCTGACTTATAGTTTCCTGCCATCTTCCATCGATTCTCTAGGAGTTTTCACTTTTCGGCTCACACATGCCCAAATCACATGCTTAGGAAAATTAACTATGATGGACTGCTATTTTCGATGGCTGCTGGGGGATGCGCTAGTGTATAATCATTTCGGCACGTTTTTCCAGTTTTTCTGCTCTTTGCAGTCTTTTCACCTGCAGGTGAAAGTGGAAATTCGAATTTTCCCAGGCTTGGCGCTCTTTGTTTTTGATTGCTCGCTAAATTATTTCATTAGGCATTGTTTCTACAGAAAAAGGCCCATTAAGAGCGCGACCGCCCATTGTCTGCTGCTCGCTGCGTATACGCAATGTGGAGCGTAAAAAAGGCGCAGTCGCAGCGTGAAAAAGTTCATTGCCCCCTGCAACAACAACCACAACAGTAAAAAAATAAAAGCACAATGGGACAAAAATAAAAACTTTCGTGTGTCTTGAGAAGCTTGGGGCCGAATTCGTTGGTTTTGGTAGAAAACGAAAGTCGCGTCATGTTTGTTTTTCAGTTTCAGTTTCAATTTCGGCTTCGGTTTCGGTATCTGTGGCTGCTTCTTTCTTCTCCCAGCATGTCGCTCGGAGTCTCTTCGGGGTCTCTTCAGCCTCTGCCTCGGTCGCTGCCTCTGCCAACGCCGAAGCTGGAGCCCCAGTCGGGAGCTTGCCTTTCGTTTGATGTAATCAAATTGCGAATGCCGCCTTCGAAGCCGAATCTGAAGCTTCCAGAAGTGCGACAGAGTGCGGGCATCCACTCACACTCACGCTCGAGTCCGATCCGATTCGATTCGGGACATACTATATATGTATATATATTTTATCTAGCTTCGCTGCTGTCGCTTTCTTTGGCTTCTAATTTGGCTAAATGCTGCTTTTGGCACCATTAACGAGCCCCATCGGCGGTGATCATCATCAGCGCGGCTGGCTGATTGACGATATTTGTTGATATTTAATTAAGCCAAACATGTCGGCCATTTCGTAATTTGATTGTGACTGAGCTGACCAAACATTCCATTAATGGCCATCAGCATCTTTTGTCTGGCAATTGTCTGATTCGACAAATGCCGTTTGCCGTCGTGTCGCCCCATTGATTGCAATTACATAAATGTGATTTGGCCAGCTTTGCATTTGGCTCGGTTAGAGCTCATTGCACCTGAGCCGAAAGCACCTGAGTTGCCTTCGCGTTTGGGTGAAAGTTCTCGCCTCCAACGTGCTTTTTCAATGTGGGTACTTGTGAGTATTTTTGTGGAAAATTGCATGGATTTTCACAGTCCCGCAGTTCACAGTCACACAACCCGTTGTGAAAAGTGAAAACTCTGCCAGCGAAAAACTGGAAAAACTACCACCAGTTACCTATGAAAATACACTCGAATCAATTGCGTCTAATCTGAATATTCTTATAAAAATAGTATCCCCCTGAAAATTATATCATTTTTTTAGGTCCTTAGTTTAATGTTATATATGTTTTATATCCTTTTGATTTTCCTTGTATGTTGTTTATTCCTTTTCCTTTCTCCCAGTGCATATAAGCCAGTGATAAAAATGGAGATGAAGCTTGGGTCGGAATTGGTGGCGTTTGCTGTTTCCGTTGCCCGGCCAAAGAGGTCGTTTAACCCGGGCAACTTTAATCTACCTTCACCCAAGTCGCACCGCGTTTCTGCCATGACTTGGCTTTGGGGAGCGCGATGCGATCTGGTCCGATTGGGAATGGCGGCGTTGGTGTCGCCGCTTGTCTGGCAATTATGAGGCATTTCAATGTCAAAGTGAAAGTTGACTTTAGTCATGAGCAGTCCCAAAGAGCACTCGCACTCGCACTGGCAGCGGGTCCCCCAGCGTTTTGGCTACGATTTGTTTTCAATTCAGCCTCTGTTCGATTTTTTCGCCGATGGGTAGGAGTGCGGTTTGAGGAGTGGCGGGGTCACTTCCACTTGAGTCAACTTCCAGGCCATTCCATTCCAACTCCAACTCATTAGCTCTGCCACCGCCGCTGCTGCTGCCGCTGCCATGGATGCCGTAGAACTCGTTAATCAAGCGAGAAAGTTGCCAACGGTAATTGGTAGGAGAAGGAGCTCTCTGCCACGGGGAGGCGTCCTCAACACAATATTACTGCTCACTGTTTTTGTGGCTTTGTCTTTTTCGCTTATTTTGTACGGCTGTGCCCGCTTTGCATTAGATGGCCGGAGGCAGCAACTCGAGTGCGCGGGCATGTCTAGTTATTGGGGGTAGCTGCGAGGGGCGCCCCAGAATGATGTATGGATCTCTGCCCTGGGGCAGGATATTTATACAATAAGAAGTCTAAAGATCAAACAATCGCTTTTATAAATGTCTGTGGTAAGAAATATAAAACAATTCATCTGTGGGCTAAAAAAACACATATTGCTATTCAGGATACTATGTATACGCATGTCTTTCAAAACACCTGTAGAATTGCAAGCCTCATTATTATTTTTATATTTTGGCTTCATAGGTTCCTACATTATTCCTTGTACTGTTGAAACCCCCCTCGTTTCGTTGAATCCACTTTGATTTTTAATCATTCGTTCGCTTTTGCCAATAACTTTTTTCATATGTCATCGCCACATAGTTGCGTCTGACGAACTTATGGCCCGCCACAACCAACATGCCACTACCCAAGGCACACAGGCAGTGGCCCTCCCTCCCCTCGACATCGCCACCTCAAACTTACTTTTTGCGAAAGGCCTTGGCTGCGGCTATGGTGGCATAGGCGGCCATCTCCCGGCGCTCCGAGTCCGTTGTGGGGGCATTGAAGCGGGAAAGCATCGCGGCCGGATGGTTGTCCTGCAGAGTTTGACCTTTGGGAGGCATTTTCGAGGATTGGAATCAAGGTTAGCAGTGGGTGGGGGAAGGATATTTGTGCACGCCATACAGACCATTGCGCAGCATCTCCGGCTGAATGCGGCCGTAGAGCTCGGCCATGGCGTCGAGACCCTGCCGCACGCTTTGCTGCAAGGCCACGTCCATCAGCGTGGGGCGGCGTGAGCGGCCGTTCCGCATCTTCTGGAATTTCATCTTGGGCTCTGCCTCCGTGTCATCCCCCTCCGCGGCCAGGGGCGTCAGTGGTCGGGGCAGCTCCTTGGTGGGTGGCTTACCAGTGGCATTCTCAAAATGTAGGAGTAGCGCTGCCAGGAGCAGCAGCAAAGCCACCAACCATGATGGCTGCAACATTCCAACTGCGACTTCTGGAATGGATTATTTATTATCACAAAGGATTCAAAACAGTATCTAGAAAGCTTTACCCATATGGGCTGGCAGATCCCACAAGGGATTGGGATAAAATAAAAAGATTTTGGCAGATTTGCCTCAATCTGCGATGCTCAAATGTTTTGGTCATCTACTGCCTTAAGGGGTAAAAGGTTGGCCAAATCAAATCAAGCTGTCTTGCCTTCAATAAATTGCTTAATTTAAGGTAATTATCTATAAAGTTGCGTCTTTTTTGGTCACCAATCCATAATTGCGAATATATCTTCTGTTGTGATCCAACCGATCCCATTACATCAGCAGCGAAAAGCAGCTGCTTGTTGTTATTTAATTTCTTTTTTTACTGCCCACAGCTAATTGGAATAAAAAAAAAAAATTACAACTTATTATCGTCTAACTGTATTCTTTTATCCTCGACTGGCTTTTATTAATACTTTTTCTGCATATTTATTTCAATTTCTTCCGGCATGGCCAAAAAGAGGAATTTTTTTATTTATAGAATAATAGATTTATAAAATAATATGAGTCTTTTTTGATCATTTTATTGTTTTAAGAAATAAATTTCTTTTGAAAATTATGAAATAAGAAAAAAAACGCTTTGATAGGGTCTCCCAGGAAAATAATAAAAATAAAACAAGAAAGAACGGCGATGGTCAAGTTTTCCATCTATGTATATGATACCTCGCTAAGATAAAAATTAGATTAAAAGAAACAAAATGAATGTTCTAATACAAGACACATAAATAGAATAGTCCTGAAATGAAAAAAGGTCCTTAATTTTCTTTTCTAAATAAAAATAAGATTTGCATTTTGACAGAGGTAGCAAACCATGCTACCCCCTGTCGGTATTTTCACTTTTCGTCTGAGGGTCGCTAAGACTTTATCAGACTTTCGATTAATTCCGGCAATGTGATTTGAGTTTAACGTTTGTGTTACACTCTGGGACTTGTCACAACCAGCAAATTGCTGATAAGAGCGGAAGAAACCCACCCAAAAGTTCATGTTCTGTGAGGGGTCTATGCCAGTTAATCCCGTAGTTTTCCTGGGTATCTTTAGCTCGTGGTTTGCTAGTTTTCCGGGTCTTATTTAATTTCTGTTTGGCTGCAATGCGGAGTGCTTTATACGCTTCAATGAGCGCATAACAGGCACCAAGAGTGGTCTGTGTAATAAATTTTTTATAGTAACTGCTACCTACAACTTTATACACACTGTTTCACATTCCAATAATGGTTATGGTGGGTTCTGTGTCCCATACCAGCAGAGGCGGAGACTTTGATAAAAAGGGAGGACTTATTATTTGGTCTGATTTTAACTAAAATTTCACCTGGCGCTTTAAGCACTCCTCTTTAATAATCTGTTGTTTAGTTTTTCATTCAAAAATTATGCAATTAGATCTGACTGTAAGGTGTGAGGGGCACTTGCATAATGACTTTCCACTGCTCTCCGTTTAAGGGTACTCCTCCCCACTCATTGACACCTTCGCCGCCCACGGCCGTCAGGAAGTCGTGGCAGGCTACCGGCCAAGTATTAGCCTTAAGGTTTAGTGGGTTTGGCTATTTCCACCAGACACGGTCACTTAGGTATCTGTGGCATTCCGGCCATTAATAATAATCAATTTGTTGGATGATCTTTTGCGCAAAAACGGAAATTGGTTTACCCCAAGTGCAGTTTGCAGTTTGCAGTTTACAGTTTTCAATTTGTTGGCTGTAATTGCCGTGATTAACACCTGCCTCAATTAGCCGGGACTTTCTCGCTGCCACGAGCAAGTTGTAATTCTTATTTTTTGCTCAGTATTTTCAAGGGGGCGTGTCAGAGTTCCTACTTAGGCGGCAACTCCTGGCGATGTCTCACTTTTTACAACACACCGAAAAGAAACTTTTTCGCGTTTGTATCTGGGATCGTCGTAAACCGAACTAAATCGATTCTCACCTCATGGCTGCCATTAGAAGCCAAAAGAAACGGAGATGCCGAGCCGCAGAGCCCGAGACATGCCACAGCTTCACAAAGCCAAAAAAAAGCACCAAACGCCATACAGAAAAAAATGAAAGAGCAGCCTCCAAAAAGACCAAAAAGATCTTCAGGCAAGCGACCAGTTCTCCACTGGCTTTCATTCACTTCTCGTAGTAGCAGTTTTTTTTCCTCCCAGACTCCCCACCCCGACCAACTTTTAAATATTTATTATTTATTTTCAACTTGTTGGCGCTTATCGCCGTGGCCGTTGCCGTTGCTGTTGCTGTTGCCGTTGCTGCTGCCTCTCCCGGCTGCGACTCTTTTTTCCGTATTCCGTATTCAAATCGAAAGAGATAAAATGCCTCGCGGCTGCATAAAGTTCCCATTAAAGCAGAAACATAAGAAATGTCTTACTACATTGTGGGCCAACCAAACCGACCGCCGATCGCCATTCATCCGCTCCAGCCCAAAGCCACTCCAAGCATCCGACCATTCAGGCATCCAAACAGCTCCGCATCCACATCCACATCAATCCATCGTCGCAGCCGGTTCATCAAAAGACACCCAGCTGGATGCTTTGCTTAGCAGGCCGCTCCCCATTCCCCCCAAATCGAATCCGCTCCGCTGCCTCCCGCTCCGCTGACTTATCGCCCGCCGCCATCGAACTGCTTTCAATTAGAAGAGAAAGTTCTTGCCACAAGCGCATGCAAGAAAAAGTGAAAAAAGTATAAAAATAATCAACAAAGAAATGTTGTTACCAGCGGGCGAGATGCTTTTACTCTTAGCCAGATGGGATCGGGGAATATACTTACTATATACCGTGGGGCTCGAAGCTCTGAGGGGTTCAAGGGCCAGGGCGGCTGAGAGCGGCTGAGGGCCGTAAAAATTGCACCTCATAAATTAAGAAGTTGATGTATCACCGCGAAGTGACAACAATAACCCGGGGTTTCCACTAGGGCCACAGGCGGCGAGGGAGTCGAGAGGCTGAGACCCGAAGGCAATCGAACAAACTATACTTAACCATACCGATCGGAACGGAATGGAGCAAAAGGCAGAATATGCATAGAAAAAAAATGACATCAGCAATGCAAAAAGTCTTTAAATAGAAATGGAAATATTGCCGTTGGGAAGAGTTTCGCAAGATAGAAAATCGGATCAGTTCAGTCAGTAATAGAAGAGCTATGCCAGCCCTGTTATACTTTCATAGATAATACTTGAAATACAAATATTTACAGAAATACCAGACAAACACTCAAAGTGTAAAGCGCTTCCGACATTCTTCGTCTTAGAACCAGAAATCTGAAGCCGTTTACTCATGCCTGGCATTTCCCCCCCACTGCGGACTAATTCTCGGATTCTCGCTGCTTCTTAAGTGCTTTTAGCTGCACTTACACGTAAGGTTATCGGATCGGGATCCGTGATGAAATCGGGAGCGAAGCAGTGTAAGCCATAGAGTTGGATCATCACCAACTGCGTCGCAGCTGCGACAGTCGACCATCGCGATCGGCAATCGGCAACAGGCGATTGCTAGAGACAAAGTCAAAGGTAAGCTACACGGCTAATGAAATGCAATAAAGTTGTCCAGAAGAGGAGAGCAACTGGGTTCAATTAGCAGGTCGCGTTGGACGAATCATCCACTTGTGGAGTGGTGCAGGCTGCAGGTTGCCGCTGCACTCGTGGGCGTATTACGTATACGCCCCGTGGATCAAGCATACGTAAGCAAATTTATTTGCCTGACAAGAGCCACGCACTTGGTCAATTGGATTCAATTGAACTGTGGGCAGTGGATTCCTCCCTGCCCTCCAAAAAGCGGGGAAGAATAAAAATAACTAAAACATAGCTGACTTTGATCCACAAAGCGACGTCCCTCGGGGTTTTCTGAGTGGTCAGCGGAGGTAAAGGGGCCTCTGCTGGATTTTCTGCTGTGTCTGTGTATGTGTGTGGAGGCGTCGAATCGAAACGAAATGGAACGTTTGGGACGCTGGTGACGACAGTCGAATGCCAGAACAGAAAACAGAAATCCGGTGACTCTTACTCTGAGACTGGGTCACTGTTACGAGCGTAAGAACCAGCGAGTAGTATTCTCTGCTCACTCACACATCCGCAGACCCAAACCCCACACACACTCACTTAGTAATTAGAAGTGAGCGGGAGAGATAAAGTGGCTGCCATGGCAGAATTTATAAAGAATCGCTGGAATACTACACGAGGCTTCCATTTGGCTTCTGGCCGGAGACTTCGCTTTCGTTTCGCATATTTTACTCTTTGCCCTGCTTTATTGTAATTTATAATTTATTTGAATTTTATTTCTGCTTCTTTATTTCTCACTTTTCTTACTTTCACACGCAGACGGCCGGCGAAGAAAAAGGTTTGCCCTCCCACTCCACGCTCCACGCCACTGCGCTCCAAACAATTGTCGTGGCTGTCATTGTCGGGGTAATTGAAATTGCCAGTCCCCCGGTCCGAAGTTTTCGATTTCTGTTTATTAAGAGTTCGATTTTTATTTGCCATTGTTGGGATTAGCTCTATAAATAGACGTACAGTAGACGTGTGTGTATTACATTTAATATTATATTGTATTATAGGCGTAATAAATATATTGTAGATGCTCCGCCGTGCTCTCTATACGTGCGCCTCTGGGTAAACTAAGGTCTCTGATGCTAAAACTCGGTTTTCTTGCCATTTACAGCACTTCAATTAAGTTTAAATTTCATTTAATGCATTGTTTCCATTTTTGTAAACAAACAACAAAATCACTTGAGCAAATACGTCCCATTTGGAGGAATAATTTTAGTTTCTGTTTCGTTTTCGGTTTCTTCTTTTCATCCAGCATATACAGTATGATTATTAAAAATAATAACAGTTGCATAGGTATTAATGATTACGCATATATATAGGGTTGTAGTATATTTATATGGTGTGGGGTGTGAGTGTAGGTGTAGGTGTGTGTGGAGTTACGTGCCTGGCATTCCGAGCTGCAGCAGCACCTGGAAGTCTCTAGGCCCGCTGTCCGCCAACTGCTGCCCGAAACTGGCTGAGCGCGTGAACAACAAAACAAAATTAAACAACATTGTAGAATGAGTGTGTGTGTCGTGTGTGTGCGCTTACAAAATAAAACAAACTTAAGACTACGCATGTGTGGATGTATCAGCTAAAGTATTGCACTATGTAGTATGTATAAATATGCGGTAAACAATTTACATCGAATAAAATTCGAGTTCTGCTGAAGATTAGAAATAATTAGCGGAAGGAACAGGAGCCCGAAAAAAAGACAAAGAAAGAGAGAGTGTGGCTGACAAAGTATACTATAAATATGTGATGTCCTTTTCCTAAGTTATGATCTGTTTTTGTGGTTCTTTTTTTCGTTACATCTCTTGCTTTAGATAGTTATTTCTTGTTTTTGAGAAGGAATGTCATTCTTGATGGCCGTCCCACCAATTCACACAGATGGCCCTGCCCCCTGCAAACACTTTGAAGCCTCTAACCTGACCCCAGGGACCAGGACCAACGCTATCTCGTTTTGAACGGATCACCGGGCGAACTACATCACTTTAGTTATCTGATCGGTTCGAGAAGTTCGAAGAGTCTATATATGTACATATAATCAATCAATAGACCCGACAAATTCGAAAAACAGATATAAATTTCGAGTCTTCAGAGTCAGATTCCGCATTAGTAGCCTCATCCAAATGAACTGCTGGAACTATCCGCAGCATCTGAATCATCCGACTCGGCCCGATCCTTTCAGTCAGCCAGAGATCCCCGACAACCCACAGCACAGCACTTGACCGATCCATCGGCCGTTCGTCCCGCCCCGCCCCCGTCGCCATTCGTAGCGCCTTCGCCTCCGCCTCCAATGGTGCTCCAACGGCGCTGCAGCAATCCACTGAAAGCTCCCAAAGTCCAGCTACCCTCAGTTGCGCCGCTCGCCCGCTCGTGCTACTGCTGCGTGCCGCTGCTGCTGCTGCTCCTTGTCGCGCAGCTCCTTGATGGCGCCCACCGTCCCGAACATCACCTGAGCCGTCAGCTGGGTGCGCGGAGGACCCCCGGACTTGCTGCCGCCTGACGAGGCCTCGCGATCCATTCCGGCGTTCGTGTTGGCGTAGGCACTCGTGTACGAGACGTAGTTGTTGTTGAGGTCGCGACCGCAGCTGCACTGATGAGACATGATGCACGTGTCTAGTTGCTCCGGACTGAGTTCTCCTTGGATGCAGAAGTGATTTGGGCTTTTTGAGTTTTTTGGCAAGTTCTCAGCGGCGAGTGACCAGTTGATCCGCTTGCGGTTGTTTGCCAATTGATCGCGCGTGTACCGTCGTCGCCGTGCGATAGTCGAAGTCGCTCACACTTTCACAGACTCACTAGAACTAATTTCGAAAAACTGTGGTGTTGTTTTTGTGGCCAGGCCCCAAGTTGGCAGCGGCCGAGGCAGCGACGCTGGCAGCGGCTGCGATGAGCCCCCGAGAGCGCCGAAAAGAGCGCCATTGACGATCGGCGGCTCAGCTGATGTGGGGAGAGAGCCCCCAAACTTGTTGCTGTTGCTGCTTCTGCCGCCGCCGTTGCCGCTGCTGCTCCTGCGTTGTTGCAGTGAAATGATAAATTTCTCTACACTTTGCGGCAGCGGATTGCTGTGGCTCTCTGTGAAGTTGCTGCTGCTGGCGTTGCTGCTGCCGTTTCTTCTGCTGCTGCTGCGGGAGAGCTTTCTTGGTTGCAGCGGCGCGGCTGCAGCAATAACAACTGTCTGTTGTTTCTAATGCCGCCTACCCCCATTCACCGCCCCCTCTGACGCATATAATCGCGACGCTGCGCTTGTGTAATCTTTACGTCGTCTTTGTATGGCAACGATTTGGTTTTCGAATGTTTTTTCTTTTTTCTCTTTCAGCGGTGTGTTTTTGTTTTTCTCATAACAATTTGCGAATTCCAAAGGCACGCTCACAGCAGCAATAACAACAAGAAAACAACAACCAGACCAGGTGAAAATCACTAAGCATTGCAGCGAGTCACCTGTTGTACTCTGCTGCCACTGCCGCTGTTGCTGCTGCTGCTGCTGGCATTCATTAAGTTTCATTCACCTTTTGAGCAGCTTTATTATGGCTTGTTTGTTTGGTTTTTAATAATTTTTTGTCCTTACATTTCGGCTTTTACATAATTAAGTGGCAACCGCACAGTCCAAAGGGCGAATGCAGGCCGGAAATGCCATTCTAACAGCCTGAACCTGACCCCGAAACAGAACTGCCACAGCGGCAGAACGAACGGGATCTACATATGTATGTATGTGGGGAAAGGCAAGAAGTGGCTTCAGCAGTAAAACCGCCAGCAGACTCGCTTTCGATCGAGTGGCCATAGCATATCACTTTCCTCGGCGGCTGAAGACTCGTAGTACCAGTTTTCTCTACTCTTCTTCTGCTAAGAACTCAAACGGTGACCCATATTGCGGTGCGGTCGCTGCTGACGTCAGCGTCGTCGGGGAGCGTGTACTGAGAGAGTGGGTGGTGCGCGGCCAGAACCATGTAGCGGCGAGAGTGTTGTCGGAGAGTTCGAAAAGAAAGCGAAAAAAGAAATTTCAATGCAGCGAAGCGTAGAATGGAGAACGTACATATACCTATATGCATGAATGTTTGTGCTGGTACTCCAACAAACAAACACACACCACCACACAAGATCGTTTGCTCACCTACTTCTGGGCCATCGAGTGGCGGAAAGTGTGTCAGTGAGAAGCCCCCAAAGGAGAGAGACCCAAGGTAGAGGCAGAAGCCAGAAGAGAGCAAAAGTAACGAGCAACATTCTTTGCTGACTTTCTGCCTCCTTCATGAGTACTTACAAATCTAAAGCACACAGTTGAGGACAAAAAAATAGTCTTAGTCTAGATTCTAGAACATTAGTTACTTTTTAATCTAAAAATCAATGATCATGTGTAGTGTGTAGCTTATACATACATATATAAAAAACACCTCATTCTCTTTGAAAACTTTCTTAAATTGTTTTGTTCAAAAAACACATGAATTCAGGTACACCCCTTTCGACAGCGGGTAGAATATCCTATTAACGGACCTGATGTTGTGCTCAGGAATATATGTATGTATATGTACGATCTATTTACATAACCCAGGCGTAGCTGGTTAGGGAATGCCGCCCACTCGGTCTGCTCCAGAAATTCTTGGCTACGCACCTGGCCGAAAAGACGGCTCGTTTTAGCCATAAATCTCATCAGATTTTCTCTCTGCTGGGCGCACCGCCCGACTTCTAATTATAAATGCATATTTGCGCCGTCAGTTAGTGGCTTCCATGGCTGCTGCCATTGTTGTAGCTGGGTATGTTGGTATGCTTCGGCTGATATCTGACGCCACATAAGTTCATCTGGATCTCAAGTGCACAGTGCACTGGGTTCTCATGCGCAGAATCAATTAAAAGAGATGAAAAGCCCCAAACGAAAACTTGTTGTGGGAAAAACCTCCTAAAACCTGCATCAAAATCGTGATTTTCATTTTTTTTTTATTGTTGTTGCTGGTATTTTTTATAATTTTGCTCTAAACCCACTAAACTACAACTACGAAAATGTTTTATTTGGCTATTTTTATTTTTATGTTTTTGCTTATGCATTTTTCGGTGGGAAGCTTGCACCGTCTTTGCATGTGCCCGAGTCGGGATGTGTGTGTGCTCGGAGTAGGTGTGGGCTAAACTGGTTGGGTGCCTCGTTGTCTTTGGCCTGGCCAACTGCAGGTTTAATTTTTGTCTCTCTGTTTTGGTCTGACTTGCCCACCGCCGCACCGCGGCAATGATGATTTATAGCTGAACTTGTCGCTGGAAAAGCGGACAGAAGTTGGAATTGCTTGAGAGCGATCGAGCCGGACCGTGACAGCAGCCGCAAAATATCCTCGCCGAGCCACATGTATGCCGACAGATGCCAGATGCTATGCGCCAGATGTGGTGTGCCCGAATAGCCAAATGAGCTGCCGCTGGCCTCCGAGATTAGGCCGCTGGGAAATTTATTAACCTGTTCCGGTGGGATGACGCGGCAGTGTCAGCCCACCGAGATTAGGCCGGCCACGCTTTGGCCATGTTTGCATGATGTTTCGGTCTTGATTGTTCTGTTCGCAGCCGATGTCATTAGAGCCTCTTATCAGCCTGATTTATGATCGATTGCCTGTGGTGAGTAAGAACAGCACACGCCATTCCACTTCCTCTATCCCTGTATCCAAATCCATATCCACTTCCACATCCATCCCCGGGTGCAGGCCAAAGGTTGCCGGCCATCGATGATGCAAATGGCTTTCAAAGCTATTCGCGCCCAACTTGTCGAAGACTGACGTCATGGTGACAATTAGACGCCATTTTCCCAGAAAGCCATAAAAACTTATAAATTTCTAGAGCAAATTGTTACTGCGCCACAAATCTCAATGCAATTTCGGAGCTCCCCTCGATTCACGCTGAGCCCTCAATATTGCGTATACGCCCAGTGCTCCGTTACCAAACCCCCCGAAACAGGAGCAATTAGCTGGGGTCGGATGGCGGACGAGGATGGGGTAGCCCAATCAATGTGTATATTTTCTCAATATTTTCCAATTAGCAAACGATTTTTGCTTTTGTACGTAATTAAACTATTTACAACTAAGCGCCGTCCCAGCGGGATTTCCTCGGGTAATGGTGGCTTTTCCCTGCTTCTTTAAGAGCAATTACGCGGGATGCATTCAAACGTATTGGAATAACGTAAGCAGATTGATTGAAAATAATGCCAAAATAAGGACAAGAAAGAACTGCTACGCTAGAGAAGAGACCAGAACCCACATCAAATACTCTAAGATACATAAAAAGTCAGGACTTTACAAGGATGTTTATATAAAAATAGCTTAAATCAAATTTTGCCATGCCAGGATGCCTGGAGAGGGCATGCCAAGAAAAACATTATCGACAAAATGTCATGGATCGGAAAACATTTGTATAATTTTCAAAGGAAGCGCAGCCTCAGTGGACTAATGTGGCAGTCGGACAAATGTGAACTTGTTATGCACCCCGACCCCGTGGCGAGATTGTGGAAAAAGCTGACATTCCGCATAAAATTCCTTGGCGCTTTGCTTTTGAAATGTTACAGATAAAGGAGAGGCAAATCGACGGAAGAAGGGGTTCTGGGGCTTACATATCATTTGAGTTGTCAGTGGATTTGCGGAAGAGCCACAAAGCCGGTCTGAAGCCGGCTCGGGGCAAGTGTCCCGTCTTTGACTAATGCGCGCTCAGCCCGCTAACAACTTGCCATTCCAAATGAGAAATAGTTTCAGACCCACCAGCTCCGTAGGTGCTTTGGCCTCCTAATGCAATGTCGCATTCATCATACGCTCCGTTGTTTTGCATACGAGCGCCGCCGTCTCTGCCCTCCAGTTGCAGATTCGACCTCACCTTCTCAAAAGCCTTAAGTTACACGAGCTTCAGTGCACCATCCTGACGTCTTGGTTGCCGAAGTCGCAGCACGGCCACTTGTTACATCCTTGGCGGCAAGGACCACGCAATTTGACCCACCTCTGCCTCCTGCACCACAGCCACTACCCCTCGTCCGTGTTGAGAATCTGCGCGAAAACTCACCACACATTGTCGTCACTTTCTGCTGTCGTGTGGGTGTTTCGTTGATAAGGGCGCGCAAAAACCAGCAACAACAACAAAAAGAGGAGCCGACGCCGCCGCCTGGCTCATATAAGAGGCCGCGCTCCGGCGGATGCGGATTCAAAACATAACCGACATTTGATCTGTCAACGTGCAACAGCAGCAACTTGAATTTCTTAGCCATCTTTTTGCCGCGAATCGTTTATGTATTTGAGTTTCAACGGTCATTGAAAAGAAGTGCGTTTCTGATAAGGATTCAGTCCTAATTGATCCTGAACCGGTTGAACCTTGTTCTCAGTGAATTTTCACGGTTGAAATTTCCCAGCGGTACTTGGAACTTGCTGTAAGTTTAAATAAATACAGTCAAAAAATAATATTTTTGAAAACACAAAAATTTTTGGTGTGTGGATGATTTTTTAAAGATACTGTTGTACATTCATCCAACTTTAGACCTATCGAGGATTAAAAGATTAACTAAATAATTAAGGAATAAAATAATTCAGTTTCAAACTCACATAATCTAAAATTGAAAGTAACATTTGCTTTTATTTTTGAAGTTGCACGAAAAAATTTATAGAAAAGGCTAAACGCCTTATTTTTAGTTCTTTAAACGAGTACTTATTTCATTAGAAATATACAAAAAATTGAAATGGATCGAATTTTATTTTAAAAATTAATTTTTTTAATTTTTTTTTTTGCCAAAACATTAATTTTTAGTAACTTAAACCATTATCCCCTCATAAGCTCATAATAATGTTAGTTATTTACTCACCTTAGTGAACACTATAAGTTTTATATTTTTTTTTTAATTTTTCTTTAGTTGTTTTCGGATTATTTCGGTTTATAAATTTATTTGGCAGCTATTTTAAATTTACTTAGATGCCGATAAGGTAACCCGCAGTCGCCCCAAAGTACGTGCCCCAAAAAGTATGCAAGCAAAATAAAATGGCAATTTGTACTCGTATTTGATCTAACAGAGACCCAAATTCAATTCACTTTGAATCGCTTAGCACGAAGGCATAACCAAATTCGATTGTACAAAATGCCTGGAGCTCCAATTGACATATGGCAACAACAAGTGTTCCTTGATCCTGGGGCAGGATAAATCGCTCGATTTCCTTGCAAGACAAAAGACAAGCCTCAATCAAATTGTAATTAAATAAATAACAACACGCCCAAGAGCGAGGGATAACAAGAAAGAGAGCAGAAAAAATGGCATCACACACACATGCTAGAAACAAAAACCCAAAAGCCAAGGCAAAATATTAAATAAACAAATCGGAGGACAATTGTTGATTGATGTTGGGGCAAGTTTTGGGATGGGCCGGAGGAGGACGTGAGTTTGTAGATGATGTTGTGCCTCGGGTCAGTCGCAGTGTTTATTCGCAAAATTGATACCCAAACGATATGTGGCCACGTCAAATTAAAGAAAAACAAGCAACCAGGGGCAGCAACAATAGGGAACAAGGGTCAGCCGGTTCGACAGGAAACGGGCCAAAGGAAAGGGAGCGGACAGAGCAATGAGATGCTGGCTTTTTATTAGCTTCTCCCTTGCCTAACCGCCATAAATTGGTGCAAAGAAGTTAGCCACTTCATTACCTGAACGTAACTTAATTAAGGAGCTTAGAGGGTTGCGACAGGACTGGACGCCCTCGGCGGTGCTTTCAATTTAAAAAAGCAGCTGCGAACAAATTGCTAGTACTTCAATTGCAAGCAGCACGTTGTTTGCCCATTTGGTGGTTTAACCTTTAAGAATCGGCCCAGTCTTTGGATTTTGAGTCACCTGGGGCTAGCTGAGGGATCTCCGTCTGTCGTAATTTGCCACATCAGCTGAAATTGCTTGGCGCTTCTTGCCAAAGACTGGGAAAATTTGCTTATATCCTTTTTATATTTTTTTGGCCTTCGATGCCACAGCCAACCAATGCCTCGCTTCTCATCTTGGCCGACCAGGAAAGTTTTCAAACTTAATTAGAACGCCGTCGCGGGCGCTCCTTTGAATTTCCGTTGCATTTTGTGTGGCGGTCAAAGCTAATCGCCGCTGCGGATATGAGAAAAGCCGGAGCCCAGCAGGCCAAAGAGTTATGGGCCAAAGCGTAAATTCATAAGCAGATAATGTCTGAATCTCATTTGCGCACAAGGGCGCCGCGTACGACAAACAAGATTTTATGGCACGAATGGAAATAATAGTGAAAGGTGTTGACACTTTTCACAAAACTTGTCCAACCCCCCCTCAGATTTACGATTGGTTCTCGACATTGCTGCTGTCCCTGCAGAGGTTGTTGTTCTAGACGCCGTGTTGCGGTTGATAAAGTCTAACAAATGTGACGATTTTCCGCCTATTATCTCGTGGCCGTAGCCTGTGCCAGCGCAGAGCAGTCATTGCTTTTATTGTCCTGCGTGGAAAATGCACAGCTGCCTGCCATGCCGCTGCCATTGTAAATCAAATACGGGGGTCGACCCCGGCCCGTCCCATCTGTCCTTGGCTGTTGCCTCACTCCTGCGGTAGCTGGGGCTGAACCTGTTGCATGATTTGTGCCCCTGTTGCACATGCACTGTCTGAATTTATGAAGGCACACGGTGCGTATGCGCAATATTTTCAGCGCAGACTAACCCCAAATGTAGGCTTCATTAATCGAGGACCGAATTGTTTGCACATCATTATGGGTGGCAGCAGGCCATCGATGACGGAATTAAGTCAAAGGCAGAGGCTGCTCCAAGCCACTAGCCTAATGGAAAATGGCTAGAAAAGTTAATTTGCCTAACCAAACAACAAGCGGCTGGATGCCTTGGCAGTGAAGAGACTTTAAGGCGCCTACGTGCTCCGCCTGCCGCGCAGTTAGAACACCCAGACAGCCGTCGGAAATGCAACCGTAGGTATGCAAATACCGAAACCAGGATGGAGGACACCTTCGCCGGCTATTGTCTGCTGCCTTCGTCGGTGCACTTTCAATTGAATGGCAGTGACACCGCGCAGAAGTGTCATGACAGCGCCACAAAACGCTGATGGCACTGTCACTACTCCCATTCCGCTAATGGAATGCGCAGAATGACTGCTTAAAGCTGAACCCATTCCCAGTCAGTTGTGGCTTGAGTTTTTGGAAAATTGTGGCCGCTAATTGCGGAATTGGGGTGGGAATTAAGCCACTCAGCAAACAGGTCGACAACTCCTCTTCGCGGATCAAATTTAACTTTTACGAGCCGGGCAGTTACCGCTCCTGCAAGGCCAGCAGAAAACCCAACGTCGCGTCTGCTGCAACGCGGCCCAAGACATTCCGCATGGCCGAAGCAAGCGGCGCCAACTTCTGCCACATTTTTGGGCGTCCTGCAGGCCATTTTTATTTGCTCCCCATATTTGCTCCGCTGCCTGTTTGTTTGCCGTTGCCTGGCTGTCAACGCGCCGACATTTGTTTGTCGTTGACATATTTTGTGTTTGGGTGAAATTCCTGGTCGATTGTTTGTTTCTTTATTCTGCATAAAATTTCGTACAGGATGGCAGAAATGGGTTTGCGTCTGTGGGCAGTAGGGTGATTCGATTTATGTAAATAAGAAGATCTAAAATTTTAAATTACTTTTACAAAATTATACTATTTCATCTTTTTAGAATACATACATAAGAATTTAGTTTAAACCTAATTAAGAGCTTCTAAAGATTTATTTTTGTATTAAAATGAAACCATAACTGCTTAAAAATGTATATTAAAACAGTATAAAATATCGAAGACACAGACATTTTTTCTTGAGTATATCCCTTCAAAAATAGACCCTGTGGTATGTTGTTGTATGCTTATATTGAGCCACCCTCACATAAAAGTGTCTATGTTTGGATGTGGCAGCCACAGAGTATGCAACGCTCTCGACACACTGGGCAGAATGGGCAATGAATGTTTAAAATTCTATTCGTCGCCTGCTCACTTTGTCTTCGCTCACTTTTGCAGCAACGGCAGTCAGACGTGTCCCATATTCCTGCCACACCTCCAGCATCACAATGAACTCCCTTCACGCCCACATCTTGCTGCTGGCCGTGTGCTGTGCCGGCTACATCGCCTGCTCCCCGGTCATTGGCCAAGATCAACGCAGTCCGGCTTCCGGCGACGCCGACGCCGAGGTCATGATGGCCGCCGATGATATGCCCGACAACAATGGCGACAACATAGACAAGCGGATGGAGCGGTATGCTTTTGGGCTGGGCAGACGGGCCTATATGTACACGAACGGGGGAGCGGGCATGAAGCGGCTGCCGGTTTACAACTTCGGATTGGGCAAGCGCTCGCGTCCGTACTCCTTTGGCCTGGGCAAGAGGAGCGACTACGACTACGAGCAGGAAAACGAAGTGGACTACCGGGTGCCGCCGGCGAACTACTTTGCCGCCGAGCGTGGAGGTGAGTAGCGCTTGCCATTAATCCCAGATGCCCTTTTATTTACTCCCCGAGTTACAGTGCGACCTGGCCGGCAGAACAAGCGAACGACGCGTCCGCAACCCTTCAACTTTGGTCTAGGCCGACGTTAAGTTACCCAGGGCTAGGGGCTTGAGTGGCGCACCTACCCGAATCCAGCCGTGCGACACTCGGCAACGAGCCCAGCCATATATAATAATCAAAAAGTACTGCAAAAAGCTCTCAGACACTTGCAAATCTCCGCCAAAGTAGGATCACCTTCAGAAAATCTAAATGTTTTTAATCCAACCGAATTCTTCGCACGCTCTTCGCCCCCGAAAATAGTTGTAATAAATCGCTAAAGCCAAATGTATTTATATTTAGTTTATAATATTTCGATTGAGGCGTACGACGGCAGCAATTATTAGTTTAAACTGCAATATAAAATTGCAAAAAAATGGATAAAAAAAGTATTATGAATAAATGACAGATTGTGAATGAAAACGGCGTGTGCAATTATCAAGGAAGAAGTACATGAAATGCTATACGAATTATTATACCTATATATGCATATTTAATCCAGTTTACAGTAACACATATATGTATGTACATTTTAAAGGGGCATTACTTACTAAAGACACACGGATATATACGATTCATACTTGGGGCACTCTCTCGCAGGAAAGGAGCGACACGAGAGGCGTTCGTTGCAGCCGCAATCGGAGGATCACGAATATTGGGTAACTTGCATACTAATATCGGTGTTACTAAGTGTTTAAACAAAGTGATTAATACTTTAAATATCTATGATTACGAAAATGTAATTGTTTTGTGAATATATGCCTAAATACCCGAATAAATATAGGCGCAGCCAAACTGTGCAAGCAAAACATTTGAGATTTGTGTTCAATTTATTCTTCAGTTCAGTTGTCGATTTACATAAAAACAATAATAGGAGTTCAGAGGACGTACATACTGCCTTATATCTAACACCGCGATGATAGCTTAGCTTACTCAATGTTCAGTTAGTGTTCCTAGAGAACCAATCGACTCAACAAATTTGCTTAACATTGGACTAACACAACACAGAAACGTTGCAAACACTTAACATAGAAAAGAATCTAATCCTAGAACATGTCGATCTGAAGCTTGCAGAGAATGGTGTCGAAGGCGAAAACGGAGGATATAAACGTGTAGGGGCTGAAGCGGATGATGCCAAAGTCCGGCTCCAGGCTGGGCAACGCGCGCTGCGAGAAATTCGGCATCGGTTGCGTCTGGTACCGGCCCGTGGGGACGGGAGGATGCTTGCGGGCATTCTGCTTCATTTTCTCCTTGCGGGCCACCAGCTTCTTGGTTTCGCGCACCATGTAGATGGCCTCCGTGTTGGTCATGTAGTCGTGGATGATCTGCAAGGCAGGAAAAACAGTACAGATAACATTATAGCTCAGGCCCTGACTTGGGTTCTTACAATTTTGAAAAATACATTTGTGATTTTTTTATGAAACATAAATTTAATTTCACACAAACACAATTTACACACGAAGAACAACAATGAATTTTTTTTAGTTCGGTCATGTAGTTATTTCCGCATCCGAAACACCTCTTCGAAAACTTGAAATGCAACCAACCTTTTGGAGACACGTTACGGAGGCGGAAATAAGAACAAGACGAGTTTTTTGAGTAGTCACCTTTCGCTTCTTGGGACAATGGGCGAAGACCCAGATGAGGGTGCAGAGGGTGTTGAATATTTCGCTGTCCTTGTCGCACCAGCGCAGCAGCATCTGGGCAATGGTAACCAGACCGCCCTCCTGGAATGTGTTTACGGTGGTGCTGTTGTAGCGGGCCAAGTTAAGGATAATGCGGCTGCACCGCTCGATCAACTGCTTGTCCACCTCCGAGCGAATAGCTTGGGCCATGATTCCATAGCAGAACGTCGACATGAACTCCGAGCACCACATCAGCAGGTGAGGCACAGTGCGGGATAAACGATCTAAAGGAGGATTAAACGGGAGGGAATTAGTAAAGCCATGGGATTAACGGTTCTGCAAGGATCTAAAGGACTAATAAATGCGAGCACTCACCCAAACGGTTTAGCACAGCCAAAGCATCCGAAGCAATAAAGCGTCCTCGCAGCAATCGCACCGCTTCCTGCACCTTGCAGCGCACAGAGTTGACAACAGTGGCCTCTGTCCTCAGCTGGACAATACGGCGTCTGATGGCCACGAGGCCCTGATGCCGCTGGCGCTTTCGGATGACATAGCCTCGCCAGTAGCGCTGTATCACCTTCGCCGCGCACTTTTGCCGGATCAGATCCTTCATCTCGGGAGTCATGAGGGCGTGGAACCGCTTGCGTGCTAAGAAGCCTCGAACTCGCGATTGGAATTCCGCAACGCTGCGAATCAATAAAAGGAAATGCGCCCGCTGCTCTATCATCATCTGCTTTCCGCGGAATTTTTGCTGCAAATGGATGGTGATGTTGCGGAGTTTTAGGAATGCCTGCCGATACTTCAGCATGCATCGAGTCGCACGAAATCTTCGCTGCACCGTGATCACCAACGACTTAAGCTTTTGGAATTCTTTTCGCGCCTTCAGCATTTCCTGACGGGCACGGAACCGACGCTGCAGTACTATGGCCGCCCTCCGTTCCAGCTCGAATTGTCTGCGTTGCTTTCGCATCTGCAGGGTGGCTCGGATAAATTGCTGCATCAGTCGCACCTTGGCGATGGTGGTAAGAAAGATCTGTCGCTGACGACGGGCGGCAACAGTTGCCCTCCACTTTCGTTGGATGCTCAGAGAGCTGGCTCGCATCCTGCGGTACCCGCATCTTAGTTGTCTCATCTCGCGCAAACTGCGCCACCACTGCTGCAGGCGAATAACTGCTTCTCGCTGCTCTTGGTACACTTTCATCTGTTTCCTCGTTTGAAGTTTTCCACGATACCGTCGCTGCATTTTAATGATCATTTCCCGTTGGATTCGATACAGCTCCCGATGCTTGCGCATCCCAACGTTGGCACGGTAGCGTCTTTGAATGGTGATAGCCGCCTGCCTAAGGCTTGCATAAGAGTTCCTCTGCTGTATCATGGCTAAACGAGCCCGGTAGCGACGCTGCAGTGTGATTGCTGCCTGACGCTGATCCAGGAAACGGGTTCTCTGCAGCTTCATTAGGAGATATCCTCGCCAGTGCATTTGCAGGCAGGTGACTGCAGCTAAGGTGCCCCGATATTTTGCCCGCAAGAATCTCATGGCCTTTTCGGCATGGAATCGTCTTTGAAGCTTTACAGTACATTCGCGTAACTTGAGGAATCTTTGTCGCTCTTCTCGCATTTTAAGAAGGGCTCTTCGACGTTGCTGAATGACCAGAGTCGCTTTCTTTAATCCAACGAATTCCTCACTTCGCTTCTTCATTTCGAGTTTAGCGCGGTACTTGGCTTGAATAAAAACTGCAGTGGACCTAAGTCTTAGATAACTCTGTCGCTGACGGCGCGTTTCCAAAGTGGCTTTCCAACGCCGCTGGACGTGGATGATGCATTGTCGTGCTTTGAGGTACGCCCGGCGATCCTTATGCATCTCACGGAGCAAGCGATAGCGCCTCTGAATAACCCTAGCGGCCTCTCGCAGCTGGTGGTACTTTTTCATTTCCTGGCGCATTTGCAAGGTGGCTCTCAGACGCCGTTGGATGCGAACGACACTGATTTTGGTAGCCTGGTACATGCTTCGGTCCGATCTCATCTGGATAGTAGCTCGCCGAATACTCTGAATCTTTTTTACACAGGTGCGAAGTCGCAAAAAATCCGCTCTTTGCTTCCTCATCAAGGTCAGAGCCCTCCAACGTTGCTGCACGTTCGCAGCTGCTTTTCTTAAGTCCAGGAAAGACTTACGCTGCTTCTGCATGATCCACTTGCCTCGCATTCTGTTTTGAACAAAAACGATGAGTTCGCGCTGGCGCAGATACTTCTTCCGCTGCAACTTTCCCAACCAATAAGCGCGCCAATGCATCTGAATGAAACTGGCTGCGGCCTGCTGCTTCTGGGAACGTTGAAGCTTTGCAGTGGCCGCCGCAGCAAGCAGCTTCTTGGCGAAGAGACGACGCCGCCAGATGCGCTGAAGGAAAACAGCTGCCTGGCGCATCTCCAGGAACCTTTGGCGCACCTGCTTCCCCAGCTGCTGCGCTCGCCACCAGCGTTGAATTGTGATAATGCTATGGTAGCTGAGGTAAAGCTGCTTCTGGGCCAGATAACGCCTAGTGTACTTTTGCAGGACGATAGCAGCTGCCGTGCGCTCTGCCTTGAAAAACTTGGCATACTTGCGCATCTGGTGGCCGCGGAATACGGCCTGTATAGTGGTGGCTGCTCTGTGGCGGCGCATAAGTTCCTTTTCGCGGATGCGACGTTGAATGACAACATGCAGCCAACGCTTGCGCCACCATTTCTGGAGAACAGATGCGGCCGCATGGAATTTGGGGGAGCGGAATTTGTATATGATTTGCCAGAGCAGCGAAAGCGTCTTTTCTCGGTGGCCATCAACAATATCAGGAGCAGCTATATCGCCCCCCAAATGAAAGTTGGCTTCGTTGAGGGCTCCCAAAGCCAGCTTTACATTAAAAATACGTTGAAGCCGGGATATGGCCGGAACTCTCAACTGCTTGGTTAGGTCGTCCCGCAAAAGGATGACCTCCATTACACGGGTCAGACGAACGCCGTCCCTTAAGTCAACAGCCAAGTTGTTGAAGGCGTAGTCAAATTCGTCCAGAAAGGTCTGCTTATGCTGGAGCACGTATCCCAGGCGTCGCATTTCCCGAGTGATGTCCCCGATGTTGGCAAGCAGCTCCGAGGCAAATCGCAGCAGAATGTCCTTGGTTTCCTTGTGCGGCGATTTCTTCACAAAGAGGCAAGGGTTATGCTTAACGATGCGCTTCTGTTTAGCCTGGTCCAAGAAGAGCAACAAAAATAGAATTTTTTGCAGCGTATGCTTCTTAATTGTCTCCGCATACTCCTCTGTGAGAGTGTAGGCCTTGCTGTAACGTTGCTCCTCCAGCTTGTTGCGGAACAAGCGATTCAGAATAAAGGTACTGAGCCCCACAATATCCCTGTTCGACTGCATCAGGATCTTCTCGCCGAAGACAACTTCCAGTCCGAGGCGCAGCCATAGCGGATTGAAACAAAGCAGCAATTCGAGGATTGTACGCTGCATCACCACATCCAAGTGCAAGTTACGATCGCTTCGGATGCGCAAAGCCTGCTTGTTGACATAGACGGCTACCTTGGAGCATGGCAGACGCATCTGTTCGCTAAAGAACAGCTCAACCGCAGCTTTGCGAAGAGTTTCCAGACGGTATTTAGTAAGATAATTCATAGATTGCTCCTCCTTTGTGGGGGCCACCACAAGCTCCTTATTTCGCACCTCGTTAAATAGCTTTCCCACGTCGATTTTGCTATTGGAATCGGCATCTAGGTCGGCTGGTATGGAAACCAAGGCGTTCAGCCACTTCTTAAAGTCTGCCTGGTGGCGATCCACTGCCTGCTCGTCTAGGTACATCGTGGAGGCTAAGAAAGGGTCCGCCGTGGTAGTGGCAGCAAAGGGGTCGGGGTTGATGTACGTTTGCATGTACAACTCAGAATCGTAGAGTTTTACAGGAGCTGTGAACGATGTGTTTTTAGTTTTCCGAGGAGTTGCAGTTTTCTTCAACAACGACATGGTTTGCGCCAACTTAAACTTTTTCGGTTGCGTGTGGGTCCACGCATGAGTTCCACCACTTCGAGCAGAAGCATTTGCTGGTGCTGGACTTCTACGCGAAGAAATATCCTCCACTCGTTGCTTTTTGGGAGGAGATATTGCCATAGTGTCGTTCCGGTGCAGAGATTCTGTGCTGGGGGCATCGGAAAAACTCAACTCGTGGGAACGTCGCTTGTGAGGATTGAAATTGGCTTGCTTCTCTTTGCTCGGGCTTCCTTTTTTGGACTTGCGCCCCACTTCGTGGAGATTAAAACGACTAGACTGAGCCAAGATTTCATTTTGGTTGAAATGAAAATCGTGCTGTCCTACCAAACTTGTTTCGCTGCTCGAGGAGCTGTTCAGGCACTTGGGTTTCACCTGGGGATGCTGGTCCTGATAGTAGCGGTTTTGCTCGATGGAGCGGATTTGCTGCATCTCATTTAGATTTGGCATAGATCCCTGGATTGCGATCTTGGTTTGGGGCGAGAGCAGAGACAAATCCTTCATGGACTCTGAATATTTACGCAATGGAGAGCCCACCATTTTGATGTCTCTCTTCAGATCCTGGATAGGGCCTTTCGACGCCTCTCTAGGTGGGCAGGAGACCTCTTCCTCGTGAATGCACTCCAAAGCTCGTGCGTGAGTGGCATGGACAATGGTTGTGGTTTTGTTTAACACCATTCCAGAGGGAGTCTGCATCAGCAACTCGGATCGGGAGCAGTCCAAAGTGTCTACAGATATATTCATGGTCTCGGAATGTTTCACGTCAAAAGTTTTATTAGAGACGGTGACTATTTGGTCCTCCAGTTCGTCGGGACTGAGGCGACGCGGTCGCATCTCGCTCACGTTTAACTTGGTGCCGTCTTTCAGGTTGGGCGTGGGCCATGCTGCTAGGTTGTCGGGCCTAATAGCATCTGGTGCTACTCCCCGCGTTTCCGTAAGCGGGGTAAACTTAAGATTATCAATTACGTTGAGCAGGTTTCCTGGAGTCATAGGGCTGAGATTTTCTTTGAGGCTTCTTGGTTGAGGTGAGATGAAAGCAGGTTCTTCTGCCGGTGGGTTATAGACATTCTTCTCCATTAGAGGAGCAGGAACTGGATGAGGGGCTATACTGGCACGGCTTGGCCGTGAGGAGGTACTGCTGGAACGCCAGCCCTGCTTAGAAGTAGCTGCCGCCGAGGATAGGCGCTTCTTTTGCTGCACAGCAGCTGCGGCAACGGATTTCATGCTTTTTGCTGCGCCCGTTGGCGATTTCAGTTGCAGGGTCTTGCCCACGGTGGGAAATTTGCGCGGGTTCTTCAGGTAGACAGAAAATAAAACAAAGACATGCAAAGGAGGGTAAGTGAAGTGCAAGGGACAACCCCTAAAACTGAACTTACCTTGACGGGCTGGTTGCTCTTAGACTTGAGGATGATCATAACATCCTTGCGGAAATTCCTGTCGTCGATCAACTGCAGGGTCTCCTTGCAGGCCACCTCTAGGAGTGGATTCCACACCAGCTCCATGGAAACTTCCTCGCGGGCGGGCACAGTGTTCTCCATCCACTCAATGCTGAGGTTGTGCTCCTCGCGGACTCCCTTCGTGACCTTGACCTGCGCAAATATGGATCAAATATACTTAAGTTGCCAGGCAGCGCTTGGTATCACCAGTGTGATCTACTGACCTCAATGTCATCGTCGCTAGGGTTGATGACGCGGACGATACGCCTGGCTGTCTTGGTCACCGGCACATCCTCGAACTGCACAATCGCCTTGGCCGAAAACGGCGCCATTACCACCACCGCGGGCTCGCGTCCTTCCACCCGCTTCTTTTGCTTCTGACGCGACGGCGTCACCGTGATCTACAAGCACAATTCGCATTGCAAGTAAACGAATTAGTTTTTGGATGTGAAATAGCTGTAAACACTAACCTCGAATGCGCTCATTGCAAGACTCAACAAAAAACGCTTGCTCTAAGTTAAAACAGACACTAACTGATGACGCCCGAGAGCCATCAACACGGGGACTAACACTTAACACAATTAACGGAGCGCGTTCAGCAAATTAGCGCCTCGTCGTTAAATTTAAAATGATTGTTGATAAAATTTGAAATGAAGCCCGCTTTCAAAAAGATGCCGTCTGCTATCGATTGTTCAAAAATAGTGAGGGTACTCTGTTTTTCTGATAACTTCAGTGCTGTACAAAATATCACTCTTACTTCAGTGTTGTAAAATCTCATATTGAAATGTCAGAACCGTTTCCCTGTGAGTGGTTAGCGCTATATATAAATTTTAAATAAAGGCTAGGTGTTTTCGGATTTTTTTGCGACATTAAAGAAAAAAGGTTTCTAAAAATTCTTTAACCGTTCCACGCAATTGTAAAGAATATTCTTTTCCTTTTGGTTAGTATAGAATTAAAAATTATGTTGAATACCTTTTTTGCAGTTTTTTTTTATTCACAGACTATTTACAAATTTCAACAATAAAACTTAAACACATTCCTACATTAGCCTGCTGGGCGGCAGGATGTGGGCTCGCGGCAGGTCGCTTGCAGTTTCCGAGGAGTACATGCTCTTGAGGTAGCCCGGGAAGGGTGTGACTGCTTCAAAATCCTCTCCAGCGGAATCCTCAGGAGGATCAACAGCCATGAATGAAATGGCAAAACCTCTGAGGGAGTTGCTTTCGTCAGTCTGGAACCGAAGAAGAAGTGTGTCCGAATTGGAAATGATTATGGGCGGCTTGTGCTTGCCACAAAATCTACCATGTATGGTGTTCATAGAGTAACCCTCCTCGGTGACCTCCAGGAAGTCATAGTCACACCTTTCCGAGTATTCAATCTCAAAATGTAGAAAACGTATTTTGACGCTGCTCTCCGGATCCGCTTGGATTCGCCAATCGCAGTACATGTTTCGTTTATAGGGTCGACTTCCGTAACGCGGATGCGAATAGAAGGTCTGTGAATGGTTAGTGGCCCTGAGATAGCCACCGCACTCCGAAACAAAGGTGGCCTTGAATCCCTTTCTCTGTAATCCCGCATCTGTGGCCAAGACCATGAACATCTCATTGCTGGAAGCAATTACTCCGTAAGGTTCCCGACCACCACAGTAGATTCCCAGAGTAGAGCTGTTTTCCGATTTCCCATCATAGATGGCCACATAATCATAGATGCACTCCTGGTGACTCTCCACAGCAAAGTCATGAAAAGTCAATTGAATGCGATGACCCAGAACAGTTTGGAAGTGCCAGTAGCAGTATATATTCCGGGGATAGTCTTCGGGGTAGTTTGGACTCTGCAGCACACCGTACGAACTAGTAATCTCAAACTTGCAACGCGTCTCCGTACAGTTGTGGCCATTTTCGGCTAGACTGTAGCCGTTCCGGCAGCTGCACTGGTAGGATCCGAAGGTATTCTTGCACCTGTGCTGGCAGCCTCCGTTATTTATAGCACATTCATCTACATCTGTGTGAGAAATGTTATTCTTTATTAGACTACAAAAGTACAAGAAAAGATGTACCATACCTATCACAAACTTGGCGACGAATCCACTTCTTTGCACCGTTCTGTCCGAGTAGAATTCCAGACGCAGAACACTCTGCTCGGAATTTACCACCGGAGGAAGATTGTTTCCACAGTAAATACCAATCCTTTTTAGCCGATTATCCTTAAGCTTGGAGTAGATAACGAGATAGTCGTAGTTGCACTTTGTGTATTGAAACCTTGTGCCCTCCAAGTCAAAGTGGGTGAAGTTCAAGAAGACGGCATGATTCGGCGGAGCCACCACCTCCCACACACATTGCTTGGCGTTGGGATAGGGATCTGGGTAGGATGGCGAGAACAGCGAGCCATTGGAATTGGTGGCATCAACGACTCCACCGCAAGCGTTTTCGCAAGTTTTCCCATTTGCTTGGAGCTCGTATCCAGCGTGACAGCCGCACTGGTAACTGCCCAATGTATTGATGCATACGTGCTGGCATCCGTGGTCCGTGAACTTGCACTCGTCCACGTCCAGCATGAGGGCGGCAGAGAAGCCCAATTTCTGCACGGAGCCATCCGAAACGAACCGGATGTACATCTGATTGGTGCGAGTTCTGGAGATTATAAACATTATTAAAGGAAGGCTACAGAATTAATTTTTAATATTAAACTTACTTTATATTCGGCGGGATCTTATCACCACAGAAGCGACCTATCAACCGGGAATCACTTCGGTTACCATCTCGAATCTCCACAAAGTCATAGGTGCAGGTGTCGTGTTTCTCCAGCTCGAAGCTCTGGAACTTGAGTGCTACCTGGTAGTTTTCAGGAGCAGATATTTTCCATATGCACTCCTTATCGGGCATGTAGTCCAGAGGATAGTTCGGTGAGTCTATAGACTGATCTCTGGTCAGCTTTATCTCTCCTCCGCAGACCACTGAAATTGAAGAACAAATTGGTGTTGATGGGAAATTCTTTTGTGACAAAAGGCCCAACAACTTACCCTCAAACCTGGCCTTGAACCCCCTGTAACCTTTGGCCGCATTCCGGTTCACGTAGTTGATGAGCATGCGACTCGTCTGGGTGGCGATGACCTCTTTGCTCGCGTTCCCACAGAGACGACGCACTAACGGCGAACGATGCCAGTAGCCGTCCCTGATCTCCAGGTAATCCTGCGAACAATCCTCGGAGCTCAGCAGATGCAGCTGCTGGATATGAAGCAGGACCCGTTCCCCATTGGTGGCGGTTATCCGCCATTCGCAATTGGCCATAGAGGCATCAAAGTCAGTAACTCCGTCGGAGGCTTCCCCTTCGCCACCGCCACTCCCTTCGAATTCGCTGAGCACTCCGTTGGCGGAGTACATGAAGTGAGGGCTCACTATGTGGCCAGAATTCTGTTGGTAAGTGCGGCCACAGCTGGCGCATTTGTACAGCAAGTTGGCCTGTACTATGTCGCCGCGACTTAGACGCCTTCGCTGACCCAGCTCCACATGCGTTCCAGGTGGTATTCCAATGGGAGTAATCGTGTCCAGATATGAGCTTTTCGAAAACGAGTTCTTGGCGTAGTGCATAATAGAGTTGTAATCGTAGGGCAACAGGGGCAGGTCCACCTCTTCCGGGGACAATACATCGAAGTTGTACTCCTGGCCGCGCATTATGTTGGCCTTGTTTATGATAATGTGCTTATCCCGGTCGCCGCGAGCATGCTCGTGATGAAAGCCGATGGTATGCCCCAGCTCGTGGATAATTATACCGAATTTCTCGCAATTTCGTCCTATGGAAATGGGCTGGCGACCATTGCCATTCTTTCCCAGAAACGAACAGCATCTAATAGTGACACTGTAAGTTATCATTTTTAAAGGCTTATTTTAACCAAACTTACCCACAATTCTTGACCGTAAAGTATATATAGTTGGCATGGAGCTTGGCATCCCTCTCCACAAACTTAATGCAGGTGAAGTTCTCCCAGTGGCGCATGGCCTGCTTGAAGAGCGCCTTGTGGGCGCCGCTGAAGATGCTATCGATTTCGTACGGGATAACCCCATAGTCCCAGGTGCGCTCCTTCCGCACAGTTACAGCCCTCCGGTGCCGGTGCTGGACGGGCTCAGGACTGGGTAAGTAACTGGGTTGCAGGACATCTACAGCGTCATCTGTCCAGAGCAAAGGCGGTGGTGGTAATCTCAATCGCGACCTGGCTTTGATTCGCAACTTATGAGGCTGTTTCCGGCGTCTTCTAAACAGGGTAAGTCAGTAGGCTTTTAGCTTTATTCCGCTGTTTCCGGTTATATCGCCTCAAACTTACCCAAATGATTGTCTGGCTCTGGTTCTCTCCGGCAGTTTCCAGTGATAGGTATCCTTCACATCCTGATCTGGCACCTGTTGGGACAATGGCGGCTTAAATCTGAAGACTCGGTCACATGATACGGTTACTCACCTGCACGGCATCCAGCATGCCATAGAAGTCCTCTGGGTGTTCTTTGAAGTCGAAATCACACTCGCTATCCTCCACCTGGCTAAGTCTCATAGTATCAGCCAAGTCCAGTAGAAAAACTGGGATCACAAGGAATACAACTAATTTGGCTTTCATTTTCAATGGCATTTCGCACATTTTCGCTAATTTCTGGAATTTAATTCTAGGGGCTCGTTCCTCGGTCACCGAAGTTGCTTTGGCCAATTCAAAGTTCTAACTGAGAGCTCGTGGCCCGCGAATGCCGAAATATATCTCTCATATTTGTAAAGGAATATTTCAGGTAGGTAACAGTCCAGCATCGTGCCATCAGCACCAGAGTCTCGACTGTCCTCTCGAGTGTCCGTTTGTCCGCGTGTCGTTCGCAGGGACACATACTTAGAGCGAACGAGACAACGACAAACAAGACCCCGTTTCATTGGCGTTTCGGGCTGACTATCCATTGTATGCCTGTTTCAGTTTGCATTCAATGGGTTTTGATTTGGGTATCCCTGCACCTTGACATTGCCTCTGTTTTCGCGACCGTGGCTCCGTTCCATGTTTCTGCTGCCTACCTGGGGCACTGGCCTGGCTCAGGGGCATTTGTTGCCGCGTCGAGGATCAGGTGTTGGGCCTGGACGGAGATCCCTTTTAGGGCAGGTCATTAATGGACCCTGGCGATCATAAATTCCCCGCATGAACGAAACATTTCGTGGTAATTCCAGTACCTCCAGTAAATGAACTCAATAGGCCTGGCGCTTTTATGCTGGAAAGGTGAAAATGATAATTTAAATGGTATGAACTGTAACCCCTACTCTTCCTTTATGGAGGAGGATAATACTAATAATATTTTTTATAATATCAAATATTACACAGGTTATTCAATAAAATGTTAAATAGCTAAAATGTTAATAAAGTGCAACGGATAGGGCACAAGGGCACAGCTTTAGCTCCACAATAATACCCACACCCTGAGCACATTTTTCTTCGACTTGTTTGACTCGTAAATAGTTTAATACAAATTTATTTTACAATATTTAAATGAAATTTGTAGCAATTAGGCATCTAACGACGGCTTTATTGCAATATGAGCCTTTTTCACATCTGTGCCTTAAGCTATCATAAAAATTCTGGTAGCTGGCAGTGACATTAAAGACAAACGAGTTATAAAATCGAAAGAAGCCCAGCAGATGGCAAAGGACAATGGTGTGCTGGAAGTAGGTGTAGCAATTAAAGGAAGTCGATTTAATGGTTACGAGCAGGTGTTAAAATCGCCAGGTAAAAGTTCACACTGCACTATTGATTGCCATCAATTAACTTCAAGTCGAGGATGGCCGGCAGGCAGTAGGCTTGGGAAGAATGGTAGCGTTGATGCCTCCTAAAAGGCAGGCGAATACATTTGAAACCTTTTTAAAATACTTGAAGAAGCTATTTTTCATCAGTGATCCGACCCGCATGAGCTACACTGATCCTACCCATTCCCGCAGAAACTCACCTGTTTGACCCAATTGCGCCCATCTAAGAGTTTTCTCCAATTAAGCCACTGCAGCTGTTGCAGCTAATGAAGAGAAGGACTTTGTTCCAAACCCAATACGCTTCAATCTTAATCTGTAACAAAATTAATGATTGGTGGTTTTAAAGGAAAAGTTGTCGTAGGAATAAGGTAAGTATGTAAGTTAACTGAAGTTAACCCAGCAGCGGCAATGTCCGATTATTTAAGAGCTCGCTCTGGCCAAACTGCTGACATAGCGTCTGGCCGGAAGCCCATGCATAGCGGCAAGCACTGCACATTTGCGTGGCCGCTATGAAATACTTTTTGTTAGCTTTAAGTTTCAGTTTGTGTCAGAGTCTCATACAATAAAGAGCATAAAACCAATCTCCGGCACTGCCGTTAATTTGTAAATTCATTTGTTGAATTGGTCACCGCGCCTCAAGGGCCGTGACAACGGGGCAAGTGCTCCCATCATAACTTCTGTTACAGGAAGGATCCCCCCCGGCAACCGCCAGGGATCTCAACCACTGCCTATAAGGAGTGGCAACACCCCCCCTGCAACCGCAAGGGGAAATCATCTTACAAATATCTCCGGCGTCTGCAGCATCATCGACTGCAGCGAGGGATAACTAACTACCATTATATTTACCTACCAATCAATTTATATTTACTGGCGCCCAACGTGGGGCACGAACCCACGACCCTGAGATTAAGAGTCTCATGCTCTACCGACTGAGGTAGCCGGGCATGCAGTGTGGCACTTTGTTGTTTTTGTTGTTTTTTTTTCTTCTCTGTTTGCATAAGCGGCGGCTCAGTCCCCGCGCACCCCTCACCTTGTCTCTGCTTGGCAAGGCAACAGCGCAGTTCGACGAGCTCGCACACATAACTGAAGCGGCGGCTCAGCCCCCGCGAAACCCCCACAAGCCCAAATGTCTCTATAGACATGCAATTCGAGCATGCATTAATTCTTTTGGGCGATATTATGGGTACAGCTCCACATGAGCAGCCCTTTTCACCTCTAAAGGAGTATAAGACAATTCCCCAGCGACTCTGAGTCCGAGGCCGCAAATATGGCATTCAGCATGGAACAAATGACGGCCACTATACAGGCGGCCGTTAACCATGCCTTTCGGGAAGCCAATACTGAAAGCCAGCGTAGACAGAATGAGCTACGTCTAGCTATACAAAAACTGGCCGAACGGGTCGACGCAACACAAATCGCTCCCGCCCAAGCGGAAGCTCCCCAAATTAAAGCCTATAAACCTATAGAAATTAGGGACGACGTCAAATGTGACGAGCCCCTAGATGCCGTCAACTGCCTGCCCGAATTTACGGGAGCACAGGACGCATACGTCTCCTGGAGACAAGCGGCAGTAGCCGCATACTATATTTTCAGGAATTATGTAAATAGCTCGCGCCATTATCAGGCAGTTATTATTATTAGGAATAAAATAAGGGGCCCTGCCGATGCCGTACTGTCTTCGTTTGGCACTGTACTAAATTTCGACGCGATTATAAATCGACTCGACTTTACGTACAGTGATAAGCGTCAGATTCACGTTATCGAGCAAGAAATGGGTACTCTCAGGCAGGGAAATCTATCCCTCCTGCAATACTACGACGAGGTCGAGAAAAAACTCACCTTGCTCACCAACAAAGCTACCATGTCGTACGAAGCCTCGGCGGCAAAAGTTTTGTGTGACAAATTCCGGGATGACGCACTCCGAGTATTTATCTCGGGGCTTAAGCGCAGCCTCACGGATGTTCTTTTCTCGGCAAAGCCGAAAGATATGCCTTCAGCTCTCGCTTTGGCACAAGAAGTGGAATCTAACCACGAGAGGTACTCCTTCGCGGCTTCATTTGCTAAAAGCCAGGAGGACAAAGACAAAAATCCGTACTGCGCCAAACAACGCAAGGCGCAGATACACTCTGCTCCACGCAGTGCAAATACCCATGAACCCATGGACATCGACCCATCGCGGTCCAAGTTTCTTAATCCATCTCAGGCCCCGTCATACCAAAACAGGGAGCCAACCGTGTCCGATCGATCGGGCCTACACAACAAGCAGAAAGTTAACCACGTCGCGCAGAGCGCAGGCGGAACCGGGGAGAAATATACAGCCGCAGCTTCAAGCACGGCTCAGAAAATTGACGACGACGTTATTCAAGATTATGATTCGGACGTCATTAATTTTTTAAGGGAATATCCCTGCTACACGTCGGCAAACGACAAGAGGCCAGCCGACCCGGTTCAAACGGAATCGAATGACCCGCAATACGCGATACAGAATACGATTAAACACGCCCAGAATAAGTTCCGCGACAGGAGAAATGCTTCCCGGCAAAACAGGGTTTTCGAAGTTGGCGAAAAGATCCTAGTGTAGTCTAGCAGGCGACTGAGCAACAAACCGTCACCTTTGAAGCGGACATGGGGACCACAGTCCTCATTAAGGGGAGGGTGGTCCACAAAGACAACCTTAGGTAGGCCGAGCGTGACTCAACTATCGCCCGCCTAATAATTTTTCATTCTTTTTTATTGTCTTTTTCCTAGCCACTTGGCATAAGCTTTCGCTTCCATTATAACTTTAATCATGCTTTAATGGTGGGCTACCCAGTTTCTATTGAATTCACAACACATCCAAATCACAGGTTTTCAACCATAACCTTGATTTTCCTTTTGGCCACAACTTCGGCACGCGTCACGGACTATTCCAAAGCCAAATACATTCCCATCGTTGATGGGCGAATCCTGATATGGGAGGAATTTGCCTTTGTAAAGCACTCAGCAAATCTCTCGGAATATAGGCGCGTCATCGAAGAGACTAATGGGATGACCGTCATGTTCCCGCAATCCCACATGCAGAAACTCCTGGTTGTTGACGTCGCCCACCTACGCGACATGCTCGACTCTTTGAGCGTCAACCATAGAGTAGCAAGAAGTTTAGACTTCTTAGGGACTGCGCTAAAGGTGGTGGCAGGAACGCCGGACGCAGAAGATTTTGAAAAAATTAAATTTAATCAATTCCAATTAGCAAATGCAAACAATAGGCAGATTAATATTAACAACAAAGTACAAATTCAAATCAATAAAATTTCCGCTACCGTCAACCAACTTCTGAGGTCAACAAAAAAGTCCCAAATTGATACTGGGCACCTATTCGAGATGCTTTTAACTCGAAATAGGATGATAGCAATGGAGCTACAGGGTTTGATGCTAGCAGTGGCACTTGCCAAAGTTAATATTGTTAGCCCCAGCATACTAGATCATGCAGACCTGGAAGGTGTGTGGATGGAAGAGCCCACCGAGACCGCGATTAGGGATGTTTTGTCCGTATCGTCCGTTAAGATCTTACAGTCCGATAACATATTACATTTTATCATTAAGTTTCCAAAGATAAAGTCGGCCTGCAGCAAGATTACCGTTTTCCCAGTGTCACATCACGACACCATGCTCAGGCTGGAAGATAACGTCATTGCCGAATGCAACAGCGAGATCCACACCGTGGAAAAGTGCTCCCCGACATCAGGAGCTACATTTTGCCGATTGGCTCGTAAAAGATCATGCGCCCAAGAGTTTCACGCTGGAGGCACGGCGCATTGCGAGACCCAGCAAAGCGATTTACACCCCATCACTTATGTTGATGAAGGAATAGTAATTGTGAATGATCGCTCGGCACACGTGTGTGTGGACAATGGCACCTGTGCCCATATAAAAGGCACATATCTCATCACATTTGAGAAGAGTGCCATGGTCAACGAAACCCGATTGGTCAATCATGACACAGCCCAGAAGAGGGCTCCAGGAGTGGCCAGCTCACCTTCCCTGAACATCACCATGGAACGTGACGTTCTCAGCCTTCCTTACCTTCACCGTCTGAGTGAACGTAATCTGGAGCACATCAAGGAGTTCGGGAAGGAAATTAATCACCAGCGACTACATCAGTTGGTGTTCATAGCGGGAGCAATATGCTGCGCTTTAATTTGCATCGGTTTGACCTATCGGCGAGTCACTCAGGCCCGAAAAACCGCGGCCCAGCTGAAGGAGATGATTGCCCAAATAGGGTCGGCCGAGGGCGGCCTCATTCTTGAGGGGGAGTAGTTAACTGAAGTTAACCCAGCAGCGGCAATGTCCGATTATTTAAGAGCTCGCTCTGGCCAAACTGCTGACATAGCGTCTGGCCGGAAGCCCATGCATAGCGGCAAGCACTGCACATTTGCGTGGCCGCTATGAAATACTTTTTGTTAGCTTTAAGTTTCAGTTTGTGTCAGAGTCTCATACAATAAAGAGCATAAAACCAATCTCCGGCACTGCCGTTAATTTGTAAATTCATTTGTTGAATTGGTCACCGCGCCTCAAGGGCCGTGACAACGGGGCAAGTGCTCCCATCATAACTTCTGTTACAGGAAGGATCCCCCCCGGCAACCGCCAGGGATCTCAACCACTGCCTATAAGGAGTGGCAACACCCCCCCTGCAACCGCAAGGGGAAATCATCTTACAAATATCTCCGGCGTCTGCAGCATCATCGACTGCAGCGAGGGATAACTAACTACCATTATATTTACCTACCAATCAATTTATATTTACTTGTATGTATAAAATTTCCTGCGAGAAAATTTCCCAAAATTGCCAAATGTTAATTGTTTAGAAAACGGCGCCCCTTAGATGTGTTTATACTTAACACAAGATTTTATCATAAACGTGTAAGTAATATTTTAATTTGAACTTTTATTAAGCCAAGGGTCTTCTAGATCCTTAAGGGCTTGAGGGTTTAGAGGGATTGTTAGTTAGGGGGAGTTACTTGAACTTGTCCATGCAGTTTGTGGGGGCCAGCTCCTTCCTAGGCGACATTTCTACACTCCAGTTGGGGATTCATCTGAACGCACTTTTAGACGAGCTCACTTCCAAAGCAGGAAGTGGTGCAACACGTCTGCGAAAAGTGAGTGAAAAGTGGGCAAGTCGGATTTGGTGTTAGCATTGCATCACGGGCACGAACTTGGCCTCAGCCTGGCCTAACTGGTTCCTGCTGGATGGCGCAATCCAGTTCCACTTTGTCTCTTGTTTCTACAAACAATTATTACGTATTTCTTAAACTCCTAATTTTGCAGAGGTTTTACCAAACTTACACCAGGCTTACCATACATGATACGACTACCTTATTCAATGAATAAATGGTCATCTAAATTGGGCAATTGAAGTTCATCGTAGGAAAATAAATTATTTTAAGTATGTATCAATAAAGCTATCATAAGGCTATTTTTTCAGCTGTTGTTTTTTGTTTAAAAAATTAAAACAATTATTTCGATTAATTGTTTGCCAGTATGGTTGCAAAACGCTAAGTCTGTTTATAAAATATATATATTTGTATATACATACATATATATATATATGTATATACATATATTTATTTTTAACCTGACTCTTCAGCTGCAGTCTCTCTTTATTTTGATCGGCCGGAGCTCCAACTTGCTCCAACATCCATCTCTGCCACTCCACGCTCTCCTTGCTGATAAAGAATCATTCTCTGATTAAGCGAATATAAGCCCCACGTATAACAATTCGCAGTCTAGAAGTTCTCTGACTTGCAATTGAACTACAGCAGAGCGCGAACCATATAATGTCTGGAAAACTACCGGCTACATATGTGAAGGGCTTCCACGATGAGGCGAAGGTGCGCCAGATGGAATACCGAAAGTTTGGAAAGACCGGACTGGAAGTCTCGAAAGTCTCGTTCGGAGGCGGGGCCCTGTGCGCTGCCTATGGGTAAGAGCAATCTTTATTATTCAGAATGCAGACCTTTAATTAAATACACTTTTTAATCATTTTAAATCTAAAACATTTATTTTATTACTTGCTTGTTTATTCCAAAGCTTTGATTGCGAAGAGGGAATTAAGACCGTGCACGAGGCTTTAAAGTCTGGTATTAACTACATCGACACTGCTCCCTGGTATGGACACGGTCGGTCAGAGGAGGTTCTTGGTCAGGCTCTTAAGGGTATTCCAAGAGAGTCCTACTACATCGCCACCAAGGTGGGTCGCTATGAGCCCGAATACGAAAAGATGTTCGATTTTAGTGCCAAGAAGACGCGGGAGAGTGTAGATAAGAGTCTCAAACTTCTGGGCTTAGACTACGTAGACGTGATCCAAATCCATGATATTGAGTTCGCGGAGAACCTTGACATTGTGATTAACGAAACGCTGCCCACGTTGGAGCAATTGGTCAAGGAGGGCAAGGCGAGGTTTATTGGGGTGTCGGCTTATCCCATTTCGATTCTGAAGGAGTGCTTGACCCGAGCGGCCGGCAGGTTTGATGTAAGCTACTGCTAAACTACTATAGAATACTTTTGTAGTATAACATATTGTTTTCCAGACTGTTCTAACCTACTGCAGATACACGTTGACCGATGAAACCCTACTGGAGTATTTGGACTTTTTCAAGTCCCAGAATCTAGGACAAATCTGCGCCGCTGCCCATGGCCTGGGACTGCTAACCAACAAAGGACCTCAGCATTGGCATCCGGTTGGCGATGATAAGAAGAAGATCGCCCGCAAGGCGTCGGATTTCTGCAAAGAAAACGGCGTGGAACTGGGCAAGCTGGCATTCTATTATACGACCAAAGGTCTGCCTGAGGTGAGCACCTTCCTCACAGGCATGCAGACTCTCGAGTTGCTTCGAATCAACCTGGAGGCCGCTCTGGTGGGCCTCAGCGACCAGGAGCAGGAAGTGCTGGAGTATCTGCGCAAAAAGTGAGTGTGCAAAACTCGGAAGTTGGCCAAAGCCGCACTGCAAAAATTGTGCAACTCGGATACAATGTTACCATTACATCATTTCCACTTCCCTGCGGTTGGGGGTCCACTCCTCCAGTCCAGACCATAAAAAGCTCACTAGTCTGTCTGTAGCTTATGTTGTGCATGATCATTGTCAATCTTGGCCATCGGTGCAGTAGGCACCAGACAACCTCCCCCCTGCCACGAATTCGATGACCAGCATTTCCCGATGTTGGTTGAACTTGTTCCCCTCTGCTTCGTGCAACATCGACATACACTCTATTTGTTGGCTAATTTCCACGATCCTCACCATTAAGGCATTATGTAAATTTTGTATTTTCAGTATTTTTACCGAACCGTTCAATTGGGAGGGCAACGAACTGGCGGTGTACTGGGCAGCGCTGAAAAAGAAGTGATCCATTTGGCCATCTCACTATACGGAAATAATAGGAAAAGTTCTTCAATTTCTTCTCGTTGACCTCAATACTGGGTTCTTGTTGACTTAGAAATGAACTTGAGATAATATATAAAAAGGCAATTTCATTGTACAAAAAAATTAATTGATAAAAATGTTTAATCAGTAAGTGATGAAAAAGCAAAGCTAATCACAGATATTGAAAAGCATTTAACACATACGGGCAACATATACTATCTGAGGTAATAAAGAGCTTTAAACAAGAATAAAAACGTGACATAAATTATGGGAAAGGTGAGTTACTCTCTTGATATACAAATTCATATATAAATATATGTGTATTTACTTAAATGATTATATATACTAACTCTGGAGTTAATTAATCTATCAATGTCAATAGAAAAAAGACATTGCATTACCCAAAACACACGCTCGAAAACATCCAAACATACATTCGTAAAGCAAACCACTAAAACTGCATTCGACAGGAGCCATAACAACTTAATCATGTCCAGCTTCGTGGAAAATGCATTTTTTTTTGGCCAGCGGACACTTCCACCTTTCGCCTGCATGGCCAGACGGAATCACCAACTAATTAAGCCTTAATTAACGCAATAAACGAAAAACAAAAGATGTAAATACTAACAAAAGGCACCAAAGCAAAGCAACAAAACCGCAGTGGAAGCCAAAAGAAAATCTACTAAAGTTATTAAATTGGTTGCATGAGGAGAATCGAATGGAGCCGAAACAAGACGCAGAAAAGGGGGAAGTTTAATAACATTTTGAATAATGAAAGGCAAAGAGAAATATCGGTTGAGTGCAGCGCCAAAAATGCGAAACGAATGCGCACTGCAGATACGTATCCACATGCCACACGCGAAAAGCGGAAATGTCTTTGGACCGATGCCGCATTTTGTTTTCCTTAAACTGGCGCTTTAAATAATTGATCATACCCTGTCGGAAAGTATCAAGTTTCTGTTTCGAATTCGATTCAACGAATCTTGAAACGCATTTCCTAAAAAGAAACTCAAACTTTTACCGCCAAAACCATGTATTGATTATCACTCCAGTATAACAATAAAACTTAATCGTATATTTTCTGTAAAGCTAAAATTTGAAATAGTATTATGGGTACAAGTTTAAAAAAATATTTTTAACAAAGCATTTATTTTCCACAAATCAAAGGGGTATTTCTTACTTCGATCTACAAACCAGTTTTTATATCTCCTTTATTGAGACTTTTTTACTCGACGAAGCCAATAAATATTCGCCTTATCAACCTTACAACAAAACGAATAATTTTTATGCTCAGCTATTGACCAAATTCTCGTTTTTTCTCGTTTTCTCTGGCTCTTGGCTACATGCTTCTCTCTTAACCTGCCTCTTTCTCAGCCAAGCTCGCCGTCTCTGTCTTAATTGGGGAATCGAAGCTTTTGAGCCGGGTTTATATACGCTGCACAGGCGCAGACGCTTCGTCATTTTAAATCTTGGCTTGCAGCTACAAGACGCATTCGAAGTGCTTCGAACAAAATTGTTAATTTGATAAAGTGTTAAAAAACAATAAAGTACAATAATGGTCGGATTACAGAATGGCTTTCTTGTTTTGTTCGCCTGCAATTTATTGCTGGCCGTGTACGTTTCGGCCAATAAGCAACAAAAACACCAGAATCAAGGTAAGCGGCTGCCGACTTGGCTCAGAACCCAAAGGGCTCGACCAGTGACTGACTCATGTGTCGGAATGGAGAAATTTTCAATGCCAAGTTCTTTTGATGGTGGCTTTTCTAGCCAGACCAAAATAAACAAAAACCGGTTCCAAAGGCAGAATAATGCCGGTTAGCCGTAAGATGAGTGAACTTTACCGTTTGTGCCTCAGTGGATACATTGTGAAGATACACCAAGTTTGTAACGGTTCGCTTTAGGAGGAAACCCTTATTTTCTGTATTATCTGATTTTCTATACAAAGAAAATAGAAAGTTTTATTGTATTTCAAAAATACTAGAAAATAAGTCACTCAAGCAAGTACGGAAAAGGTAAAGTTCCAATGTCTGCTTTTCTAAAAAGAAAAATATTTTAAATGGATACACTAAGGGTAGGGAAATAAAGATTTTGTACAAAATTTGGTTGTGAAAAATGACAAATGGCAATATCTCCAACGTGATAGTATTTTTGAAACTAAAAATGAGGAAAAACAACAAAGCCTAGAGATTAAAATCAAAAAAACTTTTTGCTAAAATGTCATCTAAGAAAATTGCTTCAATTCATTGCAGAAATCTGGGAACAAGACCTTTCGGACACCTTTAAAATTGAGGGCAGCGATCAGGGCATCCAAAAGGTGAATCTTAAGTGTGGAGCCAACTCCATGAACGTGGTGTTGGAGACGGAAAAGCCCTTCACAGGTGTGATGTACACTCGTGGCAGCTTCTACAAGCAGACGCCCCCGTGCTTCATGAAACCCACTGTGAACCAGGGATCACGTTCTTTGGAAATGAACTTCCAGCTGGACCAATGTCAGACCTTGAAGGATGGTGATCTGTATACCAACATCGTGGTGATCCAAAACGATCCGGAACTGATCACGCCCGGAGACTCGGCCTTTTCGCTGGAGTGCGACTTCCGGCAGCCCCGAAGTCTGGACGTGGAGGCCAGCATGCAGGCCAGGGACAGGTAAGGTGGCGGGACTGTGTCCAAAACGTTGATTACTATCTGATTTGACGAAATAGAAACCCGCAAAAGTTGCGCGGAGCACGCGGTGGATCCCGCCAGCGCCAATAGATTCTTTCAACCACTATAAGAACTTCTCTCTTCGACTACAAGCACCTCAAAAAGCTGTACATAAGGTACAAGAGAGTTGAATGTCGTTTTTGAATGTCCCATTAACTAAAACCAGCCAATTAGTAGTGCTTTACTAACCTTTACTTTGAAACATGGAGAACAGGGAAAATGCAGTTAAAATTATAGAGCTTTGAAACAGGGAATTAATTAACTTGGATCAGAACCCAAATTGTTTTATGACTTTGACTGCATAGCCACAGAAAACAGAACACATTACAGACCTGCATACATTCCACAGAGTGGCCACTGGCTCCAAAATCACACTCACTAGTCCCGATCCCGCGGCACCCACGGAACATCTACACAATTCGGTGGTTAGCAACAGCGATTCGGTCGAATACATACCAAAGTTCAGCAGGCCAAATAAGACTATTCACCTGGGCTCTGTCGAGGAGGTGGAACTGCCATCCTCCGCTCAGGGTCGAGATGAGCTCTAAAATTGTCCAAAGCACTGCACCACAAAAACTAAAACTACACAACAAAAATCACAACACTTGAAAAACACTTCAGAATACAGGTGAGATACCTAGACACGCCGTGTTTGGCATTTGTAGGTTTTTAGCCGCTTATATTATTAAAAAAAAAAAGACTTTTATGGTAGTATATACTACTTATATGGTTTGTTCCTTATTCGCAGAAAAAACTCACAAAATGCGACCCAGACAAATGATGGAACTAATTAAGGAACTGAGATGCACTAACACCACTTCATGTATTTTCATTTCAATGGTTTTTCATATCCTGTGATATTTTTTAAGTTTGAGTTAAATAAAAATTCTACAAAAAAAACCGTTATATTCTTTTTTACCGTTGATTAAACTTTTTAATAAATAAAAAAATAATGTATTTTTTTAAATTTAAACTCAAAAACCCGTCTAGTTTCAGTGTGACCAGCATATGTTTATTTCAGTATATTTTTACGCCAACTTTGAGATTTGTTGCTTTCCATAAGTGCAGCTCCACTGATAAGCTAAAATTGCAAAAAGCCCCCAATAAACCAAAGGAAAATTACATTTTCTCGCAAAATTGGTAGCTAAATTTCCCTTGATACCTTCTGGCAGCTGGAAGTCATTTTTGTTTACAGTTTAAAATCCTCTGGAAGGACATCCGGCAACCAACCTGGCCGCACCGAATCACCGAGTTATCACTGCGCAGCTACAATTGCAAATTGCATTTCACAAAGAACGTCAATATCTCTAAATCAAATTAAAAGTATACTCTTTAGATTGAATTTGAGACCGTAAAATGGATCACCGTGTTTTTCTGTCGCTGATATTTGTGCTCAGCGGCACTTTCAATGTTCTGGTTGTGAAGTAAGCTAATTCTGAGAAAACAACAAGTAAACATACATATATACGCATATGTATGCATTTTCAGGTGGGCCAATCAACAGCAGGTGACAGGCAGCGATGGCCAGCTACACGGCTTCCAGCATCCAGTGGTCTTTACCCTTCTCATGTTCCTGGGCGAGTTCTTATGCTTTGTGGTTTTCAAAATAATGCGCCTGTTCTCTTGCCGACGTGGAGGAGTAAATTTAAAGTTATCTTTCGAAATAATTTTGAGTAATCAACCAATTTATATAACCCACAGCATATTGGCGAACTGGACAATATACTGGGTCAAGAGAGCAGCGAGTTTACTCCGTTGAGCATGCTCTTACCCACGCTCCTGGACGTGGTGGCTTCCATTCTTCTATTCACCGGCCTGTACTTGACTTACGCCACCAGCTTCCAGATGATAAGGGGTCTGTGCCTATCTGCCTGTCCTTATCTGGCCATGAATCACCTTTTCGTTTCTTTGCAGGCGCCGCTCTGATCTTTGTGGGGATTTTCAGTACCATGTTCCTAAATCATACACTTAGCTCACGCCACTGGCTGGCCATTTTCACCATATCATGTGGTCTGTTGGATATAATATCTTTGGATGTGCAGCGTGTTGACTACGACCGAGTCACCTTGCCTCACACGGACCACAAGTCCATTCTGACTGGTGATATGCTCATCATTATTGCCGAGATCCTGCACGGACTGCAGTACGTTTACGAGGAGAAGCAACTTAAAACCTCCAATGTGGCTCCCTTGCAAGCCGCCGGCTGGCAGGGAATTTTCGGATTGGGTGTAACTTCACTTCTGGCCATTGCTTTACACTTTATACCTAGTGTTACGCCTTTCGGCGAAAGCTCCCGGGCTGTCTTTGACGACTGGAGTGATCTGTGGACAGGCTTGAAGGAAAATCCAACCTTGATCATGGCTCTTACTGCATTCACTGTCTCGTGTGCCGCGTACAATTTTGTTGGACTCTTTATCACCATGTACTCCTCCAGTTCCAATCGGTTATTAGCGGACGGTTTGCGAGTATACTTCATCTGGGTTTTCGTGGTCGTCATGGAGTGGGAGTACATTAACATTATTACCATCATGGGATTCATCATCCTGCAAATGGGTATAATACTCTATCGTCAGGCTATTTTCCTGGATTGGTATCGAACTCTCTTGGCGCGATGGCAACGCGCCCGTTATGTGGACTTGTCCGATGACTCTGCCGGAGCACCTCGTAGCCAGCCGGCAGATCTTATTTAAGTAATTCGAAGCTTGGAAGTGATATGAGATGGATTGTGATATGAGAGATGGGCTGAAGGTCAACCATGGGCTGATTCAAAAAAATAAAACACGATTATAAACACTAAATTTGTAGAATTAATAAGCAAATACACATAAAATGTTACTACTTGTGTTGTGTTTAAAAAAAAAAATTTTGGTAACCAAAAACGAACCTTGCCTCGGGTAGGTCTTTTAATTTGAATAGCAAAAGATTACCCATGTTTATAAATTTCCGAACTTAAAAAAAACTTTAAAGATTTTAGGAAAAGAAAATACATATTATTCATCATTCAAAACACACACAAAAGATAATAAAATAATCGTAACAGAAAGCCAATCAAAAGGTTTTTAAATTTTGTTTTTGATTGACTTTTAATCTAAGGCTTCGATTCTAAGGCAGTGGTGCCCAAAACCAAAAACTAAAATATCTTTCATATTTATTTATCCAATTTTCGAAGGAAAGATAATCCAATTTTGTATTTTACAAGGAGCAATAGAAATATTTTATTGATTTAACAACATCGAATTACTGTTAATTAATCCGAGAAATTGAACATCTTATTTTTCTACTTATGGATTTTGGATGATAAAGTTTAAACGTATAGGTCATTAATTCCAATTGCTTAGTTAACTTCAAAGAAGCAAGGACGGCTATTGTCGAGTTTCCCGACTATACTATACCCGGTAATAAGTACCGCCATCTATCGCCCACAATCAAACTAACCTTTAAAGTTGAACGGTATGGATTCTCAGGAACAAATTTTCGTTGCATACTTTTACGCTTTACCAAAAAAAAAAAAATAAGCCAACGGCTTTACTACCGATTCATTAGGGAAGCAGACTAAGCAGTCTATAACTTCTATAAAAATGATCAGATTTGGCTTCTTTTTGTAAGTGTAGATTAGCCATTGGAACAGTTTGATATAAAAACATTTTGCCAAAAACATTACCGAACTGGCACAAACTTGATCAGCGTGGATACCATCCGAGTGCAAGGTCCAAATGGGATAGTTCCATCTTTTATAGTCTTTCAGATCCACGCGTTCAAAATTTTAGTCCGTTTGTATGGGAAACTGTACATATATGGGTATATTTAAAATAAAAAAAAAATAATCCTCCTCCAACAATCAGGCAATTTGGATGAAATTTGAACTGCGTGGGAGCGTATTGTAGGAGTCTCCATGCCAAATCATATATGTAGCTCTATCTCTTATAGTCTCTGAAAACTACGCGTTCATACGGCCAGACGGATGGGCGGACAGACGGACATGGCTATATAGACTCGGGTGTTGATGCTGATCAAGAATATATACATATACTTTTTGGGGTCGAAGATGATTCCTGGTCTATGTTACACATTCACACGACTAAAATATACCCTTGTACTTTACGACTACCGGATATAAATATCTATAAAAATGTACCTTTTCACATAATATATCTTTGTTTTCCTTTAAATAATTTTTTTTACAGATTTACACAGATTTCCTCTGCTGGATTCCAAGTATTTTTTCACCCACTCCAAGGAAGTAGAACATTTGGGCAATACCAAAGAGAGGAGCCACAACCATGACACGACAGAGACCGCCTTTAAAGAAAGCCGTTATCCCTTCATTCTTTAATGTCGTTCGGATGCAGTCACCAACACCGGCGTATTCTTTATCCCCGGCCTGTAATCGAGTCTTTATCACGTCTAGCGGAGTGACCAGAAAGGCTGCAGTCATCCCTGCCAAAAGGCCGGACATTAGAGACCAATAAAACACAGCCTCTCCAGAACCGTCCGATTTTCGCGGGCCACTGTCATTAATCGTTGCCATCAGTGGGAAGTAAACGACCGAAAAGGTTATATCCCGAATTCCGGTGGCGGTGATGCCCTTATAGAGTCCGAAAATTCCCCGCTCCCTGAGCAGTTTCTTGGTCAAACCCAGAGCTGTCACTTTTTGCACCTCGCGCCCCTCGGCTCGGGCTAGGCTGGCGACTCGACCTGCATCTTGCATTTGAATTTTTAGTAGCTCCATTGGAGTGGTTACGACTATCTGAAAGAGGCCTGCCAGTCCGCCGGCTAATCCTGCCAGCGGAAGAGGAAGGACGCCATCGTCAGAAGCCAGCTTATACCGGAAATAGTCATTGGCAGTCAGTTTGATTGCCTTCTCGGGGGTGATGAGCAGGATATTGACGAAGGACCCGCGGTACATGCCAAAGAATCCCTCGCTAGCTATTGTCTTGCGAAAGCAGTCCGCTCTGCGGTATTAAGGTTAAACCGATTCTACTTTTCTCACCCAGGACACACACTTACATGCTAGTGTACATACGTTCACCATTGGGCCCAATTGGCTGGTTTTGCAGTCGCGTCTTCACCATGTCCAATGGATACACGCAGGTAACTCCGATGATTCCAGCAATACCGCCATTGATGATTTTGGGCAAGACGCTGTGGCAGAATCATTTCTTAAACGCTAAGAACCTTATATTTGGAAAACCTTACTTGAATTGTGCCTTCTTTTTTTCCACCAGGTAGACCATATTTTTTCACAAATTTCCCATTTATGTGTTCACATTTCAAATTTTTTGGATTTCTGACGGATTTTTCATAAACTACACAGCGTTTTCTAGACATGTTAAAAAAAACCTCACCAAATGCATCGATCCAACTACAACACGAGCAGATCAAGAAAACTTATCGAAACCTTTTAAATACAAGCTTACAGCCCACAGATTTCGTTATCCGGCAAGAGTGTTTTTGGATTAGAAGAAAATTAAATACTCTGGCTTAAAAAATTCTTTTCAAAGAATTACCCACTACCGAAGATTAAGTTTATTTTAATTTTTCTTGGTAGCTTTCCTAATCACTAGGTCACCGCAGTACGCTTAGACTAGTACTTTAAAAAATATTATAAAGCAAAATAATAATTTTTTATATTCAACCGATATTAAATATATTTTTTAATTTTAAGTAAATAAAAATTCTAGTTAATCGGGAACAAAAAAATACGTACAGTCTTATTGATAACCAAATTAAGAAGGAATTTTCTCCATTTCTGGAAGGAAAAATCTCCATTTTTGTAAGCTCAATTTGCTATTATGAAAATCAATAAAAGACACTAAAACTTCGAATCCTTTGGCTGCCTCGAAACATTACACAGGTTTTTTATATTTTAATTGCCATATTTTTTTTACCGACTTTGAGGAACATATGTACATACATCTTTTGATTTTGATTTTGAGTTTGCTGTCGGTAACGTAGGACAAGAGTGAAATAACGTTAACGTAAATAACCGTAGAGTGAAGCGTAGAATAATAATTTTCGCCCCTCGCGCCCTTCATGGGAGCCTCCGATGCTTCCAACTCGCCATTGATGATCTTTAGCAAGAGTGCTGTAGCAGGACCATGACCAGCGCTGCAGCCGCACCTGATTGTGAGGAATCTTACCCAAACTGCGCTTTCTTTTACAAAATCAGGTAAGCAATAATTTCAAAACGATGTTATTTACATTTCGGTTTTTTTTATATTTTGACGGCGTTTTATAAAGTATACAATTTCTCAAGTCATGTTCTCCAACTGATAGCTACTAAAAGTTAAACTTTTGCCCAGCAGAAAACGAAAATGCATTATTAATACGGTTTGAAGCAAAACCATTGCTCGGGAAGAGTATGCTTTTAAAGAGAGACCTATTCAAACACAACATCTATAAATTAAGCTATAAACAAAAACATTCGCATAACAGTAGCATTGATTTGTTGCATCTTATTGTCATTGGAGTATCAGATGGCCTCTGACGTGGTCTGTTTTTATCATACGCACATGCACAAAATAGAATATACATATATAGAACGGATATACTTTATGGGATGGGGAAAACTTTAACAACGTTTATGGTATTTGTCTGGATAGTTCAACGCTCTATAACTTTTTCCTTAACATTGAGACTTCACAATTACAATCATGGACAGCTTTAACAACATTTAAATACGATATACGATACAATTTACATTCAGAGTTAAGACTTAAAATGCTTCTGTCTTATCGATCCGCCCCTACGAGTATCTCTGTAACATTTCCATTAATGCTTCTGAACGCCCAATAAATTTTCGGCTACGCCTAGATAGTATACCGTTTGGGCGATACCAAACAAGGGAGCAATTACGATCATTCGACAAAGGCCACCCTTAAAGAATGCCGTGGGGCCCTCGTGCTTCAGGGTTTTGCTAAAAGGGTTAAGTTACAAAAGGTCAGAAAACTTTTACATCGTACAAATATGTGTATATACTTACGTGATGCAGTCCGATATTCCCTTGAACTCCTTTTCACCATCTGCCTTCTTAATCGCCTGCAGTCGAGTCTTAACTACATCAAATGGATTGACTGCCAGGGCAGCGGTAGATCCAGCTGCCAGACCCGCCAAGAAGGAACACCTTTAAGGCAACAATAAATTAATGAGAAGCTTAAATAAAATAAGTCTGGTTGTTCCCACCAGAAAACAGCTTCTCCAGAACCATCTTTTCGCCTGGGACCCAAATCATTGAGTGTGGCAAATAGGGGGAAGTAAATAATGGAGAATGTAACGTCTCGGAGCCCAGTGGCTCCAATGCCCTTGTAAAGACCGAAGATGCCCTTTTCCCGCAGCAGTTGGGTGGCCAGCTGGGTGGCTGATACCTTCTCCACCGACTTGCCAGCCAATTTGGCAGCCGCCGCCACTCTGCCTGCATCCTGCATCTGGATTTTGAGCAATTCCATGGGCGTGGTGACAATGATCTGGAACGCACCGGCGAGACCACCAGCCACCATTTGACTGCTGATGGGCAGCTTTCCATCCTTGGTGGTCAGCTTGTGCCGGAAGTAGTCGTTAGCGGTGAGCTTGATGGCCTTTTCGGGTGTGATCAGCAGGATGTTTACGCCGGAACCTCGGTACATGCCAAAATATCCCTCGGCGGCATATGTCTTGCGGAAGCAATCGAACCTGAAAGGAAAATAAACTCCTTTAAAAATGGGTATGCATACATTTAGTTAAAATTTCAAATCAAACAGAACTATAAAGTTCATGTTCTATATAAGAAACACTTACATACTGTTGTACATCCGTTCGCCATTGGGTCCAATCTGCTGGTTCTGCAGCCGCGTCTTGACCAAGTCCAGTGGGAACACACATGTTACGCCAATGATTCCAGCGATTCCACCATTGATGATCTTCGGCAACAGCCTGCAATGGGAAAGGGATTAATGGGCATCGGCTGGTCGGATCCCAACTTGCGCTTGGCTAATTGACAAATATTTGCACTGCGTTAACTTTTGCATTTGCACGCTTTGTATGCATCAGGAACAACAACAAAATGTAAACAATGTCCGTGTGGCCCAGAACTTGGCCCGCATGGGCTCCCATCGCTATTCGGAAGATACCACCAGTAAGTGGACTATCGAGTGAATGAAACAAAAGAAAGGTCAAATGGGTTGACCGTTAATAAGCAAGAAATATTTGATTCTCTGCCAACAGATCGGAATATATGTACGTGCTATCAATATATCTAGATTCTAGACTTAGCTAGGGTCTATTTTCGGCCTGCATTTGTCACAACAGCCGCGAATGAACAAAAACAAAGTGCAGAATGCAATCATATTATGTCATGGTATCGGCGTCCTTGTCGCTAAGTTTTGCCCCAAATTTAATCTAAAAAAAGTTGGATGGGGCACGGGGCTGTATCAGGGGCGCAGCGAAATGCCAAACTGTCTGTCTTGCCATCAAAATGACATTTACATGTGTACATCATATTCTATTTAAGCACTGAGGGCTTGCAAAAAATAGGGTTTGAGATTATTTTGTTTACTGTTTCTAACTAAAGTTGTTAAAGCTTTAATGATATATAAACTTTGCTTCCATAAATCACAATTTAATTTACTCTATATGGTTTTTATTATTCTAATTTATTCAATTGTGTATTAACAAGATATTTAAAATTGAACAAAGACGGTTTTCTATTTAAAAATATTTGTTTTGGGCTGTTGTTCCCAATATCCACTGTAGCCACCAAACGGGTTATTGAAACCTATTCTGACTGAGAACAGCTGATCTTACAAAAGTATAGGTTTGCCGGCTATTATTGTTTTTCCTATTAAGTCGTGGGCTAATGTTTATTGCTCTTGTTAAAACAAACGGGAATTGTTTACATTTTCATTTACAATGCGCGGTCTAATTAAATTGTTTTTTAATAACTCACGCGAATTGCTGGTGCTGCGGCTGTTCCAAGGCTTGTTTGGCTGCCATGCTGTGAAAAACAAACCAACAAACTCATTAATGATACAATAAATTAATCTCTTGGTTCCTAAGCATATATAAATACATTAAGATACAAGAAAGTGAGAACGATTCAATTTTAGAATTTTTGTTAACATACTACAATTTTTTTAATATATTTCCTTTTTTCTTATATGCTTATTTATTTCAGAATCTGCATGAATACATAAGTACATATTAAAAATGAAATTTTAAGTACTATTATTTCAGCCTCTGCTGTTAACAAAGAATCGGTACGAACTGGTTATCAAAATTTTAAAAATATCCATATGTAACAATTTGTTTATTAGGGTGTTTGTCTTGGCACTACTGTTACCCCAATTAAACAATAAATAAGCTGATATAGCTACATTATACATTATAAATATAATGTATACGATAAGAAATGGGCGGGGTGGGGCAAAGTTTGTTGACATGCACGGGCGGCCCCACGGAGATTAGCAGCATATCAGTTTGGATGCCATTAGCTTGCAGTCGTGAATAAGCTTTCAAAGTGCTTCGTTAGCACAATTACACTTAGGTGTGAATCGGAAAATGCTAAAGACATACACAAAACTGGAATTTAATTTAAACTTTGAATTAATAACTTAAAGGCTGAATAACGGGTTTTCACATCGCCCAGATGATAAGACTGGTCTGGTTTATCTAATACTTTTTGGATAAGCATGTTTAAAGCATAAAGATATCAGGAAAGTTTCGGAAATTGGTCTGAAGGCCAGCTGTTGCTTTCGGCCGCGGTATCAACGTCTTTAAGGGGGGATAGCTTATATGGGCTTTTTTAAATCGATTTTTTTAATTTTTTTAAGAGCCATTTTACTTTATGGGGGTGTACACACTGAATATTTCGGTTTTCCTTTTGGATATTATAGCTTTTTGTGTTAGAATTAATAAATTTGTAGTGGTTTTTTTTTAAAAGACATCGTTGTTCGATTTTTAAGTACGTTATCTTTTCAATCTTTTTGATTTAACATCTATAATTACTTTAATCACAAACACTTTAGATCGTTTTATGTTAACTTTATTATTAATAAATTTGTTTAAAGTTATTTCCCCCCATAATTTGGCACTAAGGTGTCGGTGTCCGTCCAATCAGTTTTATTGATTATTGCCCGAAAAGTGGGCAATCGCATCAAGGGGCTCGACAAGTGCGGCAAGAGGCTTCTTTATAGGCCGCGTGTTACCTTTCGGCCAGGTGAGGTGGTACCCCTTCGATTAGAGATAATGGTTATTGGAGTAACATTATTGCTGTGGGGGACACTGGAGCAAGCTGCACTTAAGTGAAATTTACGTAATTTTTCGTGTTTATCACAAGGCTTGGACACCTTTATTAAATTGAATTGATTGCCGCACACTTCTGATACTCGTATATATGTTGACATGTGTGTATCGTATCTCTTGATTCATTAAATGTTTAAATAAATTTGGCCCTCCCTAGTTTTTGTCCCACCAGCACCCACTCTCGCGTAACACAACTCACTTTTTGCTGTTCGTTAATTGACTTGTTTACTTTAAGTTTAATAATTTTTTGTTGATATAAACAATATTATTCTATTTGACTAAATTAACTGAATTTATTGGTGTTCTTCGCGCGTCGACATGTGTGTATGTAATGTTCTATCAAAATATCAATATATCGATATTGTTGTTTAATTATCGAAAAAACGATTTCATAGGGATGCCACCTGACTTCATTTTGTTTCGCACTTTTTGTCGTTTTTGTCGCACCCTCAGTTTCATACATCCATTTTAAACGAAATAGGCAGAGCATTTGAAATATATTGACAATCATGCAATCTAACAAAAACCACCTGGAAACTGACTATGCCCGTCAAGCAAAAATTTACCGTAAGTTCAATAATTTTATTTACCGTCACCAAAACAATACCAGAAGTTCCTTCCAAGTGGCATCACTTGGCGCTTTATTTCAAAAATGTAAAAACTACATATAAGAATCGGCAAAAAGAGGCTGGGAAGGATCATTCTTGACCACCACAACTTTGGCGTTTTCTCCACCCTTACGCAAGACTATATTGCTTTTCTGCATTTCCGGCTGTTCCTCCTCAGGATCAAATATACTGATCATGCTTGGAGTGGGATTGTTATAAACAATCAACTGCTGCTGTTCCGAATCGGCTTCCATGGGCATACCCTCCACATAGTGCTGCATTATGTAGTTGTTCGAATTGAATTCATCGATTGGAACGCATACCATAGCCTCTGGCTGATCTGACATACCATACTGGACATCCATGGCGGAGTCTCCGTCGGCCCCCTCCATCGGGGCAGAAGCAGCGGGATTGCCCTCATCCGTCTCATCATCACCCGGCTGTTCCTTTATTTGCTTTGCCTTTAGAGCCGCGGCAGTCTCTAACTGAAATTTTTGCATCTGCATCATTAGCCGCGAATTGGCATCCAAGTGGGCATGACGAGCCCGGATGTGCTTGTCGCGATCGCCTCGCTGACGGAAAGTCTTCGTGCAGAAAAGGCAACTGTAAGGCTTCTCGCCAGTGTGGATGCGCTGATGGTTCTTTAAGGCATCGGCTCGGTAAAAACGCTTTCCACATTCTTCGCACTCGTAGCGCCGTTCGCCGCGATGGATCAAGCGGTGCTGGTAGAAGACTGAGCCGGTAAGGAAGCGCTTGCCGCACACAAGACAGTGGTAGGGCCGCTCTCCCGTATGACACTTGCGGATGTGGTCGTTAAGATCAGGACGGATCGTAAACTTGCGGTCGCAGTTCTCCTCCTGGCACACGAAAGGCTTAACACCTGATGGATACATTGGAAAATATTTGCCTTTAGGCCTAGTGTATTAACTTACCCTGATGGAATCGTAGGTGCTGCCAAAGATGGCTGGACTGGGTGTACGATTTGCCGCAGATGTCACACAGATATTGGCGCAGGCGGCCGGTACCAGTATTACGGGTCTCCTTCTCTCGCTTCTTTTTGTTTAGGTGCTTTTCCTCGTTGTGGCTCTGGATCTCGTGGGCGAACTCAAAATTAGCCTCACAAAACTCGCATGGCAGGAGCAGCCGCTTCCTGTTCTCGCTGAGGCGTGGAAAGTAGTGATACGAAGCGTAGCTAAAAAAAGACATGTAAGGAAAGCCATTTGATTACATTCATATACAAAGTTTTTGATCCTTAGGTCCAAATATATGGCTCACCGATGCTCCTGCAGTAGATCCGTGTTGGGGAACTTTACCTCGCACACATTGCACACAAAGAACCGACTGAGCGAAACATTGAGAGATCGAAGGGATTCCCTCATAAAGTTGCAGTCCGTCTGAAAGTGAACACTGGCCTCCTTGGCTGTGCTCAATGATATGTCACAGGCGGTGCACTCGAAACGGCGCTCCGAAATATGAGCCGCCGAGTGGAGTAGCAAATCCGAGATGTCGGCAAACACGTACTCGCAGAACTCGCACTGCAGTACGCATCCCACAATCAACGTGGAGAAGATTTTCTCCCTTAAACGATTTGCTTTCTGCTGTTCAGTCACAAATGCAGAGATCAACCTTTCGCCGTCCAGGAGAAGTTGCTTAAAATTAATGGCTGCTTTGTCGGCGGATGAGCCTCTTTTTTCCGTTGCTTCTTCGGTTATGTGAGGCAGCTCTGGATAGTGCACCAGGCCGTGGTTCAGGGCCACTTGAGGATCATAGAAGACGCGACCGCAAACATTACATTTAAGCACCACATGAAGCCCAGCTGCCGGAGCGGTGTGAGGCTGCAAGCTGGCCTGCGATGGAATCAGATCCAAGGCATGCTTTTCCATATGACGCGCCAAGCCGGAGGCATGAACAAACTTTCGGTCGCACATGGTACATTCATTAGGCCCCTTGATGGACTTCCTGCCGCGCGAACTGTCAATTCCGGTAGTAAGATCGTATTTCATCTCATCCTTCATATAACGGCGTAGGCGGATTTGGTTCTCCTGGATAACACGTTCACTACCGGGTTTGATTGGTGGCGCCGGAGGAGTTGAAGCGATGCTAGGTTGTGGCTTCTCCTGGAGCCCGAAAAGAGCATCACACATGGCCTTGCGTTCCTCTGGATCACAAATGTGACTCTGGATGGATACTGTATCAAATTGGCCAAAACATTGTGCGCACTTTACGCGGTTGGCAGATGCAGCAGCGGCGTTGGCCCGTGAGGCTTAAGGATGTGTAATGGTACTAATGTTGAAAAAATCACTTAATAGGTCACTATTAATTACCCTGGAAGACCGACTCTTCTGTGGTCATTTTGTTGTTTGTTACTCCAGCCAGAAAGTCACGTATTTTCATTTGCTCCGCCTCAGGATCAAAGTCTGGCTTGCCATCGGCCTCCTGCAGAATCTGCTTCAGAGCCGGATCCGCCAAAGTGCGCTGGACTACTACTTCCGTAGGCATTCGGATGGCGCCCGAAGATGTTGTCGTGAAGAACTTTGAGAGATCTTCATGGCTAACAATCTGCTCGAGGATACCGTCACCATCATTGGATGCTAGGACAGTGGCTCCGGGTTGAAGGTCATCGGGATTCAATTCTGTTTCCATGTCCACTTCAATTTCGGCCAGCGTATACTCGCCGCTGACCTCAGTCTTTATAATTGGTAAATCCGCTTTACTCATTTTCACTTTCACCCTTCACTTGATTACTTTTCAAAATACTTTCCGGTTTCACAAACTATTATACCAAGACTTAAGACTCAAATTTTTGATTATTTTGAGAAAGGAAACTTTTTTTTCGATGTTTCGACGAAGCGTAAGGACTGCTGAATCGAGGGAAAATGATTTGCGTTCTCCGGGGATTGGAGAAAGTTGACAATTTTGACAGAAAACTCAATGACATATCAATAGGGTTGCCGCATAACAAAACAGTTCTGATAAACATCCTTTATAGAAACAGTATATTAAGGAAAATAATCCTAATGTCTAAATTATAACAATGTATTTATGACCCTTATGACAGATGAAGCTGGACAGGATTGTCTTTTTTTTATAATTTTCAAAAGTTTTATGGTTTTAATAAAAAAAAAACAAATCTCTTCATGAATGATTTTTATTCAATAACCCTAAACTACATAGCACACGGTTAAAAATAACCCTAGGTATTTCTTATCTGAAGCTTCCATCCCATATAAATACAATAAAATACAATAAAACTTGAGGTATCATGATTCTAAATATATCTGTTTTTATAAACGTTATATTAAGTTTTAAAAATGTCAAGAACAAAATAAATATCATAAGAAGTCATAAAAACTTTTGCAATTAAAGCCTTTTTGATTTTATGGCCAAAAATTGATTTTATAAATACGTTTCCGCTGTTAGAATTCATTACTCATTGGCCGCGGATCTCTTATTTTGGACTTACCCAAGGAACTGACAGGTAAGGCTTTTATCGTAGTCCCACGGCATAAAAATATAGTTTACGCGAATTGTTTATATTTTCTTTTAGCTCAGGCCTCGTCGCCCGAGCTGATTAGTGGCCCACATTTATCAGTTTTCAGCCCCTCGGCTACCAGATAACGCGTTCGCAAAATGAGTAAACGCAGTGCCCACCATTGACATACCTCCGCTGTTAATCAGTCCTCTACATAGCTCCGAGTCGTCCCAACCTACCGTGACCCGTTTCGTTTTTCGCCAAGTCTATCTGGTTGCCCAGGTGCAGAAGCCGTGGAACTCAACTCCTTCCCATACGGTAATGGTTCTTTGTCTCGGACTGCCCAGAGGGTAACTACCCGGGTTACCTGGTGACTCTGGGGAGGGCCCACAACCCGTGAGTCACACTATCCGAATCCAAAACTGATAAAGCTCTAGCTGCGCCAGCACCCTTATCTTCAAATTGGCTACTAGATAATACCTTAGCGCAAGACAGTGAATGCCGCCAGTGGCCGATCCTTTGCAGCCTTCGACTAACGCAGCTCCGCTTTTCTAGTGCCATGGAGGATTACTCATACGCCTACATCTCCGAGCCAGTGGAGTTCAGGCAGTTGGAGGGGAAGTCCATCGACTTCCGCAAGACATTCGATGTGCGGGGTCAAGGCGTTGACGAAATGCTCCAGCTGTACCTGCGGAAGGCCAACCTATCCGACGACCTGAGTCGCCTGCCGACTCTGATGCGACGCGCCTACGTCTATGACATAATACGGAGCAATAAGGGGCCTGGTTACTGGGTGGTAATTGAATAGAGCTTTTTTTATACCCGTGCAAGGTATTTAAGATTTTTAGACAAATCAGCCAGTCCGAATCGGCTTTTCCTCCTTACTAGTGGATCTTTGAACTTATTTCTTCTAGATTCCTCGAAGAAAATCTAAGTTTAAAATGGATTCGGCAAGGGTATAAAATCATTGGCTCATAATTGATAACTTTTATAGACTTTAGCTTCAGGCAATAGTAGAAGTTGCAGTCTTGTCCTGACCGCAGCAATTCGTTTCTTTCGTTCCAGCCTCCTTCTATGCAAGTGAGCAGCGACGTTTTTGCTCATCCGCCACCAGCAGTCCGTCCGCCACCTGTTTACGCCGACAACGCCAGTATCGACATCAGTTTTAGCGGCATGAAGAACTCCTCCTCCTCGAACAGTCTGGACAGATATACAGGTGCTCCTCCAGCAGTGGCCCTGGCTGGTCCCAGTTTTCCCACGAGCGTGGTAGTCAGCAGCAAGGGATCCAAGTACGAGATCAGCGGACCCACAAATTTTCAGCATGTTTCTGGAGATGTGACGCGGGATAGGACACGAAACGCCTTCGATCTGAGTGCCGAGACCAACGATAATGTGTTGCGAAAGTACATGATCGAGCGCGGTATTACGGAGGCGGATATAAGTGACATGCGCAGTCAGGATGTCATCAAAAAAATTATCCACTCCAATTTCACGTGGATGGTATGTATGAAAATCAGATTCTTAGAATATGTTTAGTAAGGTATTTATTTTTATAGCCTAAAAAAGGTGATCTGCAAGCCAAGCCGAAAGTCCAGGAGACTGCAAGGCCTCTGCTGTATGCAACCATTTCCACCAATAACCAGATCACTCCTCCGCCCTCTCCTCCACCTGTTGCATTTCCGACTCCGGCGCCTGCTCCCAGTTTTGCTAATTATGCAGCACTTACATCCCGGTTTGTGGATATTTCGGACATGGACATGCCTGTGCCAGCGTCTAGCCGGCAACCAGAGCTGGGCTCTGTGATTCCAGTGCAGGTGCAGCCATCGAATAAGCCTAAGGTGCCTCCGCCTCCTTCAACAGTTATGGCAAACAACAGTCGCGGCGGCTATCCACCGGCCATTGATATACGCCACATCCGACCATCTGCGACTCCTGTAAAGCAATCCATTGAGACATATGCTACAATATCACCACAGAGGAAAGCGGGAACCATGCGTATTCCACCACCAGCTCCTCCAAAGCCAACGGTTGGACCTAGTACATACGCCACGGCATCACCAATAGCCAGGCAGCCGCCGCCCTCCAACACATACTCCACTGCTTCCATGGCATCGGTGTCTTCTGTGCAGTATGGAACAGCCAAGCCTCCGCCGCCAGCTCCTCCGGCTAAGCCGCGGTCTCCAGTTCATTGTCCCCCACCTTCAGCTTCAACTTACGTGCCACCTCCTCCACCGATGCAGGTACAGAGTACCAAAGCTCAGGTACCGGTTCCGCCACCACCGCCTCCAGCGTCTGTAGGAGGAATACCTCCTCCACCACCTCCCATGCCAGTTGCAACCTCTGCAGGAGGAGGTCCCCCCCCGCCACCACCTCCTCCAACTGCAGGTGGACCCCCAGCGCCGCCACCAATGCAAAAAACTGCGCCCAAAACTGTTCCTGTTGCTGCCGATGATAGAGGAGCCTTACTGGAAAGTATACGCAAGGGTGTAGCTCTTAAGGTAAGATCACATATGTACATACATTGAACAATTTCCACAAAAATTTTTAAAATTTACAACTTTTTTCAGAAAGTGGACCAAAAGGCAGCCACTATTAGCGGTATAAAACCACGAGCCGAACGAAAGCCCCCGGCAAACGACTTTTTAAGCGAACTCAAGCTGGGAATTACCCTAAGAAGGGTTAAAAATCCTTCTGATAACCCTTTTTCCGAAGAATCGCAAGCTTGAAGGTTGGCGGTAGAGCTTTTGACTTCACATGGCAGCTCTGGGCCCTAAGCAGGGTTGCCAGACTCAAATTGAAATTATTGTTGGCGATAAATTTAAATTATAATATTAATCACCATGACAAGTGCATACATTTATAGCTTTGTAAATAAACTTGTTTCAAAGAGATTAGATTGGTTTATCTATATACATTTATACTAGAACCTAAATGTACAGGGACAATACGAACATGGCCAAGGGGGTAGCCGTATGTTACCTTGGGGCTAGTTACCTCTGAACTTAACTTTTTATAAATTTTTAAAAGTCTATAGAAAAAGTTTAAACAATTAGACAATAACGTATAAGCAAAAATAATAAATCAGGCAGTAGTGCCCCCCTTATAAAATTCGGCAATACTCCCTTGAATTTGGAACAAGCTTTGAAGGCGTGTGTAAAACGCAAATCAGCTGGCGACGCTGTGGGTCTGAACTCGAAGCACTGGCTGGAATCAATATAATTTGGACTCTTCCCTAGATAACACCACGGTTCCCCTGCTGAAGTACATGTGACACTGCAATTTGCGCTAAAACATTCTAAGCAACTCAGGAGCCAAGAGGAAGAAAGCATTATGCAACGCATTGCAATTATTGGAGGAACCGGCATGACCGGCGAATGTGCGGTAGATCACGCTTTGGAAAAAGGTGAGCAGATCAGAGGCAGGCTGTCCCGTACCAAACTAACATTATTTCTACATGTATATATGTATGTAGGTCTTAAAGTTAAACTGCTGTATCGGACTGAGGCCACGATTCCAGAACGGTTCAAGTCCAAAGTTGACTTGGTTCATGGGGACGCTACCAAATACGAGGATGTAAAGCGCCTGATCGAGGGTGTAGATGGAGTGTGCGTGATATTGGGAACGCGCAACAAGTTGGAGGCAACCACGGAACTCTCGCGCGGAACCGAAAATCTAATCAAGGCCATGAAAGAGGCTAAATTGACAAAGTTCTCCATTGTGATGTCCTCGTTCCTGCTTCGGCCCTTGAACGAAGTCCCCGCGGTCTTTCACAAGCTGAACGAGGAGCACCAGCGAATGCTAGACCTGACCAAGGCTTCGGGGCTGGAGTACATAGCTATCCTCCCGCCCCACATCGCCGACGAACCTTCCACCGCATATACAGTGGTACATGATGAAGCCCCGGGTCGGCTGGTGTCCAAATATGATTTGGGCAAATTTATTGTAGATAGTTTGGATCAGCCGGAACACTACGGCAAGGTGTGTGGTATTGGAAAGGCCCCAAAAAGCACCTGAATCCCTCACAACCAGGGAATTAGCATTTTGAACCATTTGCAGCTGATCGATTGAATCGTACAAATATTAATATTTTTCATAGCCCATACAAGTAACTTAGATTGCTGATTGTAATGTGCGCAAGCGCCCAATAAACTTTCCATTTTTGAAAAGTATTTCTTAATTGAAATTACGTGAGGTGGTTGACGGCACATTAGCACCTGTGCCACAAAACGCCAACTAGCTATTCAAAAAATCTCTGACCATAACAGATCGCCGACGGTCCCCAGGCCAAGCAATCAAAGATCAACAGCTTCCGCTTTCAGAGCACCGAGCCATCGAGAGAGAGAACCGACCGCATTTTGGCAGCCCCTTACATCACTGCAGGCTATTTCTGTAACAGAATTAATTCGCATGACGCTCGCTGGGCGGGCAACAACCATTTCATGGGCACCAGGCCCCCGTCAAATTTGGCTGCACAAAAATAACATCAATTTATAGGCGTAGCCGTGATCTTGAACTTGTCATCTTTGGTTGATGTGGACACATGGATGCAATCGCTCATGTGGCACATACTTCCGCCCAGGAAAAGATTTTTACTGTTTACAATTTCTACACGATTTATTGGAAGTTATTGCCTTCGTTGAGTGCTTATTGGCTAAGGCTCGATATGTCTCTATGCTATGTCTCGTTGGAAGATACTTGAGCTTCTTATTATCATTGATGGCAGGTAGGATTCCGTCTAGAAGCCACTATACGCACATGCTTGAGCAAAACTGTAACAAATCATAAGGGCTATACAGAAAGACTTGGATAAGGCTAACATATCCTTACACATGTACCGAACGTAGTGGTTACCTTTGTCATACAAAAAGAACCAAAAAGTTTAAAAAATACACGCGGAAAGTAATATTTAAAAATCAACACAGGCGTTATAGTGAATGTTTACTTATTTGTGTAATGGAATTAAAAGCTAGCTGTAGCTGCACCAATATTCGGAGAATGAACATGGTGCCTTTTAGCGAACCCTTCATTCGTGTCCCGATTATAGCACGGTGCAGCTGCTGGCAGGCGACAGGTGAGCCCTGTGCAAAATTTCATGCGTTTGCCAATTTGACTAGTTAACTGCCACGCTCTGGTCGGGCTTTTCTAATCTTACTACCACTGGCGTTGACGTCTATAAGACCTTCTTCATGTATTTCTTTTTGGCGTTTTGTAAGCTTGGCAGTTCGCAGTGACGTGGCCCGTACATGGAAATGGGTGCACAGTATTCGTAGCCAATGCGTTCGTAAAATCCATCTTGATCGATAGTCGACAAGTAAATTGTCTTCAGATCAAGTACCACCCGACAATAGTCCTCGGCGAATTTCATGATCAGCTTGCCAAAGCCTTGGCCTCGATAGGTTTTGTCCACCACTACGGACTCGACGAAACATGCCTTCTTTTTGGACGTGATTGGGCTCAGCTTCAAATGAGCTATTACTCGACACATGCCCTCCGTGGTGAGAACCAAACTGCATGGCAGTGTGTCGCATGACGCCTCCAGCGAACGCATGCGCGCCGTTTCTGATCGCGGCCACTCGGAATTGATGAGAGCGCAGGTGTCCTTCATCAGCTCCGGATAGTTGTGGATGGGCACCACGTTAAACGGGCTGCCGGTGACATTGAACGGTGGAAGCCCCTGCAAAATGGAATCCGATTAGTGTCACTAGCAACATATTTCCGCAGGCTGAAGGAGATTCGGCGCTCTTGCTGCTTTACTTCATAGTACGGCTCCGGTTTTACGTAGCGCATATCGCTGAAACTGACTACTGAAGGGTTGTTGGCAGGATTGGGTCCCGCCTATGCTCAGAAAGTGTGAAAAAATCTAAAAGATAGAATAGAATAGAGTGGTTTCTGTTCGCTACCCACACTGAAAACAATTCACACTGGCTGATGGTTATTTACACGGGTAGTTTCTAAACATTTTGCTGGAGCAAATCAAAAACAAATGCATTGGATAAACAAATAGTAGGAAATGGTAATAAGCCGAAGATTTTATACCCTTAAAGTATTTTAGTGATGTCACTTTATTTTATTCTATAAAACAAAGAACGTTATTTCTTAAATGTAGCATAAAAGGCTTCAGTTTTACATCTTATATTAGATAAATAGATATAAAAGTAAATATGAAAGTCAGAACCTTTTTTTTTGGTTTTAAAATTTAAAAATTATGTTTAACAAAATTTCAAGGGTATAAAATGAATTGGATTCGATAGACAAAAAGTCGCTCAGCGAGCAGCCATGGAAACAGTACACACACTCAAACCCACAGAAAACGGAGGAAAATCAAGGTGAGGCGTAAAAAAGAACGTTTTCATTCTACAATCTCGCCTGGCCGAGAATTCAAAGACCTTGACTGGCCGTCTACTGAAACATATAACGCATATATACAGATATATCCGAACTGTGCGGGCGGTGACGGCTTTGTTCTGGGGGCCTTCTATGTACAAATGGGCTGGATTTTGGCACGATGGCCGGGCGGACACACACGAGAACATTATGCCAAAAAGGTGCTACACGTTATTGATTTTTCAGTTGATGAAACTAATACGGAATCAAGGGTTACCATTGCGAGAGCTTTCTGTTTTGGTGAATCTGCTTCTGCCTCCCGTGCACCACGACGAAGTGAACAGAATGTACTGATATAGTTCCCAATATTGCCAAGATATGGGCCAAGTTGAGAGCCGGAAATTCTTTCAATATAGAGCGGGCTCGTATGCGAGCGCGTCGCTTGTTCGGCCTGTTGAGATTTGATTCAGCGCTGACTGCGCGCCGGAAAATTGAATATCAGTTTGGTTTAAAATCGGAATGTTTATGTTTATTTTTAAACTTTTCCGTACAATTCAGCTTCTTCTTATTCAGGACTGCCAACTTGATGTGGCTGGCCACCTAGAGTAACAGTGCTGGGAAGCGGACCAGGTCAGTGCTGGTAAATGCGCGCTGGTGGCAAGCGAAAATAGCAACAAATTTGTTTTGTTTATTGTTTAAAAGCAACGCAAGGCATCCGCAACGAGCATGCAGAGTGTGCAATATCCGTAGAAAGTCGAGACGCAGACGGCATATTTCAGAACTTACAATATTAGGGCGAAGTCTATTGGCAGCGGGAGCAGCGCGAAATTTCTGTCGTTAACACGGTTCTAAATTATTTATTACACAACAAATAACTCAAAACAGACATTGTCGGCGAAAGGTTAAAAATAGCTTGTAAACAAACCGATCATCAGGAATAGGAAGAACCCCTCGCGGCGTCATTGACCCACAAAATTGCCCCTGCTATTGCCAACGGCCGGCATAGCCAATCACTTCCCCGATCTGAGCACGTGCATCTATCGACACTATGGCCAGCCGGCAAATGGCCAACGACCACCTGCGCCTCTCCTGGCACGACACCCAGATGATGGCTTCCCTTAGTCCACAGACGGTAATGGACTACTTCTGCAGGAGATCGAATCCCTTCTACGAACACATATGTAACAATGAGACCATTCGGATGCAGCGTCTAGGGCCAGAGCATCTGCAGTATGTTGTACTGATGTACTTATACTAAGAATAAAATGTGTAATTATCCATTTTGAACATTTCAGTAACATGATTGGGTTGGAGTACATCCTTTTGCATGTAGCAGAGCCAATTTTGTACGTCATCCGAAAACAACACCGCCATAATCCTTCAGAAGCCACTCCCATCGCCGATTACTACATCATTGGAGGCACGGTCTACAAGGCACCCGACCTGGCCAATGTGATTAATGCTCGCATAGTAAATATTTTCACAAAAATATGTCACGCTTTTTCTTTACTTGTTTTCTTTTAAAGCTCAACACTGTCGTAAATCTGCAATCTGCCTTCGAGGAAGCCAGCGGCTATGCTCGTTACCATCCCAACAAAGGATACACTTGGGACTTTTCCTCTAATAAAGTTTGTAAGTGAATATCAGGCTGGAACATATCGCACCCAATACTTATGAATAATATAATTGATTCATAAATTTTAGTATCCGACAAATCCAAATCCGATAAGAAGGACGCCAGCTCATCGAAAGAAGAAAACAGTGGGACATTATTCCAAAAGCAACGCGTGGACATGCTTTTGGCTGAACTCCTTCGAAAGTTTCCACCCCCAATCCCACCAATGTTGCAAAATCTGCAGCAACCCACGCCTGCAGATGAGATGAGTTCGACTGGCGGACTTAACGCCACTGAGATGAACAACGCTACTGGGCCGCTAGATATAAAAACGGAAGGTGTGGACATGAAACCCCCGCCAGAGAAAAAATCTAAGTAATAGGGTTAATGTGCATTTAAATGTGTGGGAAACTAAAATACACTCATCTTAGACCTAGGCTACATTATAATGGTTACGTTTGATTTAATCTTGGGCACTCGGTGCATTGTCCTGGGCAGCTGGTGGCTTCTGCGTCAAGTTCTTTGTGTGCACCGTCAGACTGTGGTTGGTGAACTCCAGTATGCTCTTAAAGGATTGCTTACAAATGTGGCACGGCACTGTCTTCGTAGGGGTACGATATACTCCAGCGTGCGCAGCCTTTTTGGGTATCTTTTTCGTGGACGGCGGAGCCATGGGAGGTTCAAAGGATGTAGTAGCTGCAAATCAAAGGTTTTAAATCAATGAAAAACCAGCCTTAAAGAAACAAACAAAACAATAGCATTTCATTCAAATACAATCAACATCTAGTCAGTAATTATTTCATTTTCTTTTCAATGAAGGTCTTGCTGCTTTGCTTTGTTTTCATGTTTCTTTTATCTTTTGTGCTTGATATGTTTTGAGAAAAATTACCCTTGCTAGGAATCATGCTAACACGCTGCTGTGACTTCTGGGAAAGGGTGCATGGCTGGGTCATAACATTGGAAGCTGCAATCTTGGGCAACTGCGCCTTCTTTTCGTGGTTAAGTTCAGTAAACTCAAGTTTACGTTTTTCCCCTGGCGGAATCTTGCTGCAGTTTTGCATCAAGTGAATGTGTAGAGCGCGTTCCAGGGCAAAGTTTTTGTCGCAGTATTTGCAGGAATTTTTACTACCGGATGTACTATTTCCACCTGCACCCGCCGTGTTCGTATTCAGTCGTTTTAGGGACTTTGGTCCATTTTCTACCAAATCGTGCATGCGGACATGCATTTCTAGTAAGCTTTTTACGCGGAAAGTGGCATTGCATGTTTTGCAGTTGTAGGTAACAGGAAGTATACTTTTAGTGGGCTGCTTGATCACCTTGGATGGGATGTTTTGAGGAGAACGGCTGCTTGATACTGCGACTGATTTACGTGCTCCTCCAGGTTTTGGTTTGGCTACAGGCAAGCAGCTCCGGCGTCCTACAGCAAGAGAGCCCCCAGCGTTTAGCTTACGGGCCGGACTATTTAGTGTAGTTTTCACAACCACCGACATACGCTGCTTAAAGGAATAGGTACGACTCTCCACACTAGACGTTGGTAAATACGAGCGACGGGGACGCGGCATTCCACCCGCCGATCCCACGGCGATAGTCATCCTCTTTTTGCTAGCTTCTACTTTAATGTTCGATGGCTGTGGTTTAATAGATTCGCCCGAAATCTTTAGGGCTTTGGAAATTAGTTCTGAAACCTCGTTTACAACCTCTGCAACCTGGGCTTGATCGTGTTTATCTGGCGGAGGGGAGGCCACCATAGACACACCTTCGTTGGAAACTATAAATGAAATCCATTTTAGTAATATTTATAATTGGTAATGTAAAGTCTTACCCTCGGTGATATTCTCAAGGACCACGTTGGCACTTAGCGGATACACATTGCTCGCGCAAGGCTTGGGGATCGGTGGCTCTTGGACCGACTCCTCGTCTATGGTGCCATCTACTGTTTTCAGGGTGTTAGCTTTAACCGTGTTGGCGGTTACATCTATAGAACTGGACAATGTCGAATTTTCGCCACCGGCATGTTCATTTTCGTCGGCATGCGAATTTTCCTTATTTTCAACATTTGTTAAATCAAGAGATGTGATCGCTTCTGTATCCTTAGAAGGCGTGGAGCTCAGAGCGTTGTGTTTGTTAAGGATGCTCATATTAAAAGGACGGAGGGGTGAGCCCTGTTCCTGTTCACTGATCATGACCTGCTGTAAGTCCTTCAAGACGCTGCGCCGGAGACCCTTTTCATCCACATTAGCCTCCATTTTACTGTTGTGAATTTCCAGGAACTGACTGTTCTGGGTGATCACCGCCGACTGCCACTTTGTACTGGTACCACCGGAAAGAGTATCGTCCGCGTCGAAGGAGAGGTACATGGTGACGCTTTCATCGTTGGGCACGATCGATGACCGCCTTGAATCGGTCTGCAAACAAACAAAAAACTAAATTACTATAGGAACCAAATACGATCGTGGTGTTCTGACGAAATCGTTCTACAACTTGCCTTGCCCACAGTCGATCTGACTGAATCGTCCATTTCAGTCCAATTATATAGGGAGACAAGGCAGTATGAAACAACTAAAATAATTAGAATTTAAATAGAACTACCGCGAAGCGACGCTGTACCAAAAACAAAGCGTTAATTTTTCAAAAACATTTTTCAACACTGCGCGGGCAAAAATGAAACACAATACTACAAATTATTTTAATCATTCACTTTCACCCTAAAAACGTTCTGAGCTTGTTGCAAACTCATTCGAGAATGGAGTCCACACGTTTTGATGATTTGACAGTCAAATAAATTCGTGTTGCTAGATCAAATATATTCTTCAATACTGAGCCCGAAAATTGTTTTATGGATGGGACTTACTTATCGATACTTCGATAATTCCGCAACTTCATACCGCGGCCACACTAATTCTCATATATATACACAAATTCGTGTATGTGTGAAAAATCTTATTTGCCAAATACTTGTTATATTTGCTGAATTGTGTAAAAAGGTTCCTAAAACAAGAGCACAGATCGAGCTTAAAAGCACTTTAAATACATATCTACAGACTGCAACCAAAACTCTCAAAGCAGCGTTCAAGAGAAGCTGACGGCAGAATCTGCGACTGTGAGTCATTTGTCTAGATTTCACCAAAACAACCACTTGCTAAGCCCGCCGCACCCGGAAATGGCCGCCGTTGAAAACAATGAACCCCGAACGGAGTTGCAGGAGCTGCAGCTTAAGTCTGCTCAGGTTGCGGATGAATCCTTGGAGAGCACGCGCCGGATGCTCAGCCTTATGGACGAAAGCAAGGAAGCGGGAATCCGCACGTTAGTGGCTCTGGACGACCAGGGCGAGCAGCTGGATCGCATCGAGGAAGGCATGGACAGGATCAACGCCGACATGCGAGAGGCGGAGAAGAACCTCAGCGGTATGGAAAAGTGCTGCGGAATCTGTGTGCTGCCCTGGAAGAAGGTTAACATTAAGGACGACAGCGACAGCGCTTGGAAGGCCAACGATGATGGCAAAATAGTGGCCAGCCAGCCGCAACGGGTGATCGATGAGAGAGAGCGCGGCGGAATGGGTGCTCCACCCCAGTCCGGCTATGTGGCACGAATCACAAATGATGCCCGCGAGGATGAGATGGACGAGAATCTCGGGCAAGTTAATTCTATGCTTGGAAACCTACGGAATATGGCACTGGATATGGGCTCGGAGCTGGAAAACCAAAACAAGCAGGTCGACCGCATCAATGCCAAGGGCGACGCCAACAACATTCGCATGGATGGTGTAAACAAGCGTGCTAACAATCTGCTCAAGAGTTAAACATGCACAAAGCGGTCTCAAATCAATAGTGAACACGGTAGTCAGGTCCCCAGTAAACCCAATGACCTCGAACCAATGTTGTGGGCACAAACCAGTAGCTAATGCGTTATTTATACAATATATTATATACAAATACATGTAGACCAATGGACTCCTGGTAGGAGCAAACGTAACTGACCCATCTACCAACAAGCACTTACCAGCTGCAAGAACTAAAAAATTTCTACTATATATTTTCCACGACATATACGTATACAATTCTATATGCGCGTGCAAAGGCGGAACAACATATAACTACTTACTATAAACCTACTTACTCGTGTACAAATGGCAACCTTGCTGTTGCCTAAAAACATTTTTATTATGAGATTTACCGTATGATGTACTCTGTTTTTGGTACAAACTTTTTGAGGCATTTTACTGAACTTTGTCGAATCAAACTTGTAACTACTGAGATGAATATATGTTTATTAATATATATTAACAGTCCCCAAAACCACCGCTTCCCCTGGCACACAGATAGTTAAAGATTAATAATGGTGGTGTCGTCATATCGTAGCCAATTTTATGTTCTCCGTTGTTATGCCCTTTTGTGCAATTTTTGCCATGCCATTAAGACGGGATTTTGGAAATTCCATACTCCACCACGGGTTTAAAATAATATATACAAAGTCAGTCCCGAACGTTCGGCATCGTATATAGTTAAATTGTGTCCCAGTTGAAGTTTCAGTATAGTCATAAGTGAAAAAAATTGTTTGAAGTAATCCAATGTTTAAAGATTTGAAAAGAACCTGTTTGTGCGCAAAATATTTCTCGTTAATTATTGTATGTATTACGAACGTGTATAGCGTATTATTGATTAGATACTTATTTATCGCTACTATTGCCACTTTAGCTTTTATTATAGCTCTTAAATTGCAATTTTTGAAATAAATGAATTCACCACCAAATCTCGCATTTTTACATTTATTGCACTAACCAAAAAATTGTTGTTGACTGAGAATTTTAAGCTACCCGAAAGTAGTTGAAGGAAGCTATGTATCCGGTAAAGTCCTCGTCGCAATCTTCGGCTTTTGCGAACTCAACTTCCGGTGCTGATTCCACAGGAATGTACACAATGCTGCCACGCGAGACCACAATATCCTTGGCGCCTGCTTGAGTTTTTAGCCGCAAAGTGCGAGATCCGTTCAAGACAATCAGGATAGATCCGTACGGCTGGATTTGCAGCTTGTACGTTTTCAGGCTGTGTTGGATTTTTAGGGAAATCACCGCAAAGTCCGGCACTGGTGGAATGTACACCTGAACCTGCTCGTCCACACGAAGTGGCTGGAACTTCTTAAGATCTGGATGCACTCCAGCAAAATTAACAGACTGTAGCAGCTGTTCAACATCCTTGTACTTGGGAGTCAAACCCGCACGGATCACATTGTCGGAGCATGCCATGCACTCAATGCAGTCGCCGCCCAGATAGGCGTGAATCTCGTTAGCACCCAAGTAAATAGCCTCACCGGGCTGTAGGTGGATCAGATTTAGGAAAAAAAGTGAGAGTACACCGACATCACCAGGGAAGTCTTTGTTGACGCTGTTAAACACGTCAAGAAGCTCATTGAATTTAAGTTCTGGGGAGAAGTTGAAAAGTTATTTTAAACAGAAGGTTACATGTATATACACTGGGTTTACCTTTTTGATAGTTGTTGGCTATATCCTCGATGCACTTGGAAATCTCCGATTCGTCACTCTTCATCAGCTGCTCGTAGCACACCTTTACGGTTTCGGCATTCGGAGACTCGTGCAACTGATCCACCGCCTCCTTGCCCAAAAGCTGACTGAGGGGCTGGAACTCGTCGATGTAGTCCCTGATGTCCGCCGCCGGCATAAATCCACACAAAGCTTTAAATGGGGTTAAAGCAATCGCCAACTCTGGCTTGTGGTTTGGATCTTTGTAGATCTCCGGTCGTTCCTGGTGCAGGCGCTCGGCTTCGCATTTATTCGGATGCACTTGAATGCTAAGGGCTTTGTTGATACTCAGCACCTTGAACAGGTACGGAAGATCGTTTTTAAGGACCCGGTCCAGCGTCTCGCCCGTTTCTTTTACTACTGACACACCGCAAACGTGGGTACCCATCCACATTTCCGCGTAGGTCTCCTCATCGTCCAGCGTAAAGTCAGGATCATTGGCCATGGCCAGTTGGGCTACAGCCGAACTAATGCCCTGGCGTCCCCATTCGTAATTTTTCACCCATCCAGTAAGCTCCATCTCTGTACTCCGTCCTTCCTTTCCAAATTCTGAGGTCAAACTGAAGGTGATAAGAAATCATATGGTTTTTGTAAAATATTGTGTGCGTGGGATTTTCCGGTGATAATAAAACGAACTGCACACGATGCGCATGCGACAAAATCGCAATTATCCCCTGGATAATCACTTACAGCCAACGAGGTGAAATCTTATACTAAAAGGAACAAAATTTGGAATTTCGATTTACTTCGAAAGCAATTTTTCTACAAAGATGTAAAAAGGCAGTCATAGGCGGGGTAAATTTCATGGAGAGGGTCTTCATTTTTAGTGTAAAAAATGTTGTAAAATCTATAATACACATTAATTTTTCGCTTCTTTTTTCCACTTTAAATCTTTTTATTATGGACATTTATGTTTAGAACAAAACCCCTTTCTAACGACAACGGCTCTGTTACCTGGTAATCGATAGTCGATTACAAATTATCAAATTTTTTGCATTTGGCACCAAATTCAAAACTGATCTTTGATAAAAAAAGAAAATGTATTTTTTACAAAAAGTTTATTTGACTGTTTTACAATGTCATTATTCTTAAGTTAAAACAGGCTTTTTTATTTGGGTTTTGCGTTCTCGCTGTCGTCAATTTTGTCGATGACCTGTTTTAAACAGTCCTTTGTCGATGTCTTTTCCAAATCGCAGATGCGTGTAAGGTCCATGGTGGAAATTTGCTCTATCATCTCCTTAATCTTCTCTTGCTTAATAATGGCCTTTACAGACTGCCTCACCCCACTACGTCCACCAGTAGTTCCACCTGCTGTCTTTCCGTTGAGTCATTTTCGATTTGCTTTCCCTTAGATCGGTAGTGCTGCTCGATAATCTTTCTTATTTTCAGTTTGGTTGCAGCTCGAGATGTTTTTGTAGTCTGACCCATGGCTAGATTTCGTAGCTCCTGAAAATTAATTTCCTTGGCTGGCACCTCAAAGGATTCTCCTTCCGGTTCAGTTACTGTTTCAGATTCACTATTTGTATCGAGTTCCAGGGACATCTCCTCAACGGTCGCCACGATACCGTCATCATCATCCACCTCTACGGGTAGAATAGCTTCCACTACCGACTTATTGCTAGCTCTAGGGATTTTTTCTATCTGCGGAATAATTTTTTCTACAACTTCAGGATCGGTAGTCTTTTCCGTTCTACCCTTTGCCTTGGGTTTTTGCTTTTTGGGAGGAGGCGGAATTCGTCTCTTAAGGATCCCAATACAGGGCTTGGTTTTGATTCGAATGGGCAGTAACGAGTTATATTGAATGCCAATGCTGTTGAAGCAATCGATGAATTCCACGGTGTCAAATTCATCTTGCAACGAAGCCCAAACATCAGTATTTTGCTTGTTTTTGGCCTCTACTAAAAGATGTGTGTAGCTGGCCAGTTCGGATTGAGTGTAGTTCATAGACTCATTTTTGCTGTACACCCATTCCTCCCGTATTTCCATAAAACGCGAGACTCCACTTTGGGCTGCCAAGTTCGATATGTGAACAGATACGTTGGATGAGCCAACCTCCAAACGATGTAAACGCGAGAGAGCTTCTCCTCCTGGATAATTAGTTCCCGAAATGACGAGCAAAAATATCGTCATAAAGACATTTAATAGCAGGTGCGCTCCAGAACATAACGCAAGGAAACTGTGCCATGTTGACTTGGCGCTGTTCATCCAACTAGTTGGAGAAAACTAAGATATAAGTTTGGTCTGATAAAATCTGCACGAAACTTACATTCTTTGGCATGCGCAAGCCGCAACAATATTAAGAACTGGGAACACATAGATAATAAACCGTAGTTCCTTGTGAGGTAGTAGGGAGTATAGAAGTACAAATGCTAAAGCAGATAGGGCCAAGGGTCGAATGCGCTTCTCGAGGAAAATCCCAATCGGCACAAAAACCAATGATGCTCCCATCGCTCTAGGCATAGCAGAGTAAAAATACCAAAGAAAGGGCGACGTGCCCCAATTGGAACTTTTGTTGAGAATAGTGTTGTACCAGAGGACTTCCCCCTCAGGCCATAGCAGTCTCCGCCAGAAAAACGAATCCACAAGCACAGTCGCAGCCAAAATGCACATGCCTGCCGGCAGGGAAATCTTCAATAGCCTGTGAAAAGCATATTTAGGGTAAAATAATATTTTAAAGATTGAACACTGCACCTGTCAATGGAGAATTTTCGCTGCAGCAAGCTCACGGCCAGCAATAGACCCAAGAACAAAGCCAATTCTGAACGAAAGACAAGGATGGAGATGCCAGAGCAGATAATAAACGGCTTGTGCTGGTCACGCATCCAATACGCAATGGCATAAAGTACTGAAAAAATGCTACTTAATTAAACTTTTTTAAAAAATAGTTGCCCGGGTGTTTGGTATTAGGTACCTATAGGCAGGGCAAAAATGTTTGGCAAGGGCCTCGTCATGTAAAACATGAAATGAAACTGTGTTATGGTGATGGCTGTGAACCATAGACGCACCTCCACGCCATAGACCTTCGTCACAGCCTGCCTTAAATTATTCCATGCCACTGTGATGGCTCCGGCTAAAACCAAACGCACTAAAAAGGTAAAAATATTAGAATTGAATCCACTTATATTTATAGGTTTACTTTACCTACATATTGGGCCCAGAATTTGTTAATGTCCAGAGTCTCAAAGAGCAGGACAAACGGAGCCGAAATCATGGAAACAACCAGTGGGCCAATAAAAGTTCGTGGTACTACTCCCGGAAACTCATGATGATCATACTGAAATGGAGGTATGGAATAAGTTATGGGATTAAAACGATAAAAACGTTTTTACTTTAGAAAATATACACCAGTAAGTACTTAATATATCTCACCTGAGTGAAATTATCCCTCAAATATAGAATATCATGCATTGCCTGCAGGTTGAAGCTCTCCTCCACCTTAGTAAAAGGGGTGTAGACCAAATGGGCCACCGCCGTCAGGAAAACCAGAATGTCCATAATTGTTCGGTTTATTACAGAAGACTAATAAATAGACTGGAGCCGATTTCGGAAAATTACATAATGCTTAGATACCGATATTGATATGTTCTGAAGATAAGTATCTAAATGTCAACGGTATCCTATGTATATAGAAGGTATCATATATTTTAAGTTGAGTTTGAGTTTTGAGTTGAGTTTGATAGTTGAGTTTTGTGAAACACCTTGACTAACAAAACGTTTAACCGTGTAACGTTAATGCCATTAGTATGAAAAATATATATGCTGTGCAGTCTAGAATCTGTGGGGTTCCAAAATAAGTCTAATAAGATATATAAAAATAGATCGTTCCACGTCGGATAGACCAACCACAACAAAAACAAAATAAAGAACAAGATAAAACAACCGGTCGGAAACAGCTGATTGCTTTCGATTACTGTCATTGGATTCGATACCGATAACTATTTCCGAATCTACTCTGACATAGCTTTTGAAAATTCAAGTCATTCTATCTTCTGCCTTTTCTAACGAGACCCTTCAACCAAAATGGGCCTGTTTAAGGAAGAAATTGCACTTTTCCACCAGAAGTCCCTGGCAAAATACGAGGGCTTGGATCAGAGCGACTTGTATGTTATGTACAAGAAGTTGAAAATGGAATTGGAGCTTATCCAAGTTCAGGAGGACTACATCAAGGAAGAGCAGCGAAACTTGAAAAAAGAATTTATTCATGCTCAGGAGGAGGTGAAGCGCATTAAGGCCGTTCCCCTGGTCATTGGGCAATTCCTAGAAGCGGTTGATGAGAACAACGGAATTGTAGCGTCTACCACGGGCTCAAATTACTACGTCCGTGTTTTATCTACTATTGACAGGGAGCAGCTGAAGCCTTCGACTTCCGTGGCCTTGCATAAGCAAAGTAACTGTTTGGTGGATTTGGTGCCTCCGGAGGCGGATAGCACTATATCAATGCTGACTCCGGAAGAGAAACCTAATGTCCACTATTCAGATATTGGAGGACTGGATGTCCAAAAGCAGGAGATACGCGAAGCAGTGGAGCTGCCCATCACACATGCGCAGCTGTATAAACAGATTGGTTTGTATGGGTGTTTTTACTTTGGTTAATTTCTTATATCTTTTTGAATTCCAGGCATCGATCCCCCCCGAGGAGTGCTTCTCTTTGGCCCTCCTGGATGTGGAAAAACTATGTTGGCAAAAGCCGTTGCCCATCACACAACTGCTTCTTTTATTCGTGTAGTAGGCTCAGAGTTCGTCCAGAAGTATTTGGGCGAGGGTCCTCGCATGGTCCGCGATGTGTTCCGTCTGGCAAAACAGAATGCGCCGTCGGTTATTTTCATTGATGAAATTGATGCGATTGCTACTAAGCGATTTGATGCGCAAACCGGAGCAGATCGAGAAGTGCAGCGCATTTTACTGGAGCTCCTCAATCAGATGGATGGTTTTGACGAGACAAGCAATATCAAGGTTATTATGGCCACCAATCGCGCTGATACCTTGGATCCAGCTCTTTTGCGTCCCGGCCGTCTCGACCGAAAAATAGAGTTCCCCCTGCCGGATCGTCGCCAAAAGCGCCTTGTTTTCTCAACAATCACATCAAAGATGAATCTAAGTGAGGACGTTGATCTGGAGGACATTGTAGCACGTCCGGACAAGATCTCAAATGCGGATATTAATGCCATTTGTCAGGAGGCTGGAATGCACGCCGTGCGCGAGAATCGCTACGTTGTCAACTTTAAGGACTTTGAAAAGGGCTACAAGACCAGCGTGCGCAAGGATGAGACCCAGCACGAGTTTTACAATTAGTGTGACTTTTAAATTGTTCACTTTTGGATATGAAGGTTGAATTAAATATGTTAACATTACAATGAAATTGCAACTTATACATATATTTGAATATGCGTTGTTTTGGCTGGTGTGGCGCGAAATAGAAATGCAATCGAATCTCTCGATTCCGATTGTGGGTGGGATTTTTGCGCGTTATCGGATAACAGCCGAGCAGCTGTTGGTTTAAAATTCGCTCCTTTGCCGGTTTCATTGTTTTGAAGAATTCAGCTACTGGGTTCTGGCTGCCAGAATGATGCACTTGGAGTGGTACGTCACGCGGATTAAGCCCGCCATCGAAGCCTTCCTGAAGGCGCCCAGCAAAGACACGCTTTCCCTGGTGGAGCGTGAAATTGAGGGATTCAACTTTGGAGAAATGCGCATTTATCAAGTGCAAACCTTGGTGCCGCTGGTGCTCAAATTGGACGAGCTTTCGGGGTAAGTGGTTGTCTATGTTGTTGGTTCCATAATTTCTATAAAACACCTATTTTTAGGGAGAATCAAGAACTTCGCACTAGTTTGATGAACTGCCTTAGCACCATTGTGTCCCGCGCCTATCTGGCCGATGCAAAGGGCTTGCGGTCCATACTGGTGGTGGTGATGAAGCAGATTGTAGACTCAAAGTCGGCAACCATGCGACCAGATCTCTCAGAGGAAATAAAGCTGGCAGCAGTCGTATGTATATTCGAGGCACTGCGTCGCTCCACAAGCGATGTTCTGGAAACGTTCTACTCTAAGGAAACTGCGATGATAATTGGACAGATCCTGATTACGCTGTTGAAGATCATTGAGCATGAGAAGTACCGCAAACTTGTACAGTCCGCTTTGAAGTGTTTGATGGTTGTTTTCTACGTCCACGATGAATCCGACACCATGGACGTGGTATTGCGCAGTCAGGTGGCTAACACGATATTCATTTTCCTACCCAAAGTCCTCATTGTGTTATTTAAAACATCCATAAAGGATGATAAAGTCGGTGAAACCATAAAATCAGTAAGTAAAGATTAAGAATTTTTAAGATGTCCTATTAATACGATATTTTAATTAGATGTCAATTCAAGCCCTGGGTCGCATCATCTGCATTATGTTTGAGGAAACTACCGAGGAATTTATGAAACTGCGATACAATATAGATGCGTTCCGTATTCTTTTTAACAGCTCTACGGAAAATTCGGAGCAAAAAAGCGAGTTTAAATACTTTACCAATAAAAAAGCCAGTGCTGAAGAAAATGAGGAGCGGCTTCATGAAATGCAGTCCGAGCTACGCTCCCTCCAATGGATCGGGGCAACATCGCGTCGTTTGCGACCCATCTTCGTCGAGACAAGTATCCTGAGGGCACATCCCTCACTTAAGATAAGAGAGTCCTATGCCGCAATGTGTTGCCTTCTCCTCTCGCACTGCGTCCATAACTTACGCGAAAACTTTGTACACATACTTGAGAGTGTAATGGCTTTGTCGGAGGACGAAAACGAGCATATAGCCCAACGATGTAGAAATTCGTTGATTCAGTTACAACAGCAACCAAACAGTCAAGGAATTTTTGACGAGAATGCGGAAATGTTATTAGATGTGCATCTCAACAAATGGCCTCGTATTTTACACCGTTGCGAGGACAATGAGCAGTACGCTGAGTTGCTATTTTTCAAAGGATTCCTGCAAAATGTCCAATCTGAGAAACTTCAACTACTGCTTTTAGTGCCAAAGAACCTAGAAATGTTCGTCAATTGTCTGCTAATGGCTTTTGATTTGCGAACTTCGCGGGATCTTCTCAACGAGGAATACTCCCTTCGTCAAATTCGGACGGGGAATTCAAAGGAACTGCAAACTGAGTTGTCGAAGTTGCAATGGCGACAGTTTAAGTATCTAACATCAAAGCGAACTGTGGATATTCTATACGATATAGCAGCTTTACTAGGCGCAGATACCACTATAAACCGAGTTATCTTCGACTACTGTCAGGAGCAGATTCAGCAGCGATCGGCCGCCATGAAAGAGTCGGTGTTGCTGCTAACGTTAATGATAACAATGCCGGGCAAGAAATCTAGGGAAAGTCGGTTTATGCTCGCCCAACTTTTTTTGGACCAGTTACTTCGGGAAGAGCATTGGAACCTATCTTTGAAACCCGATGCCTCCTGGCGTTTGAAAGTGGAAAAGGTCAGTTTCTCTTTTAATTTTGCAGAATCCATTTAAATAACTTGTTTACGCAGCCAACTAACTGGTTTAAGGACTATACTCCGGGCCTGTACTCATCAGCTGTTGAAATTCGCACCCAGGATTGCGATTCGGACGACGAGGAGTTGACAGAGGTTGTCAGTAGTCGCGTAAACATTGCGGATGCCCAGTTCAATGTTTTGCACACGTGCCTGGTACTTGACGCAATCGGACATTGTGCCAAGTTCATTGGCGACACCTTCGACCGATACATATTTCAGAGCCTGCATAAAGTTCTCCTAAAAGTATCCAGCAGCAACACAATTGTGTACCAAGCGGCTAGTTTCGCATTCGTGTCAATGCAGCTGGCTCTGAAATACGCGGAGCCATCGCATTTCATTGAGTGTTCTACGGATTATATAACCTTTCATTTGAATTCGTTACTAAAAAAGTCACCCGAGAGCCCGGCCGCCGTGGATATTCTCACCGTGGTACTTCAGTACAGCACAAGGGGCAATGTGCCGCATTTGGATAGTATATTCCAGACGATACGGGAGGAGTGTTCAAAGCGGCACCAAACATCCAATGTGCACTCCTATCTGCGCGTTTTCAATGCATTCCTCAAACACATCACCACCTGGCAGTATGACACCATGGCACAGTTGAATTCAGAGCACGACATGCAAGTGGACGAGGATAAGGGTGTTCTTGACACCTGGATGAGCTCACTCCAGAAGCCGCGTTTGTTGGATGATCTTAATGGGGACGAAAACATGACAGAGGTACCACACCAAAATGAAGAGGACGCCGAGGAAGGGGAAGCCGAAATCGAACCCGCGAAGCCTACTTTACCAAGACACATTGAAATGGTAAAGGATATTCTGGGTCAGGTCATAAAGTTTATATCTACCGATGACCAAGCTCAGCAGATCGCCGCGCTGGAGTGCTTCGCCAGCGGTGTACCTCTACTAGCGGATTATGATAACGAACTCTTACCACTGGTGCACCTTGTTTGGCAACCGCTGGTGGAAAAATTCCGTCAAAAGGATGCCCTGGTGCTCAACCGCTGTTTCACTTTGTTGCATCTCCTCGGAGTTCACTCAAAGGAGTTCATATTTAAGAGAAGTCTCACCGATGTGATACCCCAGCTGAAGCAGTTCCTCCAGGTGGCCGCTAAGCACAGTAAAATGGAAACCTCACTGGCCAAAACCCAAGAATATAAATTACAAGTAAAGTTGCTCCAGAGCCTGTCAGATTTTATAATAAGTCTTCAAATAGACGGAAAACAGTTTCACGAGCTATTATCCACCATAGTGCTCTACCTGTCGCAGGAACAGCCGCAAGAGTTGCAGGCGCTAGCCAAGGATTGCATACTCCACTTAGTGTCCTACAATGGACCCTTCCTTTATGTGACGTTACTTCAAAGGGCACACCTTAAGGATTATAAGAATAGTGTTAGCCAGATCCTCGGGGTCATGGGCTTCAGCTTAGCTAAAGGGGGTGACCTCGATTAATAATAAAGAACCGACCACGTTTATTTTTCACAATTGCTCTATTCTGATTTCTGTTCACTCAATTAACATTACATAGACTAATGCTAGGTGTCTTTTACTGCATTTCGGATGCTTTGTTTGGTTACATACTGGTTACGTTATGCAAGAGGCGTACGTAGGAGTTAATTTTAGGAATAAAAAAAATCGAGTTATTATCATTGAGGTATCTAACTTGAATAGTTTTATTAAAATGACTTTGTTTAATATATAAATAAGGCAAGGTTGAACAAAACTGATTTATACACAAATGAAGCGATTGGAACAAACAAAACCGAAGTAGATTTATATATATATGTACTCGTATATTGAATTTTGGTAGCCATAACTAAATGCTATGCATAAACAAACATTTTCTTTCAATTTTCACTTTCAAGTGGAACCGCAGATGCTTGGCACCGATAAAACTTAGCATCCGACTTCTAAAGCCACTATACACTATAACATTTTTCTTTCTGTATCAAATATAGCTGAATTTTTAAAATGATTGCTGTTCGGTAATTTGTGTTCTAGATTCTGTCCACGCCTTTCTCACCGTCCTTCGCCTTATTGACTCGCAATACTCGTACTTAAGTAGTGAAGCAGCTCGCAGCAGCAGTGTGCATAAAGTCTATTGAGCATCTCCGAGTTCTTAGCTTTCCCTTTGATCGTTTCATGTTGCTCTGCGGTTGTGGATTTTGAAGCTGTTCATTAATTGGTGTGTTTTTGTGTGGTTGTGAGTGTGGAGGAGTGTGTGTTTAGCTACTCAATTTTCTTGGAAAATGACTACGCCAGCCAGTTCATTAAGCTATTGGCATAGGCCATCGGCTTGACATCGGGATGTGGCTAAAATATGATTAGTAGTTTAGTTTAAGATTTTTACAATAAAGTTCAACTCTACTTTGATACATACCACAGCCTCAAACGATTTGTAGTTTGGTTTCAAATTGTTACCCGTGATGGTAATAAATGCGCCCATATTGCCCATAGTATCACTGTAAAAGATGGTCAATTAATATTCTGTTAATACTTGCTAACGCTGGGACCTTACCAATAGTTCGGGGCTGAGAAGACCGTTATGCATTGACCATTGTGTGCCTCTTCGTAACCCATATCCTTGACCTCGTGACTTCTGATGATGTAATCCAGGTTGTTGTTCTTACAGAACGCCTCGGTCACATCGGGACCGAACTGAATGCCCACGCCTCGCTTTGACGGACCTCGGCCCATCCAGAGCTGTGGATCCGACCACAGAAGTTCGCACATGAGACCTTCCTCTGGAGGCTGACAGTTTCGCTCAATACGACGTATGTTGTCCAGAGTCACATTGTCTGAGGAAAAGAGTCCGCCGTGCATAACTAATATTTTCTGATTTATGCAGTGGCAGAGCGGCAGCCAGTTGAACACCTGCGTGAATATGTCTGCCATGGTGCTGGTGTACTTAGCAGTAACTTCTCCAGTAAATCCGTACATTTGGTTCATGTTGATACTTTCGTGGTTGCCTAAAATTTAAATGTTAGAAGCCTAAAGGAATAAAGCGAATATACTAACCTCGTGACAAGAAGAAGTGATTTGGATACAGAAGCTTGAAGCCAAACAACGTGAATATGCATTCTACGGAGAAGGAGCCCCTGTCGACGAAATCTCCGTTGAAAAGGTAGGGGTTCTTCTCGGAAGGCAGCCCATTTATCTCAAAAATGTTCATCAAATCATAAAATTGGCCGTGAATATCGCCACAAATAGTAAACTTCTCTTCATCTGGAACCGTGATATCTACAAGCGAGGGCTGGGAGCGCATGTACGTATCAATCTCGCACAGTATCTGTAAATTATGCGATATAAACATAATTAAAATATTTTCTTACGTGGAATTATAAACTCACTTTATAAGCAAATTTGCGATGCAATCGTTTTTGACCCTTATAGTGCTCCATCAAGTCCTTCATAAACTGAAGCGTAACCTTGCCGTCCTCAAGTTGCGGTCCCTTATAGTCATCCTCAATAGCTGTAATATAGGATAAGTAAAAGTTCTTACTTTAAAATCGATGATCAATGTAGGATTCATAGCATTTAAAAAAAGAATATCTAAATAATCGTATAGGTTTTTGCATTAAGAAAGGCCTTAGTTTAGTTTACCCACTTATGTTCTCCATGTCCCTGTACATCTCTGAGAGCGTCTTCTCCGGCTTGTCGACTGCAATTGCCCGCTCGAAGGCACGCATTTTTACGATTTTGCTGCACTCGGTGAACTTCAGCTTAGCGTCCTTGTCGTTGGGCCTGCACTTTGCCACCTGTAAATACAGTACATTCTCTTCAATATTATGAGTAATCTTCGATAAGTTTACTTACGAATTCAAAGTCGCAGAGAGCCTGCTTGAACTTTCCCAGGGACATGTGCGCAGCCGCCCTACGGTAGTAGCCCTTCAGGTAGCTAGGATCAGCCTTCACTGCTGAAATTCCATCCTGTAGAGCATATCCAAAGCTTTCCTGGCGCAGATGGGCCAGCGATCGGTTGGCGTAATATATCGCGCTGGTAGGCTGCAGTTCTATGGCTTTGGTGTACATGTCGATAGCTTTCGTAAATTCCTTGGCTGTGCAGAGGAGTAGAGACAAGACGGCTCATTAATAATACTAATTATACCCACATGATCCCCCGGAGTCGTAGACCTGTAAATTATCACCCAGTGATAGTTTCAGTCTCTCACTCTGTTTTAAGGTTATGTTGAAAGGGGCACTCCGACCCCAAATCCTCTAAATGGGTATTAAATAGCACTTCACTCCTAGCAAATAAACAAAAGGAGCAAGGGATGCCATTGGGGCACTTGCTTACTTTTTAGTAAATCGTTTCCCTGGTTCTTGTACTGCTCGGCCGCGGCAAAATCCTGATCAGACTTTTGACTGGCATTTGTGGCGGCCTCTGACTCCTTGGGACCTGTAATTTCCGCGCTGGCCACTCCCTGCTGCTCCGGCTGGCCCTCTCCTGCCTTTTGCTGTATTTCTAGCACGGACGAAGACATCTTTGTTCTAATAAATGATTTTCTTAAAGTTATTTACTGTCTGAAAATGTTCCAGAGTTGGCAAACGACCAATTTTATAGGCAGTGTTACTCAACACACTGTTTATCTTATCGAATTGCGAGGGAAACTTAAAATAGGTGTCTCTAACCTGACAAAAATTAAATAAAGGATAACGTTTTTAAAAAGCTTATAATAAACATACAATTTAATCTCGGTGGTTTAAGAGAATAGTGAAAATCGATAAGAGGAAACCCCACTATATCGATAGCACAGCCCTTAAGGGGTGTCCAAACTCACATTTATATATTTTACACATATTCTCAAACTAAATAATTTAAAGAAAAGATAGTACATATAACGAGACAAGTAATTCCAAGTTCCAAGTAATTAATTGTTATATATAAGAAATTCTGTATACATAATTCTGTCTTTCTCCAAGTGGGGCAACTTTACAATAAAATTTGCATTATCCTTGAGCTTAAGTTCTTGAGGTTTTTCTATCGATAACCGGCTTGGGTTATATCGGTGATCAGCTGCTCACAAAGCTGAGCTGTAAGAAAGGTAGATTTGGAAACGGGTTTTGCCGCTGATACAGAAACTTTGAAGCATTCGGGAGCAATTTAGCCAGCAGTCTGGAGTAGCACCCGCGTCTAAGCAAACGGATTTCTGCCAGCGCATCGCAGAAGCAGCAGACTTACGAAAGGGAAGTGCGGGGGCGTCTAGTCTCAGTCGTGGGAAAAACAGCAGCATAAATAAACGCCAAAAGCCAGCAAAATGTCCATGGGAAATCTATCAATCGACGGAGAATTCCGATACATTATACAGTGGTTCAACGAGTGGAGTGAACTGCAACGGGACGATTTTGTCTACGTTTTAGTGGAGTACTTGACGGGCGGAGCCACAGGCGGAGGAGGTGTTTATGTGAATGGTATGGTGAATGCGCTGAGTAACGCGGGCGTGCAGGACAAGCCCATGAGCCTGTTCCAGTGTCGTGTAAGTGGGGGAAAGTTTGGTCTCGAATTTCTCATCTAACGGTTCATTGTCTGCAGATTAAGCTGTTCCGTGAATGGAGCCCCAAATGGCCGATCGAGTTCAAATGCAAGCTGCAGGAAAAGATTAGCGAGATCGACGCCAAGGTGGGGGAAAAGATCATCAATGAGCTGAGGGGGCCCCATGGCGTGCACAATGGCGATGTTGCTGTGCATTTAAATGCAAATGGAACGAGTGATGGAGGCGGGGAATTTGAACTAGAGCAAGACAAGGCGGCAGAGGTTGCTGTAGTCACAGCAGATCAACCTCCAGAAGCAGAGACCAATGCAGCACCTCCCGAAGCAGAAGCGGACAATGACAATCGCTTAGCGGCGGTACTTCGCCAAGAAACGCCCGTCGATGACGAAGATGGAGAGGAACCAAGAGAAGACTCCGCAGAAGTAAATGGCCATTATCCAGCCGGTGCAGTGACAACGATTGCCGTGAATACGTCTCCATCTCCACCGCCATCCCCCACTCCAGCGATCGTCGAACCTGTAGAACAGGTCGAGAATAGCGTTACCGTCACCGTGGCCTCTGCCCAGGTTTCCCCGGTGGCTTAGATCTTCAACAGCACGGCCAGAAACCAGAATAATCAGATTGACTATGAAAGACTTAATGAGTAGTTAATTATTTTAGTTGTACGTCATCAGCAGCTCTACATTCCATATATATATATCATATATACTCTATGCATTTCTAGTTATGTAAGCACAAAACCCAAGACTTTGTTCACCCTCCCCGGCCTTCAGCCCACTATATGTATTTGTAAGAGTATCTCAACTGTAAAGTAAGCGTCAATAAAAAATACGAAGATTCCTCACTTTATCCACTATCCTGCCAATCTTGTTGCCATTTGCCAACGCATCTTTATCGTCGGCTTGCCTAACTAGCTCTGCCGCGAAACATGTTCTGGTTTGGCTTCTAGTCGGTTACTCTGCCAGCCGGCTATGTCGTTGCTCTTCGAACTGCGACTGCTCTTTTGCCCAACATGATAATTGGTTTTTCGTGCTCTCTTTCGATTTTGTTTCGTTGCCGTTGAAATCGAAATCTCAATCAGGCCCTGGAAGTGGAAGTAAGATATGCATGCTGCTGCGGAGATTGAACCAATTTATTTCAATTTCGCACTTCAACGAGCCACGTAGTGTGCGCGGTTCAAATCAGCTAAATTCAAACGACCGAAATGCGAAAGCAAAGCTTCATCAGTTGGTTTTACTGTATCCTGTTCCTCGGAGGTAAGTGCCCTCTAACAAAAGACTGAAGAAACGAACTTATTAGGAAGAGGGTGTTTCCAAAGAACACCCCCGTAAGTGGGTCAAGGTTGGCGGTTACTAGGAATTCCCAGCGGCAAAGCGAAGGGCAATAAACCACGCTAGCGTTTGCGAACGTCGTTCCAAAAGTGAGTGAGTAATTGCCCAGGGCATTTCTGGTTTGCTGGCTGGCTGGCTACTGGTTCGACATTGACCTTGAAGAAATTTGTTATTTTTATACCCTTTTAAAGGGTTCTTTAATATTAATTAAATGAAAAAGATTGTGACTGAATGGTTGTGAAATGTCTTATCCTTGGCTGAGCAGATAGGAACGGTTTTAATCAGTCTTGAGTCTAGAAATGCTTTTGGAAGGGCATTGATTTAGTAATAGCTGCAAAAAATAGCAATCAATGGGGAAATAGGCTTTTTAATTTTTGTTGTTATAAATAACTTAAATTAATTGAAATATGTTGCAACACTTTCCTCACTACAAGAAGCCGTTTTGCACGAATTAACCCCAATTAACCCCCTTAAATGTGGTCAGAAATACTTTTTCAAATGTTAGGAAAGGGTGTTAAAAGTTCGAAACCAGCTCAAGATTTGACTTTTGTAGTTTTTATTATTTTTGCTTTGTCATCCAGCCAAATAGCCTGTTATCGTTTCAGCGGATCGCGGCGTTTCTGCTTGCCACTGCATACTTCTAAAAGAGTGCAGCACCTTCGTCCGGCTCCTGCTGCACCACAAGGCCGGAGACCAGTCCGCCGTGCACGCCAAAGTTCTTGCTGCCAGTTGTGGATTCCAAGGCCTTGATCCATTGGTTTGCTGTCCCTCCCCGCGAAAATCTTACCACGATGAGTCATTCCCGACCAAGGCTGGTCGCATGCTGCGATTTGCTCCACCAGATGAGCGTTGGATTTGGAGTGGCGAGAGTGATAGAAGGGGTAGGCATTCCAGCTCCAGAGAAACTTTAAGCTATCACGAGGTGGAGACAAATTTACATGACTATTGGGACTTCAAGGAAAAGCGCAACTGTCCGCCACCAGTTAAGCCAGAGTTTTTAGACCACAGGTTTGGTCCAGGCGGTCACCACTTTCACTATCAAGTGGAGCATTCTGAAGATCATTCGTCTAAGCGGCCTAATCCGCAGGATAAGCCTATTATATTTCCCGGAGATTTGCGATTCCTGCGACAGGGTAGCGATGAAGATGATCTAGAAGGTACACCACTGGCGCCATTTACCTCACCCACATTCTCGAATCTGGAAGGACCCCCTCTGGCGCCATTTACTACACCAACTCCCCGAGAAACCACAACCACAGTCATATCCCTTTTGGCGCCTCCTACACCAACTCCTAAGATTCAACAGAACCTACCCGGCTGCGGAGTTAGTGTGGTAAGCCGCTTGCTGGGCGGGGAACAAGCCGGAACAGGACAATATCCTTGGCTGGCCAGGATTGGATACCGGAATCGAAGTAAGTAAACTTCTCAGATTGATTTCAAACGCTATCTAGAATTTGGAATTTATTTAAACCGCTTCCAAATCAACTCAATACCTGTATGCTTGTGTGTGTGTTAATGATTGCTTCCTTGAGGGGTTAACTGGAAACATTAACCTAGCCTATCTCCATAGCCACTATTCCCAGCTTAACGGTTAGGAAGCAACCGACGGCAAAGAGCAACCCAGCCAGTCCAAGAGCAGCTGGTCCCCTGTTATTAGGTGGGGCATTAAAAGCGCCACCGAGCATACCAGACAGACCGCCGTCAGATCCGCTTCCGCCTCCGGCTCCTCCTTTTCCGGCTCCGCCTTCTTTGCCGCCCTTTCCGCACTTTTTGCATTTTCCACCCCCACATGGTTTCGGGCCACATGGTTTTTTCTTTGGTGGTGGAGATGCGCCTCCACGAGGAGCAGCTTGAGCGCCACTATTTCCGCCCGCTGTAGTAGGGCACGTCTGCCCAGATCCGGGAGCTGCTGATCCAGGTCCTCCCCCAGATCCGCAGCCCGATCGTGTACACGGGCAGGACATCTTCACGTCAATGGGGCTGCAAGAGTTTAATAATGATATCGTTAAACATTCATATTTTCAGCCAGTAGCAGGATCAGCTATCGTTGTTCAGGATCCCTCATATCTAGAAACTACATTGTGACCGCCGCCCATTGTGTGATTAATTTGGTCAGCGACTTGGAAATGTGAGTTTAAGCTTAAAAGAAATTGTACATTAACCCAAGCTTTTATGTAATCTCAGATCTCATGTGCGCCTGGGGGACGGAGATGCAGTTTCCCAGTTTTCCATTCAGCGAATCGTGGTGCATCCGAACTACGACCAGCCAAGATATTCTAATGATATTGCACTTTTGCACCTGAATAGTACAACAGGCAAGTTTTTCAATTCGCAATGTCCAAGGACATGGATGTAACCCCATTTAATGCAGGTGCTTTCACACCCATTTGCTTACCTTTGAACGGCTCTACCTCACTCGGCGAAGGACTTGTTGGACAAACAGGAGTTGCCGCGGGTTGGAGTACTACAAACCCCGAAAGTGAGTGTCGAAACAAGTTTAGTGCGTCAATATCTGGCCGGTTGAATTTTCAACTGACTTGTAGCATTTAGAGCACAGCCATTCAGATGAAGTAAAATTTGCTCTGATGTAACCACAGATGGAGCTAATTCGTCGTCCGCCGGAGTGCGTTTCATCAGGATACCCATCGTGAACACGACCAGTTGTGCGATGGCCTACGCGAGTCTCAGCCAGAACTTCCAGCAGCCAATAGTGATCACTCCGAGTCACCTCTGTGCCCAGGGTCAGCCCATGAACGACGTGTGCCGCGGCGACAGCGGTGGACCTTTCATGGACGATGGCAGCTCAGGTCTTTTTGGAAATGGCCTCCACACCCTAATTGGTATTGTCGCTTTTGGACCAACGCTTTGTGGGGTTAGTACAATTCCGGGGGTCTACACATTGGTCAGCAGCTTTTCCGAATGGATACTCCAGATAATCAGAGAAAGAACTGACCTATGAGCTGGCTGCTTGGGAGCTTCACCCACAATTAGCCCATCCAAAGCATTCAACGCCAAAGTCAAAAAAGTATTTTAAAAACATTTCAAAATTATTGATTTTTATAAAAGAGGAAAACCTTCACTTAATACGATAAAAATCTGTAACCTATCTCTTTAATTCTTACATGAATATAATATTCATGTAATATGTAATATTCATAGACAATATTATTATTATATTAAAATAAATATCAGGGACTGCAAATAACGATTATTTGGTTACTTTCGTTCGAAAATATCGTTAACCTATAGAATTCATAAAAACGAGATTTTTACAGTTTTCTTCATGAGGTATACATAATTTATACATTTTTAAATTTAGATTTTGATATTTTCTTCAATAAATTATCATATTTTTATCAAAAAAGAAAACTTAGAAAATAATGATCAACATAATTATAATTGATATTCTAATCCCAAGAATATATCCAATATATCAACTTATTTTTTATACAAAAATCCTAAATAATGACTATTTTTCTTAGTTATTGAATTCAATATTTAGTATTAATTGAGCATATAGTTATGTTTTATGATATTTTGATTTTATTATAAAATGTATTATGGTTCCTGCCTGGTTACTGTATGTTATATTAAATATATTATGCAGACCTGCACGTCTGCTTGAAAAAAATGTTTGTATGCTTTTTATTTCCCACAAAAGTTATTCAAATATTTCTGATTTTCGGCCTAGCTTAGAAGCTTAAATTTACAAAAATTGGCTTTTAAAGTCTTAAATATCATTCACATATCTTCGATTCATGGATATCGTGTATATTAAAAATACAAAGCAAAAATGTTCTTGTTTCTAAAAGCGCTTCTTCTGAGAAAAGCACAAAAAGCCCACGAAATAAAAAATACCCGATAATGAATATATCTGATTTATACAGAGTCCAAAGCTTTATGGTACTTAAAGCTTGAGAGCGATCTTAACGGAGCCACTACCTCATCTCCAGCTTCGGTCACTTTTCTGTTTCAGCTGAAGCTCCGCTTGGGCTTCTCTTCTTCATGGATATTCCGCATTAGCGTATTACCTTGTACATTATCGCGACGTTTATTTTGATAACTGCTTCAGTGACCAGTGACCACAAAGTACCCCAAAGTACAGCATCCCAATCACTGACGACGTCTTGACAAAGGATTAAGCTTGTGTAACTCGAAATGTTCAAGTTACCGTTTATCTACCTGTTTTTGGGAATTTTGGCGAAATCGTCGGCGGGCCGTAAGTAAATAATATCACCCAATCTGCTGGGGACGAATAGATTATTTGTTTTTGCTACGGGGCTTCACCACTTCTAACCGTACGAAAACCAGTTTTGAGACTTCTATAAATTAAAATCTATTGTAATAGATTCACCTAAAATCTATAGGTGAATGTATTCATCTATTGAAAGTGGGCTCTAAACCTTGTTTTGTAAATCGTTTCTTTGGCCAGAGTTCTACTTTCCGAATGAGGCGGCCCAGGTGCCAAACTACGGAAGGTGCATCACCCCGAACAGGGAAAGAGCCCTGTGCATTCACCTGGAGGACTGCAAATACCTGTACGGGATTCTGACCACCACACCGCTTAGGGACACTGATCGCCTCTACCTAAGCCGGAGCCAATGCGGGTACACGAATGGAAAGGTGTTGATTTGCTGCCCGGATCGCTACAGGGACACGTCGCCGGTAACCCCGGCGCCACCTAGGCCCAATATCACCACCACAAATTTGCTACCGCTTCCCGGACAGTGCGGAAACATCCTTTCAAATCGCATCTACGGTGGTGTGAAAACCAAAATTGACGAGTTTCCATGGATGGCTTTAATAGAGTATACCAAAGGTGAGTAATCCCCCAAAAGGGGAAACACTATATGGAAGCAAAGTGACCATTTATTATATTTTTTAAATAATTTTCCAGCTGAAGGAAAGAAGGGCCACCACTGCGGTGGCTCCTTGATCAGCACAAGGTATGTGGTGACAGCCTCGCATTGTGTAAATGGAAAATCTTTGCCCTCGGACTGGCGACTGACTGGTGTCCGGTTGGGCGAGTGGGACACGGCCACTAATCCGGACTGTGAGGTGGATGTCCGTGGCATGAAAGACTGTGCTCCGCCTCATTTAGACGTGCCCGTGGAGCGAACTATACCACATCCTGACTACATTCCCGGCTCTAAGAACCAGGTGAACGACATAGCCCTTTTGCGACTTGGCCAGCAAGTCGAGTACACCGATTTCGTACGACCGATTTGCCTGCCATTGGATGCCAACTTGAGAGCGGCTACATTTGATGGTATTTCCATGGATGTGGCTGGATGGGGTAAGACAGAACAGCTGTCGGCCAGTAACCTGAAGCTTAAAGCCGCTGTGGAGGGATTCCGAATGGAGGAGTGCCAGCAAGTGTATAGCAGCCAAGAGATTCTACTCGAAGAAACCCAGATGTGCGCCGGCGGAAAGGAGGGCGTGGATTCATGTCGTGGCGACTCCGGCGGTCCTCTCATTGGCCTTGACACAAACAAGGTGAACACCTACTACTTTCTGGCGGGCGTGGTTTCATTTGGCCCCACGCCGTGTGGCCTGGCAGGATGGCCAGGGGTATACACTCTGGTTGGCAAATATGTTGACTGGATTCAAAACACAATAGAGGCCTAGTTGTGCATTTTAATTTAAATGAGTTTCTGTGTAAATAAATTAAAGATATGTATGTCCCATTTAAGTATATTTTTTTAATAAACATTTACAATTCTTATTAGTTTTAAAGCAGTCCCCCCACTAAAATGTTTACATTAATCTGGCAACTCTGGCGACATATGGTGCCCAAATAGTCTGGCTACACTCATATTTGTAAAAATGTTGAAGTCCATATACGTAACTCCGTTAAATTTGCTTAAATCTGCCTCCACGGTTCAGCAGCAAGTGCGGGTAGGTATCCTTGTTTGTATAAAAAGCGACTCCCATTCATGACCGTTTTCCTGCAGACCACTTTCATTCTCAAAAGAAAGTATGACCCACCGCTACACAAAACCAACGAGAAGCCCCGCCGGATGAGGGCGAAGCACTTCATTTACGAACTAGTGGAGGACACTCTGGTCAAAAAGCGGCCCAACATGCAGGTGGTACTAAAGACATTCGTGGAGGGCGTTGGAGACAAAGGGGACGTGGTGTCCATGAAGCCGCATTTCGTTTACAATAAGCTGCTGCTGCCAGGCTTAGCAGCTTACAATACCCCGGAGAACGTGGCCAAGTACGCCAAGACGGAAGCGGAAAAGTCGGCAGTGAAACATAGCTCAGCCTATGCTCAACGGACAGTTAACATGTTAGAATCTATTGTGCTGGCGGTAGTAATGAACAAGGATGAGCCTTGGGTGCTGGAGCCTTGGCATATCAAGGCCTCTCTGCGAAAAGCCGGATTCCATTGTCGCGAAGAGTGCATAACCCTGCCTAAGGATCGCATAGAGGGTCCCGATCTAAAGAAAGAAAACAAGGATTTTTATTGCACCATTACTATTAATAAGCTGGAGCAGGCGAGGCTCAAGTGCCGGCTGCACCACTGGAGCACCGATCCCAGCGAACGATTGCCTTATGTGCTGGAGCATTGGAAAATGGAATCTGAGCCCTTGTTGAACGTGGGCTTGCCCGAGAAAAGCCCCGAGTCTACCCAATAAAGTTGATTGTTACCAAGATCATTGATTTTTGAACAGCGTAGAAAACAACGTGCATTTATTCAACATTTTATCAGTTTTTCTCAAAGGGTTGTACGATGCGGATTCTTAGAGCTACGTTTACAAGTCTATATGATGTGGGGCCGATTACTGGACAGCCTTCAGCTCCACGTCGAAGACCAGTGTTGAATTGGGTGGGATCTTCGGAGGGGCTCCGCGCGAACCGTAAGCCATATGCGGAGGGCAGGTGACGCGGCGCTTGCCACCAACCTTCATGCCGACAACACCCACGTCCCAGCCCTTGATCACCTCGCCACGACCCAATGCAAACTTGAATCCTTTGCCCTTGGCGAGGCTGTCGAAGGTCTTGTTGTTCGACTGCAGGCGACCAGTGTAGTAAACAAAGACGCGCTTTCCGGACTTAGCTTCGTCTCCTTTGCCAACCACAACATCCGATACCTTCACGCCGCCACTGACTGTGCGCTCCCCTCCAGCAGCTTGTTGGGCCTGCTTTTGATTGGGCTCCTCCTTTTTAGACTCAGGTTTGTCACCTTTTGCCTTCTGCTGCTGCTGCTTGGGCTGGTCCTTCTTGGCCACGCCGTTCTGTTCTTTGGCTGGCTTTCCCTTAGCTTTGGCGCCAGGTGAAAGTTTGGCCTGTTTTGCCTTAGGCTCCTCCACTACCTCCTCCTCCTCATCATCAGAGTCCTCCTCATCTTCGCCGCTCTCATCTTCGTCATCCTCAGAATCCTCCTCCTCTCCATTCTCAAGGAAAGACTCGTATTCTTCCATAAGCTGGCTATCATCGACATCCTCGTCTTCATCCTCATCATCCTCATCTTCCTCATCATCGTCATCTTCGTCCTCATCTTCATCGGCCTTTCCGTTTTTTTTGCTTATGCCCTTCAGCACATTCTCGATGTTGAAATCCTCGTCGTCTTCGTCCGAGTCGATATCATGCAAGTAGCCCAACAGGGAAACAGTGGCATCACCTGAAACGTGAACAAAAATTGTCATACTCCGACAATGCAAAAAAAAATGTGAGACTAACCGGTGGTCTGGAACATGATCTGATCGCCCTTGCTAAAATTCAAATCCAAAGGCACCTGGGGAATGGTTTTAGACACGGTGGCCACAATGTACTTCTGCTTCTCGGCCATAAGGTATAATTTAGCCTCATCACCTTTGTCCAGGGCCACACCCGATATATGAAACGATTTGACAATCGTCTGGGTGTATTTGCGGTTAGGCTTCATGCTAAGACCTAATTTTAAAAAGGAATTAAGAAAAAAACAAGATTTAAAATGGGAAAAATGGTGCCGCTCCACGCTGCCGGCTAAGGAAGCACGTGGCGCGAACAAAACCTTTGCGTGCGAGCTTGTTTCAACACTATATAATGCTCTAATCTAGTCCTTTTTAATTAAAATAGTAATGCTTACCCCAAAACATCGACATCTTTGCTAATTATTATTTACTTAGCACTTAAAACTTTAAACAAAAATGAAATCAATTTCCCCAGAAACGAACAGACGCCGACTGGCAGAGAGACCAAAAGACCGCGAAAACGTGCGGCAACAAAAATATCGAAACGTTGGTAACACTAACTGGCTTATGAAATCTGGTATTTTTGGTAGTGAATCCCACAATCTTTAAATATACACAATTTTTTAGTTAATTTTTATTAAATATTATTTTGCTTTATATTCAAAATTTAAAATTTTTTTAAATATAACTCGATTAGAAAATGGTTATTTCTTCGGTTTATACATTATATACATATGGCTGCACGCTAAGGCTTGCTTGCTTCGTTCCCAGTGGACTGTCGTTCACAATGGATATGTGTGTAAAGATAATACAATTTAAATCGGACCCTTAAACCCGTTCCAGACAACTGTGCGACGTTGTTCAGCACTGGATTTAAACAAGACAGCTGTTACCCGTATGTTAAATAATAATATTCAACTTTAGCAATGTCCAAGCAGCAACCCTCGTTTTTCTCCCGGAACTTGGTGGCGATTGTGATGGTGCCGTCCTTGATCGGTATCCACCTCGGCTGGAGCTACATGCAGAATAACCGGAAGCTGGTATCAGAGTCGGAGCAGATGGAGTTGCCGCCGGTTAAGGTGAGAAAAAAAAACAAATAAGTTCAGTCAAGTAGTGGAAAACGTATCTTTCAGTTTGCCAAATTCGTGTGGAACAAGGTGACGAGTATAGGAGGACCAGAAAATCCGCCTAGCAAGTGACAGCCATGTTTTCCTCTGATCTTAAGACATACAATATATTTATTGTATAGATTAATTAAAACTACATACAAACGGTATGATACATTAAATTGCAAGCCGGCCGACAAATGCCGGCCAGCCGAGAGTTTGGGGACACGGACACAATTATGTGATTCATAAAAAGACATGCACTCTTTCAACCTAAAATACTAATCCTATTGGTGTTTGCAAGTGCAGCGGCAAAGATTACTGCGTGAGTGCAGAGTTGACTGTGAGATTGTCCAACTGAGCGTTGAAGAGAACGTCACTGATCAGCTTCTCGGCGATGATCCTCTGTGTGGGGTTGATGGCGCGCAGTTTGCTCGCGACATTCACGCCAATCGCATCGTACTCATCGTCAGGCCTATGCGGGGCGCTTGGCGCTGCTGTGGTATATGCGGTTGTGCTGGCGCTACCGAAGAGCGGTTGATAATGGTCCCGCCCAATTTGAATCGTGGGAACGGTTTGCGCATGTCCATTGGCCTGTTGCAAGTGTTGCAACTGCTGCTGGTGTTGCTCCAGAGAGTTAACCGCCTGCGATAGATCTCGTTATAGAAGGGTAATACTACAAAGTTTTCAAATAGTACCCACCTGTTGTATTTCTCTCTGTGAATTCGAGTCGAGCGATGTGATTTCAAGCACTTTAACGGCGTGTCCCTGTGCCGTTATGGAGTTTTGAGCAGCTGCGTGCGCTACCAGTTGCTGATGCGCCTGAGCTGCTGCCTGTGCTGCCTCATCATGGGTGTGCTGGCTCTCATCCTTTACTAAAGCAACGCAGTCAGCAGGGGTCACTGAAATGGTGCTGATTGTAGCGCCTTGGCTACTAACTACGACAGTATTGGCGGACGCTTCCTGTTCCACGTCCGCGGACGCTGGAACTATTGTCTCCAAGTGTTGGGATTGAGCGCCAGTTTGGTTAGGCTCTTCGTCGTATTCCATAGACTCTTCATCGTCGAAGCTGATTTGGAGTTCGCGTTTTGGCTTAGAGCCCAGTTCGTGTCGCTTGGGTTTATGGTCGGCAATGAAAAGAAGTTTGTCGTAGTACCAGAGTCTCGTTTCGTAGTGGTTCTTGCTGGACGACTTGCGGAACTCCCTCCGAAATGCGGATCTCAGCGAATTTATTTTCCTAAACCAAAATTATTGTCATTATTGTCTTTTGTGTATCACTTTAACTAGAAGCTTACCTCACAACCATGGCGCGGTCCGGGTTGGGCTCCACCTCCTTAAGTTTCTCAACAAGGCGGTCATAGGATTTATTGCGCGCTCCGTGGTTACTGTAGTCGGTATGCTTTGGCTGCCATAGGCACTCCTCCTCCTGGTACTGCTCGATAAACTCCGTGAGCCAATGGCGCGAGTACGATCGCAGGTCGACGTTCATTCTGTTTTGTTTTTCAATTCTAAAATTTTCTGTTTTGTTGTCGGTGCGTCTTACGTGAAGTTGGCTGCTGCAGGGTGCAGAGTTGCCATTTTTCAAACGATAACTACAGCCACGATATCGTTATCGGTTTATAAATACGGGTTAAATTTTAAATGTTTTCCATATTTATTTTCTTAAAAGACACTTAAGTTTTTTTTTACACTGGATTTCAAAACCGAATAAGTTACTTATTTTTATATTCATTCCGCGAAACAATTTCGGGAAGAATGGAACGTTTGAGACGCCTGGTCACACTGCGCTGTAACTTCTTGACAACACTGCTCACATGCACGCACACCCCCACACTGTTATTATTGTTTGCTCTTGTCATTACTCTTTGGAGATCCGAGTCGCGCGGAAAATGTTTGCTTACAACTAGTCCTGAGTCGAAACTATTAAAATTAGCCATCTCATCCGTTCGGTGAATGCGAAGCAAGTGTACAGTCGGTGCGGGAATGAGCTAGACACCCGTTGGTTCTGATAGTTTTGTTATTGTTGCAGGAGAGGCGGCCAAAAAAAATCTGTGCTAACAAAAACAAAGGTGCGTGTGGGGATCCCACACATACTATAACATCGGATTTGTTGTTCTCGATTTGCCCAATTATATAAGGTTTCGGAGTATGAGTGTGTGTATGTTGCAACTGATTAAAAAGGGTAAACAAGTGCCGTAATTGATAAGTAGGGTGCCAACTACCGCACCAAGCCACCTGCTAAAAGGGGGCAACGGTGGAGGGTTCCTGTCCTGTTTTTTTTGGATTTTTTTCCCTCCCTCCCAAGACACCATCGAAAGGTGAGCAACAGCTGTTGCCCCAGATCCATTCCAATCAGAATTAAGTCACGTAGTTGGTTTCTTGCAAGACACCTTTTGTAAACAAAAACATTCCAATTGAAAATTCAGCTTTTGTTACATATGTATGTATGGACATATAGGCGAGCGTAGTTCGAGACAATTTGTTTACTTGCTTCGCGTCCAGTTCATTGCTGGGTACAAAGTCCAGGCGGAATGGTGTTGGAACTGGTCTACTATCTGACCGCCTGCCCCCTTCGCTCCTATTCTCAGTTCTATTTATAGCCCGCAAACAAATTTTCAGTGCTAGAGCCGAATTGGAAAACGGCGACTGGATCAACTGGATCCACAGTAAACATCAACCTTGACTGAGCGAAAAAACAACATTGAAAAGTGCTCAGGCACCACCTAACGAGCTTGTTTACGTTTATTGTGCGCCGGCAGCAGCATCCACAGCGCAGTGGGGGGAAACGGATTTCGAGAGCTTCGATTCTCAGTCTTATCAGCGGGCTCGAGGATTAACTTTTCAAGATAAACTAGCATATAGTAGATACCGAAGCTAACACAAGGAGGAAAACATTTCTAATCAAAAACGTAATAAAAAATGATTAGCTATGTTCTTAGAATTCCTCCTAGCTGGTGCCCACTGTATAGCCATATCTAAATCCATATGTATCTGTATGGCGACAATCACGTTCAAGGCTACGATTTTCTATTGCGTTAATGAATGCTCTCACTCTTAAAGGTTTCCTGCAATGCGTTTAATTTTAGCCCCGCTCGTTGCTGGCCATTTGGAAAAGTGCCCACCGCAGAAGCCTCCCACTTCTCGCACCAAATATCGCACGTGTTTGCGTGGACTGGCAGGTTGCGTTCGCTTTTTAGCAATCGGCATGATAATTGTTTTGGAGGTGTGTGCCGCACAAAGACACGCAGGTGCCTACCGTGTGCCACCCTGCTGCTGATAATGCTTTGTTGTTAGCTTTTTCAAAGCGAACTGTGAGCGCAACCGGTTTTCGGGGAGGTCTTGTTTAGCATTTGGCTAGCAGTTGAGTCTTCTGGAAGCAGCCAGACCGGCCAGCCTATCTATTATAAGACGCAGTAAGCAGCTGGGGGAGTTCTTATCAAGGGGCGCTGATTAAATCCCGAGCTACACTCACTGACCAAGTTTCTGCTCCGCGGGCAGCGTGACTGGCCCAAGCAAAGTTCAATAGCCAAGTGCTTTTGGGCCCGGTATCTGTGAAATTTGTTGACCAATATTGTTCCCCAATTCGCAAGAAAACAATTCAAACGCCTATTTTTAGACCAGAACCCCGAGGCATCTGTGGAAAGCTACTTGCAATTATGAAACAATTGTAGGAAATGAAATTTGCATAACCTGGCGAAATTTTGGTGGACGTCAATCAAAATAAAGAAATATTATTATTTTGCCATGCTTTAGCTCTACCTCAAAACAAACACAGTGTCTATCAGTGCTTTTTTTATAATTAATTTGTTTTTAAATGAAAACATGAGATTCAAGGAGCATATCACCGCCACTTTTTAATTGAGAAATTGAGGTTTTAATGCCAAGTTGTTATAAATCCGCCATAGCTACCTACCAACCCTTTTTCGGTAACTTCTGCTTGGATGTATTTCCCATCTGAAGCTATGAAATAATGTGTTTTCTTTGATCTACTCAGTAAGTACGTAGTATATTTTTATGTGAAAACATCTGTAGCAACACTACCCACCCACCCACTCTATTTCTGGGAAGTCTTATGAGCGCAAGGCAATCGCGGCCCGTATGGACTCGATTAGTTTTGGCCATATTGGGCGCTTATCTGCTGTGGCGATAAGCCACCATACACTCCACTCGAATTAACATTCAAATTGATTTCAGGTTCGTAGGACGAGTCTGCCATGAGCCGTCTCCTCGAGAAGCCCAACATCGCCATGTCCATCAAGTCAACGGGTAGTCAGCTGTCGAGCTCTGTTTCAGCGACGGCAGCGACGACGTCCTCGGACCTGGATGATGCCGACGGAGAGAGCACGTCCCGCATAACTCCGCACTCCTCCACCGCACCAGAACTAACCTCTCCACCCGCCAGTTCAGCCACAACCAGAGCCTCATCCACACCTAGTAAGTTATTCATGTATTTCTATCTTCATGCACTTTGTCTCAATTTGAAAATCAGATTATTTGTTGCAGACTTTTCCAATTAGCTTCCGTGGCACGACTTGACACCCTTTTTCCAATTATGAATTTCACAATTTGTGTTTTGTTTTTGTTTATTTTTTAAATTAATAATAGCACAATGATGGCTTTTATTCTGTTTATTTTGATAATGAAAACTACAAGCAACTCAAACATCACCGCCCCTTGTCTCTTGCAGTGCGCCAGAAAATCGACCAGGTGGTGATAAGCCTGGTGTCCGGGGCGGCGGCAGGAGCTTTGGCCAAAACAGTAATCGCGCCGCTGGACCGGACAAAGATCAACTTCCAGATCCGCAACGATGTCCCCTTCTCGTTCCGAGCCTCGATGGTCTATCTGCAGAACACATACACCAAGGAGGGGGTCCTGGCACTGTGGAGGGGGAATTCAGCCACCATGGCGAGGATTATACCCTACGCGGCCATACAGTTTACGGCGCACGAGCAGTGGCGCCGCATCCTGCAAGTGGACAAGGATGGCTCAAAGTAAGTAACTGCGCTAAAGGAATTGTCTTGTAATCTAACTCTGTCTTCTTTTGATAGCACGAAGGGTCGGCGCTTTTTGGCGGGCTCCCTGGCGGGTATCACCTCGCAGTCGCTTACGTATCCTTTGGATCTGGCTAGAGCACGCATGGCCGTCACGGACCGGTACACAGGCTATCGAACGCTGCGGCAGGTCTTTGTCAAGATCTGGGTAGAAGAGGGGCCATCGACGCTATTTCGGGGCTACTGGGCAACTGTGCTTGGTGTAATTCCGTACGCCGGCACCTCCTTCTTCACCTACGAGACACTGAAACGTGAATATCAAGGTAGGTATTTAATTTGCCATTAGCTACTACATTAGATATTCCGGTTTAGGTCCACCTTTCAAAGGTATTTGTGTGTAGGACAGGTGTTTGCTTTAAATATCGACCCACCTATATGTTTAGACACTCGCTAAGTAATAACTAATTTGTTTTCCCACAGAAATGGTTGGAAGCAACAAACCCAATACTCTGGTCTCGCTAGCTTTTGGGGCTGCGGCAGGTGCTGCCGGTCAGACGGCCAGCTATCCATTGGACATTGTGCGAAGAAGGATGCAGACGATGCGGGTAAACACAGTTCAGGGCGACCGCTATCCCACCATTCTGGAGACGCTAGGGAAGATCTACCGGTAAGCTTGCCACTTTAAAGTCGAAATCAAATACTAATTCGTATCTTTTTCTTTCACAGCGAGGAGGGCATCAAAAACGGCTTCTACAAGGGACTTAGTATGAATTGGATTAAGGGCCCCATTGCAGTGGGTATTAGTTTCTCCACTTACGATATGATTAAAGCCTGGCTCATAGAGCTGTCACATATGAGGGAGAACAGACACAAGGACTAGCATGGGTTGTCACGAACTGCGTCCATTTCCCCTGAAAAACACACCAAAAACGCACTGCTTTGTCCTCAAGTCCCATGAGATGGATGGAATTCTTAGAGCCGAAGTGCAGCACCGACATGCTCTAATTGTTAGATATTTTTAGTTGTTAGATGTGAGAGGGAAGTGATAGAGGACGTCCCAGCAAGCGCTTACCTTTGTTATTAACCAAACTTGATTTATTATTGCTTTAAGCCTAAAGTATGTCAGCCAATAAACTGTCTGTATATCGACTCGCCGGATCCTACTACTCCTATGGCTCGAGAGCGAACTCGGGGCTAGTTGGCAATCAATGGTGTTACTTGGACAATAACTCCTTCGTACACGTACACGTTCACTAATGGATTGTATTTTATATTGTGATTATGCTCTTTCGGTGTCAATCAGCTTGACTGTAAAAATTGCCATTTATACGAGTGTTCACCAGCGAAATCATCTTATGCACATACGATAAAAATTGTACTCTAGTGTGTTTTTATAACTAAAATAAATTTGAAAAATTGTTAAATCTGCTCTTTAAATTTAAAAAGGGCGCCCACTTGCGACTGTCGATAACAGTGAAAAGTGAGATCTTTTACAGCACTGAAGTTACAAATGAGATTCGCTGCCACACTGGATCCTAGTCGCAAATATTAAAGTACGCAGAAAAAGGGAAAATTGTCCCGGCTTTCAAGACTCGGAATTAAAATATTGTTATTGTGCCTCTTTGATTAAGTAGCCAGCCGCGTGCTGCAAGCCGTGTTTTTGTTGGCGGAACCCAGAGATAGTGTTCCACCTGCCTGCGCCGACAGCGCATAACCAAAAAGCAATTGCGAGACCTGCAGAGGTGAGTCTTGGTCCGAAATGAAAAACATAAATTATTTAAAGGGCATTGATTTTCGGGGTTTCATCCAACGCCCTCCTGTTGCTTCCTCCGCCCACCCCTTGAAAGGGATGCCCCGGCCGCTTGTTGCTGCGCACAACAGGTGAGAGCCTGCGTGCCTCGACATTGGGTATGGCTATGGGACAACACAAGCGGGTCCTGCTCCCGCGATCCCGAAACAACCCTGCCTGAAAGTGGACAAATCAATTGGCTGCAATTAATTACACCGCCTATTCCAGCATGTCTGTATATTTGTATGTACAAGTACGTGCTGCGCGTCATCTGCGGCGCCACGAAAACAAAGCAAGCCCCAATGTGGTTCTTCCCCGCTCAATTTGCCCTGCCGCGCAGCCTTCTTATTTTTCCTAGATCTACAAATTCCCATTAATTCCATGAAACGCAAAATCATTTTATAAACAAAAGGTGGGACATGAAATCGGCGCAACAAATATAGTGAGACCGTGGCAATGAGGAACAAAAAAATACCAGATAAATACCAGTTTTTTTTTTGCCGATTTTCTGTCCTTTTCCAACTTTTGCAGAAAAGTCGCGCGCGAGTTTGAAGCGTTTTTATTGCAGCAAAAAGTTGGAAAACGTCAAAAAATGAAATTCTGCTCGAAATTGCTCAACACTGGCGCTGTCGAACCAAAGCTCCAGACTCGAGCCAAGTTTGAGTTCGGATCGAACTGTGTGCCCGAATATGGATTGAAAATGTATCTGTATCTGAAAATGTTTCACTTGCGCTCCCAAACGCTCGTTGGCAACATCGGCCGAACGGTTCAAAACTGAACGCTCAGCGGTGAATTGTATCTTTCGGAACTTTGGAATCGTTGCGCCAGCCGCGTAGGAGGTGCTCGCGGAGGTTTGCCAAGAAGTTCCCTGTTCTTTCTGCGCCACTAGTTGAATCCGTGTCCTTGCAAGGTACACCTCTCGTTGAGAATTCTGCTTGTTTTCGCCAAGAATTCGGCTCCGCGTCCGCGCCGCGACCGTAACCGTGCGAGTGGGTATCCTGGTGTCTCTCGGCGTCGCTGCAGGCGTCTGTGAGAGCGCGATTTAAAAATAAAACGGCAAATACATAACAAAATATCGAAGAGCAGCCGCCGCCAAACAGCCAAACAGCAGAGCGACACCCATACACACGCGTGTGGGCCTACACTGGTGTTTGTGTGCCAAAGGTAAATAGAAATACAGAAAAAAAGAGCAAGCCCGCCCGTTGGGGCGAAAGGTGGGGGGGTGTTCTGGCGCGTGGGTGTGGGTGGGTGCGTGGGAGGACCTTTCGCTGCATTTGTCGCTGCAGCAGCGCAGCACGGCGGCTGGTGGCGCTGGCTCGGAGGTTCCAGCCCTAGGGCTACTTCTGGCCGCGATAGCCCCTTTGCGTTGAAAATCGTGTTTCCACTTGAGGTTTTATTTAGACACCCATACACACACCCAGGCATCAACACATGTGTTCAGCGCTCCTGTTTCCACTCTTCTTCATTCATTGCTATTTCCTGGAAAATCCATAAAAACAAAGCCAACAAGCATTTCGAGTGCAATAGCACAGCGGCAGCAGCGACGCTATCGAGCATATTAGCTGCCCTGCCCTGCCCTGCCCTGCCCTGTCCCCCTCCTCTCGGCCTGGCAGGGAGCTGCTCGTCCCGTCCCGCTCGCACTGCGGCCGTCCCTATCGTTCTCGAATTCACATGCTACTCTTGCTTTCTTGCGAGCGTCGGCCGCCGACTTCTGCGCGCTCAACACTTTTATCTTGCTGGCTGTCGCTTGCCCGTTCCACCTCCTCCGCCTGCACCGCCCCTTTCTTCGGCTCTGGCCTCGACAACCTGGCTGCCTCCACCACCTTGGACAACAATGCGTTGGCGTTGGTTAACCCTTTCGGGTCGCTGTGGCCCCAGGCCATTAGGTTCATTAATAGCTTGTCAGCGGCGAACTGGCCCAATCTGTGGCTGGCCGAGCCAAAGATTCAATAAATAAATAATTTCCTTCTCATTATAGTGAGTGGCTGGAAAACTGTCGCACAATTAGGCCTTTAAGGGCACCTGTGTTGTTGGTATTCTTCTAATTGAATAAGAAGAGGGTTTAGTTTGCGGCCGTGCGAATGCGGTGGCTCATCCCGGATTGGGGCTAGCTTATCAGCCGAGTCCCCCTCACATACCACTGGCCAGGTTATCAGGAACGGCTATTGCGTTGCATTTCGTCGAGCTGCAGCACCAAGTCGTTGGTTGGCCCAGCGTATCGGCCCGGTGGGACCGCGAGTGGTGGTCTACTGTACTTACATCAAGGTGGCCGCTTATCGGGGCACCTTTCGCTTCTATTCACCAAAGTTAATCACTGGTCTCTGCCCCGACCGCGCAGACTAAAAGCAAAATACGGCACTTCAAATCGATAGATTCGGTTCCTGGAGTGCGGTGTCTCGGAAATGACTCGAGCTAGTGATATGATAAAAAGTCTGCCCGAGAGGGGTCTTTTGAATACCCTTTCCGAATTGTATTTTATTGAGGTATACCCCTCTAGTCATCCCTTAGTGTTCTCTAATCTGTCCAGTTTGAGTCGAATTGGTTCAGTCCCTCGATGGATGTTTGGAAATTTCGAAATCGGTCTCTGAATCACCCATAAATTGTACTCATGCGTAGATTATTTGCCAAATGCTGTCAAATTAAAAATTACTGGATAACCTTTCGTGGCCGCGGATTATGATGATAAGGCGCTGACAACCACACTTCTCAGAAGTTAATCTCTTAATAAAGAAACGGCGACCCCAGGTTCAAACCTTCAGAAAGGTCTTCTGATAAGGTTCCTCAAAATAAAGGTTCTGTTGCAAAAAAGCTGAGCTTAGACTCGATTTTATTGCACAATCGGGGAATTTTCCCAAGCTTGGGTAGTCTTAGCTGATAAGCTGCCTCATATGTGGAATATAAAGGTTTCGTTGCACAAAAGCAGTGCTTAGATTGGATTCTATTATAGATTCCGGGAAGTTTCGTAATTCCCCAAGCTGGCTAGCAACAAGTCCGATATACTCCAGTTCTATGCTTCAATGTGGGCCCTAACTCCACGAAAGTCTCCTGATAAGGTACTTTCTAAGTGAGGTTTTTTTCCACAAAAGGGGAGCTTAGATCCGACTGAGCTTAGATATTTTAATTCATAAATTAAGATACATTCCTAGGTCTTTCGTCAATTCTGTGGGATGGCTTGCTAGCAACTAGTGCGGTTCTATATATGGGTCCCATATGGGTCAAAATATGACAAAGGCTCGGAAAGGTTTGTAAATCCCATAGGTCCAATCCCAATCCGATATAGGAGTCAGAGTAATATAGAGGTCCCCTGATAAGCTTAGATTCAATTATTTATGGTACATACTCTGGGAAGTATGTTAATTTATTCTATTCCATATTCTGGGAAGTAGTTTTTGTACACATTCCTGGAACTCCATAGCATAACTAGCAACTAGTCCGATATACCCTCGTGCCGTTTGGTGTCAAGATATTACAAAGGCCCCCTGATAAGGAAGCTCCAGATTGGAAAAGAATGGTTTCTCCACGAAGGGGGGATGCGTTCGATTTTCATGCATATTCCGGGAAGTTCTCAATACTGGCGCTGGCTGGCAACTAGTCTGATATACCCTCGTGCGGCTCTACGTCCCGTACGGGAAACTAAAGCCGACAAACATCGTGCAAAATGTCAGGCGAGCAACAACGATAAATGATTACTTAAATAACGCTCGGCGGTGTGGTGGTGGCGCGGGGGCCGTGACGGTGACGGTGAGGGTGATGGTGGGTGGGGAGGTGCAGTGGCAGGGCCCACCGAGCGGGTACGGGACCGGGGGGCGAGGAACCCTGACGCACACCAGCGCCGTCGGCGAACACACCGGGGCATGCTTATTAAACTTTTATGAGTGCAAAAACAAACACCACAAACGGGCCTCGGTGTGTGCGCGCTGAGAGGTTGCGAGCGGAGAGCGTTGTTTATAAAAAATTGAACAACAAAAATACAAAGTGTACGGCCGGCTGGCTGGCCGACAAATGTCGAAGCAGCAGAAACCAAGCGGAGGAATACCCACGGGGAGAGCTGCATGGGGACTTGGAAGGGCCAGGGAATTGCAGGGTTCCTAACTGCGCCTTGTTGAGGTGCTTCGAGCAACTACCCCAGGCTCTGGCAAAGGTTGGGTAGTGGTGCTGTTGGTTGGTGTTCAAAGCCGAGCCACTGTAGCCCTTTGTTTTGCGCAGCCAGTCCCACTTATCAGCTCCCCAGTCGGCTGTTGCCATAAAACTTTCCACTAGCGCTTCTTGGCGAGGTGGCAGATCCCTGGGCTTTTCAGTTAGCCTGAATCGGGGATCTTCTATCTGGCTAGAGAGATACGGATCTTGTTTGCGCGGCCGAGTGCAGATAAGACACGTTTTCCAGAATTTTCGCTGGCAATAGGTCTTGGCTTTCGGGGATTATTCTCAATTGGTATCTGAGTCTGCAGATTGTTTATGGCAGCGGTTCTGCAGGTCCGGGCTATCGGCGCGCCGGGGAGATAAACAAACCGCGTCGCTGCAGAGAAGTTCTGCCTGGTCAGCGGCGGTGAGTCACCTCCTAATGCCTATCTGGGATGCGCATTCTGGCTCTGGATTAATCACTCGGCTAAATATGCAACTGGGCTACTTGGCTACTTGGCTACTCTCTCGCCTGTCCGATTCTCTGTTTGTGGCGATTCTGCTGGCGAGAGTCTTTTCTGTGCGGGGGCGGCTGGCGTGCCGGCGATTTAAGATACACATCTGACCAAGCGTGTGCTATGTGTGCCGCAATTGCTCCCAATTGCAAAGCTGTGAATTAGCTCTGGTTTTCCCCGCCGCCGAGCGGCTTGAGTTTCCGCGAGTCGTGGCCCGCCTGCTTTACATACAAGCCGAGTCAGCAAGCGCAATGTGGCCCAACCAGTTCGCTTTTCTCGGCCGCGATCGGGAGAACCGCTTTCTTCGCTCTTCAAGGTTGGGTTTGAGGAAAATTCGAGGCACAAGGTCGCACAAGACTGCTGGCCATGCTTTCCAGGCATCTGGAAGCCACTTACAGGCCAGTTGCTTCCCATTTCCGGGCATGCAGCTCGGCGGCTGCTGGTTGCTGGCTGCTGGACTATAGTATGTGAATTGGAATAACATCGATTCCCCGAACGCCCGCCCAAGAGACAGACGTCAATGCAAATTCAAGTTTTGCAACTGAAAACACCTTCGCAGCCGCGAGATCGAACCGAATACATTTTAGGAAGCGGGCGAGCGGCAAAAGCTCGCCACACTTTTGTTGGGGCCGGGTTGGAGTGACGTGCTCTGCGGTCTTTTGTATACCCGTATTAACCCACTAAAGCCGGGGGTTTTTGCTCGCCATTATCTCCCCTCTTGCTTGGCCCAAATGCCCCCTGGGCAGGGGCGAGCGTTTACTGCGGCGTATAAATGTTCTCCGCTGCCCGTGGCTGCAACTAAGTAAACACCCCATCGCGGGAGGCTACACACATTCTATTGCGCTATAAATCGCGTGGAGAGTGCGGGCCAGGGAAGGGCAAAGGGGCTCTGTAAACTACCGGTTATCGCGGACTGGTCGCCGGGTCCGAGCTGGGGCCGGAGGGAGAGAGTCCGGAGCGAGTCTTCCGGCCAAGGCGCTTGCTCTTGGCAGCCAATTCCTAAACTTGAAGCTGAAAGCCGAAATTCTTTTATCGCATCTGCGTTTGTTTGGCTTTGTTTAGGTTTCTAATGGCTCCGCTGAGCTTTTCGCGCCTGCGGATGGCGGATGGCGACCCCGAAACTAGATTTCTTCGTAACACAACCGCAAGTCGAAGCAATCGTCGGCGAGCTTCAAATCGCGCGGAACAATAATGGAACTAGAGGTGAGCGTGCCGGGTAATGGCCCGTCGTTTGCAAGAAGGCAGATATTAGCCGTCTGCTTATTACCCCCGTATCTGTATCCAACTGCGTGGGCTGTCTAGTTTCCAAGTCCCCGATGACGACACACGCCGCAAAGAATGGCCCTCTGGCGGGAGTTGCGCGCTCCCCGGAGGCGGAAGGAGGGTCGCCCAGCCATCCATGCCTCGCCGTTGGAGTTAATTATGGCCCGCGGTCGGTTGTTTTCGCTGATAATGTACGCCCGATTTCCGAAATTGTGACCCACAAAGGCCGCTCGCCAAAATTAACATATTAATTACACAAAGAATTTCATAATAAAATAGAAACTGGTCCGCGAAGTTTCCCCAGTTCCTGCGAAAGGCATATTAAGTGAATTTTCCGGGAAGCCTAGACGACTATTTAAAGTCAGTATCAGGGCCGATAAGCACCTTGTTCGAGCGCCTGTAGACGTCGAGTTTTCTTCATAATCCTAGCGCAATCTTTCGCGGCAATTGATTCATCGATGCCTCGCGGTCAGGGCCTTATCAGAACATGGTAATAATATATGGAATATGGCAACGTTCCACTAAATTCTGATTACTCCAACTACTTCGGGGTAATTTTCATATCATCGCCTGGCCATTTGAATTCTGCTCCCGCTCTTATCACTCCCGAAGTTGCAGACCCCATATAAGAGCCCAAAGTCACTGGAGCGGGGTCTTCAGTTGCGTTATTCCGACCCACCAGAGTACTCCGCCACTCCACCAGTCCACCCGCGTAAGCCCGCCACACATTTTAGCCAACAACTTGTTTTGTTTATTTATTCCCGTTCTGGGATCGCTGTCATTGCTTCGCTTTTAACACATTTAACACGATTAGGGCTATCGCTTTCCCGGCTTGTTTGTAAACAGTCTGCCCTGGCCGATCGCCACCTGACAGCCGCCTCCTCGGATGTCCCAACTGGGATCAATGGGATTTCCCGTGAAAACGGGTCGGAATCGATCCGAGTGAACACAGATCCCCAGCCAAACACCGTGTGTGTTTCTCAACACTCGCCCGGCCAGCGTGAGTCACCCGAGTGCAGCTGTGTCCACCACCTAAACACACACTCGGAGCTGATAACAAGGCTGAACAACTTCTAAGGCCACTTGGCCGGGTGCACTCCTAACGAGAGCAGCGTTTTGCCAACTTGGCTGGATTGGCTACCTTCTGACTTGGCACATTAGAGGCTAGGGCGGCACCCAAGCCAGAACCTTGAACTACTTTATTTCGACGTCGCAATCGCCGAAGGGCAGAAGCTCCACCAACTTGAGAGGTGAATAGAAAGCAAGATACCTGCTCGGAGATCGGATCCACATCCACATACACCATCTGTGTATGTATAACTCATCTACCTAAGCTGGCTGACTCCCTGACTCCAGTGAGCCGCACATCCGATTTCGTTTTCGTTTTAGGTTTGGATTTCGATTTGGTTCCTGGGCCTGGGCCTGTGCCTGGGCCTGTGCCTGGTCATGGGCAGGTAAAGCCGCGACCTGTTCTGGTCGTCCCTTTGTTTGGAGTGCATTTTCGGGCCTGCTCCGGTCATTAGATCCTTATCTAATTTCGTTGCCTGGACTGAACTGGTTTGCCTTGTTTACGCCACTCTTCTTCTGTTGTGTGCTGCCCCGGCCATTCATATTTGCGGCTGGTACGTGAGCTGCTGCGTCGCACTGGCCTTTTTTCCGGGTAACTACAGAAATTAGCGTATCGACCACAAAGCAAACACGCCTCGGCTGTACAGGGTCTGGTTCTGGCCCTGGCCTGAGTGCTGAGTCTGGACCTGCGTCTGGCAAGAGCCGCTCATTTAGGGTCACGTTTCGTCGGCAGTCGAATGTCGCCAGCGCTGGAGTCGGGAGTCGGGAGACGAGAGACCGGTTGAGAAAACCTGCAGGCACAGGCGTCGCGGCAGGAGAAGGGCTCGGCCTGTGGCCTTATCAGCGCTATTTAGCGTGGCTATAAAGGGTCATATTCCCCACAGATTGTGGACTCGGACCTGCCCGGCGGTGCAATTAATTTTCACACCTGTTGTGAGCAGGCCTGCTGGTCTGCTGGCCTGCCCGAGTCTCGAATTCACCTCACGCGTTGCTCAGCAGTTGCTCTTTTGCTTCGCCCCGTCTGGGTCTTGGCTCGATTTGTTTACTTTCTCACTTGCGTGCGATCTGGTATTATTTTTGTTCTGGTGTTTGTTTGCCATTGCGATAGTTTTGTTGCCTTTCTCGCTATGGTAATTAAAGGTTGAAGCTCGCTCGGTGTAGGAACTCATTCAGAACGTGGCTGCGGCTGCAGAGCTGAGTCTATGACCTCGGCTAAAAGCTCAAGCAATTGCAGTTCCATTACCCAAATGTATTGGTATTCAGCCTAGAAAAGTATGCTAGTAAAGGTATCCTAAGGGTGAATCCAAATCCTTGGCAGACTAGGGGACACAAACTTCATCGCCACTCCACCACCCATCACATACACATACATCGTTACATTAAAGAAAATCTCTCACTTACCCACGTTTGTACATATGCTTGTGTATTTATAGTTCCCTCCCAACCATACCAAAACAGAAACACACTCAGACAATCCCATCTCGGTGCATGCGAACGCATTTTATGGACGCCCTCGACTCGCTTGCCCACGGAAGCCTCGATCGGTTCAAGAGCCTCCTGCAATCGACACTCTAACAGAGACTGACCAGAGAAGACAGAGCACAACTCAGACACTGATCACCACATTCATTCAGCTGACCCAGCTAAGCATCCACCACACTCACAACTCAACCAATCCAATCAGTCAGATCAGACCTCATCATCCATTGGGTAGAGCGCGAGCATGAGCCTGTGGAAGCGCATCTCCAGCCATGCCGACTGCGAGCAGCGTATGGCGGCCTTCTACGATGAAAAGGGTCTCTTCGACCTGCGCATCTGCCTGGCGCCCTGGATCGAAGACAGGATAATGTGAGTAGGAGCCGGAAGAACGGGGTGGCAGTCGCACGTAATGCTCGGGACTAGGCTAAGACTCATAGTCTGCGACAAACTGATACTAACAGAAGGTGCTTTTTTTACGTTTCTACTCGCCGTTCTAGGTCCGAGCAGATCACACCCAATTCCACGGAGCAGCTGGAGCGAGTGGCTCTCAAGTTCAACGAGGATCTGCAGCAAAAACTCCTGTCGACGCGCACAGCCACCGACCAGGCCCTTAAGTACCGTGTTGTGGAGCTCTGCGCCCTCATCCAACGCACCCCCGCCCTCGAGCTGTACACCCATCTGCGAAGCGGGCTCCAGAAGGAGCTGCAGTTGGCCACCGAGAAGAGTGTGGCTTCCAGTGCCGGGCAATCGATGCCAATGCCATACAACATGAACAACGCCGGCTACATGGACACCAGCGACATCATGGGGACAAACGGAGCCGTGGCCCCCAGTAACAATGTCGTCGCCTCCCCGTGTCTGGGAATGGTAACCCCCAAGCGAGAGCTGTACGATGTGCAGCACCAGATTGTTTCCACGCTCCACGAATTTACAAACTGTCGTAACGCACTGAGCGTTCTCGTCCAGAACTACAACTACATGCTGAACTCGATGCCCTCTCCCAACGCAGAGGTGCTCGTTAGTAACCTGATGGACGAGAAGGCCACCATTGCCACTCTGCTGCGGCGTAGCTTCATGTACTATGAGACCCTGAACGACCTGGTCATCCACGAGCTGAAGAACTGGCGACGCCAGCAGGCCCTCGCCGGCAACGGAGCTGGGTTCAACGAAGGCGCCCTAGACGGCATCCAGCACTGCTTTGAGATGCTCGAGGCATTGGTGGCCCAAATGCTCGAGGCCGTGAACGAACTCATTCGCGTGCAGCTGGGCAGCGAGGAGCCAGAACTGCTTCATCTGCGGGAGCAGGTGAAGATCGCACAGAAAAACCTGGTGATATCAGCCTTCATAGTGGACAAACAGCCGCCGCAGGTGATGAAGACCAACACCCGCTTTGCGGCCTCGGTGCGCTGGCTGATTGGCTCGCAGCTGGGCATCCACAACAACCCACCCACAGTGGAGTGCATCATTATGTCAGGTGGGGATTGACATTTCAGAATGTGCTCAGAAGATACTTACTTTTATACTTTACAGAAATGCAGTCGGCTCGCTTCGTCTCCCGCGGCACCCAGTTGGAAAACACCATGTCCGGGCAGTCCTCGGGCGAAATCCTTAACGCCTCCAGCACCATGGAGTACCAGTCGAACAACCACGTCTTCTCCGCCAGCTTCCGCAACATGCAGCTGAAGAAGATCAAGCGTGCTGAGAAGAAGGGCACCGAGAGCGTCATGGACGAAAAGTTTGCTCTCTTCTTCTACACAACCACATCGGTCAACGACTACCACATCCGCGTGTGGACCCTTTCTCTGCCCGTGGTGGTGATCGTGCACGGCAACCAGGAGCCACAGTCGTGGGCCACCATCACCTGGGACAACGCCTTCGCAGAGATTATCCGTGAGCCTTTCGTGATCACTGACCGTGTCACCTGGCCCCAACTCTCGGCGGCCCTAAACACAAAGTTCGGGTCCAGCACTCAGCGCTTCTTGACCGCGGAAAACCTGGAGTTCCTCTGTAAGTCCCCAGGGAGTGCATTTTGTACGGGCATTGTTTTCATGGTTTTCTGCCTTTCAGTTGAGAAACTTCAGCGGGAGGAGCGCTCCGAATATATTACGTGGAACCAGTTCTGCAAGGAGCCCATGCCCGACCGGACGTTCACCTTCTGGGAATGGTTCTTCGCCATCATGAAACTCACCAAAGACCACATGTTGGGTATGTGGAAGGCCGGCTGCATCATGGGCTTCATTAACAAGGCCAAGGCGCAGGATGCCTTGTTGCGTTCGAATACCATTGGAACCTTCCTGCTTCGCTTCTCCGACAGCGAGCTTGGTGAGCTGCCGAATGGGCCTTGGAGAATCCCGGAGAACTAACTTTGTGATTTTCAGGTGGCGTCACCATTGCCTACGTGAACGAGATGGGGTCGGTCACCATGCTGGCTCCTTGGACTGCTCGTGACTTCCAGGTCCTTAATCTGGCCGATCGCATCCGCGACCTGGACGTTCTTCGCTGGCTGCATCCCTCTGACACCTCTATGGTGGCCCAGCCGCGTGACCGCGCCTTCGGCGAGTTCTTCTCGAGGCGTCAGGGTAAGCATAGCGCCGTTAGTTCGACTCTCCAACCTTCCTGATCAGAACGCAACCCCCGCTCTCTAGAAACCTCCCCCGGATACGTGCCGAGCACGCTGCACGTCCAGGTCTGCAGCAGCAACGGCGATGGTGGATCCATCAGTGGCACCCCGCAGCATGTGCCGCAGCAAGACACCTTACCGATGGGAAAGTAAGTTTTGAAAGCCCGGCCCACCACTAACCCACCTGTCTTCTTCAAACCGAAGATAAGGAGACTGTTTCTTGCTAACTTTTTATTTTGTTCCCAAAAATGCGGATGCTTGAAGAGCCGAGAGCTGATCCTCATGCTTCCAACTTCCCCTAGAGTACTCTTCCCGATAATCTGCTATGCTTTGCGCTATTTTGTTAAATTTTTTCAATATTTTTCAACAAAAAGTTTAACCAGATTGCAATACTTTGAATTCGATAAAGAATGTTTGAGAGTTTCAAGCAGAAAAAAAAGAGCGATTGAAACCATGATTGTTTGTGCCGACTAACCGAAACTGAGGCTTATTTTGTTCTAAGTACTAATAAAAAATGTTTGGAAACGCTGGAAGAGCTGACCCGAATGTGGCTCTACCCGCGAACTGACTTTATTTATTTTGTAATTACTCAGCCACTTACCAACCGTACTCTCTGTTTATTTTCATTGTCAAACTTTTGCGGCGATTTGATTGATTTTTGGGTGCTGCCGGTGTGTTCAGTGTTTCGCCAGTGAGCTCCACGGCCACTTATAATTATGGCCCACAACCTGAAGATTCCGATTCCGATGACAGCCAGGTGGCCGAAGCCCTGGGGCAGATCCTTGCGAACACCCCTCCCGGTGATCCCCTTATAGATCAGTTCAAAAACACGCTCCTGGGTATCCAAGAGATCAGTAATGCCTTAAGGGATAGCATGATCAGTGAGGGGTCACCGAGTGCCAGTGATCCCGTGGATGAACCGATGAGGGATGACGAGAATATTGTGATGCAAGTCCCTAGATCGCAACTTAGTTACTATTATTAATCAAAAAAAGAGAAATCACGCTGTGCCATTGCCTTCACTCTGTCTATCTAATCTGCTACCGGTTCTGACACTTGCCGCAAGGTATAGAATAACTCTTTGATTACGCTCCTCTGCATCCAATCATTCGAAATCCACTGCACCTCTCCGCCGACTGATGCAAGTGGAGTGCGCACATGCTCCGCTCCGGAGGTCCCTTCATTCTCATTCCATAGCCCCCATTGCCTCGCCTCATCAGCGCACATGTCCGAATCATCAGACTTAGTTGGGTTCACCCGAGCAGCTTACTAATGATAGTATTATTTGGTCGCAAGTTATACTTTATAGCCCAATAACCAATTATTTGTTTGTGATCCGTGATTGTTGGTTTTTTCAAGTATTTTTTTTTTTTCAAAGTATTGCCATCTTTTTAAACTTTTCAGCCCCGTTTGATCTTGTTTTAATTTTGTCAAAATTTTGCAAAATATGAGATTGAATATCTAACCGCCTACACTGCAAACCTTCTATATTTCACGCCGACCGCAGCTTGCAGAACAGTACCATCATGCACCTGTAATTCTGATCTCGTGGCTGGCTTCCATGCCAGTGAATTGGCCGAATCGATTCCAAGTAGAGCGATTAAACTCGACAACTGCTTAAAGCTAAGCTCGTGTAGCCAACTTTGAATATGACTAGCAACTAATTATTTCTGCATGGCGATTGTAGGCCGTTCTGCTTTTGATTGCATGTTGTTGTTGTGATTTTAATTGTTTAATTGTGATTTGAAGCTCAATGAAATGTTACCGTTGTTACTATAGATCTTAAGGGAATCGTCTGCTCTATGAAAGCTTATTCATACGCTCTCCGCCATTTCATCTATATATCCCCTATTTTCCTTACATCTGAAACATACAACCCCACCTCTATATTACAAAGCCCGCATGAATAAGAATTATATTTTTGCCAGCTCTTTTATTTATTAATGTTTTTCTTTTCTTGTTTTCTTGTTACATTTTTATTCCCCCTTCGGATCGATTTCAGTAGTGATTTCGGAATGACGGACTTTGATTCGATGACGAACTTTGAGGTATATAAACTAAACTAATTATAGAGTAAACCTAGAGAAAATCCTATGTATAAAATGGGATGAGCACCGGAGCTTTTGCCGCCAGAACGAGAGTGCGACGTGGAAGTTTGTGAAACTATTTCAGCGGCCTGGCGCTTCACTCGTTCAGCTGTACCGGCAGTTTTGTTTAATGTTATCTACATAAATGTAATTTTAAGATATTGAATTATTGGAAGGCATCGTAGAGGCGGGTTTTTTAGGTATGTATTTTCAACTCTCGATATTGTTCACCCCAAAAAAGTCTAAAATCCACCTCATGCACCTAATACTCTGTCGCATCGAGTCCAATGAACAACGAATGTAGTTCGATCGTAGCTAAAATACTCATCACCACGCACCTGGGAAAAGAAATGTACTACCTAATACACATTGTATGTTTATAAGTGTCAAGTTAATTGTTAAAGTATTTTGAACGTTATTCGTCGCTTTGAACTATTTACAAAAATAAACTCGAATAAGATGTGAAAATTTATACACAAAAGAGAGAGGAAGGCCAAGCTTGGACACTGGATTCCGGGAATGAAATGAGCTGGTTTCACTGGTCAAGGATCCGTTAGCACTGTAAGAGTAGATAGAAGGATTGGAACACCCAAGTACAGGGAATGAAATTACGAATTTACACACAAAGTATCTAGATATTTATACATGTATTTATACGGTGAAACTATTTTTGAAATGCCACTTAACTGAATATTATAAATGTTACTCGTGTACCTAATACCTACGCCTAAGAGTTATCTAACCCCTTGGAGCTCCTCTGACCGACCTTGTACTCAACTACGCCCGTTTATCCTTTCAGCTTTTGTGAATCGCCAAACAACCAGAACAACATCCACCACAACAAGAATTTGAACTACCAGAGCAATGCATGCAGATTGCGACACCTGAACACAAACACCTTTGCCACACAACCAGAACCTTTTCTATATCGTGATTATGATTGTGTCTGACGTATGCAGAAGTTCCCCATTGGATTTCTGTCTTGTATAAACCTATGGAATGTGTCCTGAGCATGTTATTCGTTTTGTATTTTATATATAACTCTTTATATGTGTAGACATATACTTTGATTTTTTTTGTACCATTGCGTTTTTCTGTGACAAGCATTACTTGACGAGTGGAGTAGAGCATCGGTTTAGTTAGTTAGTAACTATTTGTTGAATCTAAATTTATGATTTAAATTTGAATCAATTACGTTTAACATGTAAGTGTAAAATTTACCATATTTCGCCTGCTAAGACCTATGTTTAAATCGATACGACGAAAGAGAAATCAATCGAAGATGAGGAGCCGCAAGGAGAAGAGTTGCGTTAATTTTAGTTATGTATCATCTAAGAAACATTGTGAATTTGCTTTATGTGAAACCCCTCCTTTAATTGGCTTCCAATGCTGAAAGTGCGTAAAATTTAACCAATCCATGTATATTTTTAGTTTGTTTGAGTCAGGGCACAGATTGCAATGCATTTCAAATGCAACAGCCTATTGCCTGTAGTCAGTTAACCAGAGACACGAAGGGAAACCACCACAAAGTTTATATATGCGACACTGTAAGCATAACCATCTATGTAACAGCTACAATAACACATGAGTACACTAAGCTTTGCACGTGAACCTTTATAAGACTTAAGAACACCCTCAAAATAAATGAGTAATTTAATAAACATTTCAAAACACATACGCCACGAGTGGAATTTGTTGCGCGTGACCTTGTCCACAGTTTGAGAAACTATATCCGAAATGTAAATTTGTGTACGCAAAGTTTTTAATATACTATTGTGAAAGCTCGCGCACAACCACACAACCGACACTGACACTCCCCCACCCTCCAGAACACACTCAGACACAATGACGGGTAGACAGGCTCGCCAAAACCATGTTGATATTTGGGAATCGTATTTTATTTGAATGTCCTGTCCCCGCTGTGTACTCGACCTAATTGTCTACATTGTGTAAGTGTTTTAAATGTAATTCAAACGATAATTGGGTGTGCAGTTTACAAAAGCCAAGTGGGAAATAACTAAAGAACTATTCTTGTCAAAATGGCCAATAAAGATTTGATTTTAAAAACTAAACTAGACTTTTATTTCATGCTTCTCGTGTGGGTTCACAAATCACAATATGCCAGAGGAGTGTGGAAACTAGTCCCTAGTCCTGGAAACTAGTTCTTCTTGCTGGCACAGCACTTGTCCTTGGGCCCGTTCTTGCAGGAGCACTCGCACTGCTGGCTGCAGGCGCAGTTGTCCCCGCACTTGGTGGCCGAGCACTGGCAGTCTGATTGGAAATAGATGATAAGCCACACAGTTAATGTTTGTGTTTTTTTTTGTACTTACTGGTTCCACAAGCCTTGCAACCCATTATGTTGATTTCAAATTTTTAATTGTGTTTACAACTGACCTTGCTAACTGCCAAAACTGTTTGATAATCAATCCCGAGGGGCACTGGACTTTTATAGCTCTCCTAGCGATTTGCACACCACCGTTCGGTACTCTATTAGTAATACATCCCAGCTCCGTTCGATTTCTTATCACTTCGTGTGCAAATGGGCTTATCAGTTCGGGCGGAAAAAGCATAACATTTTTTTGCGCACGCCGACTGCGGGCAGCTGCACACGGCTTCCTTATCTTATCAGCCACGTTTTGGTGGGGCACTCGAGGGTATAAAAACCCCGGTTCTACAACATTGGAATATCAAAAAGTTTGAACTCTCCTCGGCTAAACTACCAGTCTCAACCACCACCAAACAAAAAACTACAAGATGCCTTGCAAGGGATGCGGAAACAGTAAGTTATATCCTGGAAGATCAAAGAAGTAAAGAAAAGTACTAATGAATCTATTCTCTATCCATACAGACTGCCAATGTTCGGCCGGCAAGTGCGGAGGAAGCTGCTCCGGAAATAGCCAGTGCCAGTGCGCCTCCAAAACCGGAGCCAAATGCTGCCAGGCCAAGTGATTGCCAGTTTTATACAAAACTTTAGTCTTTAATAGTTTATTCTTTCTGATAGTTGTTACACAATCCCTGACTGATCCTTCCCTTCCTAATGAAGCTAAATAAAACCCTTATAATGTCGTAGTTTGCTAAAACATAACTAACAAAAGGAAAGAAAGCTAACTTTGGGCGGAGCCGAAGTTGATATACCCTATAGATGGGACATAAATAACAAATATCGGATTTACATAGTTGGTCGATCGTTATGAGAATTTCATAATGAAACCAATTTCTTAGAATATAAAATTGAAAAAAGTCCCAAGTTCTATCTTCAAAAATACCAAAGTTTAAACAAGAAAGAAAAGCTAACTTCGGGCGGAGCCGAAGTTGATTTACCCTTGCAGTTAAAACCGGATATATATCGCAAACATCGAATATAGTTGGCCGATCCTTATGAGAATATGATAATATAACCCAATTTATTATAGTACAAAATGTAAAAATAGTCCCAAACTTCTTTCTTCAAAAATACAAAAGTTGTTATTTTTACCAAATACCATTTCCGATCGTTCAGTTATATGGCTATAAGATAGGTTATAATTTTTTGTCGAAAAGTGTGCAACGCAGTGAAGGAGACATCTCCGACCCTTAAGTATATATATTCTTGATCAGGATCACCTCCTGAGTTGATATGAGCATGTCCGTCTGTCCGTCTGTCTGTTTCTACGCACAAACCCTTCTTTCCTTTGCACGCAGTATATATGTAGGTCGGAACGACCGGGATCGGCCGACTATATCCTATAGCTGATATGTTTTAAAGCTATCAACATGAAACTTTGCACGCAGTATATAATTCGGTCGGGATCGGCCGACTATATGCTATAGCTACTATTAAACTGATTGATCGGAAATGGTATAACTTTGGTGTTTTTAGATATGACAGCTATAGGATATAGTCGACCGATCCTTTTTAAATTTAATAGGTCGGATCAACTGACCAAAAATAGAATCTGTACGCAAAAACACGAAAGCTGGGTCATTTCCGATTTTTAGTTATATGGCTGCTATAGGATATAGTCGGTTGATCCTTATGAAATTTGGTGTGTCGTATTATTTTGCCAAATTTATCATTCATACAAAATCCAAAATTCTCGAACTCTAAAAAAAACCAAAGTTATAGCATTTCCGATCAATCAGTTATATAGTAGCTATAGCATATAGTCGGCCGATCCCGACCGAATTATATACTGAGTGCAAAGTTTCATGTTGATAGCTTTAAAACATATCAACTCAGTGATCCTGATCAAGAATATATTATATGTACTATATACGGTCGGATATGTCTCCTAATACGCACTGCAAGGGTATAAAAATCTTAAATTTATATCTTAAATCTTATTTATCTTATCTTTTATCTTATTTATCTTAAATAAATTTATTTGAAACTAAATTCTGTTAAATCTCTCTCTCTACTCACGAGGTTAATAATTGAAACAACGCGTATGATAAAAAAGTAAGTTAATTAATGTAAACTAAAAAATTTCTTTAAGAAAGCTATCGATTCAGAACCCATATACACCACCCCACTTAATAGAAAGTGGTTGTTGAATTTCCTTAAAGAAAAAAGAAAGTAATTGTGCAGTTTTTTGCATTGTAATTAATTCCAGGCTTCACTTTTGTTTCAAGTTTATAATCTTTGGGGTTTATTTAATTTGCAGCCAAGCAAAAGCATTTATATGAGAGGTACATTTGCGTAAGTGCACGGGGTGAGCAGGTGCGTTAGTTGAAGGACCCTCAGCAGCAGAAGGACTCTCGAGTCGCCGCCACAGTCTTTAAATGTGCAACTTGGAGTGGCGAGTGGAAGGCGAGCAAAATGGCGAATGCATGTCTGAGAGCCGTGTGCCAAGGCGCTGCTTGTCCTTGCCACAGTCCTTCAGGACGCAGGAGCCTTTAACAGGTTGACAGGATGGCAGCAAGGAATATCACAACGGGGCTGACAGATTGGCAGAAGCTGTCTGGCCTGTAATTTCGCATCCGAAAGATGCATTAACCGGGGTTAATTGCAGTTGACAATACCATTTCACGAAACAGATGCCAATCGAGGTGGGCTCCTCTGGTGCTGAGTTTTCCTCATATAGCAGATATATAGCATATAGCAGGCAAGTCGTGTTAAGCCCGTGGGAGGTTGCCATGAAATTAAGCCAGAAGGGATTGCTGCTTTCACTCGTATTCGGTTGCCTTGGAAGTTAGCACTTGGCCGAAATTTCAATTTCAGCGCTTTTAATGACGTTAAGCGGCGGAAATGGAATCGCGCCGGGTAACTGCTTTTTGCGCCAAGTCATCAAAGTTAATTTGTATGGCTGGAAGTTCGAGCTCGACTGTTTTTACAGCCATTTCCTGTTGGTTGCCATTCACAGAGCTAGCTAGCCGTGTTTTGCTCTATTTGCTTTGGAATCACTCTTTTTTCATTTTTCTGTTAATTTTTTTCTTCCTGGGTTCCTGGCGGAAATTCGTGTCACGCCATTTGCCAGATTCCCGGTGATAAAGTGACACGTCCCCCCGGCCGTGGCAGGCTGCGGAACTGCAAGCGGAACATGCAATGCGTTTAAATCTCGGCTTAAGTCGTCCGCCACTCGGGCGTATGCGCTATTTAAGTTACGTATACGCTCCATTGTGGCTTGTAGCGCAAACGCAAACAGTTAATTACGTCATTAAGTTTTCATGTCCCGGCAAGGACGGCAAGGACGAGGACCAAAGTCACAGCAACAGCAATAGGAAAACCAAAATCGAGAGAAGTAAAGCGAAACGGAGCGAAACGGAGCGAAGCGGAAACAACTGCAATGCGGGAACTTCGTGAGGACTTTGTCACCAGCCGAAAAGCGAAAAAGCGCCATGCAAAGAGGACGAAGCGTCCAGGACATCACTTATGCATAAGAACATTTTAACTTTTCGTTGGCCACTTTGGAGCCTCTGTGGCACGCAGGGCAAGGGATCCAAGGGCAAGGATAAAGGGCAAGTGACAGGGCGTGGGGCTCGTTGTGTTTATCTTTGCGTGTGAATCTCGCCTCCTGGCAGTCTAAAGTTGTTCTATGGAGAAATCAAATTATCCCCACACAAGTGGTGAGAAGTTTCTGTCAGCCAACGAAACATAAATTAATGAAATGCACAAAAACTGTGAGCCTTAGCCAGGCTCGAAGGACCGCCCGTGTTGTGTGCAAATATTCTTAATAATTTATTGCAATTTGTTTGCTAAGCGCTTCGAAACTTGCTTGAACTTTTCAACATAAATTAACAGATTAGTCGGCAGCCGTCGCGTCGAACAGCAGACTACAGTCAAGTAATGGGTGGGTATATGTACCTGGACATCTTCCCCCAAAAATGGCGCCAACTTTTTTAGCAGGTGCCAGTTGGCACACGAGCCGGAAAACCGAGCCCAACAAAAAAACCAAAACAGGGAGCGGGCAGGACGGCAGACTGGAGCCAGACAGGTCCGGCTCGGTTAGGGCCCAGCTGGTTTGGCTGTTGTCCCGGCGTTAATTTCCATTTCCCAACGAGCTCTGAAAACTTTAAGCACAGCGCAGAGCGCTTCTGTGGGCCACTATAAATCTTGGCCAATTTGTAAATCTCTCCAGCCGGATTTTGCAGCTCGGGTTGGCCCAAAAGCTGCTACCCCAAATCTATTGGGAGCGGAGTGTCGGCGGCCGGCCTGACCTGACCATGTTTAAGTTTCACACATTTAACATGAAATATTCATTCTTAATTTGTTTAAATTGTTACAAAAGTTCATGGGTTTAAAGAGGGTCTATGGTAGGAGGTAAATATTTGAAAAAGTGAACAAAATTTTAAAAATAATAAATAAAAGAGTTTAATATTTTCAGACAAGTTAGGTTAAAGGAAGTGTGGGTTAGCATACGATTAATGATGTTAGCAAATCATTGGAAAAGAATAAACTATACCGTAAACTGAAACAAACTGTAATAATGTTATAAAAAATGTAAGTAAAGATATTTTTGAAATACACAAACTATCACCATATTTGAGAAGCTTTAACTTTAATAAAAATGAATTTTACACTTAAAATTAAAATGACCTGTAACTATTAAATTCCTGCAAATTATAAGGACTTTAAACTGCCAGAAAACATGGAAATTAAACCTGTCACCTGACTGACATTGATTTCATTTTGCGACATACAAAAAATTATGTTTGTACATGGGTCCCAGGTGCGTAATCAGACACGCCTACAGGGCGGGAAGGTGGGAAGTAGTGGAGTGGGGTTTATCAATCGCTTCGACGACACTTCTCCCACCAAGCTCATTTTCTTTTTGGTTGTGGCTGAGCTTTTGGGGTGTTCAGTTTCCGATTTAACGCTGATTTCCCCAAGCACTTTTAAAGGCCCTGACAAGAGTAAATGTGTCACATCGTGATTGCCATAACTAAGACTGAGACCGAGACCGAGAAATTGCTGTCCTGAGTTGGGCTTGGGCTGGGGATTGGGTTTTGGTTGATGGCGTTCTGGCTGGCCTGGCAAACACATTAGGGCAGGACATCCTGCGGTTGCAGCGGGCGGAAGTCCCCTTGCCAGTCCCGTTGACCGGCGAGACCTGCCCTTTGTTGACAGCAATTTCATATGCACGAATGCACCATTAGACGATGTGTCACACATTGCAAAGACAAAGGAGAGCCACCCAGAACCGACCCGAATCTGAATCCGAGTCGGAGTCCGAGTCTGTGCCTGTGACTGTGTGGGTGAAAGTGTCCTTGTCCGCCCTGTCATTTGAGCAAACAAACAAAATTTCCTTGTTGACCATTAGATTTATTATAAAACTTTAATGTAGACCCCGCTCCTGTCACCCTTACAATTATCCTTTCGAATGGGCGTGTGTGCTAATGCTGTAATGTTGTTAATTAAGTCGACATGGCAACCGCAGTGACCTGGCAGATTTCCAGCAGGATACAGGCTCCACCCTCCGCCTGTCAGTTGCAACCACAGCATTGCACAGAAGACAGGGTGGCAGGGAAAAATGCAGAATGTCAGCGACGATTGCGAAGCATTTCAGGATGCCAGTGTCAGTGCCTTTCCTGCACCAGGACCTAGACCGCTGCGCCGTAGGGTCCGAGCCTCATTAGCTAACGTTGCACGTGCA